TCGGCTGCTGCATTGGCTGGTGGGGATGCTTTGGCAAAGCTGGCTAGCAAGGTGAAGCACGACACTGAGAAGGAGCGAAAGCACGATGATGAAGCTGTTGCTGCCGCTGCCGAAGCTCTTGACGAGATCGTCAAGCGCCACGAGCGTGAGCGCGCCGAATTGTCGGAGCGGAAACAGCGCGAGCATGAGGAAGCCGCTTCGAAGGGCGCGGACGCGCTTGCAGCGCTTGTTGCGAAGCACAAAGAAGACTCGGAGGCTGAAGCTAGAGCAGAGCAAGAAAGAGCGCAACGAGAGCAAGAAGCGCGCGAGAAGAATGAGAGAGCCAGAGACGCGCAAAAAGCAGCTGCTGCTGCGGCTGGAGGCGGTGCACTCGCAGAGCTGATCGCAGCACGTCAAAAGGAGGAGCAAGACGCTGCCGAGCGCGCAAAAGAGATTCATGAGTTGGAGGAGCGTGCAGCAGCGGCAGCGATCGCTCAGCGCGAGGCTGAAGAAGCCAAGCGCAAGCAACGGGAAATACAAGAGAAGGAAGCAGCTGAGCTTGCAGCTCGACAGAGGCAAATGCTTGCTGAAGAAGAAGAGAAGCAGCGGCTTCGAGATGAGCAAGACAAAGCTGCAGCTCTGGCTGAGGAGAAGCGTAAGGCAGAGGAGGAGGCCGCCACTGCTAAGGCTCGCGAGGCGGAGGAGGCCGCGCAGAGGCAGCGCAAAGAAGAAGAGGCCGCTGCTGCAGCAAAGCAGCGTGAAGCAGAGGAAGCAGCCGAAAAGCAGCGACAGGAAGAAAAAGCTGCCGCCGAAAGACAGAGAAAGGAGGAGGAGTCTGCTGCTGCTGAACAGCAGCGTGAAGCCGATGAAGCCGCGGCGAGAAAACGGAAAGCAGAGGAGTTAGCGACTGCTGCAGCAGCTGCATCCGCTGCCGCTGCCGCCGCCGAGCTAGAAAAGCAGAGGAAGGCAGCGGAAGAACAACACAAGAAAGAAGAAGCCGAGGCCCAGAAGCGAGCCGAGGCTTTGCGCGCTGAGCAGGAAAAGAAGCGCAAAGAAGATGAGAAAGCCAAGAAAGAAAAAGAAGCTGCCGACAAGAAGCGAGCGAAGGAGGAGAAGAAGAAAGCGAAAGAAGCTGCCGCGGCCGCGGCCGCTGAGGAGAAGAAACGCAAGAAGCAGCTCGAGAAGGAAGCCAAAGAGGCCAAGAAAGCCTCTGAGCTCCAGCGCAAGAACGAGCTCGAGGAGCAGAAAGCCCGAGAAGCTCAAGCTCAGGAAGTAGCGGACGCTAAAGCGAAAGCTGATTCGGAGGAAGCCGCTGCAGCAGTGGTCAATGCTGGCAGAGCAGAGCCTTCTCAGGCCCTCAGCGCAAAGACTTCTGTAACGCCCGAGACTCCAAATGGAGGCCAGCAGTTCCGAAAGGATGACGAAGAAGCTCTGGGAGCTGGAGCTATCGCGGCTGGGGGCGCGGCTGGGCTAGCAGCTTATAGTGGCACGAAGAAAGATAAGGGCAAAGGCAAGGCAGTGGAAGATGCCAAAATCGGAGCCGATGAACCCTTAATCGAGTCAGTCAAGCCAAGCGCAGCTGTTGCAAGTCAAAGTCAGCACGTGCAGGACGCTTCAGACACCTCGGGTGCTTCCAAACGGCAAGGTTGGGCGAGCATGCTGTTCAAGACCCGCCTGGGTGACAACCTTCCCCTTGCCAATGAAGGTGAAGCAGGCGTAGACAAGAGCCAAATCGGCAAGCCTCGTCCGGCTGAAGACAAGAAAGCAGCTTCCAAGGTGCTGAACACGGTCGCGCAGCCTGAGGCAGTCTCGCAGCCGGCTCCCGTAACAAAGGATGTGAATCCCAAACGCCAAAGCAGTCAAGTGGCTGCGTCATCCGCCGATGGCTCCGCTTTGGATGCACAGGTGCCTCCTGAGCTACTCGCAAAGGTTCAAGCTGACAAGAAGGCATCCAAGCGCTTGTCGAAGTCGCAACTCTCTGCTACGACCAACGATGATGTCCAACGTGCTTCGGGCCTCTCAGCGTTCGGTAACAAACTGGGTTGGGCTTCGCTCACCCATCTCAACAAGGACGACCAGGCAGCCCCTAAGCCCATCAGCAAGGATACCTCTCCGCCTGCAACGCCTGCCAAGAGCAAGCTTTCGATCAAGAAGAGCAAAGACAAGTCTGCTCAGGTTGCTGCTCCACCTGCAGGAAACACCAGCAGATTTGTCGAGCCGCCTGGAATACAGCGCGGAGAGTACATCGAACACGTCAATCCAAGATTCGCAAAGACCACACCTTCGGCTCCCGCGGTGCAATGGCGGTAAAGCTATGCGTCGGCCGTCGGGTTCAAACGAACAGCGTCCTTCCTCTTTTCTCTCTCGACACTACGCGGTCGTCCTTTAGGAAACGGCAATCGCTTCCAGTATACCCTCGCTACATTGTCTGCACGCTATTGTTCACCGACGAAGCGCGCAGACGTTCGCTCGAAATGAGCGCATCACATTCGTTTATCAAATTACCTCTTCATGTTTGTGAAATTTTTGCACTTTTGGATAAGAACCTCTCTCCCCTTTCTTAAAGCCAGCGCTTACCTCCTCTGCCAAGCGGCGCCCTATATACGCCGCCTCTTTTGTTACACTTGATCAGAAATTTGTGTTCTTCTTTCTTTTGGACATCACCGAATATACCAACACTCCCTACCCTGATTACAATTTTGGAATTGATCTGTCTCATCGTCGCCAGATGCGATTGGACTGCGCATGGTGTAGCCCTGGCCCGACCTCACAAGTCCAGAGCTGCTCTGGCCATAGCAAGTGCCCCCTGGCGCGTCTTGTGGCCTGCGCTTGCATCGAGGGGACGAAAGCGTGGTGAGGAGGACAAGATCATTGGATGACGCACGCACGCGACTTGAAGTGGCGAGACGCAAGATGAAACCGAACCGTCTGCTCACCTCCGATGAAACCGCTTGCGTGGACAAAGACGGCGCCTTTGAGGTCCTGCTCGAATCCAAGCAATCCATCCAGCTGCTCATCCCTGACTCCCCTCCATTTTTCCGGCAAAGCTTTGCGACTTTCGAAAGAGGTGGGCGTGACGGGCACAGCTTGAATTCTCCAGCTGCTAGAGCTGTCGGGATAGATGACGTACAAAGGTCTCTCGGCTTCTGTGATGTTGAGATGAGCTTCCAACTTGTGCAAGTGGTCCTGCGATGGACCGTTTCAGAAACAGGAATGAGATGCGCGTCTGAATCACGGTACACCGGTGCCGGCCTTAGCCCACTTGTCCAGGACTCACTTTCCAACTCGCGTACTCATCAAACACCAAGATTCTCCCTCGCGAGTCTGCCCCCTCGACGCTTTTCCTACCCTCTACGGCGCGCAGCACAATTTCTCTAGCAGGCAACCAAGCCAATCTAAGCCCTTCTAGCGTATCCCAAAATTCTCCGCCAGCTAGAGCGGAAGCTTTTTCGAACCTCTGATCCTCTTCCTTTTGCTTCTGCGCCGCATCGCTCGGCAGTGCCTCGTTCCAACGCGGATTCAAACGTCCCACTCTGCTCGAGAGATCGGTGCTGGATTTGTACAGCGCTTGACCAGGATACTGCGCGATGCCATTGTCGATGCCGTCGATTGCTTCGACGAAATCTTCGTACAGCTTCTTCCACAGAAGATCGACAAGATCCGAATCAACGTCTTCAGAGAGCTTTTGTGAGAGAATGGCCTTGCCGTAGTGTCTGATGTGCCCCGGCAAGAAAGGCTCCGGTTCGTCAACGAGCAACCCTAAGGTAGCATAATGACGATATCTGCAACACTCACTTCCAAACCAGACCAGCGCTGCTCAATTTGGTGTTGAAACCATTCTCAAAGGTATGTTCGAAACCTCTCTGATGATGATCGAACCTCTGTCTTTCCGGCTCGTACGTAGCTCCAACATCCACCACTATGGTGCCCTTGTCGATCAAGCTGGCATCTCTGGTGCGCGTGAGCGGCAAGGACGAAAATTGCGGCAACGATCGAAGAAGAGCTACAGCGAGAGCTTCGTCGGCTGCGAGGTGCGAGGTGCGAAGATTGCGAGTGTCAGAAGAAGGGGGGTAGGGGAAGCCAGACGATTGGCTGCGCTTGCATGAGTAGAATGGGCGAGGGTCTCATCTGAACTGCTCACCGTGATGCGTGCCGTTATGAGTCACGATACCGATCCTCTCAGCACTGGCATCCGACATTTTCTGCTTCTTCGTCTGATGTAACTCTGCGGACGCGCTGCTGGACATGAGTCCTACACTACCAATCAAGTACGCGCTGCAACCAGTCGACGGAGGGACAAGACGCAAGGGTGTTGATGGTCGTGAGGAGCAGCGATGTGTAGTGCAGGATCTGGCAATGACGCGAGCAAAAGGAGGAGGTAGCAGCGAGCAAGTCTGGTGGGAAAAGCGGGAGAGAAGAGCGCAAGATGGAGCTGAGCGCGTCGTTTGCATGCGTCGAGCGTCGAAGGGAAAGCGCTGCTGTGAATGCAGCCAGCCAGACAGCCAGTAAGGACCAATAGGAGCAGAGAAGCTACTGATCCAGAGCGAAGAGCAGCTTTGTGACAGCAATCGCAGTCGAATTTGTCGACGTGAGTTGAGTGCGGGGTGTTGGGTGCGAGTTTTAGTCACGAGTGCGATGATCAGCCCAGAAAAGCTTTGTGCCTTTGCTATGTGACAACGATTTGCATCACGATCGCATAGCTACCTTCACGCTTGTACCTATACGTACCGGCTACTCACCACTCGTGGATGGTCTTGTTTATTCTTGATTCACGATTATTCTTGATTGTGATTCTGTGATTCACTACTCGATCGTCGCGCGCGTAAGGACTTGCTCGCTTGGTGCTGATTGGTGATTCTGAACTTGCAATTCACGATTGTTATCCGGTATCGCTTTACCGGTAAACCTGAACTGAGACTGCGCCATGGCGCTTCTATTCAAAATTCTCTGATTCGGGTCCAGCAGTCACGTGAGTCACGCCAGGTGACGGACGCGCACGCATGTACCGGTACATAGCAAACAGATGATACTCGAGACTCTTCTGACTCAAGACTGTCACATCCTAGCAATCAAATACCATCATCTTCGTATCAAGAAGCTGAAGCTCAAGTGACAGTGAAAGGCACGCGAAAGCACGGCACGGCAGTCGTGAGTCTCCAGTTGGATTCGAGATCATCAGCCCACATGGGATCTGATCAAATCACCGGACGTGCCCAGGCGCGGGCCAACCAGGTAGCTTCAGTAGGCGGTGCCGTACATAGATGGAGAAGACCTCGAGGTACGTGCCTAAACAAGCAGTGCTCGGCCGGCAACATTTGTACGCTAGGCCTCCCTCCGCCTTTGTTCGCATTTTCGCGCCATGTGCCAGCCAGGATAGGAGGGCAAGTGAATGATGAATGACGAAACGAATCATTTTGCCTTTTGCATGACGACCTCGAGGTTATGCTACCCTCCACCATCTGCCGACTTCGCTGCGCACCCTATGAGCCGATGCTAGCCAAGCCAAGCAGACCTAACCGCCGCAAGATTTGATCGACAGGCTTTTGTTTTCTCTTACCCTCTCATCCAGTTCTTCTCTCTGAAGGCTCGACGTTTCACTGCTCCACTGCCGGAAGCAAGGCGGTTCATCGTCTATTTGCCTCTCTGTGCATGTTGCTCGCTGATCGACTACCTGATCCTAGAGGTCTCCTCTCGCGTCAGTGTCTCGGCGTGCCGAACGAGAGCACTTGCAAGGCTCGAGACGCACCCGGCTGTGCAGAGAACGATACAATCGTAAATGCTGCTGTAGCATAGCGCCCGTCTATAAATAGCGAGGGTCATCATGCGCTCCTCGTCCTCTTTTTGGCAGCAAACATTCAGCTCTGACATGCCTCAGCTGCCTTCCTGGACTCTCAAACGACCCTGGGAATCAAACGAGACACTTTGCTTCAACTTCGTCTGCTTTCTCATCTCGCTTCACCTCATTCTTCTGATCGAAAAAGTAGCGCGTCGTCGATATGTTGGCCAACAGCCTCGTAGCCAAGAGCGCCCGGGGTAGCAGGGTAGCATGTATGTGCCTCTGCTTTGTTGGGATCGTGTCCGCGGCCAGCTGGTCAATCAACGTCAACCCAGCCACTCGGGCGACCCTTGCCATCGCTTTCGTCTGCGCCGTAGCCAACCCCATCAACTGTGCCATTGCTACCGTCTCTTCTCTGCTTATTCTGGCTTTCGGCAAGAATGGCGCTCAGACGGGCAACAGCAACCAAGTGCTGCCGATCACCAACAATAGGCGCGAGGCGGCCACATCTCGCTTCATCACGTTTCATTCCAACGGCACTCTCTTTGACGGCTTCTCCAACAAGCTCGTCAATATAGGAGAGACGCACAGCGTGCTTGACACGCACAAGAACGTGCACATCAAAGTCACTCGTCATTCCGCCAAATGGATGCGCTTACGAGCGCCGCTCTCCAACCAGCTCCACTATTCCCGACGACAAGACGGGCAAGAGGATGGGGACCCGGGCAAGACTGACGAGCTAGAACTCTTCTACCACGTGGATGAGAACGTGGCTGCGAATGTGTACGATCAGGCTAGCGCAGATGACAATGCCGCCAAGATTGTCCACTACATGCAAGACAATCAGCAGGTCGATGCATGCTACAATATCTACGCTTCTTCGGACGGTGGAGCTTTGGCCGAAGGAACCGTTAGCGCCATCTCGCACGGCAATGGAGGCGTGGATCATCCGGATCAGTGCGGCGGGTAAGCGCTCAGCAATAACGAATTTCTCTTCTCCCATCTGCCCGAAGCGGCCAGCTTGCCATCCTCCCAATCGCTCCACGTGGCCGCGAACTCCACTTCTGCACTCCAGATCACCCCTTCAGCTTCTCGCTGCTTCCACCAATTCAATTCAAAATCCTGGATCCTTTCAAGACTTCTCTGAACGTTCGTTTCCCCCCTTCCCCACACGCATCCCTCCCCCCCAACACACACAAACACCCCCTCTTCCCTCATCCGATCGTCCTTTGTTTCTTTCACCTCGTCTTGCCATCCAAATTCGACCTCAGTTCGGTCATCATGAAACGTGCTCGAATTCGATCCATGCACAATCGACCACTTACTGGTGGAGTTCGAATCAAACTTTGCGTGCCTGCTTTTTTACTTTGCCCCTTCCCCTCCCTCCCCGGGGCAAAGCATGCCTTTTGCTTGCTTCGGCTGCCAAATCGCAGTGATGTGATGTGACAACAAGGTTTTGCGAGCGGTCGAGCGTGGCCTCGAGACGTTCGAACGTGGGAAATTCACGATGAACCACATTGTGAATGCTGTTCGCATTCACAAATATGATGTCGAATGAGTACCTGCGCATCTCATTGGATTGGCAGCTCCATGCGCTCCGTCCGCCTCACAACGAGGGACTCGACACCGCGCGCGCTCGGCGGGCACGCACCCTTCGGGCCGGTTGTTCACATTCATCACTTGGACCGGCGTTGGTGTGCAGCGCGGCGTGGTGCATCTGTGATCGTGGATGTGACCCACAACTACGTGTTGTGACTGCTCAGTCACGAGTATAGATGCATGGGATGTGCGGGGGAAGATTCGTGATTAACGGCTTCTACCTCGCTGCAGCGGAGGACTTGCAGGTCGAGTCTGGGTGGATCACTCATGACTGCCACGATCCAGAAGCCAGCGAACAGCATCTAGGACGAGCGGTCATCATAGCATCCATCACCCCATCGCTCACATTCCCCATCCTTGACATCTCGACAGCAGGGCTGCATCGATCACTTTGCAAGCAAATCAGATAGATACTCCTCCACCCGCATCAGCATCATCATACAGTCCACCATGTCTGGCTTCATCCAACCCTGTCCCAGCGTCCGCTCCCACCTCATCGTCGACCTGAGCACTCCCAAAGTGTTGCATCTGCGTCTGAACAGACCAAAGCAGCTCAATGCCATGACGGATGTGAGTCGTGTTCCATTCGTTTCCTTTTTCATTTTGTCAAAACGTGACTCATATGAATCGCCTCTGCTCGCTGGCCTTTTTCAAGCTCAGGCGCTAGAAGAGGATCTGTACTCCATCTTGGACTGGTACGAATTTGAGCCTTCTCTCTGGCTCTTGATCATCTCGGGCACCGGACGAGCATTCTGCGCAGGTCAAGATCTGCTAGATTGGTCCAAGCGCGCCCCTCTCCCGCGCGAGAGCACGCCGGGTGCGAATGGTGATCATCTTGCGCTGCAGAATGGACAAGAGATGGAGAAATTTGTTGGAAAGATTAGGGCTGGTGGGTTTGGCGCGCTCAGCTCGAGGAGGAGCAATAAGCCCGTCATTGCTGCGGTGCATGGCATAGCTATGGGAGGAGGTGTCGAGATACTGGTAAGTCGAGAGTCGAGGTTGCGCTCAAAGCATCGCAATAAGCTGCGTCTGTCTGCCTCGCAACTTCAGGTGGTGAGCAGGAACAAGCCTGCTGATCCAGCACGCCAAACCGCCTCCTTCTTGCGTCGCTGCTTCAAGCTCAACTGCGATCTCGTAGTCGCTACATCTGCCTCCATCTTTGCTTTGCCGGAAGTAAGCAGAGGAGTAGTAGCTGCGCAGGGGGGTATTCCTCGACTCGCCGCCGTGGCAGGACACGTAAGTCGAGTGCGAATGAGGGAGAGCGGTCCGCTTTTTTATACTCAATCAAAGCTGAATGGCCCCCCTTTAACAATTCGCCCCATTTTCTGCACACGTACCCAATTGTCGGGCTTCTACCATCCCGAATCGCTGGCCTTTTGAAAACGCAGCACTTTGCATCCCGACTATTGCTCACCGGAGAAAAGATTACGGCAGAACAAGCATGCTCCACTTATCGTTTCGTCACGCACCTGCACATCCTCTCTCCAAGCACCTCGGACGATCTAGCGCAATCCCAAGTGCTCTCCAAAGCTCTCGAGCTGGCAAATCAGATCATCAAGAATAGTCCAGATGCTGTGCAGCTTACAAAAGCTGGCCTTTTGGATGCGAGGGATGCGGCCAGACGCATAGGTGCGCAGCAGCGCAGGGATCCGTACGCGAACGAGGATGGAGTGGATGCGCTGCCTATCGAATCGTACCAGAGTCTCAGGAGCAGAGCATTGTATGCAGGTCAGAACATCAAAGAAGGTCTTGCCGCCTTTGCCCAAGTGAGTTCGTAGGACTCGAGTCCACGCTTCGTTGCGAGACCCCCCAAGAGGAAGGCCTTCGTTTTTGCAAGCTGCCTTGCTCGCTGATGAAGCACCGCCCATCTATTTGTCTTGGCTCGCTTTGCCAACAGAAACGTCCAGTGCAATGGTCCGATCCCCCTGTTATACCCGACACCATCAGCACCGCCGCTCGTCACCGACTGAGCAAGCTTTGAAGCGCGGCACAAGGCCTCAATCAGCGGGACACACAAAGCAAACGCACCCACGCTTCGCTTCCGCCTCACCTTCGCAACAATTTTTCTCCAACGAGACCCCACATTCGCAACTATATCACTCTTGTAATTGTATAGTTTGAGTGCCGTCGCATTTGACATGAGCTGGGCCTACTACAGATTGGGTGACTACTAAACGAGGGCTGGAAGGCGGATCGCGGTGAGGGGAGACCAGACGAGGAGTCTCAGACTTGAGCAACGTAAGGGGCGGAACCAAAGAGCGTGTGTGAAAGCGCAGAGGCTTGCGATGAACGGGGCTGAAGCCAATGACCGAAGAAAGCTTGGAACGGGAGACCAAAGGAGAGCAAGCTAGGAGCCAGATGTAGCACGTATACAACACGAAACGATGTGGACCCGAGTTACTGGAATGCTTTTATGGATGCTGGTGCCTGCTGCGGGCAATGAACAGCCCTTCCTGTCGAGCGTGAGAGATCATCTCAGGCTTTGGCCGTCTTACGCATAGCATCTTCCGATTCGTAGTAGCAAGGATAGAGACAAGCAGCACCGTGCTCCATCGTGTTCATCTTCCTCCCACCGATCGAAGCATAATCCGACGGCTTCATGTCTGCCGCTTCGTCGATGCGGATGGCAGATAGAAGGGATCGACTCGAAGCTCGACGCATCGAAGAGTTGATCATCGCAGGAGGAGGCGCGGCTAGACCCAATCCGGTCGGCATCGATTTGCGGTCTTCCACATTCACGCTGCCGCGCGGGGTGGCTGGGACGGTGTCCAGCGTCGTCTTGCCGCTCAGAACGCTCGCCCGATTGGTGCCGTTGGCTCGAGAAGCGCCGGAGCGACCGATGCTCGACCACAAGCGCGACACTGCTCCTTTGGAGCGCGGGGAGAGAGGAGCCTGCGTGCCGGCATGTTTGGTGCCGACGTCTTGTGCAGGCGCCTCATTGCTCACAGCAACATCCATCGACGGTGCCTTGCGTAAAAATGGCGAAGCAAAGGTGGAGCCGCTGAGCCTTCGCCCGCCCGTGCTGGTCCTCTTCACCTTGGAGGCGTCGGGTGCAGCATTCTGACGCGGTCGCGGGGGGCAGCTTTTGCGTTCAGTGGCAGGCGCAGCGGTATCGTCGAATGAGATGCTTGGAGAAGTAGCACGTCGATGGTGCGTGGGCGGGGATGGCGCCACGCTCAAGAACGACGTGATGGCAGTGCTCGCGTCGTCTCGCTCACGTTCTTGCAAGACCGAAGAGCAGCGGAGCTCCTTTTGGTCGCGTTCCAGCTTTGGAGACGAGTGGGTCGAGGTGGCAGGAGTGGAGCAGTCGCCGCTCGAACTCCTCGAGGCGAATGCGGCGACTTGACCCAAAGACGTCGATGCGGTGTCCGCAGTCATGTTGGAGCTTGCACTCGTGCTGCGTGACAGGTCCGACACAACTCTGACTGTGGGCGTCGGCATCCTCGCAACCGCGACGTCGTCAGGAACATCTCCCAGGCTATCAAAGGCGTCTTGCTCCTCTTCGTCGAGAGCAAGATGACCGCCTTGCTCGGCTGCACTCCACTCTGCATCCGCAACCCGACGGTGCAAAGCAAATCGCGTCGGCGTGGATTTGGGCACTAATTTGCGAACGAACGCCAAGCGACGGGAGTGGTAGCGGTGCGAGCGGACGGGATGGAAAAAGTCCAAACGCATTTGCTCCAACTCTGACTTTCTGAAAGTCGCGAACCCATCCGACATGGTTGGCATGGGGTCGGTGGCAGCTTTGCGGCTGGCAAAGAGCAGTGCCAAGTAGCATTGCTTGCGCTGCAGCATGCTTCTCGCATGACTGCCTTCGGTTTGATCTGGCTCGGCTTTGCATGCAAAGCCCGAGTCGATGCCCATCTGTTTGGTCCAAGGCGCACCGCAAACCAGCAAGGAGGGATAAGCGGGAGAAATTCGCTCCGCTCTCGCCGTGACAAGCGCCTCGACAAAGTTTTTGACGAGCGTCTCGAGCTCTTTGGGACCTTCATGACCGCTTCCAACAACGTGGTCGACTAGACCGCATCGCAGAGCCTGCTTTGCGCTCATCGGCATCATCGAGCGGGTCAGCTCGCGGGCCTTTTGGACGCCACATCGAGCGGGCCAGCTGTATGTGTGCCACTCGGAGCCGTAAAGACCCAGGCCGCGATAATGAGGATTGAAGGTGGCGCCCGCAGAAGCAATGCAGATGTCTGCAGCCGTACCCAACGCCAGACCTCCGGCTGCTGCATTTCCCCGCAGCGCCGAAATGGTGAGGACGCCCGAAGGCGCCAAAATCTTCTCCACCACGTCATCGATGGCATTGATATTGGCCCAGGATTCAGCAGCAGGGTCTTCGGATCCCTCGATTACGTTGAGAGCGATACCATTGGAAAAGTATCCCGCGCCACCCATCAGCACCACAGCATGCACCTTGGGCTCTCGACTCAACGTCCATTCCAGTGCAGCTGCGAGCTCATGGCACTGATCAGTGGCAGTAGCGCCGTTGTAGAAGTCGAAGTAGACGTAGGCAATTCTTGTACTCTGGCCGGCGGTTTCGATGTCGACCCAGACTTGCTGCCACGTTCCAGGCTGAAAAGCCCAAGCTTCGTGGTCGGCAGGCGCGGGCCACTCAGGCACAGCGGCCAGCTCGAGCTTTCGCGCCAGCGCTGCGTCAGACTCGATGGCCTGCACCGATGGGAGCTTGGGATGCAGATGCTTGTCTACCTTCGCCTTTGGCCTTCGCAGGTGTGTGATCCAGAGCGGAAAGTCTGCTCCGCAATCCATCAGGACTGCGCCGGCACGAGTGGCGAGGATGGTGCCCGTCTTCGATTGTGCGGCTCGATGGGCAATGTTCTCAGGAAGGGGCGATGACTGAAGGTGTGCGCCGTACAAAAACATCGAAGGCCCAAGCAGAGAGGACTGCACTCCCGGTTGAGAATCGGCGCTGTTGATGCGCTGGACGAGTACCTCTGCTCGAAGCTTGTGGGTCGATGATGCTGTCAGCTTGACAAAATCGCGTGCCGAAGCTTTGAACAAAGGCCGTTCGTGAGTCGGGCCTCCTAGAAAAGGTTGTTGCCTAGAGACGCAGCCGCTTCTCGCCTCCGCCGATAGCTGCAGTGGAAGGTCGACGCCAAAGGGCCTGGCTGTGCAATGTGTCTCCAGGCGTTCAATGGCTGCGAAGACTGCTCGCACGGCGGCTTGAGAGATGGGTCCGCGGTACAAATCGCTTTTGGTCATCAAGGCGGCTTCTTCATTCATCTCAAACTGTTCAAAGGCGACTGCAAGGCGTCTTGCTCGTCAATGCCTAATCTGCGCGCGCCTCTAGCGGCGAGAGCCCACTCACCAATCGGTCCTGCATCTAGAGCTTCGATGGCTTGCAAGACGGTAATCGCCCAGTGGGAACGTCTTCTTGGTCGAGCATCCGGGGCAGCATGTCGATAGTCGATGAGTGCCAGCTGTTCATGCCAATTTTCGAGCTCGCCAGTATCTCCGAACAGAGCGAGGTCAATGGCCGAAGGTCCAGCGTCTCCAGGGGCGCCCTGGGAAAATTGATGCGAGAGGAACGCTCAGCTCCTCCGTGCGCGCATTCGTGGTTACCAATTCATAAGAGCCCACGCGCCTAGGAGCACAGCTTTCCTCAAGATGGCCACTCACCGGATGGACAATAAGTGTGAGCCACTTGCTGTATACTTGTGCCGGCACTCGCTTGGTGAGGAAAGGGCAGAGGATGAGGTCCGGTTGAGCCATTTCAGCAGCCTCGATCATGAGCTCTGATGAGAGCGCCATCTCCACCGTGACGGCATGGCCGCGTTCTTGCAGTGCCAGCGCGAGACGCTGAGACAGCGAGTTGTGAGCAGTGCAGATGAAGAGGATCTTCATAGCGGTGACACTCCGGTAGGGCGTGTGCTAGCACAATCCTCGGATCAGGGCGGTGTATGGCAGGCCGTCGGCCTCGCGAGCAGGCAGCTACGCGGTAAATACGTGTGCGGTGTGGAGGCTTTCCGAAGTCTGGATACACCGCAATCAAGTGAATGGCCGGGGGCTGATGTGCAGCTGCTGGAGGCAAGAAATGAGCGGGGGATAAGGTGGTGTTGTTTCGGATGGAATAGTCAGTGAGTCGTGAGTATATGTTTTGCCATTTGATCGACGGTTATATAGTTCTGGATCGGTGATGGTGTCCGGTGCACTGATCCGTCATTCACGATTGCTGGCAATCATTCCACGATTTGAGATACACAACTCCTTGCTCGCCCGCGGTGATTGTGCTCGATGCCGAGACGGCGGGCACAACAACGCAGCGCCCGCGGTTCTTGCGTCCAAGACAAACCCCGATCTCACGTCACCTTCGCTTGTCGGTTGCGACGATGACTCAGATTTGACTCTGGCAAGTCAGCTCCGGAAGGATTTGCAAGAGCGTTATACGACCGCGTGAGTCAAGAGTGGGGAGTCAATCAAGGCGTACGTTGGTCGTTGAAATGAATGAATCAAAGTGAATCCATCTGCATGCCCCGCTGTCCGTCCGCATCCTACTTAATTGTGACTGCGCATGTCATTTGCGATACTGTAAGGATGCTCCACCGGAAGACAACTTGACCCGTGAAGTCGTGACTGTTGTGTGCCCACAAAGAGCCCCGCGGGATCTCGATGCAGGGGTACCTTGCGTCAGCCAGCCTCCGGGTATGCAAGGATCTTACGCTGTGACTGTACTGTACTGTACTGTGTCTCGACAGAGCGGGCGGACCATTGCCCTTTGAAGGTCAGAGGAGGCTATCATTGTTCGACACGAGATGCGATCGTCGCTGAGTGGCCCGCTACAGATGTCTCCGCCAGCGCGGTCCGCGTGGGCCAACCAGCTGGACCCTAGCGGTAGTGGCATACATAGAGCCCTTGGCGAAGATGAGAACGGGGAAAGACGGCGAGCGGTATGCCAGGCATTGCCCGGAGAGCATTTCCTCACCTTGAGCCCCTTTTCACCGTCAGAAGACAATTGCCCCCTTTGCCAGAAAACGGGGCAGTGCAAGGGTGAGGAAGTCAATGGAGCGCGAGGTTGATGCTGTGTCGTGGTGCTACGCAATCTTGAGTAATGACCCGTGACCAGCGTCTCTTGATGATTGAAAGGAAAGGCTCCTTGCATGCTTAATTGACGGAATTTGGCGTTCCGCCAGCGACAAATGGAAGAGAGGCACGGACCAACTCGCACGCACCCTTGCCCCTGCCGGCACGCGCCCGTCCGCCATATTCTTCTGTGTCGTAGACCCTAGCTGTCCCTACACCTATCTTTGCTGCTAACAAACTGCCTTGCCGATCATAATCACATCGCTCGCACATAGTCAGTTCTTTGCAAGGCGTTGGGGGCATCCCTCAAAGCTAAAGTGTGGGTTTAGGTCACGCAATCGATGCACATCAAGACCACACCACAAAATGGCGCTGCCTTGCGCATTTCTTTTATGCCATGCGCGTGGATGACTCCAGAACGTGCCCTTTGCAACTCAATGGAGCCCTCATATGCGTTCTTTGCGTTCATTCGCGTAGTCTTCAGACTGGCCGCTGCCAGAGCAATCGATGCGTACGGGTCCTCCGTAGTCTGCTAGCTGACACCGGCCATCACATCGATCGATCCCTTCCTGGCAATCTTTTCCGGGTCGCGAACGCTACAGGTCAATCCAGAACATTTCTGTCCAATTGCACCGCGGCCCATTGATGTATGTGCCTTACTTGAGGAAAGACCGATGACCAAGCCATGTCCCATCCCTTTATCCCCATCATTCATCCCCATCATTCATGATTACATCCCTTTTCATCGACCTTGATGCTTGACTCTTTCATGAGTGCTGCATGGCCTAAGCTCAATCGAATGGCGGGGCACCGCAAGGAGAGCAAGGCAAGGGCGGTGCATGCAGAAACAGGTGCGCCACAATCTGCAACGGGGCTCACAGCATGCATCTGATGATGCAGGAACTCCCCTTGCCGTTGGCGCAGCAAGGAGTCGCGGCTTGCTCGCGTCCACGCAAGCCATCGTGCATGCCATCTACGGTAGACGTGCTACGGCAGACGAAGACGAGGTCAGATCGATCCAGCTCCTGCTTGTATAGCTGCTTTGCAGCATATATGGTGTGCTCCCTGGTGCGTCAAGACGAGACTAATGTCTGGTGCTGGGCGGCCTGAGTCGTGCAACAAGACTGCGTCTATCACGTGATTCGTGTAGCAGGGTGAATCGTGACTTGACTTGACAGGCGACCTCTTACTTCCCAGCTCAAAGTCGTGGGACCCAACACCGGGTACGATTTGTGGGCCTCGAGGCATGGACTTAGCTTCGCCTGGTCTCATTCACTATTATGATTCAATGACTTTGACTCTACCTGCAGCTCATCGCCGTGGGTCCTCAACTCGGCACTCAGGCTCTCACGTCTTGGGTTTGCGCGGGTACCCTTGCGAGGCAAAGGTCCGCATGTAATTCTGCTGGCCAAGCACCAGGTGGATAGGTACCGATTCCAAATATGGCAAGTCGCGGCCAAAATCTCGTCACGTCGATCGCAACATTCGCGCGAGATCAGCTGTCCCGAGGCTTGCTCGTGCTGTTCCAATTACACCAGCTAGGCTTGCAGAGGTAGACTGGCTTCCAAAATCGGCATACCTCACCCAGCATGAGGAATCCATGCCAGAGAATTTGGCCTCCAACAAGGTCCATCTCAGCTGCATGACATTGCTTTGGAGAGGAGGATGTGTATGAATTCAGGTTGCTGCTGTCAGCGTCCAGCACCAGCAGCTTGTGATTAGGCTACACAGGTATGCAAAGACGATGTCCATCAAGGCTTGCCATCGTCGGTCGCAGTAGATGCACGGGCGTGCGATTGTCTCGATCGTTGCACTGCAAAGTATGGCTTTCTTGTCAGCGCAACCACGAACAGTGTGAGTCGCACAAGCCGAGAAAAGCCAAAGCTCTAAGTACGGGTGACTAGACAAGCGTGCTCTGGGACGTAGCACGACGACGCTGGAAAGCTGGCTTGTGTTCCTCAATACTGCGACGGTGATGTGTGTGCTTGTGCAAGACTTTGAGCGGACGAGTGCCTTTGCTCAATTGCGTGAGTTTCGTCGTGTGAATGTAAGACCCGTTTGGCGGCTTGACGCTGCGCTTCGTCTTCGTAGGGCTTGAAATTTTTGCGGCAGGCTTGGCACTCGTAGCGCCCTGAGGCGAAGCTGGGCAAGTCCAAGGTGCCTTCTTGTTCGCCCAATACTTGACATTCTGCACCGTGCGCCAGTAGCACTTGTCGTCGACCTCTGCCCATTCTTCCTCACCAATGTCGGCGACCGGATCTTGCTTGGGCCAGTCCGAGCCAAAAAAGCGAGCTCGGTCCTGGTAGTAGAGTATGCCGCCTTTCTTGTTCTGAAGCAGCCAGTTCGTGCCATCCATCGTCCAATCGACGAGTGTCTCGTCGAACCCAACACCAAACATGCCCAAGTGGTAGAATTGTGTCTTGCCTACGACGAAACCGGTCGAGACGCCTTTGCTGTTCCACATTTTGGGGTCGAGGGAGTCGTCCATATACTCGCTATCGAGGAATGCGGTCCTTGCCATCGAGTCCCAGGGCCTAGCTGCGGGAACGGTGCCTTTGCCGATGACGCTCTCAGCGCCGCCTTCACCGCCAATCATTGCTTGATTGACGGCCAGAGCACCTCCGCGGTTTCCAGACCACGCGGCGATGGTGCCTGCCCTTCGGGCTGAGATCATAGGCTGCCACATGAACATCTTTCCGCTTCCTGGAAACGTCGCGAGGTGAAGTTGCAGTCAGCGTGTCTCACTTCCCTCAAATCGAGGCGGCTGGGCGCGCGTGAGGCAGGGCCACACGACTCACCGACCAGAGTGTCTTGCCAGCCAGCAACCAGTCCCGCAAGCCAGAAGCATTCGCCGTCACACCTGACGGTGTGCCTCCATGCTATGGCCCAGGTGTTGGAGAACAACACCTTGGTGCCCTGCGCAACGAAGAAGCTTGGGCCAATATGAGGAAGATCGGCACTGGCGGATGGAGCGGCGCCCTTCTCGCCGGGCTTTTCGGTCAGTGCAGCGCCCGGAGCGGGCTTGTTGCCGTTGGAACTGGTATTCGGAGCGGTGTTCGGAGCGGTGGTGGGTTTCGAAGCGTTTGGATCGCCTCCAGCGCTCGCATTAGTCTTGCCGTCCGCATTCGGTTCGGCATTGCCACCTGCGTTGGCGCCTGTCTTGTTGTCCGTTTTACCATCCGCATTGGGAGGGGCATTGTCACCTACATTCGTGCTCGTCTTGCCGTCCCCGTTCGGATTGGCATTGCCACCTGCGTTCGTGCTCGTCTTGCCGTCACTTTTGCCATTCGAGCTGGGAGTGGCGTTGCCATCTGCGTTCGTGCTCGTCTTGCCGTCCGTTTTGCCGTCTGCAGTTGGAGTGGCATTAGCATTCGCGTTGGGCGTCGAAGTTGGTTGGCCAGTCGGGGCACCGTTAGCGCTAGATTGCCCAGCAGGAAGATCTCGCTTGACGGGCGTCGCATTGATAGCTTCCGTGTCCCTCTGATTCCACACTTCGACGTCGTGAATGGCAATCGTCTTGCCTTGGGCGTCAAAAGTAAAGACGGGCGTCTCGTCCGTCGGTGCGGCGTGAATGACGGGCCAAGTGAAGCGCGCAGCTTTGCCCGCTTCTTCGGTCCAGATCAACTCCCCTAGCAGCGTGACGGAACGCTTGACCGCGTACTTGGCGTCGAAGTTGACGTAGCCGCTGGATTCGATGTCGCGCTGAGAGATGAGGATCACCGGTGCTGTACCAGCCAGAGCGGCCGTCAGTTCGGTCGAGTTGTGCACGACGACCGTTCCTTTGGGACACTGAGCCAAATCAGTGCCGCCCTTCTCTTGACACGCTTGATGCTTGCCAGCACCGAGCACTCCTGAAAAGGTGGTGAGTGCACATGACACCAAGAGGAGCAAAGACGCGCGATGTAGGGGACTCCAAGGCATTCTTGATGAGATCGCAAAGTTTCAAGGAGCGTGTTCGAGCGGAGAGCGGACTAGGGCAGGTGTCTGATGCTATCACGGGAAGCGACGACGACGGAGATTGGGGGCAGTGGTAGGGATCGAGGCACACGTCCACCGTTCGTCCAAGTGACAGCTCCCTTATTTAAGCGGGAGACCGTGCTAGGGCTAGCGCTGAGCGAAAGGGCGTTGGCGTGAGCCGCTGATCAGGGCCACGGCAGCAAAGTACGGTCGGAAATGGGGTCCACCAGTCTTGAGTGCTGCCTCAAGTGGATCAAGAAGCAAGGAACAAGTCAGGTGTATATATATATGAAGGCTACGCTGCTTGCGGACCGCCTGCTCTGCGCAGACTGCGCCAAAGGACTGTCCTAATGCAGCGCGTTTAGGAAGCACAACGACCGCGACTTGCGAACTGCTGGCCGCCGTCATTCGGCACACTACGACCAGGCGACTTTGAGCTACCCTCCCACGGCATGCCTGGGTCCATGATACAGATTGTCGCACCGGATTGTTGGAATAAGTGGCCGTGAGGTGCTGACGCCGATCTGCAAGACGTTTGCTGCTCGCGAGGCATGAATGACGAGTGCCCGCTGCAGGGTATACAGCAGCATCTGCTGTATGCCAGCCGGATGCTGACACTGGTCACTACGACGCCACTCACGACTGCGCGACGTGCGACGGAGGCAAGGTAATCTAGAAGCGAGGTTGGTGCGCACAGCATTGTGCAAACCCTCTCCTTGATACGATACAAGTTCGTGCTTATCGCCCATGGTGGCGTTGAGGCTCCGATTGTTTAATTCGTCTACGCGAAGGGGCCACTTCCGCCTTGCCAAGCTTCCTTGACTGCTCGCGCTCGTCGCACTTGGCGTTGCCAATGGTGCATTCCAGTGCGACAGCGTTGGAAGAACGAACCGTAAGGCCTTTTCTTCCCGCTCAAAGCTACTTCTGAACCGACTTCTATATCGGTATCACTGGCCGTTTCGAGCCATGTATTTGGCGCAGCGATGGCGATGGGTATCTATCGTAGCAACCGACCGCAGACGGCAGACACCCTGTTACCTAATCCCGGCTTGGCCCGGCTCGGATGCCACCCAGCTAAGGATTGGTGAGCCAACATCGTAGAGCGACCGCACTTTTGCTGGGCTGCGTTCTAATGCAATTGTAGGACCTGCCAAGAAGCTCGATCTGCGTTGCTTGAGGTCAACACCACAACCATACACTCTACCGACAACAGGTCGTGATGCGATGGCTCTTCTGAGAGATTTGGCTGTGCAGAATGAGGGTGTTGCTGCAGCATTGGCGCTGGCAATCATCAATGGTCAGCCACTGATGAGGTATGTATGCTGCAGCAAGTAGGGTGGTCTGCATGTATGCCATCGAAGAGAGGCCAAGATTTCAATGTTTCCTATCCTCTTGACGGGATTGGACGAGATGGAAAGGTCGCACCACAAGCACTACCGAGTTCGGAGTGGAGCTCAGTGACTGAATGAGGGCCCTCGGCAACACGCTTGGCGCACCGTATGCTTGAAGCTACTGCTGTAACGAGTGCGCACACACGCATACAACAGGATTGATCTGCAAAGCATTGCATTGCCTTGCGACGGCAAGGAGGTGATGCCGCCTCCGGCTGTTGGATTGTGTGGATGTGACGATCGATTGGCCTTGAGTCTCGGTGGAAGACGCCGGGCGCACTTTCATGACAGGCGCGCATGCGACCACCAGCAAAACGAACCGGCGTGTGCTTCTGTCTTCTGTCAGTGTTGGCGAGCAAAGTTTGGCAGGGTATGCGATGTGATGTTGCCACTGGACGCAATGTTGTAGCAATTGAGAAGTTACTATGCGGTGCCGTAGACGTTTTTTGTCGCGCTCATGTTGAATGCGGCAAGGATCAGGTGGGGCCAAGCGTCGTGCTGGATGGAGCTGCCTTCTGCTGTGCTTAGTGTCACGAGACTGTGCTGGAATGATGGATCAGGTTGCGGGCGTGGTGTCTGGGCCCAAAGGTGAGACTGCACTCACTCTATGAGTCGCATCCACTTGGCATGTGTCAACCCAGCTTCCAGCAGACACTTGCAAATCCGCTGCCGCCGACTACTTGTCCTTTTTGTTCTCCTGCTTGCCAGCAGCTGCGGATGCATCGACTCTCCTAGCGTCGGTCTGCGTGGCCTGTTCCGGTCCTTGATCCTCCAAGAAGGCCACGACGATGTAGGCAACAAGGACAATGTTGACCACCAACGCTGCTATGCCTCCCGCAAATGTCGTATTATCTTTGGACAGGTGAGTGATGGAGACGTAGTAGGCGGTGAGAGGAGCGGCAAAGATGAAGAAGGAGAAGAGGGCAAGCTTGTAGTACACTCCAATTGCCGGATCCTTGCCGCGAGGAGCCACGTTGGACGGTTTGACATCCATCGTGGTGACGATTCAGCGCGCTTGTCTGTTGACTGGCTGGATCGAAACAAACGCGCGCACTTGTGATAAGACTGGTGACTTGTCAGTCCTGTGCCAGACAGAAAGGCGAATCGCGAATAAATCACAATCACGAATGATGAAGACCGATCTGTTCGTGAGCCAGAAGAGTCGACAGTTGGAGTATAGCGCGCTGCTGCACGGACAAAGATCGACACAACAGGCCGTATGAAAACGCCGCCACACTCACGCAGGCGCCATCATGCAGGCGGCCGCTCATTCGTGGTTAGGAACGATCGGTGTAGAGCGCGGGCCTCCTCCACATGCTGCTCCTATACACTCACGACTGCTGTGACTGCACCCTCGTCCTCATTGCACTGCTCACCCATTCACGATTTTACGCATCCTCGCCCAGCCGTCATCCTGCCAATCGATTCCCATTCACCTCGTTCGTGAGCGTCGCACTGGATTCGTGCGATCCACCAGCTCGGGGTTTCTGGACGCTTTTGATGCGTGAAGGCGCACACGATGGACACGCAGGCCGGATTCTTCTACGAGCCTGGCGTGGTTGAAGCAGATGCGGGACCATCAACTTCTTCTCTCGCGCTCCAATCAGCGTCTCAGCCTCCTCAGCGTCTCACAGCCACGCAGTCTGCGCGTTTGAGAAATTGGCTCGAAGACTCACTTGGCGTCTTGCATCGAGGTTGGCAAAGAAGGTTCGCCAAGAGCGGAGAGAATAGGTTCGTCACGCTGGACCAGTATCTCGATCAAGCGCAAAGCATCTTGAGCGTGCTGGCGCTCATACCGCAACACTACGAAGGTGCGAGGAGGAGGGAGGAGGTCAAAGTCCCTTACTTGCTGAGAACTACCAGTGAGCTTGTCGAGGGAGTTGTTGGATATGACTTGCGGCCGTACAGGGAAGAGGAGGAGCATACACCCACATCGCTCAACTACAAGGACCCGGGAGACGCAGCGAACGCTCACGATGGAGCAGGCCACTCAACGGCTCCACAAGTTGGCGGCACGCCGCTACCGATGCAGTTTACCTACGTTCTCAGGACGTTCGCCCTGCTCGATGCTCAATGGGTCGCGCTTCTCGACGGCAAAGACCTAGACTACAAGTCGGCCCAGGCGCGCAGTACGCGCAACTATCCGTATTCTGGCGATTTATACGAGTTCAAGTCGTCCGATGACACCCTTGAAATGGGTGAGGAATGGCACGCTTCTACACTCACGGGTCGACATCCAAGAGCGAATGCTACCGCAAGTCATGGCGCATCTCAGCGCGCGACAGGGAATCTGGAAGGAATCAGGGCACAGAGCGGATCGGGCAGAGCGCTCTCACAGACGGACAGAGTGAGGCTGAGAAATGTGGTCCTGGATGCAAGGGCTAGATTCATGCGTTGGATGAGGTTGGCTTTAGACGCAGAGATGCTCGATGTTGAGGAAGAGAACGCGCAAGAGGACGAAGTCGAGGAGAGCGAGCGGCGTGATCAAACCGAAGTTGGACATGCGAAAAGTGCAACTTCTGCTGCTGCTGAAGAGGTTCACGAAGCTGCCTGCGATGAGCAGCCAATGACTAACGCTGGCACGGAGGATGATGAGGATGAGCTGGATATGGAAGAGGTTCTGCCTCAGTCGCGCACCGAGAGTAAAACCTTCTCATTGGATGATGGCCCGCCGCCGATCATCGATCGGTCTCATGAACTCCGAGCGATGGATTCACTTCAAGATACTTCTGTAGAAGGTAGACACTTCGCAGATTTGTTTGCTCGAAAGGTGCGTCCCACGCGGCTGCTCGAGCCGCATTCGCTTGCAAGAACAGTGTGTGAAGGACGACTAATTCGAGACATACCTGTGATACTCTTCTGCAGCTTGATCCTGATGCGGATGAGGAAGACTCGGATAGCGAAAACGACGCCTCGCATGCAATTCGGTCGGAGACCAGCCAAGAAGATCAAGGCATTTCTTCGAGGCGCTCTCATACATCACCTGAAAATACATCTCAGACTGGTGGCGCTCCAAAGGTGGCATCCGAGGCACCTCAGGAGCGAACAGGTGCGGAGCCGGCAGACACGGGCGTCTTGATGTGGGAGAAAGCGTTCTCGCATTTGATGGCGGGAACGCTCAGAAGCTTGTCGGAAGGAAACGAAAGGCAGTTGGAGAGACTCGAAAGGGAGAGAAATAGAGCTGCTGGAAGGCCAGAGGATGATTAATGTATTTGTACGAGCAAGTTGTGGTAGGGTCCGAATACGGGTCTGAATGATTGTGTGTGTGCGGGAACCTCGACGACGCCTTCGGTACAGGTGGTATCTCATCGATCTAATTCCATGGTCTTCAGTCACCTGAGTAAGCAGGTGTGAGTGTCTAGTCCGAGACTCAAGCTTATGGTAGATCGGAGATTTGAAGTCCAGCACAATCACAGATCAATCACGATTACAACAGTGGCTGGGACGGGGGGGAAGGAGAACTCATGACTGAGCTCAATCACGTGAAGCCACGCGCGCCGCGAATACTCACACCAGCTGCACCAGGTGTTGATGTCACGTCCGCGGGCCGGGCAGCAGCAGCTAGGCACAGCATCTTCGCGCGTAATTGCCTGCAGCAGGCAGCATGTGTGCGTGCAGCCGTCTTACGCTACAGTACACAGCAGCGCCATATGCAGCGGGCAGCAGCAGCAGCGCTGTACGGAGGGCGCAAGCTCAGCAGTATCACGAACGTAAACGATTCAACCTCTACTTTGACTTCTGGGTAGCGCCTATAGCTGCCACAAGGCGGGCCGGGTCCCCTGGTAAGGGTGGTGTGGTGCATATAGCATGCCTACGGAACATCAAACTCAGACACCGTTGATTTCTAGGTTGGACACGAAGTTGCCTCTTGGAGCTTGGCATGTCAAGGCCTCATCATCGATTCGATCAACTCGCCAGCATAGTCAGTCCTTCGCTGTTGAACTCTCGGTCTATAGAGACGTCGATCTTGTAGAAGCTTTGATAACAAATTGGCACCGCTCATTCGATCGACGCATCCCACACTTCACTCAGGACTCTGACTGCTTCAGAGAGTCTCGCCCCACATCACACGTCCCAGGCTCGACTGAAACGTTATCTCTTTCACCGTAGCAAGCCCGCGCGACTACAACAAGCCGAGGGCTTAGCGATCGGCTCTCATCTATTCATTTCATCGCCTGAGGTCGGACGGCTCCCCAACACGAGCTGTCTTGCCTGGCTAGACCTTCGGCGCTTGAGCGTTCATAAGGACCTAGCGGCCAGCACGTCTTGAGCACCCACGGCCTTCAAGAAGCACGCAAGTTGCAATTCTGACGAGCGGCGCCATCAGTGCCTTCGTAGGCGCCGGGTAGAAGAATGGCGGACTCATCCATCTCTGTGGCCGGTAGGTTGCAGACAAAGACCCCTTGCAAGCGATGGCTTCTACAAGCTGACCCACGAATTCGTTCCGTGCCCCCAGTGCGCATTCGACCCTTTAGCGCAAAAGAGGCTGCCCAACTCGCACCAGAGGATCAGCCGGCCCCTTTTCTAGGTGATGGAGGTCTATCAGTAGGCTCACCTGCCAAAGCTGGTCCCAGCTCGGGAGCTCGCACGCGCTTCTTGCGTCCTATCATACAGCCAGTTGACGACAAGGTCTTGATCTTCGATCCACCCGACACTAACCCCATCTCGAGATTGCACTCGAACTCGTTTGGCGTGGGAGCAAAGAAGTACAAAGATGTGAGGTACGCGTTTGATCGTGTGCTCGACCAGCATGTAGGACAGGAGGAAGTCTTTCAGGTCACAACCAAACCCTTGCTGGATGGTATACTCAACGGCTACAATGCGTCAGTGTTTGCCTACGGGGTGAGTCTTCGATCCGTTGCGTTTGAAGCAAGATTCAGCACTTTTTTACATTGCGTCCACGTCCTATGTATCACCCAAAAGGCTACAGGATGCGGTAAGACACACACGATCTCTGGCAGTCAAACAGATCCAGGAGTCATCTTCCTGACGATGAAGGAGCTGTATGCCAGGATCAACGATGTCAGAGAAGAGAGCGAAGTGGATCTTCGCCTGTCTTACCTCGAAATTTACAACGAGACCATCCGCGATCTTCTCTCTGCCGAGCCGACGCCCGCTGCTGGAGGAGGACTGTCACTACGGGAGGATAGCGCCAACAAGATCAGCGTCGTCGGCATCACCGAGTTGACTCCTGAAAGTCCAGAGGACGTTCTTGAAGCCATTGTGGAGGGCAACAAGCGCAGAACGATGAGTCCCACAGAAGCAAACGCAGTGTCTTCTCGCTCGCATGCTGTGCTGCAAGTAAACGTCACTCAGAGGCCCCGAGCTTCCGGCATGACTACAGAAACAACCAGCGCTAGTCTGAGCATCATCGACCTGGCTGGATCAGAGCGCGCCTCTGCGACTGCCAACAGTGGCGCTCGCATGAAAGAAGGTGCCAATATCAACAAGAGTCTCTTGGCTCTCGGCAACTGCATCAGCGCCTTGTGCGCGACTGCTGGCTCTCGACGAGCACACATCCCGTACAGAAACAGCAAGCTGACGAGACTGCTGAAATTCTCCCTCGGAGGTAATTGCAAGACTGTCATGATTGTGTGCGTCTCGCCTTCTAGCGCTCATTACGACGAGACGCACAACACCCTAAAGTACGCCAACCAAGCCAAGAACATCAGGACCAAGGTCACGCGAAACATGCTCAACGTCGACAGGCACGTTGCACAATACGTGCAAGCCATCCACGAGCTTCAAGAGGAAAACAAGGAGCTCAAGCGAAAGCTTGAAGAGCGCGGTGTGCTGGAAAAGGAAAGCGAGAAAAGAAAGCGGGAAGAGGTTGCGCGAGAGCTGGACGAGGCTAGCAAACGTATGCGCGATAGCACAGACAATGTTAAGCGACAGATCATCGACAAGGCTCACTACCTTGCTCAGATCGACGGTGCGACCCGGCGCTTGGTACCACTGCGCAGTGCTCTCTCGCAGCTTCCTGTCGAAGAGCAGGACGGATCGGCTGAAGCTGCTGCTGAGCGAGCCTTGCTCACCGCGCTCATCATCCGCGTCGAAGCCAGGGCCAACGATGCTGCTGCTCTCGAATCGGCTCGCACACTCGAGAATAGCGTTCAGATGCACAAAGGAGTGGTACACGCTGCTACGCACAACTACAAGCTCGACAATGACGCCACGTTGCGCATTCGCGCCCAAGGTGACGCTTTGCTGCGTGAAGTAGAGACCGCTCGCGAGACAAGGCTCAACGAGACCCTCAAGCAGGATATGGACGTGACTGCTCAAGACTTTGCGCACGCTATCGCTGCGGCAGCACGAGCTACAGCAGTTCTCAAGGAGGCGGCTGGAGAGCTTCAATACCGCTCTACCAACATCGATGACGCCAAGCTCAATGAAGAAGAGAGCATCAAAGATTTCCTCGCTCGTCTTGCAGCTTCTCATCGGGCTGTTAGCGCTGTCAACGACCAAGCTTTTGAATCGTTTGTAGGGGCAGTTACGCCTGTCGTCCACCTTGCGCCGCCTGAGAAGCGCAGGATCGTTACAGGTCTGCGCCCTCAACGTCGATCCAACCGTCCTAGTAATGCAGGGCTCCGCTCGATTCCAAACATCGCCATTTCTGGTCCCGTGCCATCTGGCTCGCCGGGTCGAGGACCTGCTCGCCGAGCCCGCCAATCGCTTGCATTGCCTCGAATCGCTGGCTCGCCGTCGAAAGCAACAAGAGTATCAACGGCTAGCGCATCTTTGACTGCTCCAACGGCGGCGAGCATGGCTAGAGCTCATCTGGTAGCCTCGCCTCGCAAGAGGGGGCGCACGAGTGCTGCCGGTTCGAGGAGACAGAGCTTCTTGGGACCCAACCGAGCTGCATCCCGGCCAAGCAGCGCACTCCCTATCGCCGTGCCAGAGAAAGCGAAGAAAGCATTCAGATGGGCAGATGAAGCAGGAGAAGGATACATCGATGATGCTCGTCATTTGCACTCGGTGCTCAGTGCCGCAGGCAGCAGCAGCACGGATTCGCAACCAGGCTCAAGCGCCGACGGCAACAGCAGCCCGTCAGCGGCGCACGCACTTGCGCAAGCAAGCGCTGCAGAGCCAAGTTCAGCGATTTCCTCAAGCCCAGAAGACCCAGTAAGCTCGGGAACAGAATGGGAAGATGAGCTTACAGCGTTGATGGGCCCTGCCGTATCTCGTAGGACGACGTCTGCTGCACCGCGCCCGCCGGGCATGCCAAGCAGTGGCACATCTGCAAGCATCTTCGACCGCAACGCTCTCGCGCGCAGAGCCGCAACCAATGCCGCGACTGCATTCAATGATAGCCCTACCGAGCAAGACATTGCACGTCAAATGGGCTTGACCTTTCCCTCTTCTTCGACGATGGGTGCAATTCCCCGCACTCGTACCTTTTCGGTACCTGCGCGTCCTGACGTCTTGCCACGTCCCTCGCGCGCTCCGTTCGCTGAGCTCAGCGTGCCTTCGCAAGAGACTACGGAGACAGGAGCGGTGCGCTCGAGCCCTTACAAACGTCCCAGAGATAGCACTGTGGGACCAATTCGAGCTCGAAAAGGCAAGCGCAGCTCTCTGCCCCGTCTAGCTGATGCCGTCATTGGTGGTCCACGATCGAGCGGAAGTCCTCGAGTCGCTTCCGGCCCTGCCAGCATGACCCACTCAAACACAACTACTAGAATGGGTCCTCCGATGAACACCGCAGCGCGTGCCGGGCAGCGCGATGGCGGCGCATCCAATCATCCCAGGAGCACGGGCGACGTCAGCTTCCAGAGCGCAGACATGTCGAACTCCTCCGTGTCTTTCGCCGGTGTTCCGCCAAGACAGAGGACGGGATCTGGTCTGTCCTTCGGCGGCAACAAGAATAATCTCAACCTCAAATCGGGCGGTCCTCCCAACTCTTTCAGAATCACTGCTGCTCGCTAGGGCGTTTCTCGAATTGAGCAACTTAAGCCTCTGCGTTCGCGCACCATCATTCTCGTCATGTCGCTCTTTCCGTTGACCTTTCATTGCATCTCGTATTTGCGCTTCGTTCTCACCCGACCCGTGTTCCTTATTTCCCCATACTAAGCTGCAGGCGACAAGCCAAGGCCACCATTACTGCTGTCGAGTCCATCGTATCGATGCTTCGAATCTGGCAAAGCTTCCTGGTGTGAGCATGTGAACGCGTCTTCTGGGCGACGAAAGCCAGGGCGAGATTTCTTCGACGCGATTCTACAAGGATTACACGCAAGGCTCGCTTTCTATGTCTCTTGACTTGGTAGCATATCTACTGGCAAGGCGAAATGCTTGACCGTGGCGTAGCATGATGAAGGGCAAAGGTACGCCAACAAGCCCAGCAGAAACAGCGAGCAGCGTATTTCCCCATCCGAGACCGAGGTGGTGATACAAGGTTTCCCCGAGCAGGGGAGCTGCAAAGCCTAACAGGGAGCGTGTCAGGACAGAAGCGCTTAGCGCTGAGGCTGCGAGCGAGCTGTAGCACTCCGCAAGATAGCTCTGGGAGCGAGCGATTGAAAAGTGAGTGAGCAGATGATCTCGAACACCGAAGCGCGAAGTCGCAAATTGATGACGCACTTGTACGATAACGACTGATGCGGCAAGGCCGCACGCGAAGACGGTGACTCCCACATCGGCCAGCAGCTGTTGGGACTACAGCAAGTAAGCTGGATAGCTGGGTGCGTAAATCTGCAGAAGTCCATATGCTCACCCAGTGTAATCCATTGCAGGCAGACCAGCCGTACAGCAGAACACCACAAGTCGGGAAGCAGCCAAACCACATAAGTGGCCGAAACTTGCTCTCTGGAGCACACCCACGCTGCATGCGGCGAAGTTGCTGCTGGGTGAGTGTAGATCGCGCGTCCTCCCGGTGCAAGATGACATGCAAGAAGAGAGCCACTTACGCTTAAATGCAAGGATCTAGAGCTCAAGACCGCACCGATCATTGTTCCTACAAAAAGTGCGATGTAGTGCAAAGACGCCTTGTGACGGGCGCGGTCAGATTACTGACGCAGCCTCACAGCTCCCAGCCGGACTCACTACACCGAGCCTTTCCTCGTAGCATGTGCCGTAGACCGCTGGAAATGTAGTCGCCATCAAGTAAAAGACTGAGAAGCACACCCCTAGACTGGTAGTACCAATGTGCGATCAGATTTCAAAGATCCTACCCTGGTCGGCCACAGCACGACTTTACCCACCGAGTGGCCGCAAGCTGTATTGCAGGCTCGCAGCCCAAGAGGATGATGGGTCTCAGCACCACCTCGGCAGCAAATGGAGGTGCGGACCTTTGAGTTTGCTGAGATGCCGCGTACAAAGCCTTGACACCTTGCTGTGTTCGAACTTCGCCTGCACGCAGGTGTGGAATTCGAGCAGCAAGAGTCTCTGGGACCCGCAGGACTGTCGCCCCTAGTGCAACCGCGATTGCTGCAGAAGTGAGTCCTAGCTCTAGACGCCAACTACTGCCAAGCTGCTGCGTCATGTAGCCGCTTTGCAAATGCGAGTCAACCGGCGATCGACGAGGAAAGCGCTCGTACGACACGCCACTTACCCCATGATGGGTCCCACAAGCGGACCAAGCTGAGGAGCAATGCTGAATATGGACAGTGCGAGAGCCCTATCGTCGCCATGCCAGAGATCGACCAACACAGCTCCACCTGTGCCCAAAGAAGCACATGTACCTACGCCGCTGAGAAAACGAAAGGCTAGCAGCGTGCGGGTGTCTGTCGCGATGGCGCAGAGCGAATTGAAAAAGGAGACAAGGACAGGCCGACGTCCCCATGCTTCGCTGATTGGCGAATGTATGAGATCTGCGGACAGGCTCTTGTCAGCCTTCGTGAAGATGGGTGTCATCGCTCAAGAAACGCACGTGCTATCGTGAAGCTCGCAATGTACACGGCAATGATAGCGCCTCGCTGTATTCCGGAGTGGATGCCAAGATCCTTCGAGATGTATCCCAGGGCAGGTGCCACATGCGCCACGCCGACTGACAGTCCCAAGTAGCTCGTAGCGTCAGTTATCATACAGACGTAAACGCGTAGCTCTTGGTCAAGAACAAAGCTCACCTGTCTCACAACTATCGTTGCTGACCATTTTCTTGCTCGAGACCAATTTCGCGGAAGGGCTAGTAAATCGCCTTTGGTCCGGATGGCGCCTGCAATGAGCTTTGATCCTATCTCTCTGGCCTCAGAAATGCCATCGCGCTGACCAACTTGCAGATTGCCGCCTTGACGGCACTGGAGAGGCATCAAACGTGGCGGCATGTCGATAGCATCATCAAGTAGGATTTCCTGATGCGGCATTGGTTCTGTTCGATAGCTAATAGATTGACCGATTCGAAATTCTGTGGCAGCGCCCCCAGACCGGCAGCAATCATGTCCAAATTTTGCGGCCATCTCATGCCGGTGGTCTGAGGCTGACGCATCTTTTGCAGTCTGAGTTTCCACAATGCAGGGCGGCAGAGAGGAAGCAGCGCGAGCAAAGAGGACCGTGAGAGCTGCTCGACTTTGCAATGCGTCCGGGAGACAGTCGACACCGCATGAGAACGCAGGCGGAGTCGATCTGCCACTTCGTCCGAGGTTTTGAACCTCGCCGTACTGCCACCGTGGCCGAAGAGTGCGCTCAAAATGAGGTGCGGCCGTGTGGTCCTCGTACCTCTTTATGCTGCTTTCCGATGCTGTCCAGGATACGGGCGAGGTCACAAAGTGTTTTGGTTCATGACTTTGCGCCTCACCTGTACAGCCTGACAAGGCCTCGAGTGCTTCTTCACGAAATGATACAGAGCCATCAGTGCCCAGAGGCAGAGCATAGAGGCATGTCATGTCGCGAGTGGGCGTGTGTAGCGATGTTGGTGACCGCGTGAAGGAGTAAAGACGCTTTTGTCTTTGACAGAGTTAGATCGCTGCACCACCTCAAGGAGCCCGCCAGAGGGTCAGAAGACTGGTATTAGCGACGGGGATGCATCTCGGAAGTACTGCTTTTCAGGCTGAGCTTAGAGACTGCGAAGACGGCCAGCTCAGAGATTCGGCGTCGATGCTCGCTGATGTGGGTTCTACAGCACATGTGCGTCACGACACCAAAAAGCTGCCGTTTTGCGCTTAGGATAGGCGGGCAACATCCATGACTCGGTCAGCAGCAGCATCATGCAGGGCTTGTCGAGTCCCAGTCCACGAAACCAGCCACACTCCGCCGAATCACGCGTCCGCCCGACTGCACGCCGCTGGTACGGGTGGCAAAGGACCAGAGAGGTACTCGCACTCATACTTCAACGCATGGGTAGTATGACGGTGACGATATGTGCCATTTGGGGTATCAGATGTTTGACCTATATATGCAGGTCATGCGACTATTGCTGACGTCGATTCCGCCTTTCCTGCTCCAGTCTAGCTTCTTCGCCGGTGGCAAAGTATGTGATCTCCATGCCGATGCTACGAAGAGCATTTCCGTGATTTCGACTCTCATTGGATGCCAAAGCGCTGGGTGAGACGTCGGCTCGAATACCAAAGGAGAGGAGAGTGTTTCGCATTCGCCCTTCCCACAAGAGTGAGAGGACACCGGACGTGGATATACGCGCTTTGATCAAAGCCAAGAGCGGCGCAACGGTCCCGCTGCTTGTGGTGAGACCAGCGTCTCCGCTTGACTCTTCGGTTGTAATCCCAGATGATACCGGATTTGGCCGCGTTGGAGACGAGACTGACGTCGGAGGCTCGTGTTCGCGCAAATTAGGCTGGGGGCGCTCTTTTTGCAAAGAGGGCAAGTGTTCCGTTCCGAGCCCTCTGTCAGACTGTGGCCCAAAGCCCTCTCGTAATGACAGGTCTCGTGTGTTGGGTGAGAGCACCTTGTCTGGCCGCGTCCGAGGCTGCTCAGCAGGCAAGTCTTCGCGCGAGGAGTTGGCTGCTTTTACTGAGTCGCTGACGCTGCCAATGACGTCTGATGCGGCCTGCTTGATCCTTTGGGCGGTGTGAGACATGCTATTGGTCAACGGCGATGCTGCTGCTGGTTGTTGAGCTTGTCGCGCAGCTCGAAGCCAGTACTCAAAGCCGACGGTGAGCTCGGAGTCGTAGCTGTACACGTTGAAGTCGTACCTGAGTAGACGTCAGGTCAGATCAGCATCGGTGCCTGCCACACCAAGCCAAAGCACGCACCGCGAACAAGCTACAATGTCCCGGGTCATTCTCGCTGCATACGCAGTGGACAAGTGGCCCATCATGGGGTTGAGTGTAGCCGTGAGTGTCGTCGGGGGTTGCGGGACTTGATCCGAAACCCCATTGGCTTGTAAAGTAGACGGCTCTGGGAGGGTCGTGAAGCGCACTCCGGTAGAGACTGCCAAAGACGGGCATGTCTCAACGCCGCAGCAATGATCACGTTCCTGCCCGGACTGATATGTACTCACTCCCGGCGCTCTTTTCGCGAGCGCTAAAAAACATTTCTGCTCCAGCTGAGAAGCGGCCTTTGAGTCCACCGCCCACACCGCTTTCGCCTTCCCGATCATCTTCAACGCCACGCTTGGACACCATTGCCTCCGTATGTAACCCATTTGACTCCGAGGGCATACTGGACTCGCTGATACTTGCGCTGCTGCCGGAAGTGCCAAAATTGTGTAGCACTCTGAATCCCCAGAGGGCATCGAAGGCACTGTAAGAGTATTCAGTGAACCACTTTCCGGTATCTCTCTGCAGCATAAGCTGAACATTCATTCGTCCGGCTGTCTTGTCTCGGGAAAGATTCGCTTGGGCAGCATCGCCAGCGATAGCTTGGGCTGCTTTCTCGCTGCTCTGTAGGAACGTCCGAGAGGGGTACGAGCGCCCAGTAAGTAAGAAAGTCATCTCAGGAGAGATTCTGGTAGTGTAGAGCGCATCTACTCGAGCCGAAGGCACATGCATAGAGCCATAAAGCAGATAGTCTGAAGCGATTTGAAGATGCATGTGTGTGAGCGTGAGGTGCAGGTTAGGCTAAATCAGTCCTCGCCCCTCGGATCTTGACAAAGAGACCCATGCTCACCTCGAGTGTCGACGCGCACACCTCCCTGCCAGATCTCTTCTTTAGCTGTAGGTGCTCTAGGAGCGTCCAACACTCTAAAGCGGTGCGCCATGCGCTTGATAGAGATTGTTCTGCTGCTGCCAACGTCGAGTGCAGGTGCTTCTTCATCGGTCGAAGCAAAAATGTAGCCCAAGGAACCTTCCAATTGGGGCAATGCTCGCAGACGATAGGTAGTGAAGAAAGGCGGGCTGGGCGAAGCACTGATTGCAAAATTAAGCCCTGAAGGCAGTGGGAAGTCCAATACCGCTGAAGAGGTAGAAGTGAGGTGCAAATAAGAGTTGTAGGGATTCCATCCAACCACCTCCCAGTACCTTTGGAGCACGTGCGAAGTAAAGTCGTGCATGTTGACCGCGATACCAACACTCTGACTGCGACTCTTGGCTGCAAGTCGAAAGCGCACGCAGGAACTGCCTGTGAGATCAAGACCGTCCAATGGCAGTTGTGCCGGATGTATGCGTGATCAGTGATGGAGGCATTAGCAAAAGAGACGTTCCGGGGCAGGCTACCAATATTGATGTCGGTAAGTATCGGTGGTGAGGTGGCTGAAGCAGGCTGAGTTGAGCTCGACGTCGAATACACACGGCCCGCGCGCCTGGCTCTGTTGTGTGGAGTCAGCTGCACTCGTGACTTCAGCTTCATGGCGCATGCGTGCAGAGGCACCGGCGTGTCGGTCTCTTATCACCCAACACCTCCTTCACCACCCGACTATCTTCATGCTACTTGGGACTCAAGGTCGCTCCATCTTCAGACTTGTACTGACGACTTAATTTATCCATACGCCTCTGACTCCGCATCCGACACGAATTCCGTATGGCCCTCCGTCTCGCCAGATCGCACGACGATGGCTCGAACAGTCTCCATGCGAGCCTCTCAGCTCTTTCCCACCTCACCCGCTTCACAAAAGGAATGCAATCTGGCTATCCGGACAACTCGCTGCCAATTTCTCTTCCGCCCGAATCGGTACCAGATGCCGCTCCGGCACAGCCCTGTCGGACCCAGCGCGCGCTCGTAGCGACTTGAGCATTCCGGAGATGATTTTCACTTAGCGCCCATTTGATCCGCCCATCACCTAGGTATACCTTGCGCAGCCGAATCAGAGAATCTGGAACGGGAGCCAGCTGCTGGTACATGGTCCACTTCCAGAGCGCATCGCATTCTACCAAGCGCTCGACCGAACTCGCCAAGGGCTCGTACACATCTTCCTACGTACCCTCTCTTCCCCCTGCAAGAGCTTGTGCACTTCAGCCCCGGGTATGAAGTGAATCGCACTCGACCTGGGTTCAAGAGTGTTCTGGCACGACGAAAACGCTGCAAGGGCAACATGGCCGGGCGGCGCAGGTCCGCCAAGATTGTAGGTGGATGGGATACTGCCATGAGAGGTGGCGAGCTGGACATGAGCCCCCTGATTTTGGCGCAGGAAAGGGGCTGGTCACTCCTGCGCTGCGAGCAGCGCTGCTGGACGCATTCCCTTTCCCTAGACCGCCGCGTAAAGGGGATTATCCTGGTCGTGGAACTCGCAATCGGGGTCCAGGATCTTGGGATGAGAGCTTGGATCGAGAAGGTATGAGCAGCCCCTTCGGCTGCTGGACACCGCCTCGCCGCCGAGCGGCTGGCCGACAAAGCGGAAACGGCAAAGGAGGGGAACCGTCTTTGCTCGATGGCGCGCGCAGAGTGGAAAGGCATTCGAAGCAATGGCAAGAAATAGGAAAGGCTGGCTTGTGGTGTGGATCACTCCTTGACACGACCATGGCGCCTCATCAACCCGCGCCCCTCCCGCCTTCTTCTCATAGCTTTGGAATCGACGAGTTGACGTGATGGAGGGGATCCCGCGCGGACCCCTCACAAAAAGAGCAATTGCACCAGCGGCAGTCCCCTCGTCTCAGCCGGAAACTCCGCGCAAAGCCCCTTGAGTGTGATTTTACAACGTGGCTCTGCCAAGCTGGCTGATTAGGGGACCACTTGATCTCAAAGCACATCAAGAAGCTCTCTGCGCTCTTTGCGTCTGCTCGGGCGAAGTGTGCGCGGATAGTTACGAGTCATTCACAGTGACGCAACCGGACAGCCTCAAGATCGCAAGACGCTCATTGACCAAAGATCGGTGATTGTCATCGGCACATAGCTGTCTCGTCTCGTCCAATCGCCTCACCATACCACGAGAGGCATCCCGCAAGAATCATCGTGCCGCGATTCACATTCGCAGTCCGCCTGCTCGATTGTTCCTGCTACGCTTCCTGGCAGCACGAGCAAGAGGTATGCGGGTAGCATCGCTCCTGCAAGAACCGGGCCAAGGCTCACAAAAGGGCCACCGCCCTTTTGATTGGGATCCCAGTATCTGCAATCCGCAATCACGAGCACCTGATTTAGCGACTTCGAAAGGCTGTCGCAACGATAACACCGTCATCACATCTGGCCGCTATCCATCTTCTACCAAAGAGGAGTACAAGAGTCCGTTGTTTCATTGCTTACAGCGCGGCAACGCTGGAGCTCAGCCACGCCGAACGTTTCGTAGCCCGCCTCGCGATACAGCACGCGATTCGCAGCCCGCTTTGCGTCGCAACCAGGCGTGCGAGTTGGCGCGCGAGATGAATCAGACCACCAACCAATCGCGCACAAGCTTTGGCGCAGCACGATTGATGCCAAAGGTGTCTCAAAGCCGATCGTCAAGCTCACTTTCCGCGTCCTCGAGCGGAGGCAGTCACGGCGATGGGGACGGAGAATATCCCATCCGCCTTGCCCAAACCGTCAATGGGCGGCGCATCTCACTTTTGCGCCTCGCCAAGCGTATCTGGCTCGTGACATTGCTGAAGGCCGTTCGCTACATCAAGCGTGCGAGAGCCGCTCGGCGCCTCAAACGAATTTGCCGGTCTGCGGGATCGCCGCCGGATCCAGAACACTCAGAGAGAGATACCAAAGCGTTGGTCAGAATGAGCAACAGAAATAGTCGGATCTCAGCCTCACGCAGCACTTCGACCTCGCCTGTCCTTGAGGGACATTGTTCTGATTGGACTATCCCGGGGAAAGGAGTCACTTCGAAGCACACCACCCGTACAGTGCTACCTCCTTTACCAATTTTACATCAGCGTAGCTCTTTACCTACGGTGACCAGTGCGGTTTCAGGCTCAAGCATCTCGAAAGGCGATCGTCGCACCCTATTCCGAGTGCGTTGGCAAGACGATGTGTCTGCTTCGAAAGACAATCGAGCCATCTGTTCCGAAGTGCCAATTCGACCCTGGCATAGCAATTTTCGGCCATCGGTGGGAGCTCCAAACCGACCGCGCAGTGCTCGCAACTCGCCATGGGTATCGGATCTTCAAATGTGGGGCGGTCTTGAGGACTTTGAACCCAACGAACATTTACGCTTCCATACGGTCGTGAGCGAGAAGCCCGCACACCTTGACAGGCGCAGCAACGATGTTGTCACAAGCTTTGCCGATTCCATCGGCTCGACGACGAATACAGCGGCGGTCATTAGCAACACTGGTGATGACCCAGGTCGTTTTCGCTCCGACATTTGTCATTCCACTGGCTTCCGTTCCCCTGTCGCGCACCTCACTTTGGATCCCAGAGCTTTTGACATCTTCTCTGAAGATAGTGTCGCAATCTGGGCCTGATAGTCCCCGCCGCCTTTCGCTTTGTATCACGCTTCTCACTTCTCTCCAGGTTGCGACGCCTTTCAATCCAATGAAAGGACCTCGTCGGTCGGGCCTCAAGTCACGCTGCGTGCGACGGTATGTTGGGTAGACGTGCCTCGGCCTGAAAGGCTCTCTAGCGTCATGCTTCCCCACAAATCCGTTGCTAAGGAAAGTTGCTAGATACACGAGCCCAGGTGTCGCTCAGTCTCCGGACTGCTCAGTCCGAAGTGCGTCGATGCGTCTCTGTATGCAGCAGAGCCGGCTGCGGAGCCGCGATCCTTTGTTGCACGCCATCACGACCAAACCAAGCGTACTTAATTGCTATTGAACAACTCGCAGCGCAAGGACGGGAATCGGATAGTCGGACTTGAGCAATCACGAAGCGGCGACTGGGCTTTGGTGAATGGCAGCCGCGGGGAGCTGCACAGCAACTCGGCAGGGCGTGGCAGCAGCTGCTTGAGCAAACCATGCTGTGCGCGCGGCCAGAGCGGGCCCGAAGCAGCTATGAGCGCAGCCACTCGCGAGTCGTGTTTGCAGCGGCGAGCACTAATGCACGAGTGAGACAATCAATTCTAGACGAATCACGAATGTGTCCGCATGCCGGTGAGCGGTTACAAGAGGCTTCGATTGGGAGCGATCGATGAGGTATCTGTAGCTCAACAAATGATTGGGCGCCTACGTCGAATGCCTGTCCAGGATCCAAGCAGGCTAGGCGCTTGCGCAGCTAACCTCAAGAGGGCCAAGCCTCTCTATTTGACGTTGGGGACGTGTGGGTCCGGAGGGCATGAACGGGATGTGAACGAGCATAAAAAGGATCGGGACCACAACTTTGGTACAAAGCTCCGACGCTTCGGAACCGCTCATTAATCAACAGACTGACTATCTGTGATGATAATCACGTGAACGTCTGCCTGGATTCACTCATCAAATTGCACATGAGAAAGGTCCGTACCTAAACGCATGCTCATCTACATCACTCTCCATTGAGGAGCTGCGCTGATCCTTGACGAATCGACTGTCCGCTTGGGGTTTCAGAGACTTACAGGATTCGTCGCATGTATTTGCTGCCTTTGCGTCTTGAGAACTTGCCGTCTGACTCGATCTTGTCTCGGTCAGGCGGATAAGGTGGTGATTGCCTCCCGCAGCCGCACTTGGTTTTTTGGCAAGCATGCCAGAGCAAGACTCGTGGATGTGGCCGGACTCAAGACTCTTGACTCCTGCTGGTCGCGCTTCCATGCAGCGGAACGCGGCCGTCCGCGAGACTCGTGAGATGCATACCAGCAGTGGCCCAGCTATGGGCATCTAGAAAGCAAGATCTGTCCATCCATACACCTACGCAGCAACATGGTGGTACCACGTAGTCGTTGAGCCCGAGGCGAGGCACGGGCCGGTTACAGTTCCTACGTGTCTGTTGTGACCCGCTTTGCAATCAAGAATGCCAATCACAATCAGAATTTTGAACGACGTTCTGATTGGTGACACTCTGACTCGTCCTCTTCGACAGGCGAGATTCGCTAGCTCAGATAAAAGCTTTGGTACTCCGCCAAAGTCACGGCAAGACGTGAGTCGGACGTTGCAGCAAAGTGTGAGTGTAGCTGCACTCCGTGCTGGTCACACAGCTCTGCTGACTCTGCTGCCTGCTGGCAGAGCGCAGGCACAGCACAAATGGCAGGGCGGTACCGCGCCTGCACGCGTGTCTGCTGATCTAAACGTGACCAGAACCACACATGGAGGAGCGGCACGCGCGCTTTTATTGGCGCACTGCCAACAACGGCTTGAGCAAGCACTTGAAGCTTCAACACTAGGCCTCTAAGAAGGCCATTTGACCCCACTCAAGCGCACGCGTGCGTTGGCGCCAAATGGCCTCCGACATCGCTTATGCACACGAATCCGGCAGTATTGGTCGCACGCAACCAGAATAGTAATATGACAACTTCACGATATATATACGTATGCGTTCTGTGGATGCCGCGTCGGGCTGCGTGCAGTCGCGGGCCACGGGTCGGCTCTTGATCCGCGTTGCTGTCGCTAGTCTGAGTGTGGCCAGCCATGGTTTCTGGGGGCTAAATTCAGACTACTTGCGCTAGGCACTGCTGCTGCTCACCCCTCTAGCGAAGAGCTGTCCATCCTCAAGGTGTTCTAAAGTCACTGCGCGGAGTTCGGCCCCAGTACTCCAGAAGCAGCGATGAAGAAGCGCCGAGGCTACGCTTCGCCGGACGTCGCACAGCTTACGCATTGGCCGCAGCGGCGGCATAAAAGCTGCCAAGTAGCTAGCTGCTGGTGGCGCCGAAAGGGGTGAAAGGTCGTTCAGGCACGAAGGGATCCTTCCGATAATGTGGCGGTTGCCCCAGCTGGCATCCGCCAAAGCTTTCCGACTTGGAAATGATGTCGTCCGAGTGCGGGGCGACCCTCATGGGAGGAGGGAGGTAACACTCTTTGGCCCTTGTGCCGCGAGAGTGTATGCGAGCTACATGCGGTCCTCTTCTGGTCGTACATACCACTCACTTTACGGGGCGACTGTGATTTTCAGGCACCGCGCTTCCAAAGTTTAGCGCAATTAGTTGTCATGCCAGCCTTGCGCCTAGGTTGCGAATGCGATTCATGTCGCTGTTCCGATGTTCATAGCCCAGACTCTCTCCCTCCCTCCTGTAGGCGAATATGACCAAGCATCGGTGCTCTACTTCAACCGTGAATCCTCGTCCCACCTATGAGCCCGACGAGCGTAGCACGCGACGTTGGTTGCGCTGCACCGAGACGTGCAGCGCTGTGGCTGCAAAGACCCCTTGCTGTTGCGTGCGTGCGTCGCGGTGCAATTTTGCATGCTCGCGTGAACGTCAAACCGAGAGTCGTTTCTTCAAGCCAAAGAAGATTTCGATGCCTTGCGCTCACCTTGCAAGCCACCTTGTTGGTGAGCGAGCATTCGAGTCCGAAAAGTTTGAGGGCTGAGTGGTCAATCCGATGAGAAGTCCGGTCGAGCACCACTTTCATGGGTCGAGCAAATAAAAGCCAGACGTGGAGGTGGGTGTGATGTGATGTCAGGAGCAGCGCACATAATTTCTCACTTTGCCTTGAGGTTGGTCCGTGCATCAAATGTGTACACATCCGCATCCACCGATTCACGCTCCTGAAGCCACGCCTTGGCGCGGTGTTCTGTGTGTCGGGACAGCGGTCCAAATTTGTTCTCGTCACGTCAACCTTTTGGATAGCAAAATTCGTGTTCTTCTTACGATGACATATGCCCTCGAATTGGAGATTTGACTCGTCAATGGTCGTAGGCGAGTCGCATTTGGATTGGATTGGATTTAATGGTTTATCGCAGCAGCGCGCATTCAAGATTTCGTGATTGTTCACGATTGGAGCGCGTGCGAGCTTGGGTATCCACAGCATGTGTCGCCTAAAAGGCAGCGAAACCCTCCCTGTGGACCATTCCGATAACTGCTTCCAGTCACAGCGCACCCTGGCGACCGCGGCAAAGAGAATTACGGATGCATGGGACTGCTGCACTTCCGTAACTTGAGCCACGATCGGGGCGCCGCGTACGAAGTTCGCACCGTGTACTTCGGCAGCCCGCTCGGTGTTACGACTGAATACTTTCCAGGCGAGCGGAGTGGTCAGGCAGCCGGAAACGCTTGCGACGGCTTCAGCAAGCTCCAATGCGTTGAAGACTGGGCTTCTTTGGATCCAAGAATGCAAGTTGTCGGAGATGACTTTGAAAGGCCGCTACGCAGACTGCTGCCGTCGCGATTGGTCAGAGTGAGAGCCTGAGGGTGAGAGGGGTGATTGTGACGCGCTACTCCGGTCGCAAAAGGGCTGCAGCGCGCATGAGGGTCGCAGAAGTGCTGCGCTCGGCGCCATTACACACGTCTGCGATCGACAGTTTTGCTGCGTCGAGCTGCGTCGATGATCCCTGTGACGAATGCGCTGGATAATCTCCTCATTTAAGCTCCAGAGTTTGCATGAGAAAGTGGTCTGCAAGACGGTTCAGAGTCACGAGTAGTACGTAGACGGATTGAGTGGCCTAGGGTGGAGAAGGCTGCGGGAGCGACGTACCGCTTTCGTGAGAGCTCGCCCTCGGCCTACTTTACTGCTGCAGATCCCCGACGAGAGCAAGTGAAATCGCCCTCGCAAGCCCCCTGGGCCGCCGCACGTCTTGCGCGACCAAATTCAGAAGTCGTCCCTTTGGTCGGACGAGCAGCGTGCATGCGCTGCCCTGCATTCCTAGCGATCACCAACATCGATCGAGAGTCACATCCACAGCGCTTGCTGCAATGGCCCATCCGAATAGCTTGAAGTTGACCGCCCGTCGTAATCGCTACATCGCATATATGTGGATCACAACAACTTCTTAGAACTTGGCCCTTGCAAGCGCGACGAGCATGCGGAGGTGGGAGACGCGCCTATCCGTGTGTTGGACTCTCATCAGCGTGCGGTGGCGTGCTGCGAGAGGCCAGGAGCACACACAATCGTGAATCGTGAATGCTGCGTTCGATCAGCAGAGCTCCGGCTGCGCACACCAGCGCAGCGATGAGAGGCTTAAGCTAGGCACGAGTCTGCGTCGCCATCATGGAGCGCAGCGGGAGACTCCGCCTGGAGAGCAGCCAGCCGCTGCTAGCCCATTGAAATTGAGGTAGCAAAGGGAATCAAGCAGGGTCGATGCAAACCTCATGCAGCTGTTTTGACCCGCCGCCGCTACCGATCGACCGGACCCAAATGACTTCCATGCGCAGGCAGCTAGAAGATCTTCGGCTGTAGTCATGCATCAATGGAGAGGAAGAGGACGACCGGCATCGCGGGAATAAGAGCTGCTGATGCTCAGACGGGTCGCGTGTGTTCCCGCGCGTGCGTGTGGCTGTCCAGTGACAGAGCTCGCAGCTTATTCACGATTCTGTGCCCAGCAGCGGTCTGCGGGTGCGTAAGCCAAGCCGCTGCCGCTGTTGCCGATCCACGCGTGTCTTTGCTGCAAATAAGGAATCCACGCACCGCCCTTCGTGAATGGGTAGGTCGTGGGCGTAAGTCGCGAGTGACTCTAAACTCCGGTCTTCCTCTCTGCTTCTCTGCTGATACACGCGTAGACCAAGGATCCCCAGTGCTTCCACGACCCGCTGCTAGGTATTATAGTCGACTATACGTGCCTTTGCGTGCTGAAGTTGGTCCCTTGCGCCACTATCCTCAAAGCCAAGCCATCCGATGATGCTCTGATGAGTGCATATACGGGTGAGCGTGGTCCGTTCATGCTGTACCAGCTAGTCAGTGAGTAGTATAGCGAAATGCAAGGTCTAGCTAAGACCCGGCCACGGACGGAGATTGACTCGCAGCGACGACATCATCATCAGCATGTGCAGCAGCAGCATCAACAGCTGCTGAAATCACGACTCGTGCTTGAGTTTTGAGTCTGCCAGTTGCCATGGCCGCCCGCTGCTGCTGCTCCAGCTCATATGCTGCGCGCTGTGCAGATTTCAAAGGCCTGTCCCTGCAGCATCCAGTCAAGAGGTACTTTTCACCGAGCTGCGTGGAGAGCAACACGCGGGCATTTGTTACTTTGTGACGATATTCTTGCTGTTAGCGGGTCTCAGACTTGCATTTGCGGAAGCGGCGAGCGCGCATGTCAAGCAGCTGCTCGTCTTTGCCCTCGCGACAGCAATTGACTGCCCTTGACATGTGCTGCTACCACGACTTTGAGCGCTAAGCGAAGATATCGGTCTCTCTGTTGTATAGCTGTCCGTGAAGCACTCTGCTCGACGAGATAAACAGTTGGGCGTGTGAGTCCTCACGACAAGCACGACTTTGCCAGCTGCCTGACACGTCAATTGTCCTCCTGACAGCAGGGCAGCACTCATCTGGGCTTTCCTTGGGCACGTTTCACTTGTGTCTTGCACGCCTGTCTACTCAGCGCGATCATATCTATACTCACGACTCGACTCGTGCAGGATCCATCATCTCGATCAACACGCACTGACTGAAACTCAGCACCTCATCGCCGCTGCTGCTGTCGTCCCTTGGTCAGCCCTCTTTCACGAAGGCTGGAGCAATCTGTATCTCGGCACACCCGGCAGTCGCTCTATAGGTAGACTGATTTTGGTCACGTTCGCCCGCCACGCCATCGACTCAACGTGACGAATCGGAGCCACACACTGCTGCATGGGCTCGCCGCTTGAATAAGTGCACGCTCAAGGTCGGTGCAGACAGACTCTTCGGTCTACGCTGGCACAGAAGCGGAGATCAATCATCTCTCACGAGCCTGGCTGACATCAAGCTTGTATATCCCGTCTCGCGGTGTCGGTTGATCACAGGGTTCTACGACCGGCCGCTACCCGATTCACCTAGTTCATTCGTGGTTCGTGGTTCAAGATTCCATTCACGATTGGCAACTCACCAAGCACGACGCATCACGAAAGCGCCTCGATCGTCTCGCCCAAGCCCGACATTTGCGCTCTCTCGCCGCCCCGCAGCATTGGTCGCTTGGCGCAGCCAGCACATCCTTAAACGCCGAAGCTATCGTCTGCATAATTGCCGCTCAGGTCGACAGGCGTCGTCGACCATTGAAAGTTGGAGCAGCCTAGCTGAAACAGACTGAGTGCAGACAGCACGTCAGTTTCAGCTGACGCGGCTTTCTGCAGCTGCGAGCCTGAGACTTGCACCCGCGACTGGTTGTACAAGAAGTTTGGTGAGTTTCGAGGTCTGGATGGCATACTGCTTCAGATCACCTGCTTTAGCCTCAACAAAAGATGGTCGCATGGCGGAGCATCGGAGCCAACGGGTGCGAGACCATGTGGCACGCTTGAGACACGGCGGCTCGAGCGGGGTGGCCAGGCGCTACGCGCGCCGATGCAAGCTAGGCGAACGGTCGGGTGGGTGTGGGGGGAGGGGCGGAAAGGGGGGGCATCAGAAGTCACAGTCGGTGACGGGGGACTGCCTGTCAAGGGGGGCATTCGTTCATGTCTCGCCTCTGTCTGCACAAAGCATTCGCGATACACACGATGCTTGACGTGTTCCGGCAAGTCGAATGAGGCTGCCGTTCGCGTATGCGATACAGCGTCAGGCATCACATGCTCGACCAAGGATACGAGTCATCATTGTGGTGAGCTCTGCACCATCTGCATAGGCATTCACCGTTGCCAGCAACGTGCAATTCTGCATGCTCGAACGAGGGAGGCTCTTGACCATTTGACCATACTCAGACCATTATTAATGCTGCTGCATGATGCTTCTGCAGTCATGGGCTGAGTATATGACAGCGACATGCAGCTATAGGCAAGACCAGCTATGTAGCAGCAGCGCTGACTCATGAACTTTCTTCGTATCCTGACTGACACCTCGTCGTTCAGCCCACGCGCAGCTGGTAGCATCAACTGCTCGGCCCCAGCAGCTCCCACACACGTTCACGGCAGCAGTCTACGCTAAATAGTCACAGCTATCAGGAGCGAGTGATTGTCATTGTGTAGCAATCTGTTCCACCTGAATCGGGTAAATCGACCGCGAAGTGCATGGGTTGCTGGAAGCGCGCTGCAAGTGCTGCTGCTGTGCTCTTCCATCTCCCGCGCACGGGAGCTTACATAGACCGATAGCAGCGTCTCTTCGGGCACTTAATTGGCTCGACTCAATATCTGCTTCACGACTTGCTTCTTTCTTGGAAGAGCACACCTGCTAGTTTCAACTGCGCCGCGACCCGCCTGGAGCGAGACACGCAGCGGGCCAGTCGCATCACTTGCGCTCCCCAGCTTCTTCCAGCATCCATACGTACATCAGAGCTAGGCTGTTGCAAGCCTGCGGGCTGTATAGGCTGGCTTTGGGCTTGAGGGCGGATCAAAACGTGAGCGGGACGACCAGGGGCGCAGGAATTGCAGTCGCGATCGAGGAAGGTGGCCCTTGTGGCGCTGGGCGCCTGCGCTATACCCTGCCTTGAGAGCAGACACGATGAAAAGTCAAAATGTGTTCCTGTCAAGTCTTCAGGCGATGCGACGAGAGCAGGCTGAACAGCTGCAGCGGAAAGAGTCCGGGCAGCCTTGGCAGCCCGTCGGCACATCACCGGCTTCGGCATCGAGCTCACAGCAGACGCAGCAGGCGTACCAATACGCTGCCGAAGACCAATATGAAGGGGCTACGAGGTTGACGGCCCCAACCTCCTCGTCCACCCTCAGCAACGCCCTTTCGATCCCCTCCTCTTCACGCTCGGTGCCAGCGCATGATTTTGTCAGTGTAACGCCCTTACGATCTGCAACGACGGCGACCCCATCCGCGACTTCACAAGGCAAGGCGAGAGAGACCCTTCAATCGCCTTGGCAGCCCATGCGAGGAGCGCCAGACCCCTCCAGTCGTCATGACATTGGCCGTAACGATTACGACTCGACGAGTACTTACGACACCCAAGCATTCCACCAACCGACTGCTGGCATGACGACTCAAAATCAGTTCGATTCTCACGTCGATCTGGACCAATTCTTAAAAGAGATTTCCACCACCTGGGCTGTGAGTAAGATGGCGGGGCATATATTTTTCCCGTAGACCGCCCTGGCTCTGGCTGATCGACTGCGATCATCGGCCCCTCGAACGCGCAGCCAAATGACGTGACAGCCTGGCAGCCTCTCGGCAGCGCTGAAGTGGATTATCCTTCCATCCCTTCTTCCGAGGGCGACACGTTTAGTGGACACCTCTCCAGACCACAAATCGGATCTGGAGAATCTTGGTTGCATCATCGGGGCGTGGATGGGTCCATGGACGTCGACGAAGACCTCTACTCTTCTTCAGCTTCGATGATGTCTGGCGATTCGTTCTCGCAGAGCCCCATAGCACCTTCGCAACAGCATTCAGTGGATCAGCACGCCATGGCCAAGCACCTGAGTCGCTCACAGTCTCCACTCAAAAGGAGGATGACAGCAAAGCGCACAACTTCTGGTCCCAACATGCTCTCAGGATTGCTGGTGTCTCCTACAACCAGTCGACAGCCCGCGAGGCGTCGCGCAGGTACGGTTGCTGGTCCAGGGGATCAGCTTCACGAAACTCATAACTCGCAGCTTCAGGCACAATCGTCCCTACCACGACCTGCTTCATCTCAGCCGCTGCAAGACGCGGGAGTGGCGTCTTTCTCGAGCGACGATAGTCCACTAGGTCAAGAGACTGGACATCGACTCCTCTCATCCGACCGAAGACAGCCCTCGTCCACTCAGACTTTGAAGGATCTTGGAGCAGTCTACGATGCTAAGAGCCATTCTTGGAACGTGCCTGCAGAGGTGTTGCGCGTCTTGAGCCCTTCCCTCTCTTCGGAATTTGCTTCTCTCCAGCTGCAGCGCGATCAGCTCGAGCAAGTGCCGCCGGATTGTGGCCAAGAGGGGTCATATCGCGGCCTGGGTCTCATGGGTAGTGATCTGCCCCAAGAAAGCGAAGAGATGTCGATGGACCCCGTCGCAGTGATGAATCTACCCGTTGATGCCCACACCTCATTCAAAAATCAAGCACAGCAACGCTTACAGAAGGCCTCGGGCCAAAGCTGGGATGATGGCCCAGGACAGGACAGCGTCTTGACCAACGCTTCATCCTTCGACTCATCGGGCATTGAGGACTCTTTGGCTTCCTTGAGAGACGATCACCAGCGCCGGTGGGTGCACGGCCGCGATACGCCAGCATCGTCACCCGCATTCAGCACCAATCTACAGCTCCACGGGTTCTCTCCAGATAGCGCGTCGCGAGTCCGACCTGAGCACGGTTCTCAAGAACAGAGTGCCGATTTCTCTCATCAACTCCAACGAGCACCACACCCTTCACAGTACTTCTCGCAGCCCCATGCTCGGGAGCTGGAGCAGCTGAGAGGCCCTCACGATCAGTCGGCAATGACGTCTATCGGCGAATTTGGGCAGCTGTTATCAGAAAGCGCGATGACGGGTCAAACTAAGCCAGACGACTGGTCACAAACTTGGCCCAAGACGTCACTGCCTGCACCCTACAATAGCTTCGCTATGGCCCTCGAGCCCTCTCAGCAATCCGACCCAACCATGGCTACGAGTCATCACATGCCAGATCGAAACGCTGTGTCGCCCACTGTCCCGACTTTTGTACACACCTCACAGAGCGCAGCATCGTCGCGAACGAAAAGCAGTCGCACGAGAAGCCCAACCAATGAGAGAGCCGTCAACACGACGGCGAGCAGTGCATCTCTGAGGAGGCCACCTTCCACAAGCTATTCGCGATCGATGACACGCCACTCGACGGAAGGTCTCCCACCGCTTGCTGCCGCCGCACAAGAAAGACGCATGTCACAGACATCAGTTAGTCGTCGAGTAGTATCACCATCGCTGGTCATTTCGCCACGACACCGAGGCATGGACAAGGCGATTTCATCCGATGCTCTTCGCCACGGCGATGCTCACAGCAACCCGAGTCCTTTGCTTGGCACGCAGAGCAGCGGCCTCATCCCGACTCCGACCTCTGCAAGCGGCTCCATCGCCAGTAGCAGACGTAGGCAAGGTCGTACGGGCACAGCAAAGCTGGATGAGGTTAGCTCTGCTCTGGAAAAGCTTCGGCAATTCTTGGATCAGAAAGAGCCCAGTGGTCGAGGTCATAGTCGCACAATGTCTGCATTTGCCGCCTCTTCTGGCAACGGAGGACAGGTCGGGCTTGACGAGACCCAAGGCGGTCCTCAACGCCTACGACACGTGCGAGGGAACCTGCCTCCGCGCGGCTCGCTGCACATTTCCGCTGAGAGCCTCTCTGAGCTCTTCACTCACAACGAGTCTTCGAGCTCCTCCACGGCAGGCCAAGATCGTGCTGGCTTAGACAAGAGTAGGGATTCGAATCCTGAGTCGGCAACCCGCAACAAGGCGATCGCTGACCTACAAAAGCGAGTCCGCGAGATGCGCGATGAACTCGAGCGCAGTGGACCAGGAGCGAACTTTGATTCGTCGTGAAACGGCTACTGGGCCTCAGATACTTGGTCCTTCCGAGCCGTCTTCCATCAGCACTTGGGTCTCATAGCAAGCGCACAGATTGTTTTCCAACTTGACGACAGCCTCAATTTCCTACCATCGCATCCACTCTCATCCTCTGACATCTCAAGCACATTAAATTTCCCCTGACTTTGCATGGTGAGCCCTCTCCGACAAGCTATCCTCGTACCCTCCTCCCTAGTCGCTCTGGAGCATTGCGCCTTACTCGGGACGCCTGCCTGCGCGCGCCTCTGCCCGCTGCCACAACCTCCGCGACGCTTGTTCATGCTTTCAGACAGTAGTGTCAATGCTTCGTATCTCCCGACCGGCGCTCACCCTTCTTCACTTCAGTGTCTATCCAGTATTCTCAACTTTCCTGCATCACTTCAGTCCTTTCCGCATGCACTTCATTCACATGAATCCTCGTTCATCCCACATTTGGCTGCTTCTGCTCGATCAAGTACATCTACAATCCATTGCTTCATGATAGCTGCGTGCGTGTTCCCTGCGTGACGCGCTCCCGTTTTCCAGCGCAATGACGTGGATCGCCTGATTCTGGCTGGATCGTACCGCCAGTGAATGTGAGCGAAGACCAAGCGCAAGCATGATGGGTCTGAGTCAGTTGATCACGTCCCCGTGGATTCAGACATGCATTCGGTATAGATGAAGCAATAAATGTCAGCACAAGTCGGGGTGCATAGCACCCAGCGAAAACAAATCAGCGAACCGAAGGGTTGAAGAGAAACGAGAAACTGTGCGGATCCGTGACATCGAAGTGCGACTCTGCGAAGATGCAGCGCAACCCTTGCAGGCGCTGCTCGAGACTCTAGAGGTCCGCGTTCAACGTCGAGCGCTGCCAAGATTACCCGTGGGACTCCTGGTGGGCTGCGGCAATTTGCCCCTCGCTTGATCCTGCAAGTAGTCGCCGATCGCTTTCAAATCATCACCGCCGGACTTCTTGAGGTACTTGGCCAGAGTGGTGCGATCAGCATCGGGAAGAACATCTTCGAGCTTGTTGAGAGCTTCTTCAAAAGCTTCTTCTCTCGCTGCGCTGTCCTTGGAACCAGAGCCCGAAAGCTGACTGCTGAAGCTACCTTTGCGGAACGAGAAGCTCCCAGTGGAGCCGCCGCTTGGGCTAGAGCTAGCGCTGCTTCCGCCAGTCGGAATGCTAGCTGGCGGCGCAAGCTTGCTGGAGGTCATGCCAGGACCAATGTTCGGGCTTCGTTCTCTGACGGATCCGTACGAGAATGAGCTCTTCACGGGACCTGTTGGAGCTCTACCTGGGCTCGAAGGTGCCGACTTTTCTGCTGGCAACTCTGTCGGCGACGGCGGCGCATCTGAGCCCCTGCGGCCAATTGCCTCTTCTTGGCGCTTGGGCACGCCGTAAATGCCACCGGTCGAGCTGAGGCCGTAGTACAGACCCTTGCTCTCTCCACCCCCTAGGCCAGACGATCCAGAGACATTCTGTCGGTTCGGTGCTGACCCTTGACCTTGGGAAGGCCGTCGAGCAGTAGAGGTGGCTACAGGCGAACCGCTTGCGGCGGTCTTGAACGAGTCGCCACCGACGCTGCCAGCCGAGATGGGAGGACGAGGACCCATGACGCCTCTTGCGCTAGCTGGCGATCTGGAATTGCTGATTGACGATGCAGCACCCCGAGTGTCTATGTCGGGAAGTGACTCGCCAAGCTTGCCCTGGATCTGGGCAGCAGCAACAGCTCCGGGAGGCGGTGGTGGGCTCGAATCGGCAGCTACAGCCGGGCTTTGAATGAGCGCGATGCCAGTGTCGGCCTTCGCGGATGTCACGTCGAGACTAAGAGTCGAGCGGGGTGTGGAGGACTGGCCTTGTCCGACACCCCGAGGGCCACGGGGACCAGCGGATGATGGAGTAGCATCGCCGGCCCTGGAAGAACCAGTACTCGGCGGCGATGGCTGTGCAGTAGCGCTTGGGTTCATGGGCGTGACGCTCAAGCCAGAGGCTGGCCCAGCACCTCTTCTAGAACCTTTGCGGCTCAGGCCGCCGAAAAATTTGCCCCCACTCGGCACATTGGACCCAGTAGTGCCGGAAGGATTAGTTGAACCACCTCCGCCACGGCTCCAAGACCCTTTCGATGCTGGAGCATCCGCTCCCGCAGAGCTGAGGGTCCTCTCACGCTCCTTGTCGCCTCGCATATTGACAACTCTGGTAGAAGACGGAGGATCATCGGGACCGGTGCTGGTGGAAGAACCTCGTACACGATCAATGAAAGCCGGCCAGCCAGCGGCATTTGCGCTCGAGAAGAAGCTTCCAGACGAATTCGGAGTGGGCAAGGGTTGATTCGCATCGAAAGTATCTCGGTCCGCACGCGTTCCTGATTGGGGTAGAAGGGTGGGATAAGGAATGTTGGACGGGACAGAGCCAGGTGGGCTCTCTGGGATGTTCCCCATGCTCGGAGTCGCCTGCACAATCTCCTTGGCGCGACCTCCATCTCCTCGGATCGGGAACGTCGCTTCGCTGCGGATACTGGCAGCGTAAGCCGAGTCTCCAGTGGTCTCACGGGCATGACCTGGACCCGATGCCCGACCGCTGGCAAGGCCGTCCCCTCTCAATTTGGAAGATGTAGCTGGCTGAGTGGTTGCGAAGCCGAGCCCCTTATGTTGAGAACCAGGCTTTATGCCTCTCTGTTGCGTTTGATTTTGGGCTTGAGCAGGTCTTTGCACGACTGAGAGCCAAACGTAGAGTCCAGAATCGATGCTTGCCAAATCATTGGCGTACTGCGCATAGGCTCGAGCTCGTTCCCAAGGCGCCAGCTTGCGCTTCTCGATGATGGGCGAGGGGTCGAAGGAGACGGGCCAAGCGGTCGTCCTGCCGTACACTGGCAGACGGATCGCCGCCGGGTTGGCAGCTACGCGCTGAGCTGCTTGAATGTGCGTCTGAGCTCGCCTGACAGTGGCAGGAACAGGCACGCGAGACGTTGCTGTCGAAGTCAAAGACGTGACAGTTGACGTCCGGGGGAGACTTTCATCTGCAGTGGGGCTTGTGGAGGAGCTGGCGCGCGCTAAAGGATGCATCGGAGCTGTGGCATGAGCCGGATTCTCCACGGCTGAGCTGAAGGAGACGTTGGATTGATCTTCGGAAAGCGCGTCCGAGGCGGTGCTCTGCGCCCTTGCCATGCCCTGCGCTCCGCTCGACATTGAACCAGCAGCCCAGGCGCCTTCGCTATGGGGCGCTTTCGCGCTGTCAGCAGCTGACAAGGCGGCTTTGTCCGCAAGTTGAAAATCTGATTCGCGCGGAGTGATCAATCCGAGATCATTGTTGCTTCTGTTGGTTGCGGCGCGCGGCTGGGCTGTGTCGTTCGTGGCCGTACTACTTCCAAAGCTCAGATCCTCCAAAGCCTCAGTCACAACATCCTGCAAGTCCTTCAAGGTGTCGGTGGTCTGTGCTCTAGATGAATCTGTGCTGGTGTTGCCGTCGCCGGGAAGAGGGGGCAGCTTGCCATCAGCAGCTGCACCCATGGAGGGGGAGACGTGTCCAAAGCGTCGCGTGTTTGTTTGCACACTCGGGTACGAGTGGCTGCCCATGGAGTCGGTGTCAACATGACCAAAGATGCTGCCACTGTTGGACGCGCTCAAGGAAGGGCGACCTGGACCTGGTCGGGTTTGTACAGCTTCGGCATCAGGAGAGTGAGCGTGACTGTGGCTGGGCAAGGAGCCGTGAACGTCAGCACCCGTGTCCGACAGGACATCATAGCTGGAGTCGAGTGAACCAGCCGCGGCTGCATCCTCAGGGTTCAACCCGCTCGACTTTTGCCCCGGTATCTCTTGTGCACCTCGCGTTTCGACTCCTTGCGCGAGCTGTCGGCTATGCCTTCGCCACAGCGTTGCGTCTCTTGTAGCTTCATCCTCATCCGCGCCTGTACCACCGCCAGGGCTCTCAATGATCTTGGAATCATCGTGCGCCATTCCAGCGTCGCTGGTGCTGTATTCGCTGACACTCCGCTCGCTTGCGAAACTCGACCTCCCTGGACGCTCAGATGCAGGCACGTCGGCCTGAGGGAAAGAGCCAGTGGGTGAAGTGGCAGCGATCCGACCCGAATCGGAGGGACTGACTACCGCACCCCTGGCATCGCTTGTGCGTTTAGGATCTCGTCGCGGTCGATCGATGCTGTGCCTTACAGAGCTTGAGTGTGAGAGGGGAGACACCACAGCTGGACCTCGGAAAAGGGAAACTTGAGTAGCACTGGGCGAGACAGAATCTGACTCCTTGGCCAGAGTGCTGCCCTCCGCTGCTGCACCGCTTTCTGAAGCGAGCCTGCGGAGCCTAGCCCTCTCCTTCGCCAAGGCTCTGGCCTCTTTCAGAGTGCGAGGTCTAGAAGGATCATTGTCCGCCTCCGCCTCGGCTTCCGCCGCTCTCGAGGCCTCCATTTCTGCATCGTCGGTCCGGCTATCGTCCTCGCGTCCGTCCTTCGCTGCGGCATCTGACCTCGCCTGCCCTGGCCCTGGTAGACCACCAGCCACCTTGGCTCGAGGTGTTGCGCTCTCTGGGCCCTTGCTGAACGCTGCAGCGCTCTTGATCGAAATTGGTGAGCGTGCTGCCGGTCGAGTGGGACTCGCATTGACCTGACGCTTTCGCGAGGCGTCGATCTCATCAGCGCCAGTCGGTATCGAAGCCTGTCTTTGCCGAGCAGTCGCAGACACGCCGGCTTGAGCACCTTCTGGCGTAGACATAGCCTCGAGGGCGTTCACAGCTGTAGAGGCCGGACAATACTTCAATTGAGCTTCTTGCCGCATTTGACTAATTCATTCGGAGACTTGTCTCTCCGGTGCTCACCTCGCAGCATGCTCATCCTCTTTGACTGTCCGGCCGCGTCCAGCTCGTACTCTCCCTCGGCACCGGACCCATAATCGCTCAAACTGCTCTTGCTGCTTTCCAAGCCCAAGATCGGTGTCGTCAAAGCGTCTGGTCGACTTTCGTCTGGCATTGGCAAAGCCGATGTCGGGACATCTTCGGGAAGGCGCGAACGACGCTTGTCGTGAGTACTACTAGCACGAGCAGGAACTGCAGGTTGTTCCGGTGCCACTTGGAAATTCTCGTTGCCCTCGTCTGTAGCAGCAGAAAGTTGAGCGCTGGCGAATGGCGTGGCAGACGCAAAGGTAGATCGGTCCAGGCTCAGATCGATTTGTTCCGGATCTCTACCCCTCGACACGTGTGCTGGAGCGGAGGCGGGTGTGGTTTGCGAAGCGCTTGCATTGAGTATTTGGCCATGGCTGCTACCCGAAGATGGAGTCACAGAGCTGAGTAGCACACCAGTGCTGTACCGACTTTGGCTTCTTGCTCCACTAACGTTCCCGCCAATGCTAGACCCATCTGCAGCATCGTCTCCGGGCGAAAAGCGGTATGTAGTCGCACCAGCAGGAGCAGATTCCTGTCTGACTCTGGCGGAGTGAGATTTCTCAGCCGACGAGAGCGCCTGATTCCCAGTGTCCAAAGCTGTCCCAAAGCCACCATAAGCACCAACGATGGCCGTCAAGCTGCTTCCAAGCGCGTCGTCGTACTCCATATCACCCTCTGCTCGGCTCGTCAACGTGTCGGAGCCTGCGGCGGACAGACCCTCGAGCCGATCAGGCTTTGCTCCTCGAGTGGCTTTCGGTGCTGACTGCATCATTGAGGTATGGGGCTCAGGAGATGCGGCCGAGTCAAGACGGATGGGCTCTGCTACTGGGTCCAAATCGGAGCTTGGCAAGCTGCCCACCCGTCGAGGAGTGATGGGCAAATTGGTCTCGGTCGAAGGGTTCATGCTCCACGCTCCTGGAAATGCGGCATGATCCGAGTCAGCTTGTGATAGCTTGTCCTGGTCCGTCTCCGATGTCGTGCTGGTCAAATGAGGTCCGACAGGAGACGTAGTAGTGTCTTGGGCGGAAAGGAGTTGGTCGGCCGAGGGGATGGGAGCGTGCATGGGAGGCGCGCAGGTGGTGGGAGATGTGGATGTGAAGGGTGTGCGATAAGATGCAGAGTCGGTGGTACCCGCTGTGCCGCTGCTCCCGCTGCTGCTCTTGTCCTTTCTGGTGGGCGCGGGCATGGATGCCACAGGTGCCAGTCTGAAACCACCACCCAACTTTGGGGAGAGTTGAAGTCGGCGTTCGGACATTTCCTGCTTGCTTGCTTGATTGATTGATAGATCGATCGCGGGATTGTTTGGCAGCGATGAGCTCGCTTGACGCACTCGACCAGGTGAGCGAAACCTTAGCTAGTTGTGGCGTGTATGCGTCTTAATTGCCTTCATCTACGTATCTGAATAAATCCATAGATAGGTCTGATGCGCCTCGGAAGATGGATTGAGTCTGAGTTGAACCGGTCTTGCGCTGGTCTTTGGAGCTGTCGCGAACACGAGAATCGAATGGTAAGTAGCAGAGTAGATGTTGCGGTAAGCCGTCTAGATCGACTTGAATGTGTGGGGATTGTTGGCGGAGTTCAGAGATACACGCTGCTTGACTTGCGACCGACCGTGGTCGCCGATGCGATGATGAGCGCTCAGGGCGCAAGGATTCGTGAGTGTGCGTGAATGGGCAGCAAGCGCGATGCCGCGGGCAAAACAGTCGCGACGAGTCACGAGCTTATAGGAGGAGGCCCTCAACCACAGCACTTCGAGAGAGGATTCGCTTGATGCGAGAGCGCTGACTGGGAGAAGCGAGACAAGATCAAGACGTCAAGCGCGGCTTGGAACAGCCCAGATGAAGAAGTTATATCGGTCATTGTCAGCCTGATTCGCTGGACAGCAGCCCGGAGATCGACGCCAAGGCATAGCCATCCATGGCATGTACCGGTATTTGAGTGGTCGATCCATGCGTGCATGATGCTGCTGCTTGCAGCTTCTGCACGGTCCGGCCGCCGCGTGAGCTACGCAACCGCCGCTGCCCTTTGATCGGCGAGTCAGTCGATCAGCTCGACGCTGTCCGGTTCTCGGCGCAGAATCGTGACTGCGATAATTCATGTCTCCATGGTGGTGTCTCGAACAGCTTCCTGACTGCCGACGCACGGGTAAAAGAGACCCACGGGGAGAAGGTGAACAAGCACTTAAGAGTCTTCAGTCGTCATCACCTACCTCATCCTCGCTGGCGACCAGATTTGATCGGTCACCACTCGAGACCAAGCAGACTAGGCGTCATCAGCATCTTCATCACCTGGAGCGCTCGAGCAACGATTGGCTGCTTGCTGACGCTCGATTGTGATTCGGGATCACTTTGGACTGCGTTCGTGCCCGGTCACACTCAAGGAGCTTGCCTTTCAAACTTCAGCACAAGACAGCTGGTTGCCAGCAGATTGGGATTTGCCATGGAGAAGAAGTAAGATGATCGCTGGCGTTGATACTACGGCCGCAGTCATCGATCACACGTTCGAATAAAAAAGACGAACAGCTCAACATCACGTCAAGGGTGCCATTCGCTCAGTGAGATCACAGAAAGTGGAGTGAGAATGAATAGGGCAACGCGGAAGCTCCATTTTAAACGGCAACAAGGCGCATTCTTGTGTTGTCGAGGCCACGACTTTGGGTGCATCGCCATCGCCAAGTGCCTTGTTCCTTTCCTCAATGACGGCGGCCTCCAAAGTGGGGTGGGTGAGGAGGTGGAGGCCCAGGGAGAAGAGCAAAAGGTACGCGAGGCTGCAAGTGCAGGTCCACCTTGATGGATGGGAAGAGAGGTCTGGCGTGTTGTGGGGGCTTCTCTGCGTCCTTTGACGGTGGCAAAGGAGGAGGGCCAGCAGGCTGCGAGAATTGTGAATGACGAAGATCGAATGGGAGGGAACGATCAGCTTTCACAGTGCAGGCAATCGGTCTGACGTGCAGCCATGCCTGCGTGTACTCACAAAGATGGCTACACCGACTGCGTTTGTGAAGGGCGCCACGAGAGTGCAAGCTTGCAGTGGAACTTTAAGCATCTCCCGCACTCCTTCGTCTAAAGACCCTTGTTCATCGTGAGAAATTTCGACCAGGACGCGGACGGGAGGAGGAGGTCCGCGAGGTCTGGTCGAATTGAGTGTTGGCTTGTGCTCTGTTTTGGGCACATGGAGCGCTGGTAAATCTCGGTGGATGCTGACTGCCGAACCGCTCAATGAGGGGTGCAGCCAGAGGGCTGGTGGCGGACCGTGAGGATGGTGAGGACCATGCTGCACCGGAGGACCGGGAGATGCGGAACCTTCTCTCGTCTCGGTCTGCGAGATGGTCTTCTGCTCATGCTCTTGCTCGCGAGGCGGAGGTGGAGGACTGCCAGGTGGCGGGGGAGGACCATGAGGACCGTGTTCGTGAGGCAAGACGACGGTGAAGTTCACAGAAGCTGAAGAGGTGGTAGGAATGTCGTAGCATACAGCCGGAACAGGCGGAGGAGGAGGTGGTGGTGGTCTGGCATGTGAGTGAGGAATACTAGACCATCGAAGTCCACAAGGCTGAAAGTGCTTCTTCTTTGAGATGAGCTTGGACCACCAATTTTGTTGGTGATGCGCATGATGACTGTGCTTGTGACCATGACGATGATGACCTGGTCCGCTGAGTGCGTGAGGAGCAGAAAGACTACCTCGGAAATGCAGACCCAAAAGCGTGGACCCGATCAGCAGAGCGCACACCAATTGCAGAGTCAAGATGCCAAACTTTTGCTTGCGGCGCTGAGGTTTAACACAATCGTGTGCCTGAGGCTGCTGAGCGCCGAGATCAGTAGCATCGATGCCCTTATCGCTGAATGTGAGGACGACATCGTCGTGTTGACGCTGGTCGAGCAGCGGCACCTTTTCGTGTGCCGACATGGTTGGCTGCAAATACTGAAACGATGGTCGGAACGCCAAGAGCGCTGAGAGGAAGGAGTCTATTTGACGAACGAGTACTCAGCTCGAGACCCTTGCTATTTATACGTCGGAGAAGGTGATGCGCTGAGCAAGGGCGAGATGGATGCGCAGCTATATAGCGGAGTTTGAAATGAAGCCGTTGAAGCACAGACACCGGCCAGCAATCGTGAATCTTGTGAGCCAAAGCAACGAGTGCTGATGAGCGCGGAGAATGATATGCGCAAGCTTTGCGATGTCGTCTCGATCAGAGGGATGTGAGCGATCCACACCGTTGCATCATTTTATTGACAGGTGCGGATCCTCACCGATCGAGTATGTTTCGTTCCCCTACCTGGCGCTCTATCTGATCATAGGCACCGCCTGCCGATTCGTTCACCAAGGCAAGAGAACGCTGCACAGCCCTTCGGCATGCACCTCGTCAGCGCACCGTCAGACGCTGCAGAGCTCGTACTTGATCCGGCAGATAGACCAGCAGCTTGCCTACCATGCTGTTTCTTGCTGACCCCACGACGAGTCGTCGGTCGGAAAAGTTGACAGGCACAAGAGCGCACCTCTGCTTCTTGCCCAATCGTGAATGTGAATCGAAATGAGCATCTCTTTTCGAGAAACGAATTTAAGAAGAGTGGATCGCGATCGAGTCGGAAAAAGTCTTGAGCTTGCGCGGTGAGATCGGTCCTCACAATGACTCTACACTGTTGTCTGCTTTTGCATCACCCCCTCGCCGCACAAAGGAGAGACTCAAGACTGCGAGGTGTTCCTCGAGTCGACAAGTCACACAGTGTGAAAGCTTTCGTACTTGTTGCCTTCAAAAGTCCACATCGATCGAGACCACGTCACGACTCTTGGCCGTTACAGCTGAGGTGCTTGACCGAGCGAAGCACTACCCGGCTGTCCGCTGCTCTGCATTTAGCACTCGGACTCTGACTCACGGGTATCACACATCACATATATGCCCAACCTTGAATTTTCAATGCTATGCAGCTGCGTAATTTAAATCTTGAATTGAACGACCCGAGGGAAATGTGGCTGTGCATTCCCACGGCATGCTCATGCATCCCAGCTTAACGGCGGTGCACGTTGCCGCGCGTGGCCATGGATGGCGCTCTGGGCCAAGCATGCAGCATCAGGCAGGCTTGAATCATGATTGCGCCTCAACGTGATGGTATGATCCAGATTCTTGATTAAAATCTGGAAAGACTCGGTGACTGCTTCGTATACGATCAAGATCCGACGTTGAGGAAAGTCTGGATGAGGATGCGTGTTGAGACGATGTGAACTTGTTCAGATGTCTGAGCTCTGCTCCTCACAGTCACCGTCACAAGAGTGGGAACTTCAGACCAAGAGATCAGGCGATGCAATATGCTTGGTGACAGTCAATTCGGGTGTGTGTATCTGCACATGACTTCAGTGAGGCGCAGGCTAGCCAAGTGCGTTGTAAAGCCACGGGAGAACGCACGAGCACGAGTCGGATTCGCAGGTCGATGGATATTTGCTGCGACAAGGAAGAGCCTCAAAGTATCGAGGTCCTTTGGCTTGTGACGGCCGTACAGATGATGGAAGTTGGGGCGACTGGAAGTGCCAAGTCACAAACGTTGGAAATTTGAAAAAGCTGTTCGGAGCAATGGCGGCTACTTGCCTCTTGCTTTTCCAGTACCTCTGCGTGATCTACCCTTGCCACGTCCAGAGCCAGCCTGGGTCCATCCCTCTGCACCGCCTCCCAGCTGGGCCTTGATCGGCTCTTGTTGCTCCATGCTGTCCGTCTCTTTCTCGAGCGGAAAATTGTCCGCACCCTGTGCCAACTCATACTCAAAGGAGGCCACATCGAGCTCGGGCGTCTGATACGGCGTCGAATTGGCAGTGCCACGCGTGACCAATTGAGGGCTCGCAGCAGCCTGCCCGAGTTGCAGACCATCCCCTGTCGACTTGGCGCCGCTGCTAGGAAGGAAGACGGTAGGGCTTGGCGCCGGCGCTAAAGATGCATGCGCATCGTCCAAAGACAACAGAGAAGTCGAATTTTGCACGCAGGCGATGGAGAGGGCAGACTCGGCAGCTTCGGCTCTCGCCGACTCTGCAGTCAGAGCTTTATCTAACGCTTCTATCAATCGATGAGCATCTGGAGGAGATGAAGAAACAAGAGTCAGAAAAGAAGCCCCGGGTGGTCAGTTGTAGGGCAGAGATTCTCAGCGGGCGCAAAAACATACCTTCAAGCTCAGAAGTCAGGTCCTCTGAGTGCCCAGTCGTAGCATTTGGCTGACCGGTCCCAGACGTTCTTACGTCCCGGAATTGAGCTCGAAGCATCTCCTCAAGCTCTTGATTCTCCTCTTGCAAATCGTGCACTCGTTGCAGTAATCTAATTCCTAAGATTGGTTCTCTCCTGACCGCTTCATTGTCCCCAGCTTGGACGGGAGTGTCATGTTCAGCAATCCGGTCCGATTCCACTGCTGGAGAGGTTGCAAGATTGCCGGACGTGGTGTCGGTGACATACGGTCCCTGTTCACCGTCGTTCCGCCCATGCTCCCTTCGAAAAGCTTTCCAAGCTTCCTCAGGTTCAAAGCCAATGGCTTCGAGTCTCAAAATCCAAGCATCGTCCCTCTTCTTTGCCCTCTCCAAGGCCTTTCGCAGCTCTCCCGCCTGATCTTCAGCCCCAGGATCCGGAAGCTGAGGGAAGTTCGGCAGAGGTGGAAAGCGAGACAAAGGTGTTTGTCGGACGATTTCAGGGGCGCCAGCACCGATGCCTCCTTGCGTAAAAGCTCGCAAGGTAGTAGGGTGATGCTGAGGTGCGCTGCTTGACGTCTCCGCAGAGACCTTTGGATGAGCCAGTCCGCCGCCGCCGCCGAATGGCAAGGGCCTGTTTGGGGAGCCAGGCGACGCCTGGTACGCTCCGCCTCCGCGAGGTCGACCCCCATTCCACTCGTGTTGCTGCGCGTGTATTGCTGCGCTACTGATACCCGCGCCTTGCGGCCCGTGAAAGGTGGCGCCAAGAGCAGGACTGGAGAGACCACTTTGAGGTTGAGATTGTTGAGTTGAAACGTGAGTAGAAGGCGGTGGCTTTGCAGGAAGTTTCAAATTGAGAGGCAAGGAGCTCAGAGATCGAGCAGGCGAAGTCGTCGTTCCGGTCCTTGCTGAGAAGGAGACATCGGTTGAAGTGGTTCGATCAGCCGCTCGATCTGGTGTCTCCGTCCCGCCAACGCCAGAGCCAGTGCTCGGAGAGGCCGATTCCGGCGGTAGCCCAGCTTCGGATCTTGCACCAGGACTAGCACTCGTATTGTTTGCAGCGCCGCCTTGATTGTGAGCTACACCGCTCGTCGAAGCTTGCCACGATGCAGCAGGCTCAGACGAGCGCTTCGGGCCCATGTTGCGATATCCGCTGCTCTGTCTGGCGCCTCCTCTTTGATGCTGATATCGGTTTGCATAGCCATCAGGCCTCGACTGAGCGTACTGAGGGGGATGTGGATGTTGGTAGCCTTCATTCGGCAACGGCGCGGAGACATAGGGAGAGTGTCCGTACACTTGACCATATTGTTGAGGATACGTCTGTTGATAATACATTTGGTGAGGTTGAGCGGTGTAGTAGGTAGGCAGACCATTTGGATCATAGTAGGCCGACGAAGGACCTGCAATGGCATACATGTGCATGTTTCCCTGCGCGAATTCTTGTGGCATCGGCTGGTAAGGGTTGTAGGGCCTGCCTGAGCCGTTTGTGGATGGACCCATTGCATTGTGAGATGACTGCTGCATGTAGACTGCCTCGCTGCCTCCTCCATTTCCCATCTCTGCCTGCGCTGCGTGATGGTAGGCTCCATCTTGCGACTGCGAATTGAGACTTGCATCCGCTTGCTCCGAATTCGTTTGTACCTCACTCATCTTGACAGGAACTGTAGGGCTTCGGGCCGGAGGACTGCGCGTGCTACAATGAGAGGCTCCAAAGGCAACTTTACAGTGTGACGTAGCAGCTCGAACGAGTGAGCCATCCGCTTGGCAGCGTTGGCATGCGTCACAGACTTTGCTTGGCTGCGCTTTTGAACATAGAGGGAATGGTCTAATTTGGAGGCGTGTGCATTTGCGAGTAGGAGTACTGCCGATCACGTCCCTTTTGACGTATCTCTACTCTCACTGTCGTACCAAGACTCGGTGCGTCGAGGAGTGAGGGGAGGCAAGTGAGCAGTGCGAGAGTGGGACATATGGCTGACTGGATGAAGAAGGTGTCGATTGGGACATGGTGTGTACACGCTTGATGAGCCGTCGAGTCCACCTTCATCAGCAGCAGCGTGACATCAATTTTGGTAGCTCTGCGCTGGTGCATGCATCAGCAGCACGGGGCACGCGCTGCGATCGAGGAATTTGTGCCGGCTGATGAATCCGAGGATTCGTGGTTGAGTGCATGAGGCCGTGCACGCATCGATGCTTTCTGTCACCGCGGAGCATTCACATTCACATTGCTGCTCGTGACGCGCGAACTGCACCGCGTGAGACCGTCTATAGCTGATGCGACACGCAGAGAGAAGGCGAACGCGAGGGTCTGGACCGGTGCCTCCTTTCCATGCTGCTCTCTCACCATCTTCACACACACTGTACGACTAGCTGACGCGGGCGCCTCCTCTGAGACATTCCCCTCTCTGGCAAGCATCACACAACGCTCGACTACCACGCATCGCGCAGAGCACCTGACGGGAGGTGCTTGCATCGCCCGAGATCCAATCCGCGCTTCATCTCGTCTCTGCCTCGCAAGTCGTTCACTTAATATTTTGACTGTGCATCAGCAACTTACCCAGTCGAAGGCAGGATGCATCCAGCTCTACTGATCATCCTCGTGGTGCTCTTCTCTACTCTGCTCTCAAGCATCGGTCACGCTCGTCTATCCACGCTCATCCTACCCATCTGGCTACGTCTCACTTCCGCCTCGACATTAGCCGCGAATCAAAGGGCAAAAAAGGAGTTGTTGCAGAACAGATTATTACTTGGACAGACTTCGGCTCAGGATGATTTTAGCAAATGGGCAAAGATCAGGAGAAAGGTGGACAAGCTGACTCAGGAGATCGAGGGCAGTAGTGAGTGGCTTTGAGAGGTGCAAAGTTGGCCGCAGGCTCCTGGCAATAGTTTTCCGGGAGTTTTTGTAAAAATGCCAGCATGACCGTGATGCATCTGATGAACAGCGCTGGCAAAAGAGAAGGGGCATGGCCTCAAGTTGAAGTGGACACGGACTGTGCGCTGGATCTAGGGAATAGCAACACATACTGCAGCTGCGAGCGGTAGTAGGTTTTGCTCCCGAGAGCCTGCCTCCTTCAACAGGCGCGGCACCGCCTCGGCACAGGCAGCGCATACATGGCAGCTAACGCAATCACCTACTGACTGAAGACTCTCGCGCCTTTGTTCCGCAGACGCAAAGCTTCAGTCTGCTCAATCAACCTTGACGCTGCTCGTTCGAGCAGGTCTGATTGTGCTCACCACAGTGATGCCCTTCCTGGTCACTTCCTACCACTCCAAGACGCCCATGTTCTTCCTTCCTCCCGCTGCGGCCGGTACGAGGGAGGGAAGCACCTGGTTCGGACCTATCGGATGGGCTCTGAGTCTGGCTGCTGCGCCCGCTGGTAAGTTTGGGGGAGTACACGCCTGTCAAAGAAAGGCACCTGTATGCTGACTTTGTCATAACCCTCCAACGCCGCCCAGGATCGGTCTCGGCAGGTGCCTGGTCCGCAGTGGTCACTCGAGTGTTTACGCTGCTCATCTCGGGCGTGAAAGATGTGATGCCCTCGGCCTCATCGGATACGAAGAGTGCAAAGCCGACAGAGAAGCAATCTCAGACAGAAGCGAAAAAGAGCGCCAGCATTGAATCCGTAAAGGAGAAGTCTTCGTGAAGATGACGTGCTCTGCAATGAGGACATGCTTTGTAGACTTTTTTTGCGCGCCAGAGCTTCTTCAGTCAGAGGGATCAAATACTAAAGTGTGGGCTACCCGCACAGTGCGCGAGATTTGTCGAACTTGTGTGGTGGTTGAGACAATTGAGTGATGACGGTCGTGAGACGAACACGCATCTGACAAGCTTCTCTTGCGGGAGGCATGCCGAACCGAGCTCACTCGTGCGGTCGGGCAGGCATTCGAAAGCGTGGACCTGACGCGCACACATCCAACACATGCCGCACTGCATCAGAGGGCAGTGAAAGCCATCCATCGTCGAAGATATGCGGCCATGCGCCCTTCCCAATACCAGTGATTCGTGGTCAATCGCTGTATGCCCTCCAATTCGATGAGATCATGCTGGACCAGCACCGGGGGCGGGACCGGAGCCGGCTGGAATGGCGCCCTGTGCGAACATGAGCTTTTGCCTCTCTTCGAGCACCTTTCGCTTGTTGAAGTATTCCACCTGTTCAGGCGCATATAGGGGACGTGTGCAAAAGCATGAGCGAGAGCGAGACCTCGAGTCGAGCCTAGTCGAGTCGGAGACTTGGGTGACACACACATGCGCCCAAGTAGGCACTCGAGGGGCTACGAATCACTCACCCAGCTTCTAGCGCAATGTTCCTCATACCCGTCCCTCAGGTGCTTACAAGGATCTCTGCTCCGCTCCTCCTCCACATTCACTGCTCCGCGTTTCCTCTGCTCTTCAAGTGCGGCTTTCCCGATGGGTCCTTTACCCTCGTTGGTAATGTCCGTACCGGGAGGTACCTGAATACCTTTGGATGTGAGACAGGAATAATAAGCGTCGCGAGATGACCAGCAGGCTTGACGGGCTGAGCGGGTTGGAACGTTGTCGGTGTTGCCGCCAGCGCTCGTGCTGGAGCTGGCTTTTGGGGTGGAACTGAACCAACCCATCGTGAGACGTGTTGCCTCTGATCTTTGTGCGCTTGATCAGACAGTGGACTTTGTCGCAGAATCTGTGGGCGTCGGATATTGATGGGAGCGAAGAGACTGCGGTAAAGTGCTTGATATGGAGCTGGGTGGAAGCTGGGGAGAAGGCGGGAGCAAGCGATTAGAAGGGAAGTGCCTCACTCGCCACTACGCTACACTCACGACTCACACTCGGCTGACTCTTCTGTTGTAAGGCTGACTTTAGCTGAGGAAGCACGCGTACGTTTTGATCGAACTCATCAGGCTCTGGCTCCGAAGAGGCGAAGTGAGGTTGCCATACACGTGACCATATCCTCCACACGAATCCACACAGAAGTAGCGCGCAGCATATGCAAAGCGCGAGGCACGAGGGAGCTTCTTGGCTGCCGGCGAGTCTGATGAGTTGTGTGAGTGTGCTTCTGTCAGGTCGCGTGTGCAGGTTGCACCTTGCTGCCAGCCATGCAGCTAGCTATATAGCATCAAAGCTCTTGCGCCCAACACAAGACCGGATCGTCCGGCATTCAGAGAGTCATACCATCTTCACTCTGACTGGCAAGTCGTGCTCTCCCTGTGCTTCAGCGCGATTCCATGACAGGCCGGAGGCTCAACAGCATGTCGCTATCCGACGTTTCCCCAGCTCTCAGCGCTCTGCTACACTTGTCGCACATCCTGCCCATCTTCCTAGCGCCGCACACCAAAGTTGAAGAATCCTTCAGCACGCAAGCTATTCACGACGTGCTAGTCTGGGGATCTGATGCCTTTTTGGCATCACATGCCAGTATTCGTCAGGATGCTTTGAGGCGCTTCGATCATTTGGAATTTCCTGGTGCTGTGCCCAGGAGCTTCTTACCGCCAGCTGTGTTTGCAGCTATCGCTGCACCTGTCCTTTTCGCGCTGCGACTGGCTGGGGTTGTGAGGGATAGCTTCGAAGCCCAGACTGTACGTGAGTGAGTGAAGGGCTGATGCGCTGGTGGGGTTGCTCCGCGAGGAACTGACAGAGGGAGCGTGCTGCGCAGTTCGCATACTGCTCGCTGAGCTTCATCTCTGGAGCGTTCGACACCTCTACAGCGCCCTCGCATCCTCTTCGGCCCATACAGGTGCCGCGCAGTTCAAGGAGCCCAATGTCAAATCTACAAGCAAGAAGTCGAGCGCTGACGCCGTTCTGAGTTGGAGCCAGGCGAGCCACTTGCGGAATGGTAGCCTCATCATCCACTGCTTGCTCTTCCACGCCAATTTTTGGGCTGGCAGATTCACTCCCAATGGACTCGCAGCACCTGCAGGCAAGTGAAGGGTCTTGAGGCGAAGGCTTCACCCGAGTAGGGCCATGAGCTGACATGTGTGCATACAGTCAACATAGCACTGGCCTCACTTCTCTCCGCGCAGCCCTCCTGGTGGGCTTTGTCGCTCTTCGGAGCACTCTGCGCCATAAGCAGGGCTGAACTGGCTGGGATTCTCATCAGCATACTACCAGTCCTTTGGATGCGAATGGGCACGCGCAAAGTCCTTCTGGCGTCCTCGGTCAGCATCTCCTTCCTACTGATCGCTGTGCTGCTAGACACGTACCTCTGGGACAGAGCCTTCGTGACGATCGAGGCAGGAAAAGGCCTGCTTTGGGCCGAACTTGAGGCTGTGCTATTTAATGTGGTTGAGGGGAAAAGCTCGGGCTGGGGCGTGAGTCGAAGTGGCTCAGAAATTATTCTCTACCTAGTAAAGCGGGCTGACACTTGCTCTGGCTTGCCGGGACAGGTCTCTCCATGGCACTATTACGTCACACGCTTCCTGCCACGCCTGCTCACTGGAGCTATTCCTTTACTCGCCATTGGTTCTTACCGAATTTTCGCTTTGACCAAAGCGCGGATCGGCCTCTCGAGAGAGACTGGGCTTCTTGCGAGCACGACCATCCCGGCTTCGTTGCTTTGTCTCTACGTCAGTGGAGCGCACATCGGGTTGTTATCTTGTTTAGGCCACAAAGAAGCAAGGTTCATTGCCTATACCATCCCACTCTTGGTGCACGCTGCCAGTGTTGGTCTTCTACATCTGTGAGTGGACAATCGCCACAATCGATCGCATACCAGATCGACTCAATCATCAGCTGGTTGCTCTCTGCCACTCTATAGTGTGCAGGGCGCCGGCACTCCTCGTCGGCGTCGGTGGGTGTCACATTTCTTTGCGCTGTCCTGCCTTGCCGGGTGTGCTGCCTCGAGCGCTTTGGGCTTGGCAGCTAGTCATGGCAACTACCCTGGTGGAGAAGCAATGCTCACCCTGCATCGCTCAGTGCAGCAAGACAATGGTGAGCTACTCGATTTTCGGATCAGCTGCTTCATCAAGTTGGAACGTTCACACCGCTCCTGCGCTTCGTCCGCACACAGTCCACGTTCATATCAGCGTACCAGCCGCCATGACCGGCGTCACGCTCTTCTCGTCCATCCATCTGCATCGACAATTGTCAGGATCATGGCGCTTCCAAAGCGCAACCGGCGTCTCATCTCCGATACCTCCCTCACCAAGCAACTTGACGTGGGTCTACGACAAGAGCGAAAGTCTGAATAGTCTTTCAAGCGCGGAAGAATGGGACTCGGCCGCTTCCCAAAGAGGCATCACGCATCTGCTGGCCGATCGGCCGTGCGTTGAGCACGGACCGATGTGGACCTTGCTGGAAGGCTCCGAGGCTTTTCCAGAGTACGCAGGGCTGCGGATCAAGAGACCAAAGCTGAATCGTGGTGGATGGGCAATGAATCAGCTGCTTGCTCTGCTGCCAGTCGAGCTTAAGTGGAGGGACGCGATCTGGATTTGCGAAAGGAAAGGTTGGAGGACGACGCAGAAGGTAGAGTCTGCTTGAGCATTTGAAAGCTACTGTGGGCAACCTGCTCTGCTTGCTCGGCTGCAACTTCGTCCCTCTTGCACTTTGCCACTGCATGCATTATGTTATCGCAACTACGAAGGGGCGTGCGCTTCATAGGCTACACGTTCGGTCTTGTGCTTCAAGGATTTGTGTTCCTCGGGCTGCTGAAAGCCAGGGACGGGTGCGTCAGAGCGGGTCCCTCTGACCAGAAAAGACGGCAAGTCCTTCATCCTCCGAGGTGAACTCGACATCCGCTCCTATAGAAAAATTGAAGACGTTTCCAGCTTTGGCGTGATGTGTTATGCCTGTGGTCTTGTCCTTGACGATGATGGAGCCAGAGATGACGTATTTGAGCTCGTTGTACTGCGTCGCCACGAATGGTGAAGAAAATTCAGAACTTTGAGTCGCACAAATCTTGTGCAGCACGAACGAAATTGGGCAACGAAGAACATCGCAAAGGCGGGAAAGGGAATCAAGAGGGCCCAGTGAGACCACTTACGGTGTACGTGTAGTGCAACGGCTCTCCCTTGCGAATTCTGAAGAATCCCATCACTTGATGCTCGTTCACCTTTGGACTGTGAGTCACATCCACTATCACCCGAGCAGATGTGCGTGGCTCCCAGCTCGTCAGCGCTTCAGGTCTCTGGCCCAGCTCAGCCAAGTGATGAGGAAAGCCACTTACTCAGCTGACTGTTGCTTTGCTGGAACTCGGGAATCTTCTCCTTGCCTTCTGGAGTGGTCAGAAAAGTGTCTAGCAATTGGACCAGCGCCATTGTGAAGATGGAGATGGTCGGAGCAAAAATGGTCTCAAGTAGAAGGAGTCACTGGCAGCAACAGAAGGGCTCGACAGAGATTCTGTTGTCAAGCGTGGATGAAAGAGTCTGGTTCTGGAGTCATCTAACAAGAAGCACAGTGGGCTTTATGAGGATCCAAAGCTAAGACGATGAGCCCGCGCATCCCGTCAAAGCGAGTGTGAGTTCAAGGTCGAAGCGCCTGGCTAGCTCAAGCTACTCGATTGTAACTGTCTTCTTCGCTGACCGAAGCCGTGGCACATCTCAAGATACCCGGCGAGCGTGGAGGGCATGCGAGAGAGATCCTTATCAAACCTCTGACCTCCTCCCATCTTGGCCCGGCTGGGCAATCCCTGCCACAGCGCGACCAGCCTCGGTCCATCTCTACAAGCATCGCCAATCATGAATACTCAGCACGCACAAAGCATGCCGCCTCACAAGTCTGGCTTGAAGAGGCCAACCTGGTGTTCATTTCGTACCTTTTAGTCTCTCACAACAGACGAATCGTGAGCGTGATTACAGCCACACCCACGACGAATCAGAATCTTAATGCTATACACATCGTCGTGAGTCTGGATTAAAGCTGCTGCACGGGCAGACGTGCCGCGGCTCATCTTTCGCATCGCGATTGCGGGGCGCGTCTTCTCTTATCTGACATGTCGAGCTATATACTCACTGACTGCTGTGCATTTGCGGGACGTGCATCGGCCAGCCTGGTCGGCTGGCAAACATGTTTCCGAAGTTCGGACAGAGTTGCCGTGGCTCCACTCTGGCCTTGCGAAGGCTTTGGAGCTCGGAAAGAATCCAGCTCTGCCTTGTCCGTGCAACAAGCTTGCTTGACCCACAGGTAGCCATGACAGGCTCCTCGATGACAGGAGTGCTGAGGGAGAAGCATGACACGGTCCATCGGCGCTCAAGACTTGACTGAAGCTCGAGAGGGCTATAGTATTACAAGGCTTGCTGGCATCAAACCGCGTCGTACAGAAAATTGGGACGTAATAGAATGCAAGGTCAAAGATCGAGAGCGGAGCGTAAGAAGGTGGTCAAGCTTCGAGCTTGGGCGTGAAGTTGATCAATGGACCTCGGAGGTCAGCAGGAAAGTATGCCTCAACGACCACCCGAATTTGTTCAAGCATGTTGGGAGACAGCGCCAGCGCCGTGCTCAGGAGATTCGAATACGTCCTCGTCATCTTCATCAAGCACGGCCCAGTTGGGTCCGGCAGGTGCGTATCCACCGCTAGGGATTCTGTACGAAACTCTTTCGGAGCTGACGGTTCTGATCGAAGGTGCATCTCCCAAACTCCCAATGCTCGGACGAGCGTACTTGGTCTTGGACGCCAAATTGTTGACTAATGCGCTCGAAGGACGCGGACCTCTTCTGCGCGCTCCTCTGTCCTGTCCGACGTTCGCGCCTGGTCGGTGCACAACTACCGTCGCTTCGCTACCAGCAATGCTGTGGTCCGAAGTGGATCGAGGCATGCCCATGCTGGAACCTTGTCCTACTTGCGACATGCCAGCTTGAGATGCGCCTTGCGTTGCGGCATCATTCATGCTTCCAGAGGGTGCTCTAGCACCAGCAAAGAAGACATTGCCAGCTGTCGAAGGTCTAGGTCTGAAGCTGTGTTGAGCCCTGAATGAAGGTCTAGGAGCGTCTTTGGAGGCCAGCGCAAACGCAGGTCCAGTCTTTTGCGTCGCTCCTTGCCTGTTCTGAGTTGGTGAGGATGGAGGAGCCGGGATCCTTGAAGTGCTAGGTATCCTCGTATTGGCATGAGTGATAGCAGCAGCGGGACGGGCGATGCTGCTAGCAGCACTGTTGATGGTCTGGCCACGACGGGTGGCAGTTGCAGGGGTGGCCCTCACACTTCCCGGCCCTGATGGTCCAACGCTGCTGCCGAGACGCGCTCGCTTGGCATTTGAAACCGCTCGCATCGGCGTTGCGGCAATACGATTGGCAGCCGACGAGGAGCTCAGGGGTGGCCCTGATTCGCTCGCCGAGCTGGATGTCGATATCGTTCGCGTGCGCTGAAGGGACGTACAGAGTGCGTGAGTTGTGATGCCTGCTTTTGCGATATCCAGGTGAGAATTGTGACTCACTTTGCGAGTCGATGCTGTCGCTTGTTCAGCAGCAGCGGTCTGAAGCTTCTCGACGAATCGCTGACCATCGATCATGAATGCTCTGCCAGTCTCCTCTTCCCAGCCCGGTATCGTCCTGAGCAGCTCGTCCTCCAACTTTGGCTTCAACACTTTGACTCTCTTCCTAATCTTTTCCTCTTCCAATAACTGGCCCGGTCTAGTCTTTTTCAGCCTTTGAGGATCTTGCGCCGCTTTCTCCAGCGCCTCGCCCTCTGCGATCAGGTCCTGATACCGGGCGACCATCTTCAATAACGGCGCTTTGCGATCCAACTCTTGGTTTGCCATCCTCTCGTACACATCGTGCGCTTCTTGAAGCTCATCGCTGGGAATTATTCCTGTGCCGGATCCATCATCTAGATCAACGAAGAACGATGGGAAAGCGGCGCGGCGCTCAGAGGTAGACATGGCCAGCTCATCCCACAGCTTGGCGATTCGCTCTCTAATACCACCAATGAAGGCTGCCATATTCTGCGCTTTGAGCTCTCTCATGCTGCCCAGCTCGGAAACGTACTATTCCGGACCCATTGAATGGTATGATCAGCAAGTGCCACGGCGCATCGCCACGGCACCGCTGCATACTCACAGCTTGTATGCATGCATCCGTGGAGCCCGAGTTGGCCAGCACAAACTCTTCCATCTCGGCCTCGGACACTCCGAAGCGCTCCCAAAGCACAAAGAGCTCGTCGTAAAGTTCTTGAATTCTGGCTTCTCTCTTCAATCTTTCAGCCTCCAGTGCCTGCCTGAGCTCACCAGCGCGCTTCACGTTGCTTGGGTTGGGAGCTAAGACGTGCGAAGGTTGCATGGACGAAGACCCCACACGCATGCTGTTGGTGGGCGTCGCAGAGGGCGAGAGCGTATCGTCGTCAATATCCGAGATGGACTCAAACGCTCCCTCCCATATCTCTTCATCGCTTGGAGGCGTGACTCGGAGTCTCAAGTGCGATAAGATGCGCGATTCAAAAGTAGCTTGACCAGCCTCGTCGCTGAGCGTCGGCATGATGCATAGCTCTGACCATTGGTGCAAAATGGCGAGCAGATGCTCTCTCAACTCTTCGGTCCGTGTCGAGTGCTCTTGCTCTGCCGCTCTCAGAGAGTCGGTCAGCTCGGCAAGATAAGAAAGAGGCAAGTAGTCCAGGCTGCTAGCAGCGACCTCGCCATCGCGATTGGACGCTGGCGAGTGACGTGATGATCGACGCGCTTTGCTACGCTTGGGCTTGGCGGGAATGGATGGCATGTACGAGTCCAAAAGGGGCGTATATGCCGACAGTCTACCTTGTAGAGACAGCGCCTGAGCGGTGCGAGAGTCGTGCTCCTTGCGCACATCGCCCAGTTGGACCTCCAGCCCCTCAAGCCGAGGTATCAAGGCCTACAGTACATGTGTGATTAGCATCACAACAGCAAACATGGCAAGCGCCGTCGAGAACGCAACCCTTCACTCACCTGATCCGCGCCATTTTTGAACGTCGAGTCCATTCCCAGAGCTTCTTTGTGCTCCGTGATGCTCACTTCCAACTCCCTGCATCTGTCTTCCTTCTCTTCCACATCAGCTCTGGCCTTTTTCAACTGGGCATCCACAGCAGCTTGCAAGGCATCGCGAAGCTCTTCGAGTGTCGAAGCGAGAGCCTCTTTAGGCGCTCCTAGCTTGTGGTGCAAAGCTGTCAAGGTGGTGGTGGACTCGCTAAGCAACGCACTTAGCGAATTCGCGTCCATCGCGGCGTTAAGCGAGCGCTCAAGGGGCCGCTCGGATGCGATCGTACTCGTCAATGATATGTGCGCAGGGGACTGCGTGTGGTGGATCGATGATGAGGAGGCGGACCTGCAGAGGGAGACAAGACAGAGTACGCGATCGATGCTCGATTTCGAGAGACGCGACGGAAGTCACGAATGCTTGCGATGATGAGGATAGAGCCCGACTTTGGAGTCAGGGAGGGTGCATTGCACGTCGGCGTCCACGCGAATCGATGACCGTGAAAGTTGTGAGGGCCGAAGATTCTGGATTGTTAGAGGAGCCGTCGCCTAGCTGCACGACGCGTTGATCAACCATCTACTCGTGACTCGTGTGACGCTGCTATACGCGCCGCTCGCTCGCTGTAGAAAGGAGCTTGGGCTGCACGTCCGAGCGCGCGAGGCTTGCCCGCTGCACGCACGCGCGACTTGCGCGCGTCCAAATGTTCGCCACGCGACGAGTCACGTGACATGTCAGTGTCTCATCGTGGTTATCACGTCAATCTGAATCACGAATGGATTAGGGTTAGGGAGCAAAAGTTGGCTGTTCGATTGCTACCATCGCAGCCAAGCTACTTTTGCTGGTAATTTCACGACTTTCGAGGGGGTCATGCAAAGTATACCAATCTTGAGCACGAACAAGATTCCCTCTTTAGCTGACGATTCGTGATTTTGATGCGCCCACGGGCAAGTCGAGGAAGGGTCCGTCATCAAAATCGAGTCTTTCGGCTGGGAAGTCCGCGGATGTGCGACCTCAGCTAGCAAGTGGCCGCGCGCGCATATGCGCGTCGTGTTTGTGTTTGATGAGGTGCGCAACTGAACTGTACTACCGTACCTGCGGGCGGGCTCCTGCAACGAGGCAAGTTGAAGAGATGTTCTGAGCGCATGTGTTCAGTCGCCATTCTCGCGATCATACTCGATCATTCGTGATTGTCATGGACATCTTGTGCACCAGCATCTACATCATCAATATAGAGCCCTGCACTGATCAAGCTGCTCGGAGCTCAACGCGGGAGCGCCCCTCCCCCAGCCTCCCCCCGCATCGAGCTTCGTTCGACTTTCACTCTGCGCGGAGGCCCTTCCTTTGAAGCACGAGATGATGGGCACGGACGCAGAGCCCACTGTTGGACAGGACGCTTCGAGCGTCTCGGCGTTGCTTGAAGTGGAGCCATCGGAGGCCGCAAACGCCTCGCAGCGCGGAGGAAGTGATGTTGGGACAGCGCAAGTGGATCAGTCCGGGTCTGTAAGCCAACAACCTCCGCCTCACACTATCACTGCGCGGCCAGCAGAGAGCAACAACGTGACTGAGGATGACGCTTCGCAATCGCTCTTAGAGCTTCCTGGGCCCGTATTGCCGCCTGCGGATCAAGCAAAACATCTTGAACCGAAGCCATGGGCGCCCAGATCCTCCACACCTATGGGTCCTCACGCCGATTCTTCACCGAAACCTCTACCTGCTGGCCTGGGTGCTCTTTCGCAAGATAGCGCTGCGAATGCGCAGTCAGTCGTCGCTGGCTCCGACGCACTCCCAGCGGAAGGAAGTAGAGCTATTTCAGCCGAGAGCGAGGGGAGGAAACACCCTGCGTCTCAACTTGGCTTGGGGCTGCCGGGCAGAATCAGCGAGCATGCAGAGAGTGCTGGAAGCGCAAGTAAGCAGGCAGTGCCGAGGCCAGATACCTCATCTGTCCGACAAGCTTCAGAAGAGCCGAATGAGGCACAGACACCGACGGCCAACCAGTCCACTGCCCTCAACTGGAGGGCCATGCCGGGTTTTGAGGAGCTCTCAGAGTCTTGGGCGGCGGGCGCTTCTGCAGAGCCAATAGGTCCTGGAGAACCTAGCACACCACGTCCGAATCCTATTCCTCGCCACGTCCACACCCAGACACCCATTGGGACGCCACAAGAAGAGTCTGTGTCGCTGATGTCGCCAGATGAACGACCAGCTGGCTTTCGTAGCTCGAGGCCTGATCAGAGATTCCTCCGAAACGATTCTGGCTTGAGAGCTGGTCCGACAAGCCCCTCGATGAGAGTGCCGTCGCACGGCCATGCGGCAGGGCCGGGCAGCGCATCTACCAGTGCGAGTGGCACAGATGCAACACGGGTCAGCGCAAGCGGAAGCTTTCGAGATGCTCTTGGAGCAAGTTCCTTTGGACCTACACCTACAGCAGCCTCTCAGCCTGCTCTGTCAAGACGGCCGTCGAGTGAGGGCAGCGAGACGAGCACAGCGAGCGGCGCAAAGGCAGGCTCAAAGACTCTCGAAAGTGTCGGTGCGGACTCATCCGTTATCAGCGGCGGCACTGCACATGATGAAGAAGCAGATGCTGGATCGCCGGAGGAATCGACAGCGCGAATTCGAACTCGAGCGAGCGTCGCTATCGAAAGTCCGGCAGAGTCTTCATTCGGTACGGCTCGCGAACCTGACGTGCCGGAGCAGACCTTTGTGGAGCACAGCAATGTCGGTAGCTTGCCTCCGCCGCTCAAGCCGGCGTGGGCTAGAGCTGGAAAGGGTGCCAAGGGGGTAGATAGAGCTGGTGGTGACATGTTTACTCCGCTCAAGCTTCAGAGCATGTGGAGAACGCCTACTCCTGAACCTCGGCCTAGTGGCTCTACCGATCAGCTTGCCGAAGCTGGGCCAAGCCGACAAACGAGTGCGAGCCCCTCTATCAGGCCTGCTCCTGCTTTGGGGCAGGATCGCAGTGCCGAAAGCAACGAAACAGCGTCGGTATCTGCTCAAGCGCCTGCTGCAGAAGCATCTGCACAAGCGCGGCGGATTGCGCCTGGCAGCACGCCCCGCCCCCCAAGTGCACGATTTACCTTCAAGTCACCTGAAGAGGTCATTGCGCCGGACTTTCATCAGCCCCAAACGCCTTTCACACCACGGCATCGGCGAGGCACGCTCCATGTCACGCCAGGGACCAGGGCGACTCCTAGGACGCCTAGAATTCCTCGTACACCCAATGTGCCGCTTAGAATATTTCGGACTGGCAGGACGCCGCCATATTCCGCTCGGCCTGCACCAACATCCACGAGACCGGATCGACCACTTGCTCGATCTTACAACGGCAGGGCTGCCGGGCAAGATAGCCCGAGAGAAGCATCCAGGTTGGCAGCGGACGCTGCAGAGCGTCGTAGAAAGGAAAGAGACCAGAAACGCCTGAGACTGCTGGCTCCTCCTAGTCCAGGTTCTTCTAAAGGCAGCGATGCTTCACCCACTGAACAGGAACACGTCGAAGGTCAAGAGGAGCCTGCCTTCAAGCCGACACTTTCGACGGCTGAGCCCGAAGAGGAGGAGCTGACACATATCTCGCGCTCGGCTGAACGAGAAATGAAGCCTTCTAGACGAGACTATGCGCAGGAAGGGACGGAATTTTTGGCTCGATTGCAAAACGTGCGATTGGCGAGCGAAGCGACGAGCCGGTCGATGAGCGGCGAATCCGCCACTGATGCTATTGTGCCTGATACGGAAGGCGGATGGGCAGACGAAGACGAACAAGGAGACGCGGCGGCGCGGATACCCCGAAGATCGTCGATCCGATCGATGAGCGGTTCTACGCACGCTTCGCTGCGAGCGGGCGCGCAAGCTCCGACGCCCACACATGGCATGTACAACGGCAGCCCTCTTCGAATATCTCAAAAGAGGATCCCTTCAGCTCCTTCGTCGACATCTTTGGGGGGAAGAAGTGGACGCGTGGACGAGTCGCCGAGAAGAATGCTGAGGAGATTTTCTGCTATAGATCGGGCTTATCAAGAGTATGAGGCAGAGAGCATGGAGAGGAGCTTTGAAGCTGCGGAGAGACTTCAAAGAGAAGAGGAGGATGAGCGAAGAGCGGACGAGGAGTTCAGGAGACTTGAAGCAAAAAAGTACGCTAGAGGATTGGCTAGGGTCAGAGGTCGTCCCAGCGACTCGCAAGCTCCACCAATAGACACAAGCGACGCTGCTGCAGGCATCTTTGACGCATCCCTACAAGCTCACCAGGAAGAAGTCTTCCCTGCCGGTTCGACACATGAGCCATCAAAGGCGTCACGAGCCAGTGTGATTGAGGCACCTCGACTCGACTCTCTCACTCCGGTCGACTCGGCCGATCCTACTTTGATACGCAAGTCTTCGCTCGTCCACATTGGCCCTGAAGCCCTGCCCAGCAATATCGACGAGCTCGGAGGGGGGCGCATGATCTTCGATGCTGCGTCTCAAAAGTGGATCAAGAAGAGGTCCGGCGGTCTGCAAGACCCCATCGTTGAGAGCGAAGGTCGCCTCATTGCTGGGTTGCCAAGTTCTGCCCACATTGGGAAATCCCGTCAAGATGCCCAAAGCTTTCATCCGACTGCGGAGATTGAGCGAAATGCTTTGGGAAGCGCCAGTGCTGCGATGTCAGGTGTGGACTCTACCGACCCTTTCCGCGACATTGAAAGCTTCGGGACGAGCGATGAACCCTCCCTGGCAAATTTGGCCGAGCAAGCTTCATCGTCTGCCCGCCCCAACAGCTCGTCTTTCGAAGTCAGTTCGAGTCGTATCGATTCGGCTGCAACGCCTCGAGACTCGAGCGGCGCAGCATTTAAAAAACCCGTTCATCTTGCCAGTACATCTCGTAGAAGGGGCGGCTTTGCGCGGCGGAGTGCTGCAGCTAGCGCCGTGGCGCGCTCTCGATCTGCTTTACGCAACGAGATCGATCTCTTCAGTGACGGAGACTCGACGCAGCGGAGTCACAGCAGCACTGCTCCTGATCTCGGGTCCGACCGCACCCACGCTGCCTACTCTGGAAGCGACCCCGCCCTTCGAGGCCCCTCTCATTCTCAAGATCGCCAGTCCGCCCTCGACGCATTGATGGGGAGCCCAGCTACGCCGCCTGGCGAGTCTTCTGCTCAACGCAGCTCTTCTACGCCGCAACGGTCACCTATAAATCCCGCTCAGGTCCCTCGCTCGATCTTGAAAGCTCGCACCGGCTTCGTTGACACCCCAGAGCGTCAACTGGCACGATCTGACGCTCGCTCAATCAGCTTCGCTGATACTCCGGACAGGGAACAAACGCTCTCCCCCGAGTCTGTGCGGAACAAATCTTCGACCGTAGATCCGCGCCAGTCGAGTGGCGACATGAGTCGGGCAAGTGCAGAGCGCCAGAGTCATCTTGAGGAAGTCTTGCGCCAGATCGTCGATCTAGCGCTAGGCGCTGAAAACGAGCCAAGAAACTACCCGTCACCCGCTAGCCGAACACGCGCATTCGCAGACGAGACGGACGCCGATGCGTGGCAAGACGTGACTCCGACGCGCACCGCGCCCAAGGCGTTCCAGCACGACAGCGCCGGCTTGGCTTCTGGTGGACGCTCACCTTGGAACATCACGGCGCTTCGACAACGTCGAGGTAGAGGAGATGATGATGGAGAGATGAGCTTTTTGACGAATGCTAGCTTTGCCATGGCACACGACCGCATCGTGGAGCTCATTGTAGACGTTGCACCTTGGCACGAAGGCTGGAAGGATATGCTCGAGATTGATCTGTCGGGCAGACGAGTAGATAGTATCGTTCGACTGAAAGAGCACCTTCCCAGCCTGCAGATCGCACATCTGTGAGTGAAGCTTGTCGCGCAGGTCATATCGAAGGCACGCATTGATCAGAACCCTCGTCCCCAGTCATCATAATGAGTTGTCGTACCTGACCGGGCTGCCCGAGAATTTACGGGAATTGCATGCTAGCCATAACAGGTGGGTCTGACCAACGACTGGGCTTTCCGCAGTGTCAGGGCGTTCAAACTGAACGTCCACCTTCCCGCCTCCAATAGCATTCCGCCGACCATCTCTTTCAGCCATCTTCCACTCCTCAGCGTGCTTGATATCAGTCATAATGCGATAGGCTCGCTTGCGGGTGAGTATGCTTCGGCCGCGCGGGCATATAATGACAAGCTCTGACAGCATCCCGCTCTCTCTAGCGTTGTCCGGATTGATCCATCTGCGTGACCTTCGAGCCGACGCCACAGGTGTCGATAGTATCGAAGGTATCGAGCATCTCGAGGGCCTCAAAGTGCTCAGCTTGAGGCAGAACGCACTCTCGGCCCTCAATCTGCTGGAAGTCAAATGGAGGAAACTAGAAAAGCTCAACCTGAGGCACAACGGATTGCGCTCGGTCCGCGGTCTCGCCACCAACGACAGACTCAGGAGCGTGGATCTCTGCCACAATCAGCTCTCATACTTGGAGCTTGGCGGCCAAATGTCGCACCTCCGAGCCCTCAAAGTCAGCCACAATGCTGCGCTGGAGGACTTGGACGTCAGTCTTGCCCCGAACTTACGCGCTCTTTACGCAGACGGCTGTGCTTTGCATCGAGTCCAAGGACTTGCATCACTGACAAAGCTTGATGAGCTTAGTCTGCGGCAGCAGCTTGCAAGGAAGGGGTTGCTTTGGCCGGCGGATGAAGTGCCCGACATTCGCCGACTGCATCTATCCGGCAATGCTTTCCCAGCAGGCATTCAAAGCAGTGTACAGCTACTCAATTTGGTCTTTTTGGAGCTTGCCGGCTGTCAGCTCACGTCCGTGCCGCCTGACCTACCGAAGCGCGCGCCCAACATGCGTCATCTGAACCTGGATCACAACTTGTTGTCGAAGCTTCCTGCGCTACAGCCTATGCGGCGACTCAAGCGTCTGAGTCTTGTGGGATGCCGTATCAAGCGCCCAACCAGCTTGATTGACGCGCTCGCTGGCATGCGAGAGCTGAGTGTCCTCGACTTGCGTCTAAATCCGTGCACCCTGGGCTTGTATCCGCCGCTTCTACTCAGTAGTGCCACACCGGTCATATCCGACGAGGCTGCGCTCGAGCGCAGCCCTCGACCGCCTGCTTCGATGCCACCGTTTCCTGATCCAGGCGTCGTCCAACCTGATCGCGCGGCGGCCGTCTTGCGCGAGGCCAAGCGAGCGGAACGAGCGGCGCAAGAACAGATCGAGAAGTCGGTGTTTCACAAGCGTCAGCCCGGGCCACAATTGGATGCACCTCGCGGCAAACGCTGGTCGGATGATGAGCAAGATGAGACAGAAGTCAGTCATGGCCTCAGTACAATCAGCTCCAAGCACGATGTGGGACTCGATGCCCAGCAGAAGATGATGGCAGCTGCCGACGCGCGCTTTGCGCAGACTCTTCCCCCTACCTTTGCTTATCGAAGGTTGATGCACCGAGGTAGTCTTGCCATGGCGTGCCCTGCACTTGCATGGCTGGACGGTCTCCTCGTGGATGAGGCCGAAGTGGTCAAGGCGGACGAGCTCTTGAGCGCTAGTCCACCGTTCGCCAGCGGTGCCTTCCTCTCCTCCTCCCCTCGCACTTGAGACTGAGATAGATGTCAGTCGCCGCGGTGTTTGCCGCGAGATACGCAGTCATCGCTCTTTCCATTTCCGATCGCAGTGCTACATGATGTCCAAACACATACTTTCGAGACGCCACTAATCAACGACGCTGTAATAGTAAGCACTGCAATGTACCAAGAGCCTGCTGCATCTCACTCAAATCACACTGCTTGCAACTACGTTTGGCAAAGAATGCATGCGTGGACGTTTGTGGTGAGCAGAAATAGAAAAGAAAAATGCTTTGGGCTGCGTTGCGAGAGCCGGTGTCAAGGAACGAATTGCATATTCTGATTGCGAGAAACCGAAGGAGGGTATGTGTGTCGAGAAGGCTGGTATGAGACGAACGATATATCTACCAGGTGCGAGCATGAGTGGGGCAGGCCTTTCCGCGACTGAACCACGAGTCGATGCTGAGGGCGCAGAATGGACGGTAGTGAAGACGCAGTGAGCTGTGCTGATTCGCGCAGTCGCGAAGGCGCGTCTCAAGCACTCACCAATGGCGATGGTAGTAACAAAGACAGGGCAATCTCGCAATGGTCATGCCAGGCTGCAGATCCTCGAGACAGATGATGCACTCTTTGCCCACAATGGGACCGTCAGTCAACTTGTAGATGAGATATCTACCACCCTGCACGCTTCCTCCTCCGCCATTTTCGAGACATGTCTGCGTGTCGTCACGAGAGAAATCAAGATTGTCAGCTCTCCACATCGTCGATGCGCCCTTGAAAAGAAAGGCCAGACTCACGCGAACATGCTCCTCTTGCGCTGCAGAGTCGCCTACGCTAGCCAAGGTGGTGTTGCAGACTGGACACTCGTTGAGCTCACTAGCTCTCGAGCTGACATCGCTGATGCCCGAAGATGCATTGAGACCGCCATTGTTGAGTTCAGTATGCGTTCCAAAGCCTGCCGTTCCGCCTAGTTGCCCATGGCTGCCAGCGGCACCGTTCAGACTGGACAGACCGCCCCTGCTACCAATGGAAGGCGGCAATTGTCTTTCGGCGTTGCACTGATTGCATATACGTGTGGGACCGCTAGACTCTGTGAATAGCATCTCTGGTACTCCCGGATCGATGACAATCTCCGAAGCGGCCAACACCGCCCGAGAAGAGGAGCAACGGTCGCATCTGATTTGTCCGCACCGACGACAGTGGTGCTATCAGACGTTTCAGATGGTGAATACGTGATTCAGCTATCATAGCTCATGTGTGCAGGCAGAGCAGAGCCCAAGACTCACCTTGCGAAGGAAAAAGGTGAATTTCCGCTGACAATCGGGACAATCGGCGACATCGCTGTCGCTCTGCCATGTAGGGACGAGGTTTTGCTCTCGAAGAGCGTGTACCGCAGCACCAGCCGCTGAAGGTCTGTTCGGACGCTCATTCTGCGGAACCCGGAACTCGCTCGAGGCGGCCAGATCCGCGCTTCTCATGGCAGTGATGCTCGTGCCAGCTTCCGAAGGTGCAATAGCTCCAAAGACCGAGGCACCTGTACTACTTTGCCTGTTCAACAAAGCCGGACGGGCTCCCGTGGGGGTGCTAGTGGCCGGACCAAGACGAGTGATGACAGACTGTCCATCATCTTTGTAGGAATTAGGGTAGATGAAGTCTTCATCTTCGTCGCTATCCCCATCTTCGCTTCCTTCCTCCAGACCAGCAGCTTGCCTCAGCTGTCCAAGCTGCAACGTGTACTCCTTGAGCATGTCCTCGGCATGAGATCGCCTGTCTGCATCCTCATCGCTGAATGCAGAAGCTCTCAGCTCCGCCACGGCCAGGTCGAGTCGAGCTATGCGTCTTCTCAGCTCATCCACGCCTTCTCCGAGGGCGTCGGCAGGTGTGGATCCAGCAGCTGCCGATTCTCCCGCCAACGCCTTAGATCTGGCTAGGTAATCAGCAGACGGACCAAGAGCAAGGCACGCTTCCCGTGCGGCTTGCTCGGCTTCGATCACAGCAACCGACGAGAAAGTAGCACCAGGACGGCCCGAAGGCCCATTTGTGCCTCCTGTAGCAGTCAGAGTCGCAGAGAAGTGTGCCAGCTCTGCAGCTTCTAGCTCGTCTCCAATCTCAATGTCGAGTCTTCTTCTCATGACCCTGACCCATCTCCTTCGTCTCACCCAGCCCGTCGCTACGGCCTCTTGCTCGTGTCCAGCTCCATGTCCATTGATGCTCGTCTGACCAGGTCCGGGCAGAAGTCCGCCGGTGACAGCCCTGCTGACGCTCGCACCGAGGCCTTTGCCTTCGAGTATCCTAGATAGCGGAGGCGGGATGGCAGCTGTCCACCTCTCATCAGGCGCGTCAAAGGACTGCGCATATTGCCAACCCTCGTCTGCGTCCACCAATGGATGGGTCAGATCAGTCTGCCAGTCCGATAGCCAGAAGTGGCTGCGTTCAGATTGAGGCGGAACATCTCTTGCTCCTGCTTCGCCCGTGCCCGCAGCTGCTCGAGCACTGAGGACACTCTGTGGGGTCGGCGTGCTGCCTAAATCTTCGGGCGCAGCGCTTCCGCTCGTTCCATTTTGCCCTCCCTGTCTTCGTGCAAGCGCAGCTGCAATCTGCTCGCTGCGTGTGGGAAGCACAAGCTTGTAAGGATTCTCCCTTGTCGGCAGACCAACGTCTTCTCTCCTCATTGGTATATTGCGGGATCGGGACGAAGAAAGTGGGCCAGGTGGCATAGTGCCGGGCGCTCTTCGATCTGGTTTGTGGGGGCGACCAGCGCTCGTGCCACTCCATCTCGGCTTTCCGCCGTGCACTGCCAAGGTCGACAATCGAGTGTCTAGACGTTGGTTCTCGTGCAAAACGATGGGAACCGTTGTGTGAAGCCTGAGGGGATTGTATGCGCCTTGAGCAGATCCGGTTGGGACGCCCCCGGCGGGAGGGGGACCGGAAAAGCGCAGCGCGGCCCAACGCTCCGTTTCGTACTTATCCAAGACTTCGGAGACGAAAGTCTCGAAGGTTGCAGCTGCCACATCGTACGCCGTCTCGCCAGCGGCGTTGCGCGCAAAAGGGTCGGCATTCCACTTTGAGCACAAGTAGCGCACCACAGGTAAATGTCCTCCAGCAGCTGCGTTCATCAACGGCGTCCATCCAGCCCTACCTCCTTTGACATCCACACTGGCACCGTGATTTTCTGTAAGGACTCGCACAATGTCCAAGTAGCCTCTCGAGCAGGCATTGTGTAAGGAAGTCCAGCCATCATTGTCCTGGGCATCCGCTTCGGCGCCATGGGTGAGCAAGAACGAGATGACAGGTAGCTTGCCGGCTAGAGCAGCTTTGTGAAGTGCGGTCTGCAAAGGGGCGACATCGAGGTGTCAGCTCAACGCAACGTATGTTGTACGCCATCCACCTCTTACCTCTCCTTCTCGATCTTCCAGCTCAGCAAGGGCGCCGGCTTCGTCGACGAGCCACCGGACAATCTCGGATTTCCCCTCCTTTGCAGCGTAGTGCAAGGGAACCAGCCCAGAGGCAGGACTAGGCTCATTTGCAAGAGCGAACGCGCTATGGCCTCCACCCGTTGCTGAAGAAGCATGCGCGAAAAATGCTTTGAGGGCGGAAAGAGGGCCAGAGGTCGCCAGAGATGCAAGTTGCAAGTGGTCGACAGGAATCGCTGGCGCCGAAGGCGTTTGAAGCGCCGTAGACTGAGCTACGGCAGTCGGGCTCGCCGGTTCGTTGGTCGATGTAGCAACATTGAGGCTCGCCACTTGATGTGATATTTGCTCCTCAGCGCCAGTACGATCTGATGTGGCATCTGCGACAGCTGTCCCGGAACTGGCACCGGTGTACACGAATGCTTCGTCCTCATCACTTTCCTCCTCTGAACGGCCCTGTCCCTCTTCGGTGACGGCTGCGCTAGGTTCATTTGACGTTTCAATATTGGCGAGGACTGTATCACCATTGGCGAGGATTGTGTCACTCGAGGGTTCGCGTATTTCGCCTTCCTCGAGCTCATGCTCGACGTCTGCAGTTGACGGTGCGACAAGCTGCGACACAGCAGGTTCGCCCGGTTCGGAGACGGCAGAAGGAGGCGGCGCAAAATCGGACAGAGAAGAGAGTGGATCCAGACCCTCTTCCTGTCTGGCGCGTGTGTCAGGTGCGTACGCGAAAGATCCGCTCACTGGTTCTTCCACACTCGCTGGCTCTGGGGTCGAACCGCGGACGTGACCGGCCCAAGGGTCATCCGCAGCGCTGAGCAGCCAGGGAGATTGCAAATTGACACTGTGAGTGCCGCTTTGAAGCGCCCACGCTCATAAAAAGATTGCACTCACTCTGTCATGATGTTTGGGTGCCGACTGCAACGTGCTGCAGCACTACGGGGTGGAATGCTTCCCGGTAAGTGTTGGTTCCAGTTTTCTGGAGGTCACTGGCCAATAGCGTGAATGAATGCGCTTTGTGACTGATCGGCAACGCCTCGGAAATAGGAACCGTCTTGTGGTGTGGTGCGAGAGAAAAGATGCTGACAGTGAGAGGAGTGGATGTTTTGTTGGCGAAGGAGGATGTCATGTCGACATGATCACAGTGTGAATCATGATGAGCCTTCTTTCTTGACACACGACTCAATCCAGCAAGCGCAACGCGCAGTATCGTCGCGGGTTGAAAGTTCGAAAACGCGACAACCCTACACCTCTCGCACGAAACGCCCGCCACGCTATGTGGCCAATTGCTGCAGCACAGCTTTCGCTTGTGAAGGTGATTGATTGCACGATTCATGTGCGCGTAGCTATATATGTATACCGCGCCGGTACCGTACCTATTGTAGGTGTAGGGCAATCACGAAGGAAAGCAAGGCGTGCGTTCCCGAACGACCCAACGCCCCACACAACGTCGATCGTGACTGTCGTTCCCGCATACCTCGAGAAGTGACTCATCTGCGGGTTCATCCATTCAAGATTTGCTCTGGGCACCACTGCTCATGCGGGCGCCTGATCCTTACTACTCCACTCGCAGACGTGTAAAGCGGATCGCTGTAATCTTGTCGACCAGTCGAAGGGATCGGCAGCTGCTGATCCGCAAAGTGGACGAGGATGGATTTGATTTCGCGGTTGCGACGAAGCTCATCGCGCCAGAATGTCGCCTCAAGCTCAGCAGATCCTTTGCAACCTCTCAAATCCAACTGGGAATCCTTACGAAGCACTCTGCAACAGCCTGATCAAGCCGTCCTTCATCATGGTGTCTCGAGGTCGGATATACCAAAGAGGATGCGTAGACTGGCCGATGATCTGGTCACTCAGGGCGATACGGGAGAAGGGGAGAGCGCAGAAGGTTTAGCCTGGGCGCTCGATGAAGATGGTGAGTGTGGGGCGTTGCTCGTTCGATCCAAGCTGCATTAGCTACTGATCCGTGCGTGAGATTGTGTGTGGCTCATTCATCTTGTGACATTTCGACCCTTCAAACAGTCTTTGCGACGCTGCTCAAGCTTACATCTTCCGACAAGCCTCCTGGTGTCCTGGTCCACGTAGTTGAGCTCTTTTCTCGGCTCACCGTCGAGCTTCCGGCGCCTTTCTTGGCTTCGCCTGGTGTTCATGGACCTTTAGCTCGACTACTGCGTGTATGCACCGGCGATGCCGAACGAAAAGCCGCGCTCGGTGGCTCGGACAGCGATGAGACCTTCTCTGTGGACAGTCTGGAAGAAGAGGAGAACGAGGATGCAGAGGTGTCAGTAGCGGTCAGACCAGGAAGCGCCGAAGAACATGCTTTGGTAGAGCTGCTATGCCGCATTGCTAGCAGACTGCGGAACACGCCGGAGCTTTTGCCTGTCTTCTTCAGAGAGGCTCACGCAAAAATACAGGCCAGCAGCAGCGATGCACCCGAGGATCGAGCTGATGATGCTGGCGCGCGACCCGCTAGCCCAGCCGGCAGCTCCGCCTCAACAGCTACTGTTCGAGCTGGGCCCACAGAGCCTATGTCTGACGCGGCAGATTCAAGCGCAGAACGTACAAATGCAGCCATTGAAGAAGGACCTAGATCGAGCACTCCGTCAAACGCAAAGGTTGTGTACGACTTTGCCTTGCTCACGCACCTCCTTCGCTTCGCACATCGAGAGTCCAAGACCGGAGAGCTCGCACGGTCCGGATTGTATTTCTTGTTTACACGAGCATTTGCTCCAACCCACAATCTTCGAAGAGGCAGGAGAGGAGCACCCACGTCAGCGACCGGAAGGGACGCTCGTCACGAAGGCGAAGATACGATCCTCCTCGAGGCTGAAAGGACTACAAGTAGAGCGCTGGCCAATCATCTCGTCGAAAGTGACTTTGCTGACGTGCTAGGCGCCGGCTTGGGCGCGGTGTACGGGCTGCTACCACCTAGAATTCTCATCAAGCGTCAACGAGCGGCGGATCAACCAGGCAAGGGCCCTAGTATGCTCGGCGGCGGAATGAGCCTAGGAGACGGCGTTCTACACGATGAGACTACCTTGGGAGAGGAAGACGATCTGGGTCTCGTCGACTCGTCAGCTCCAGAAGTTCAGACGCAGCTGCGCGTACTGGTAGATTTGACTGAGTTCATTCAACTTGTCATGCGTACTGCTCAGACAGCAGCTTCCTCATCCATCTCTGATCCGGAATTGGCGACCGCTGCAGCTGCCTTGACGTCCAGACTAGCAGAGTCTATTCGGAAAAGCTTCCTCAGAAACATCCTAAACCCTAGCTTGTTGGAATGCTCGGACGCGGACAACAGCTCGGTTGCGGTCATGTGCTATCTCGACGTGCTGCTGCAAGCCATAGAGGATGAAAGTCCGCTTGCGGATGTCGTCGTGGGATGGCTTGTTGGCGATGAGCTGGACACAGACGATACTAACCAGCAGGAAGGGGTATCAATGTCTCGACGCGGCTCCCAACAAGAGACAATCTCGCTCTCACCGGACACGGCCAAGAAACGCAAGCATGCTAGAAGGAGAAGTGTAGCGCTGCATGAGATTCAACAACAGCATGGCGCGCGAGAGGCGAAGCACTTTACAGGCGAAGGACGATACGATCTGAGAGATTTGATACTGGATCATATAGCCCAAGGCAAAGGGGCGGCAACAACGACTGCGGCGCTCAGACTCGCTTCTACGCTTCTCGCCAAACATGGCCGCTTCGCCATCGAAGGATTCCTGACTGCCCGCCACGACGAACAAGCCACAGCTTTTCCGTTCCCGTTCATCCCGAAAGATTCCGACGCTCCCGAGTCTGGCACTCCGGACGAAGATGGTGATGAGCAATTCGTCTACCCAGGAGCGCTTCGCACCGATGAGAACGCGGCCATTCGCGGAAAGATCTCAGTACCAGGCCTGACCCTAGCGCAGCATGTCCAAGAGATCGATATTCTTTTCTCCCTCGTCTCCTCCATAGAGCAGTGGAATTCCGAGACACCGAAGGGTGGCGATAGTTTATGGAATGCGGGCTATGAGCACTACCTGCGCGATGCCGAAGACGCTCTGTTTCGGCAAAGCACATATCAAGATGGATTGCGGCTGTTAGAAAGCGGATCCGAGGATCCGGTAGTGAGTCCGCCGTCCCAACGGCTTCGGAGCAGCAGCAGCCAGCGATCTCTCGGACGTTCTCCTTCGAGTCGCCGTCTGCATTTTGCCGGCCTTTCGAGCGGAGGCACGAGCACCTGTGCGCCCTTTCCACACAAGCTCGAAGCTCGTGATAGAGCTTTGACCTCTCTGTTGCGCTCTCTGCAGAGGTTCTTCGCACACTCGCCAGAGGAGAATGTTGCATTGACAGGTGTGCTTTCCGCACTTGCCCTCTGCCCATATCGAAGTCTCGAAGGCTGGCTTGTCTTTGAACGCGGAGCGGCGGTCAGTGGCGGGCATGCGGTTCCCGAGACCAGAGGTTCTGCCGACCCCACTGCCCTTGAAGTAGATGGAGATGACTCCTCGGACGAGGGAGAAGAAGACGAGACCGCCGGCGTCGCTTCCTTCTGGGGCCTCGAGCCAGCCTGGAAGCAAAAGCGCAATGCACTCAGCTCAAGTGACGATGCGTCAGCCAGAGTGACCGTACCAATCGTCGTAGGCATCCTTCGATCTCTCGCATCTCAAATTTGGCGCTATCGTGCTGAGGTGCCAGGCTTTGATCGGCTTCTGGACGAACGTCGAAGGGGACTGACATTTGTAGAGAATCTGAACGACGCACTAGGACTGGAGAGCATCGCGAGCGAACTTGTCGATGAAAAATCCTCACCTGCACCACCTAGCCTCAGTGCTCCCGGAACGATTGAGTCGAAACGACTGCAGACTCTTTGGGATCATCTCGGCGTCCAGCTCGAAATCGAAGAGCAACAAGAGTCTGTGGCCTTGCCACTCCCTCCAAGCGCTACTGCGTCTGATGGGTTTCCAGAGGAAGTCGCTGACTCCCAGGCTCAGCGTAGCGGGAAGCCAAAAGGAGCAGAGCCAAGCGTGCAGTCTGATGGTGACGTTGGAGCCGCAGAGGGTGCAAAGAAGGAAAGCAGCTTCGCTCGTTGGTTTGGACGTAGAGCGTCGAAAGCCAGCAGCGCTACGACAAAGAGTGCAGTGGACGTTCCTACCCAAAATGTGGTGGCCGCGCCTCCCGTGCAGCCCTTCGCACAGCACTACGCACACACGACTGCGGTGCGTGTATCGGCGAGGCTGTCACGCATTCCAGCAGCGGGAGAATGGTCCGATTCTGTTCGAGCTGCGGAAGAGGCAGAGCGACAGAGACAGCAAATGATAGATTTGCTCAATGCGCCTGCCAAGCCCACCAAGCGCACTCGATTCGCGCGCAGACATAGTCATGTGGATGGAGACAGCGATGCTGAACCCTCCAATGATTCCTTGCGGTCGCCCAAGTCCCCTTCAAGTGAAACGGATGGATATTATTTGCCCGGCGCTGATGACGACGATGATCCCAACGCCATAAAGGCGACGTCACTCAACGTTACAACAAAGCTCGACGGACCTACACTTTCCGATGTGCTGGACAATGTTGTGATTTTGGAAGAGTCGATCAAGGAGCTCGTAGCGATCATACAAGTACGCCGAGGACTTGGCATTGATTCTCTCAACTTTGTTTCATAAGCTGCCAGCGAGCAGAGCAGCACCTCATCTTTGTCCTCGGAAGACCTGCAAAACTTCCACGAATCACTCAACTTTGCGATACCCCTGATTCAGAGCAATACTACTACTACTACCACCATTACAATCACGAATATTTTCAAAGGAGTTCCTCCATGCACGAAGATGTCAACACAGAGACCCTCTATGCAGTCGTGCAGCAGACTGCGCATGCTCACCTAAACGTCGCGACTTTCTTGTGACTCCTCCTTACGCTCTTGTATCCGGAGAACTCCAATCGCACTTGAGATGACGGCGAGCGAGGGCAGCCCCTTTCTTTCGGACACATCGCCCTCAGGCCCTAGGCTAGGCGTCAAGGCGGGAGAGGTGCAAGGCGGCAGATCAGACGTCAACGTCTTCTGATCGGTAAAGAAGCATGAGATTCAAGGGGATCAGAGGAGTAACGAGGAGCACCTCCCAGCACGCTAGACGGATCTTGGTGGCTCATGAAGTATAGTCATGGGCATTACGCGTCGCGCTCGAGGCTCTGCTGTTGGATATAGCGTTCGTGAGAGCTTGGGTGCGGGGATCGCTGTCTGATGCGCCATCAGCGCTAGCATGAGATGTTGACACTGAGCCAGCTCTGCTGGTCGCGTATGCAGGCAATCTTGATCCTCCTAGGCCTCCAATAGCGTTGGTAGACATGCCTGAGCTCGCACTTAGACCGCCGTAGGTAGGCGAGCCCAGCGGAGAGCTATAGACTGGATTACTGCCAGAGGTGGGCAGCAAGCCGAAGCTTGACGCTGGACTACCACCTGCACTCATCTCAGCCGCTCCTAAGCCTGCGGCTTGACCCTGTTGAGCAGCCATCAGGGCAGCAACCATCTCGGGTGACATTTGCCGTTGAGCACCTGTTTGCTGCAATTGGTGCGCTTGTTGCGCTTCCTGCTGCTGCTGCTGCATTTGCTGCGGCGTCAGCTTCTTGCCACTAGGATTGCTTGGGGACCTGGTACTGCACTTGGCCTTGCCTTGGCCTGGGACCTCGCCCTCTTGACAAGGTGTCTTCCTGGAGCCAGGTACGATGTGGTCCCACTTCAGCGCGGTGCCCACCGCACCAGTGAGATCTAGAGGTTGCGTCTCTTTTCCATTAGGCCCCTTGACGAAAGCGACGCAGGAAACGCCTACCATCTTTGAACCAGCTTCTACCGCGTAGATGGTGTAGGGTGCAATGAGCTTGGAGGCCAGCTTCTTGTGTCTCTTCATGCACGCCATGGCCCAAGCTTTGTGCGCGTTGACCGGATCATTCATCTCTGACATCTTTGCATAGGACCATACTATGTCGGGCAGAGGCAGCGGCAAAGCGTGAGCTATCGGAGAAAGACGAGGATGGTCACTTGATACAAGCATCTCACAGCTCACCTTGAGGCTCTGGATCCTGGAAAAGTAGCGATTGCATCTGCGACTGCATCTGCGCGACTGATTGAGCGTCTGCCTGAGGTCCTGATGCTGGGCCCGATGCTGAGCTTGCTTGTGCTTGCGCGAACGCTTGGGCGTGCGCATGAGCCCTCGTTTGAGGCTGAGGGAAGGGAGCCCCAACAGCCGCATCAACTAGGATGCAAAGCGAGGCCATGAAGTAGGCGAGTAGGCGCATGTTGGAAGAGTGGAGGGGCTGTGAAAATTCTTGACAAAGGTTCCTGAAAGCGTTCCCGACAGGTGGTGAGTGCGGGTGATGACGAAGCGACAAGGTGAGTACTGGCGGGTGTGGAAGGACTTGATTCCAGATCTTTGTAATTTAGACGACCTGTTGAGAGAGATACGAGCGCAGCTCGCGTGTCAGCGACGAAGTGTCCTCAAGGGGCTCGTAGCTGTGGCCTTCCTGAGGCGAAGAGGATGGACCAATTACGGCTCCGAATCCTGCAGATGAGCGAAGTTGCGATGGGCTGAGGTGTAGGGTTTGCCTGGCAAGCCTTCGAGGCAGCTCGAATACGTGGGGCTGTCTGGAGTGATTGTGAGCCGGGAGATCATGCACAGCATGGTGAGAGATCTTCAGAAATCCTCGGCATGCCATCTGCAGGCTCTTTTTATACCTTCTGAAGAGAGACGCACAATTTCGGTTGCTTGTTGGAGTCAATTCGGGCCAGGACCCTGCGCAGTACCCGCTGCCAAGGCACGGCCGCAGCTTGTAGTGCGACGCCTTTGCGCGACTGCTCCGATTAAGGCGCCCACTGTACCCTTAGACTCTGGACCTGTTCCAAGGTTTTTCCCTTAAACCTCGCGGAACTCTGCGTCGGTGGGGTGCTCATGTGCGCTCCATGGGCCAATTGGCCGTTCTCGATCGATACCTGGCACCACTTTCCTAGGTATTGCGCCCAAAAAAGCATCTCTGCATTTGAAGCTAAAAACGAGTCTCGACGACGGCGGTGCCTAGCACAATGGTGGATACCCACGCGGAGCGATGTATCGACGTCTGCCATACACTACAAGTCCAGGTGTTCAAGCGCTGTCGAACAGTCAGGTCATTGGCCGTTGAGGCTTCGATCTTATTTCCGCCGCCTCTTTTGTGCAAACTCTTCCGCGCCGGGGGGTAGATGGATGTCCTTAACTCCAGAGCTCTCAAAGACATCCTCTACCATTTTCCTCCCCTTTCTCATCAAATAGTCTATAGCCGCGAAGTCTCTGCGCTTAACGCCTCCACCCTGGCTCGGCGCTCTGAAGGCGTGGCGCAGGTAGGTGACGAAGTGAGGCTGCGCGGGCTGAAGAGGGGAGACGAGGTAAGCATCGAAGTGGATAAGGTGCGGTCAGCGGTCCTTGAGTTGCGCTTGGAAGGTCCCCGGTCACTTCTATAGCTGCTGCGCGCACCAAGCTCTCCTCGATGCCATTTGACGCCAGCAATCTACGAGTTTGCAGATGTCGATCGCCGTGACTCACCTGTGGTTTACCTCTGATAGCCCGCAGCCCTCTGCGATATAGCGCTAAGACGTCTCGTTGTGACTGCGTGTACTTTGGCATCTCGAGACACGGCGGCTCCTGCTTCTTGGCCAAGTCTCCACTAGCGAACGGCACCCTCCAGGTGGCTTTTGGCGTAGCGTATTTTCGTTCTCGATGAACCTCCAGCCTAAGCCGCGTGTAGTCGGCAGACCCCTTGCGCACGGTTTTCAGCACGTCTGAGCTACAGTGCTGTCGTTTCGCTACGCTCTGTATGGGACCACTCACAATTGTAGCAGGATGAGTCGATGTTTTGACTGCGTCGCTCGAGCTTCACCCCTGGAGGCACCGCCTTGTTGTGCTTCCCCAGCTCGGCGAAAAAGCGGCTTCTCGCCGAAGCGCGCCCCGACGTCCGATCCGTGCTGCAGTAGGCGGCTACCGCGATCCCATGCGCATATCACTCGCAAAGATTGGTCAGTGCTGCGCGCCTAGCTCCGGGATTTGCAAGAAAATAACCGAGTATGAAGGGATCGTGAGATCGAGGTAGTGACGAAACGCCGTGCAGCGCTACGCTCACTCACCACAACTTTAACTTCCGTAGAACAGGAAGTCACGAGTCGTGAGTGGAGGCGTGCTGTGTGCATGCTTACGATCGGGTGCGCAAGTGCATGTGACCACGTGATTGCCCGCCGCGCGCGTCTGGAGCTTCGCTGCAAAGCTGCACGACGATCACGGATGTCGTGACATTCACGATGATTCTTGATTTTGATTTCAAGATTTCATCTTATTCCGGCCCCGCTCCTTCCATATCGGCAGTTGGCATCCACCTAGCGTCCACGACACGGCTCGCTACAGTCGATCACAGCAAGCTAAGAGAGACTGCTCAGCAGCGCTAGGGCGTACCCAGACACCTTGCCTGCGGCGGATCAACAGGGACAAAAATGTCACAACGATCTAGCCAAGGTCCTTTTACGCAAGGCCCGCCAGAGGTGATCATGATCGACGATTCGGATGACGAAGAACTTCCACCAGTGTCTAGCATCGCTAGCACCTCGCGCAATACCTTGAGTGGTCAAACGAAGCAAGAAGCAGCTTTGATCATTTCCGAAGAATCTGACTCTGCGCAAGCCGAAGAGATCTCTGGTAGCGTGGAAGGGCTCCCGCAAGAACCACCAGCCTCGGGGCAGCCACAAGCAACGCCGCACGTTCAGAGACAGGTCGTCACAAATGCTGCCAATGCAGGCGAAGATGTGGAAATGGAAGACCCCGCGGAAGGTCCCTCCTCATCGCGCTTGGCGACACCACCACCTCGGGAAGCGGTCGACGCCGCACCTGGAGAGCAGGCCGCAAGTGCAGCGGAGCCTCGGAGCGTTGCGATATCCACCTCGCTCGCAGGTCCTGGTATCAGGCTAGCAGATGTGCTCAAGAGCCCTGCACCGCCAGAGCGTAGCCTTTCTTCCGCATCGCCCAGCCGATCGCAGACCCACTCTCACGCTGGCCCCTCAGTGCTCATGGATGGCAGTCGGCCACGCGCCATGGGGAGCGTGCAAGGAGAGGTACCCTATGAAGAGGCGCTGCAGGCTGCGGCTCGCGCTACTGCGGCTCAGAGGACAGCGGAGTCAGCTCAATTGGTGCGACCTGTCGCAAACACTGTCACCTCGAGCACAGTGCAAAGATTCGATCGCGACTCGACATCAGAGGCCTTTGCCTCGCCAGTCGGAGCACTAGCAGACCCGGCCACCACTTCAGCACCAAGCGAGATTGCCGACGCGAAGAGTTTTGCTGATCTGTCTGAGGCGAAGGCTTCAGAAGCTCACGTGGTCACTTCAGAACCCCAGAGGACGCCAGCATGGCATCCCCAGGGAGTTCTCTACCCTGAAAGTAGAAGCATTTCGACTCCTCAGGAGCTGGTCGACCTCGTCGCTAATCCAGATCCTTCTCTAGACCTGAACGCAGTGGCGGAACTTGCACGAGGTCTTCCAGCCGGGCCAGGTGGTATAGGCATGTCGGCCTCCATAGATCTTGCAGAAAGCGGCGAATTGCTGTTACGGACATTGCAGGCTTCGAATCTTCAGCTGGCTGCTGGCCAAGTCTTGCAGTACGCCCCCTCCGTACAACCAAGGCATGGACTTCCCGCTCATCCCGATGTGCTGAGAACAGGACTGGTCTACTCTCCTGCCATGATGCTGCACTGCCCGCCGCAAAACATGGACGAGGATCCAGAAGTGTACGATCGGCATCCTGAACAACCCAAACGAATCTCTGAAATTTATCAAAAATTGGTTGCGCATGGTTGTGCAATGAGAATGAAGAAGATCAACATTCGCGAGGTCACGAAAGAGGAGACCATGCTGGTACACGAGGAAGGAGTTTGGGATGGCGTGGAAATTACTGCGTGTGAGTGAAAGCAGTGGCCAGCACGCATGATGTTGAGAACGGCGGACTGACCTGATGGCTCTCTCGCGTCTTTGTGTCAGTCCATACTCTGGATGTGCTTGGCTTAATCTCGCAGCAACTTGAAGCGTCTTCATCCCTGTATATCAACCAGCACAGCGCCAAGTGTGCACGGCTGAGTGCTGGGGGCGTAATTGAAATGGTCGATGCTGTGGTCTCGGGTACCATCAGGAATGGCTTTGCAATCGTTAGGCCTCCGGGCCATCATGCAGAGCCTTCGAAGAGCATGGGCTTCTGTTTCTACAACAACGTGGCTATTGCGACAAAGTGGGTCATGGAGAAGTACAAGAATGCGGTCAAGCCCGTCAAAAGGGTTCTCATCCTGGATTGGTGAGTGCAGCACCGTGAGCTAAAGTCGAGAACCGCTATTTTGTGCTGAGGAAGCGTGGCGCAACGTCCACCAGGGACGTGCACCACGGAAACGGTACACAAGACGCCTTCTGGTCAGATCCCAACGTGCTCTACATATCCGTGCATCGACACGAAGACGGCAAATTCTTCCCTGGAGGAGAAGATGGCGGCATGGACAAGGTGGGAGGGGGTGCGGGCTGCGGCTTCAACGTCAACATCCCTTGGCCAGCCGCGGGCATGGGTGATGGAGAGTACATTGCGGCATTTCAACACATCGTCATGCCCATCGCGTATGAGTTCAACCCGGACCTTGTCATCATCAGTGCAGGCTTCGACGCCGCTTATGGGGACCCGCTTGGAGAATGTTTAGTCTTGCCTGCCGCCTATGCCCACATGACGTACATGCTCAGTGGACTGGCCGAAGGAAGGTGTGTGGCTGCGCTCGAAGGCGGATACAATCTGGAGGCTATCGCCAACTCTGCCCTGAAGGTGACCGAGACGCTGCTCGGCGATCCGGCTCCTATGCCGGCTAATCTCACTTGCAACGCGCTTGCCTCGGCGACCATCAGACAGGTAAAAAGGGCCCAATCAAGGTATTGGAGGAGCATCCACTGGGACGACAACGATCCTTCAGCCTACGACGATGCTGGCTTGCCAGCCTACTCTCTCTCTGATGTCTTGCGATCGCATCGAGAGGCGGAGCTGCTCAGTACGTTGCCTCTTGCTCTCATTCCGATGGGTGACCCAAAGGAAACCATCGTGGACGAGACGGGAGTAGTGAGAGGCAAAGGTCGCAACGTCATGACCCTTCCGCACAGCAAGGAGGATGATGATGAAGGGCAGTATGATTGTCGTGGGAGTGTTATATGCAGCGCCGACCTACTTGATCGTACGCCGCCGCGCAAGGTGAGTTGCAGCGATTGTAACAAAGTTGTTCACGAACTTGACAAGGAGACACCTCTGGACACCTAGACGATCTTGCTGTTCGCTCATAGCCTTGGCGACGTGCGTATCGAGCGCCCGGGACTTGACATTTACGCTGAAAAGGAAGCAGCGCACCTTGTCGATGCCACTCGCACCATCTTGGATTGGGCTCTGGCACGAGACATTGGCATTCTGGATGTCAGTGTGCCTTCTCTAGCAGCATCGAACGAACATGCTGTGGACGCAGTCGCATCTGGAGAGGCTCTATCCCGCCTTCAGAAGGTGCAAACGGCCGCCGACCAGTTGCTGCTGTACATCTGGGACAATTACCTCTCGCTGGTGCTGGGAGCAAAGACCGACGTCATCTTGATCGGACATGGCTCCGCATGCGAAGCCATCATGACTCTCTTGAAGAATCGCGAGCCGACCCAATTCACGAAGCAAGTCAAAGCAATCGTACATGTCCTCGCGCATAGCACCATACCGGTCCTGCCAAAGGATAGGCCCGAGCTCAGAGCGTGGTACGGCCAGGTTTCTAAAGTATTCCTGCCCCACGATCACGCACTCTTTGCGGTTGGGGCGCAAGAGCGTTTCGGGCGAAGGCTTGGCAACATTGAACGTGCTCGTGAGTTTGGACCGCGTGGCTTGCTGCTCTCACTTCAATGAGCGTCGACTGACGGGTCGTGGATCTACTCGCCCCATCGAAGCTGCTGCGCCTCCTGGCACGAGGGAGCGTCCAATTGACCTGCTGCATCGCGCAGCTTCAGACATTCTGCAATTTATCGAGAAACAACTTGCGGCCCATACCCTCAACGGCTCTGCAGGGCAGCAACCAAAGAAGAAGACAATCAGTGCTGCACCTCTCGCTTCGCCGCGAGATTCTTTGCATCCTGCTGGTATGCCCAACGGCTCGGCTCCCATGGTAGCTGATTCAGACGAGGTGGTGTTCGTGAGCTCAGCACAGTCATAATTTGGGTCCGTCTTGCATCGCTAGGCAGATTGTCGATTCCGAGATTCAGTACGCCTTGCCACTCTTCAACACACGTCGTTTCTCACTCTCTGTCACCTCTTCTGCCAATAGATGAAGGCTTCGCCATCGTTGTGAGGAAAGGAACGAAGGTTCCTGCTTGCTCCAACATCACCAGCTCCGTACCCACGACGCTCGATGCTCACGCACTCGAACGCGCCTCGCAGCCTCAGTCAAGGTTCTCGAAGACAGGCCATCGGCCGCTTGCTTCCTTGCGAAGAGTGCTAAAATTAGGAGGATCAGCCGTGCGCGAAGGTCTGATCAGTACCGCTCGACAAGCCGCAAGCTAACGCAGGCTTTACAGACTCGAGACTCACGCAGCTGCGATGTACGACGCGCACGTCAAGGCGACGTCAGCGATCGCTGTCGTCTCTTTTTCGGCATCGTCCGGATCTGTGGAAATGGATGCATAGATGCTGAGCTTTGCGTACGCTTCTCTCTTCGAGGGGCGTGAAGGCTCACAAAGGTAGATGTGCGTCATGTACCGCTGTTTGCCTGCCCTTTCGAATTTGATGGTTCGCACTGGGAGGGCAAGAATTCAAGGGGGTCAGGAGACCAATCAAGAGGTCAAATCTCGATGTTGCTGACAACGCCGCCCGTTGGACTCACCTTCAGCGCAGCACAGCGTCAACTGGGCTCTGGTGACGTGGTACAGCTCCATATTGTGCGTACTATCGTGGGTCAACCACATGTACCTTTTGCCATCCGGCGCAGTGAAGAAGATCCTCTTGTGGGTCTGTCTTTTCAATCCATAGTCCATTCGGCACTTGCTATTGGGATGCACGACACGAACGGCCAGTGCTCAGAGCGGAAAGAAGAAAGTCAGGGTTGCAAACACTCACTAGCCTTGCAGACCCCACTGGGGCAGGCCCGTCAGAAGCCAATCGTCGTACGTGTCTCTGATCGGGTGCGCTTCGTACACTGGCACGCCGGAGCACCAGGCTAGCATCAGCGTCGAGCCTCTCGACAGTCATTTGTCCCTTCTTCGCTCACCAAAAGGTCCGTGACTGCCAATTCCGATTGTGAGCGCACCGACATGCTTGCCTTTGTAATTGAAGAATCCCGGCACCTGCGATCTGGCGCGAAAGACGACAACACTTCTTTTTTGTTCTGCTTGTGGATGCACGCCAAGGTCTGCAAGGCAAGTGGATTGGGCAGAGCCTTCCATGTCCTCATCAAGTCGTTGTTGCTCTTTGGTCGGCTGAGGCTTTGCCGCATTACGCCTCTCTTGCACGTCCTCCTCCTTCATAGCCGTTGACTGTGGCAGCTCGCTTTTAGCCTCCATCTCGACCGTGCGCTCGACTGCAACTTGTTCCACAGGCTGATCAAGATCTCCATTGGCGTTGAGATCGTCGGCAGCGCTCCTGCCCACTTCGTACTGGTCATCGATAAAGAGCAATTCTTGCAAATCGCTAGAAAGCTCTATCCTCAACGCCAAGCTGGGACGAGTCTTCAACGTCTCCAAATGCACCTTGGTCGCTGCTTCCGAGGTTTTGGGCGCGCTAGCGAGAGCCGAAATGACGGACAAGATTTCGGACGCTTTACAGATGGAAGAGGAAGGCGTATGAGTTCTTGATTCACCCTGCTGCGCTCGATGTGCAGGTACCGAGCCTATCTTGGGAACAGATCTGCTACGAGGCGGATCATTCCGCCCTGCTCTTGCTGCTGCTGCTTCAGCAGCTCCCTCGTCGCTCGATTCTGACTGAGGCAGGTCGCTGTCTTGCACTGCGTCCGACTTTGCTTGCCCCAGGTCGTTGGCGCCGGGATGTGGCTCGCCTCCTACAGCGTCTTCCTTCCTCTCCGCCCCCAGATCGGCGCGAGGCTCCGGGTCGGCCATCTTGGCGTACAAAGCGGAAGGTGTATCGCTGGTCGATCGAGATTTGACGAGCGAAAGGCCAAAAGTAGCAGGAACAGTGTTGAGCCTTTGTATTCTGGTCCACGTCTGGCTGCTGTGCAGTGCGGAGCTTGCTGAAGCTGATGAGACGCTGAACGGTGAACGACGACGACAAAGCTGGCATTCAGGATGGTGTCGTCGAACATCGAAAAAGAAGCATCAGCACAAAGCCTAAGCCCGGGGTGCCTGTATACACCTCTTGCGTCTAGTGCTTCGCGCCGAATTGACTCGGCGGAGTGAAAGGGCGATATGAAGTCCGCCTCAAATGAACCTGGGTACGTATACTCTACTGAGGGCCGTTAGCACGGATTGGCGTAGCATATGGATGCTACATAATGAAGTCTGCCCCAAAATGAGTGTGCCGGACGAGAGTCGCATCGCGAGGAAAGGCCAACTGAGCAATGAAACCACCCAGGAAGACCAACAGATCCAAATACTTGGCGATAATAACGCCACATCGGCAGCCACAAATGGGTGACGATATCAGTGTCAGAAGCAGAAGTAAAAGCAGAGAAAGGAAGAAGAGTTGTGGCCTCGACCATTAGAATCAAAGGAAAGGCCAAAGGGGATTCGTGATTGATCCACTCCTTTCGTTTACTCTGCTCTCACCTCTAGTCCACCATTCTTCAAGCTCCACTCATCTCGTTCAAACGATCGCAAAGCAAAGCAAGGCAGAAAAGACTAGACTAGTCACGAGTCCTATGCTCCTGCTCAACTTCTTCATGTAGGTGTGGCGCTAATGTCACCATTCTTCAGAGGCCTGCGCGTCTGGCCTGAGTGGTGAGGACGCTTGAACCATGCCGTCGAAACAGGCGTGGCCGCGTGCACCGAGGTGCCACGTTGCACACTCCCGCCTGGCCACTCGCGCTCTGCATTCCGGCCTTAGCGGAAGGCCGAAATGAACACTTGACCGCAAATACGGACCGCTCGAAGCCTTGGTTGTGAAGCATCGTGTTCCAGGAAAATAGCAGGTGGACTAAGCGCGATGGACTCACAGACTCTGCCATAACAAAAGCACCTCACTCAGCGCCTGTTGATCACACGTCATGGCACACGATTTGCGGTCTGCGATGTATGGGTATTCCGATGGTCGGACTGATACTGAAAGCTCTGAGGCTCGTCGAGCTGCTCACGAGGCTTTCTGTCGTGAATCTTTGTGGGACGACGGGGACAGGTGTGAAGCTTTGTGGGAAGGGGACAAGAGAGACGAGACTTGATGGTGCTTGTGCGTACTAGAAACAATGTGTTGGGAAGAATCGATGACTTGGCTCTTTGGGAAGGGATTCTTGATCGTGAAGAGCAGGCGAGAGAGTGTAGCAAAACTCCTGCGTCCTTGACTGCAGCTTCCGATAGGATGGGCTGTCGATGTCCGGAGCGCTTCTCGAAAGTGTTGTGGGGACAAGGAAGATAATCATGATACATGGTGGAAACATTCTTCAACCACTGTTGCTTGGCGGTTGCGAATCTTCACGCTGCGATGCTGACTGCTGGAGGGGAGACGTAGATGACGCAATGGAGACGAGAGGCGATGGCGTTCACGAGCGCGGCCACATTGGATGCACGCATAGGATAGCGCTTGGCTCAGGCGACTGATGACGAAAACATCTGTCTGCCTTGCAACGGCGCTCCTTAGTGAGCCTGAGGACGCGGCACGCCGGTGTCAGCGCCAGCCGGGACGCCCTCTTCCGATGAAGTGCCATCCTGCCCTAACGTGTCGGCGGTCTCGACAGACTTGCTGCTGGGCTGAGCGCCGAAGCCATAAGGGTGTGCACCGTAGCGGCGACCATCGACTTCTTCGGCCATAGCGTGAGAGACCTGAGGAAGCATAGCGATAGCGGTAGCGTCTCCAGCGGGATCCTCGTAGCGTTCCTCGATCGTCATGATGTGGATTCCTCCTTCGACGTCGTCACGAGGGGCCTGGCGCAAGAAGTGTCCGTTGCCGCCACCGTTGCTGCCGTTTTTGCGGAAGAAGCTGCTCGTACCACGACCATTCTCGGTGACCGTGTTGTTGGAGGCCGTAGGCACAAATCGACTGTGGCGAGTGTTGCGCACTCCAGAGACGGCGGCAGCTTCCTTGGTCGCACCACCGGTGGAGCTGGTGTTCATGGTGTAGCGTTGACGGTCTTGGAGCATAGCTCTAGCATTGAGGGTGGACATGAGCGAATTGACGTAAAGCTTCGCGAGAGGCAAGTTGAAGAGCAGGTGCGCAGTCGTCGTGGAGCAAACGAAAAGGATCAAATCGATGGTCGCAACGCCAGCCGTGAGTAGACCAGTCTGAAGCGTGAGACGGATGAGCTTAGTGATGATGTCGTCGGTCTGTTGGAAACCAGTGCGGCTCTTGTTCAGGGTAGCGATCAGCGCAGACGTGATGATAATGTCACAAAGGGCAGCGCAAGCCAGCCAGAGAATGACGGCGACCTGAAACTTTTGAAACTCTGCAAACTTGCGCACGATCTCCACACCGATCGTCGTGCCGATGGAGGAGAGGAAGCTGATGACGGCGGTGACACCAACCACAGCAGAGATCCACCAATGAGACGTGAGCTTCCAGATGCGCCAAGCAAAGAAACCCTGGGCCATCATGGCGATAGCAGAGGTGAGGATAGGATCGGCGCTGAAAGTGTGCGTCGCGACGGAAGCAACCTCGAGATCTCCAAAGTTGGACACCAAGTAGAAGTATGTGAAGTGGCTGCACAATGCAGTGTGGAGAGTGTCGGCGACGAAGAGCACCGCGATGAAGATTCGCATGAGGCGCTTGTCGTTTGGAAAGTTGACGAAGCTATTCATAGCGGCGGGTGGGTGTCAGCACGGACAGTGTGGGCGGTGAATCACTGCGCGAGTGGGTGAATGCGCGCATGGATGCAGTGCCGCCTCAGTACTCACTACAGGTAGGTCTGCACGACACTGAAGCCATAGAGCCAAATGTTGAGCATGGTGCCCAGGAGGATGAAACCCAGGCTGTAGTCGAGCGCGTGGTGCGCGTTGAGATCGAGCGTCATGATGTCCAACTGTCTCGATTCAATCGATGCAGCGAAGTCGTAAGTGGTGGCTGTCCTGAACGATTTGGGTGGGCTGGTCAGGGTGCGATGGTCGACGACTGCAAGTCTCAAGCAAGGGCGTGTGTAGCTTCTCCAGGAGGGTCAAAAGAGTATGGAAAGCGAGAAGTGCGGATGAGTGATGTTTGAATGTCGGAGGATCCCAAGCAAAGCCCAGCGGACAAGCAGGGGAGATGAAAGTGGGAGGGGATGGTCGTGGTAAGAAGGGCGGAGGAGCGCTGGGGGGAAGAAAGCTGCCGATGGTGGAAGCGGAGACAGATTGGGTGGATGAGTATGAACGGTATTTGTAGCAAAGCGTCAGGAGCGTCTGCAGGTGGATTCTTATGTGAGTGCCCGCACGCAAGCCAGTCACTAGAGATTCGCGAGAGCACTTGTGACTTGCTGCTTCTGTATATCGATAGGTGGATGAGCCGGGGGAGCAGTGCTCGATCAATCTCTGCGCAAATTGATGAGGTGGGTAGGCAGCCCAGAAGATCAGGGGCGGTGTGACTCTTGCAGCTTCGCTTCAGCGGAAGGAGCCGTGCACGCCTAGCTGATAGCAAGAAAGTGATGGGAGCAGAATGCCGCGGCCACTGAGGCGCTAAAAGTGGCGTGCGAGGGGATCAAAACGCGCGCTGTTGATGGTCCAACGGACGGGCAAGCTTGCATGAAGTTGGCGAGGAGTCGAGTGTGCGTAGGAGCTAGAGAGCGGGAGAAAGAGAGAGATGTAGAGAGGATGGCGTGCGTTCGCGACAGCAGGTGCAGTCAGCCACGACTTGTCGCTTCAAGTACCAATCAGCAGCAGGCATCAGACGACACACAGTCATGAAGTCCATCGCCTCTTTTCTTGGTCAAAGGAAGCAAATCGGGAAGCAGAGCAAGAATCGTTATGAGGGGGCCGAGCGCATGGAGTCTTAGGGCAGTTGGCACTGGTGCGATGCTATGCGAGGAGCGTGAGAGCAAGCTTGAACGCTTTTCGCAACGTTGTGCTGCGCGAGTGCAGCAAGCAGCATCATCATCCTATGCAGCAGCAGGCGCAGGCTTCTTTCGGAGACTAATGCGCGGCACAACCCCCTCGTACCGTAGACGCGCACCTGCATGCATGCCGCTGCTGCTGCGCTGCTGCTCCATCGCTTCGCAGCTGTGCATCTTCCTCTTGCATATGGGATCGAGGCGCCAGCTCACCTGACTGCTGAGGCCTCGACATATGCGAGAATTGCATCCACACCGCGTCTGGATCAAATCTGTAGGAGGGTGTTTCACACTCAAGACTTTGAACGACGCGAGGCTCTTGATCGCTATTTGGCAGGGCACGGAAGCGCGACGCTACGCCCGAGACTCAGAAGCTCAGCAGTGTGACCGCGTGTGAACAACTCGATCTGACTCGGGATACACAATTACAAGTGTACGATGGATGTATGGCTGTGTGCTCTTCTGTCTCAGTCGACCATTCAGAATTGCCGCGGTATAGCTGTGTACCCGCGCATGCATACCGAGAAGTCGAAGAGACGCACTTGCGTCGTTTCGGAGCAAGCTGGTCATCGCTTACCCCGAGTAGTATTCACAATCAAGAATCAAGAATCTCCCTTCTTATTGTTGCTACCAATTGTGATGCTGTCTGCACGCTCCTTCCAGCGTCACGCACGCATCCTGCTGTCAAGCTCGCTGTAGACGTGAAGCTATGCAGGGGGTGTTGACTCTGCCAGCGCCGTGCTCGTAGCTTGACATCCGCGTCCGTGATTTCTGATTCGAATCAAGAATCGTGAATCTAGCACCCTTCTGACTCGACTTTCTCACCACATAGCCACGCTAGCGCGAGCCCTGCCCCTGCGTCGATTGTCGCGCACGTTACAGCAGGCTGCGCGGGGGGGATGAGAGGGGAGCCGCTAAAGCCTCAGAGCGCCGGCTTGGCACGCCTACGGTTTTCGGGAAGGACTGAGCGCGGTATCTCACCGCGCTGCGCGACTGCGACTTACTTGACTGTTGCGACTCTTACTACTAAAACTACCACACGGGTATCTACAGACCATATGTACGTTATGTGTGCATATATATATATACATACGGTTGAGCGCCAATCTCGGTGTAAATCGATGCACACAGCAGCAGATGTAAGAGAGAGTCCTGACTCTTGACTGATCAATCACAGAACCATCTTGAGTCCGCGTGACCTTCCATCGTGGATCCCATATGGAAATTACCAAAATAACACACCAATCGCCATGGCATGCAATTCAAATTGCAATCACAATCTTGAATGTGTCTCATTTCGGAGAGTCACGAGTGTTGGACGTGGCGGATGTCGCACCCTTGACTCAACTTCTTGCGTCATATATACGTCTCGGTCTCGTCACTGCTCGTTCGTGACACCAAATTGACCATTTGTGCGATTTGACCTTCAACTACTCTGAGTCAGAGTGCGACTCAAGCTTCAATAAGTGATCTGAATTTTAAGGTTCGATGCTGCCCTCTCCAGCATGTACAGGTTGAGCTAGCTGCGCCTCATCGAGTCGCGCTAGGCTCATGCATGATTGCTGCTGGCTCCGCGGAGGCCCACAGCCGACATCTAGAATTGCAAGCGCGCGTCGCGCGTCGCGCGTCTGCCCTTCGCGATGAGGCCGACCGAACGCATGCGGCAACCCGCAGGTCTAGTTGCAGGTGTGGCGCACAGGCTGCATCAGGGTGACCCACATTCACGCGGCACCAAATCATGAAGAGACACGATGGAGGCTGCGCATTCATCAGTCGTTACAAAGTCGTGAGTCGTCGTGGGTGAGGTTAGAGAAATTCATGCAAGTGGCTGAGGGGGTAAGTAGTGGTGGTAGCAGCGGGTGTATAGACGCTCCTTCCACAGGTCCACCACGTCGACATGGGAAAGCGTGCTTATGGTGATTCAAAAATCACAAATGACGCTGATTGGGCAGCAACATATCTATACCATGTCTGCGTCTTGCCCGGCATTCGTGATTCAAATCAGAATTGCGATCAACTCGGCTCGTAACACGAGCTGTGTGGTCACTCGGGCAATGCAGCGCGGTACGTATTATAGAGCGAGCTATATATGATGGTAGCGACTCGAGCAATTTGGGGCTGCACGGGTCGTCCCATCTTTGGCAGAGCACGATTGGGCAGCGACGTGCAGGCAAGAGGATGCGCGTGCGAGCAAAGCTGTGAATCGCTCTTCCAGACAGCTCCCACGTCCCGCAAAACCCTCACGCGCGACTTTAGCTGTGGACCTTTCCCCTCGAAATGCTCTGTCGAGTGACTGTAGGGAGGCTGATTGAAGGACCTTGAATTCGCGGTCCAAGATGCTGGAGTGTAGCCTCGGTCTCTTCGCAAGGCACGGCGCCAGCTAGCTCATGACGAATCACAATCACAATGCCCTTCCGACTCGCGGCTAGACACGCAGCCAAGTCATTTCGCTCGAGAGGATCAAGCCCAGGACAGTCACAGTGACAATAAGTCTTTCTGCCTTGCCGCCTCCGCCACCAACCATCATCACGACGCGCAGCAAGCTCAGCTGCATGAGCCAGCCAGCCTCAAAAGCGGCGCTAAAGAATGACTGGCGTGAGGCGTGGGAGTAACGAGTAGGCACGAATGTCAGGACCTGCGCAGACCTCGCTCTTACTCGTCCGATTGGGAAGGTCACCCGCCCGCCACACCGGCCGCCAGCCAGCCTGTGCGTGTATAGATGCAAATGCAAGGAGGTCTGACATCTTGACCCCGACAGCGCGTTCCCACGGTCGTAGCGCGACCCTGGGGGCGGCCAAGGTTGATATATAGACGCTTGATCCGTGATTATGGTGGGATCGCAACGCGATGCGCAGCGACTCGCGCCTACAAGCAAAGCGTGGCTCGCTCGTCTTCTTCTTGTTGTGGTAAAGGTACTCGTGACTGTCAAAGCGGACCCGCCTGCTGCTTCTGAACGAGACTGTTGTCACTCTTGACTGACTGTGTGACTCACGACTGCAAGGCCGCGAGCGGGGCATTCGTGATCATTTGGAACGATGTGCAGAACACACGCCCAGGAAGGCCCTTCGGCCGGTGAGGGATTTCTCGTACGAGAGATCTGCGCTCGGCCCTTGTGGAGGAATCGGAATGAAAAGTCAAAAATCTAGCTGCAGCTGCTGTCACGCGAGCAGAAGGCTTCGACCTTGCTGCCTCCCTGTACGCCAACCCGCCTCTACGTCCTCCACCCAGACTACTCCTCCCATTCACAACTGCCCACCACTACCTGAGCGCTTATGCTGTCTCTGCCGCGTTCTTGGACCAAGCTGCGCACTCACAGCGATCTCGTAGCGGGCGCATGCTGAGGAGTCTCTCTGCGCGATCCGCCCCCTTCTCCCTGGGCACCCAGCGAGGACGTGTAGGGATTTCTGCGAGGAAGGCGTCTCATCACTGGCCCACCCCATCACTTCGACCATTGAGCAATTGGCACAAGATGCCACTTGATCTCACGATGGCCGAGGCTGGATCCTCGGCCAAAAGGGGGCCCGAAGTCCGTGCCAATGGACTCCCAGCCGGCCCAGAGTCAGACACTTTGCAAGCTTGCGTGCGCGATGACTCAGGATATCCATCTCGTCGCTTTCAAACTCGGCTTCTGCCAGCCCTCGGAACTTTGGTGGAGAGATCAGCTTCCGTCTCTACGGCTAGCAAAGCTCTGCGGACCGGTCACGCCGTCGCTTTCCCAACAGAGACCGTGTACGGTCTGGGAGCCAGCGCTCTCTCTTCATCCGCCGTTCTCAAAATCTTTGCAGCCAAGGGCAGACCGGCCGACAACCCACTCATCGTTCACATCAGTGATCTTCCCATGCTTTCCAGCATCGTTGACCCGGACTGGAGACCATCCGAAGCTTACCAGGCGCTCTTCAAGCTCTGGCCAGCTCCGATGACGCTGCTTTGTCCCGCTAAGAAAGACTTGCCGAGGGAAGTTACTGCTGGTCATTCTACTGTGGGGGTGCGGATACCGCAGCATGAGCTGGCCAGGGAGTTGATACGAGCTGCTGGAGTACCTCTAGCTGCGCCCTCCGCCAACGCCTCGGGAAGGCCGAGCCCTACTTTAGCTGCGCACGTCATGTACGATCTGGGCGGGGCGCTGGATGATGCACGCTTGCAGGCAGGCGTTGCGGATGATCCAAGGAAAGGCTTCTCGGCGGCAGGAACGGCGTCAGTCTTCAGCTCATCCATGCGTGAGCCGAGCTCGTCAAGAGGAAGGGTGCCATTCATCTTGGATGGAGGTCCTTGCACCTTGGGTCTGGAATCAACAGTGATCGATGGTATCACATCCACATCTGAATTGCGCATCCTTCGGCCTGGTGGACTGAGCGCAGAGAGCATTCAGCAGTGTCTGGGAAGTGCTGATCTATCCGACAAGTTGGAGGTCAAAATCTACGGCCAGCAGTCTACCGGGGCGAAAGCAATGGAATTTGAGGAGCAGATGTTGCTCAACCCTACGACGCCTGGAATGAAGTATCGACACTATTCGCCGGATGCTAGGGTGGTTCTAATAAGAGCGACAAAGTCAGCAGGAACGCGAAATCCTGCTTCAACATCCTCACATCTTGGAGCGCTGCTCGAAGCTCAGCTGGAAAGGTCAGGCGCTGCACAGGGTGGGGACGAAGCGCAGGTGGACATAGGTGTGATGAGCCTCGACTCGAGCCTGCTCAGCACGTCGATCGATGCTTTGTGCGTCGCTTCACGCAGTACGCTCACCGATTCATCCTCTGTGCCCGAAGCGCAGCGAAGTCATCTTCGACGGCCCATCGCGCTGCGCACGTCCCTCGCGCACTCTCGACCCGATGTAGAAGCAGGGTCGCTGGCCGAAGGGTCAAAAGCGAGGAAAGTATTCATTCACCGCTTCTCGCTCGGCAGCATTCGAGACCCTCACGAAGCCGCGAGCAGGCTGTTCCAAGGGCTCAGGGTGCTGGATGAGGTCGAAATCTTCCACGAAAGCCAAGAGCAAAGCGACGGCGAAGGTGCTGCTGCTGGGCAGGGACAGGAGCTGGAGCTGGACGCATCGAATGGACGGGGTTCTTTGAGGAGACGCAAGACGGGATGCGATGTGATTCTGGTCGAGAGCGTTACGGAGCAGGGTATAGGGCTGGCCATCATGAATAGACTCAACAAAGCTGCTGGAGAAGTCGTTGAGATTGACCTTTGAGAGGCCACGCACCGCACCCGCACCCGCGTCCGGAAAAGGTCCAGAAGCACATCTGCCAGCTTTGCAGAAGTCGCTGGTTTTCTTGTTATTTTGGTGCCTTCGCACAAACACATACCCTTTTCGCTGCTCGCATTTCTTTTTACAAAAAACATATCATTGCAGCCGTCGCGAGGGCGCATATCCTTTGAATCTGACGGTGAGATCCGGAAAAGAAGGCGAATGGAGGGAGGGAGGAGAAAGGGATGGATGGTGGGAAGAGAGGGGGGGCAGGCAATCGATCCAGTCGATGCGCCAAACGTGCGGAGCGGGTGTGAAAGTGTCCTTGCAAATGGTGGAGAGGTATGAAGAGCGACCAGGGAGGGCAACGAGTCAGACTTTGGAGAGTGGCAGGACGGCAAAGGGCACGAGATTCGTAGTGTACAAGAAGGCAGGTTGAAGCGAACGAGACTAAGCGATTCCAAGCGACGACATTTTGTAGACGATGATGGTTCAGATCACGGGATGGGAGATGCATGGCTTGCTAGCAAGGTCAATGCGAGGCGCCATTGTAAGCGTACGCCTGGTGTTGATGATGATGTGGTGATTGTTCCTGTCGGTGCTGCTGCTGCTGGTGGTGGTGTTGGTAGTGGTAATCTCCTTGTTCGGGATGACCATACGCTTGTGCCTGCTCCTCATAGCCGCTGTAGGCTTGCCCATAGCCCTCGTCCGCCTGCGCATAGCCATCAGCCACCTGTTGAGGCGAGGCGAGTTGGGCATCATGATACTCTGACCTCTGAGTCTGGATTTCGCCTTGCTTGCTCTTCCACTCTTCCTGATGAGCTAGAGGCGAGCTGCGCTGCTGAGCGTACTGATCGTGGTGAGAAGTTGGTGCTTGGCCAGCCGGAGAAGGTGCGCGTCTGGACGCGTGACTTTGTGACGAGGGTGGAGGACCGTAAGCGCTTGCGCGAACTCCATAGTCTGCCAAGACGCCTCCATAAGGTTGACTAGACCTGACGCCAGCAGCATTCGAGTCGTACGTCGACATGTGATCTGCCGAAGAGGAAGAGGAAGATCCGCCGTACCACGCCATCGCCTCTTCACCATTGGCAGCAGCAGGTGTCAAGCTGCTGTAAGCCTGCTCTTGCGATTGTCGTCTAGGCGCACCGCCCGCTGCCGGTTGGGTTCTAGCAGTCTCGTACGAAGGCCTCGCTCGATTCGCCTCGTAGCTCTTTCGTCTAGCTTCTGCACCATAAAGCTCTGGCGACGGCTTCAGGATGCCCGCAGGTGCTGCTCGCGAACCGCCCTGCCAGGAGTCTACCGCAGGTGTGACGTTGATGCTGGGTGTGGATCCTCCTGCGTGCGCAGTCAAAGGATCAGTAGCTCCCAAATTAGATCGCTGCTTCGGCGCGTTCGGTGCGACATTGCCGTATTTTTGGGACTGCTGCTGTTGCTGAGCGTAGCCTGCTTGGGCAGCGCGGGGAGATTGCAGGGGATCTTGTGGGTAGGCGCCGTGATGGTTGTTGTTGGCAGGTAGATAGTCGCTATTGCCCGTGCTCGGCCTCGAGCTGTATGCTTGCTTGTAATGCGACTGAGGGGATGCAAAGGAGTTGTAACTGTCTCGACTCGCAGATCCCTTCAGTGCGGGACTCTGCGGGCTGCCGATAAGGTTGTCCGAACTACCGCTCTCGAATTGATTCCATTGCGTCTTTGGCGTGGATAGATGATCGTCGGCGTTTCCGACCGAACCACGCTTGGTCACATCTCTCCCCACAGTCGGGCTGGGTGCGGTCGCGTCGTAGGAAGCGAAAGAGTCGCGCTTCCTATGTTTGGCAGTCATAATCACTGAACCAAAAGTGACTGCAGAGATTGGCAGAGGAATGTAGAGAATTAGTGTGGGTATTTTTAGACGTCGCCGGCCTGTCTCACTCACTGCCTAGCAAACCAGCCGCCGCAGATGCACCAGTTGCAATGATGTGGAAGGGTTCAAGAAGAGCGACCCTGATGAAGAGGTCGACAAGACGATGTGAGCACAAGAGCAAGGTTCTTTGTGAGCACGCCATTGGGCCTGTTCAGCGCTAAGCCCCAAAAAGGTGGGAGTTGCTGATGGTGCCGACTGCCATTGTGACTCACCTGTACAGCAGCACCACCGCGCTGATCGATACGCCAATCAGAATGATGGCAAGAATGAGGATCAAAGCTCCCACATAAGCCGTAGGCTTCTTGAACAGCAAGGTCCTCTTGAATGCAAAGGTCAAGATTGCCAACGCAGCAATGACGGCGATCGCAATATCCACCCCAGCAACAGCCTTCAAAATTGTCAATTCCCGCACAGGATATCCCTGTGATCCTCGCGGCACATCTCGAATTCCCATCAAGACGAAATAGGCAGATACGATGCTTCCGGCCAGTGCAAGGACGCCAAAAAAGATGACGGCTGTCAGACGACTGACCAGACCCTGACCGTCATCGTATGGATCTATCGCCCGGCCCATCTTGGCGGCACGAGAAAAAAGAAATTACGAGTGGATGCGCGCGCGCTGAAACGGTGCCGGGGCTAAAACTGCTGGGAAGGTCGAGCCCTCGAGAATGGCGGTGAGATTTTGCAGCAGCAGACTGAGTAGTTCAGAGAGCGGTATACGGCGATTAGCCCAAGGACGATGCACGATTGATGAGCCTGTATCGACACCGTCGAGACTGGATTAGCTTCCAAAGGTCGAGGTGGAAGGATTGTGATGCGCAGCGAGTCGGATGTTTGTACAGACAGGAGAGAGGGTTTGGAGAGGAGCAAAGGGGGGTTGAGGTGGGCCACGAGGCTACAAGAAGTCAAGAATTGTTGTGGTCGGATTCGCGTTGCGGGAGGCGTTGGTGGTGCGAACTGAATCGTGAACAGCGTCGCGAGTGTCCAATGAGGCAATCAAGAATCGCAAGCGACGGAGTTCCGCGAGCGAGCAGCAAGCGATTTGGGGGGGGAGGATAGAAGCTATAGGGATGTGGACAGGCTCATCAGCAAGTTATAGGAGTGCAGGGAATTGTGATTGTGAAGATGAATTACGAATGCACTAGACCGGTCTGGCAAATATCGAACAAGCATGGAACAATAATAATAAAGCGCCACATGCCAAGTCGACCGACGAGAGGGTCAAGCAGGACTTTTGATTCATGATGACACTGCCAAAAAAGGATCCGCAAGCAGCCCCCACACCCGCATATCATCCGCATCCGCATCCGCACACCCTGATCTGAGTAAGAACGGCGGCCGATGTGGTTGCGAAGTCTGCACTCGATCGTGACTGCACTGCACGCCTGCATGCGCACACGCCCATGACTCTTCGCGGAAATTTGGTGCGGAGGAAAAGCCTTGGCGGCATGAAAGCTCGACGTGCTCGGAGCTCCATGCAAAAAATAAATCCACGCGATCGAGTCAAAATAGGCGTCGAATTTTGAAAGCCAAAAAAAGTGTCTTCTTGCATGGCCGTGCATGCATGCATGCATGCCTGCATGGCTGGACTTGTAGACTTGCTTCAACCTTCAACTCGACTCAGTAGTCAGTGATTCTCAAAGCGCTTCTTTGTCCCGCCGCTCCGCTTTTGTTTGGATCGGCCGCCGAGTCTTGAGTGCAGCTGAGCTGCATTTTCATGCGCGCATATAGCCATCCGCGCAAGGACCGCTTGTATGCTTTGAGTCCGAGTGTGTTGCTGATTACAACTTATAATCATCGTAGGTGCTGTAGGTAGGTGTTATCATGTACCAGTCTTGAGTCGGTGCCCCCTCCCCCCCTGCGCTGTAGCTGCACCTCGGATGAACCACGGCGCGTGCGCTACAGCGAAATTCACGCTTGTGATCCCAAAGACCAGCACAGCAGATCATTTGCACTTTGACTCTCGATGGCCAAGCGAAATGTCCTGACTCCTGAATTCTGGGCGAGGCCCCCCCCCCCCCCCCTTTTTTTTTTCGTGTTGTGTATTGGAAGACGCGAAGTAATTTCAGCAAATTCGTGGTCTAGCGCGGCAAGTGTGCTCCTCGGCGAATCGCAAGCGTAAAACGGCAAAATGACCCTCTTGTAGCCGCCTGCTACTCCTCGAGTAATGCTGGTGAAGCAGCAGCAGCAGCAGCAGCAGCAGCGCATTCAAGATTTGCCTCTCCGTCCGTTCGCATCCAGGCACAAAGGTCCGGATGCAACTCCCTCCTTGACTTTTGTGTGGAGCGCGAGCAGCCCTTCCCTTGAAGCCCCGCTCGTCCTTTGCCTAATTCGTTTACCGGTACTCGAATATGTGCTTGCATGCGCATGGATGCACATGGTACGCCGTGCATGACGCGGCATGTCAGCAGAGCTTCAAGACGGTGAGTTGAGTTGCAAGTAGATGAACGTGAAGAGTCAAGAGTTCAGGGTCAAGAGTCCCTGAGTGCATGAGTCGTGATCGAGTCGGGCCAGTGCTGCTCACGCCAGTGGGAGCACGACAATCAGAATCGAGCTCTTCAAGCCGCTCGCGTTCTCCAATCGTGAATAAAGCTACGTCGACCTTGAATTTCAATCAAGAATAGCAGATAGCGCTTGCGTTATCGTTGCATGCACGCTAGCCGAGTTGGCGCCTGCAGCAAGCTTGTCAAGGTCCCGTGATCGAGCTGTCACTCTAAACTCATCGGCCGTGGGTTCACGATCCCGTCCCGTGACGGGAACGGCAAGTCGCAGCGGTACGGTACAGTCGTGAGTCGTTGTAGGGTACGTACCGGTCCATCGAGCAGCGTACGCGTACGTGTCCCTTGGTGTATACGTGTGGATGTTTACCTGCTCTCGAGGCGATACCTCGGTGAGAAGCGCTGAGTTCCGCATGGTCCGTCCGCTCGATCAAGCGATAGCAACGCTGGTCGACCGTCGATGCTAGGCAAGCGCTACTCGGATCATCGACCTCCGAGCGCACCACTCAGACTTGCGAACTCGCACTTGATCGTGCGAACGGCGACGTGAGCAAAGCGTCAGCAGCAGCTGATATGCCTACGCGAGCTCGCAGCGAAGCGTCAATCGGGGACGATGTATGACTCGAGGGAAGCGTGCTACGTCCTGTACTGTACTGGGCGCATTGCGCTCTTCGAGAAAGCCGCAATCACAAGAGTCCTAACCTGCGGACTTACAGTCGTGCGTCTGCACATTCATCATGATATGAAGCAGCTTGAATTTGCCTCTTTTTACCATCCGCTCATCGAGCATGGACAAGCTGTGTACATCGAATAGACTTAAACGACTTTGCTGCTCTGATTTGCTGTTCCCACGCTCGCAAATACCAGCCGGACATGCTTCGGTCAACGTCAGCCAGCTCAGGTCAAGAGGTCATGACGCAAGACTCATCAGGGTGTGTGTGGCTCGCGCGAGCGCATATCGGTGGCATGATCGCAGTGTTCAGGAAGCAGAAATCACGAGCTGTCATGGGGCCGTGAAGGACTGATAGATGGACAGACGATAGAGTAGTCGATTGAGGGCAGAAAGCTTTAGCGCGATCACGCCATCCGGCGATCTATTTGCGATCAGGGAGACGCGCGCGGACAACTCCGCGCATGTGCGCTCTGCTGAGACCCACCGACCGCGGCGTGATTGCCAGTCAGAAGTGATTTTTGGCGTCGTATATGCGTGATATGCTGATTGCGGTTTGAGTTTGCCGTTGCTGGTATCAATCAAATCACAATGAGTGAATCAGTCTTGAGTTCAAGCTTGATTATTCGCATATATATTCGCATTCGCATTCGCATTCGCATTCGCATTCGCATTCAAGCTTCAAGCTTGGCTGATGATGTCTGCGGGAGCGGCAAAGTGGACAATCTGAGCGGGTCATCGATTGTCATCCTTTTGCTTCATTGCACTCGATATCGTCGGTCACCTGCTCCACACTACTGACTCATCATTGGTCTCGTCGGCATTCAGACAAATGCGTCAGAGAGAGAGGAGGTGCGGTGCAGGCCGGCTATAGACCGAGCTGATGCTGGTCCTCAAAGTGTCTGCGTCTGCCAAGACCGCACTTCCTGCCTAGCCACTGGCTCTGCACGCTTTTGAAGTGAGAGACCGTCAAGCCGTTCATCGTCTTCACCACCACCACGCAAAGCGTTGAAGCGCTTGACGCAGAAAAGTCTCAAGTACTTGTAAGCCAGCGAGCTCATGTGCAGGGCATTTCACAATGGTGGATGTCAATCCCATGAACCCGACACCGGACGTCGAGATTCAGAGACGAGAGTCGCGCGAGAGCTACAAGGATGTAGATCGAAAGAATGACAGGCATTTGGGACCGCAAGAGCCACAGGTGGTGACAGTCGAAGAGCAGCGAGATCTGAAGCGACATCTTTCTCAAAGACACGTGTCTATGATCGCGCTGGCTGGAGCGCTAGGCACGGGTTTGTTCATAGGCTTAGGGTCTTCCATCCAGACCGGTGGACCATTAGGAGCTCTACTCGGATACTCGACGATCGGTCTATTAGTCTGCGCCGTCCAGTTCGCGCTAGGGGAGACTGCAGCTTTATTTCCGCTGACTGGAGGCTTTGTCAGACATGCGGACCTCATCACCGATCCTGCGTTGGGTTTCGCTGTGGGCTGGAACCTCGTCTATGGTAATCTGCTCTCCATCCCCTCGGAGATCACTGCTATATGCGTGCTCTTTCAGCTCTGGACGGATGTATCGCCAGCTGTCTTTATCGTCATCTTTATCGTCCTCACCGTCGCTGTAGGCATGGTCAACGTTAGAGTGTTCGGAGAGGTCGAGTTCGGCTTTGCAATGCTCAAGGTGCGCTCAAGTGCTCTCATCGTGGTAGAGACAGCGTAGCCGCGCTCACCCTTTGAAATGCCGCTGTATGTTGACAGATACTTTTAGTCATCTTTCTCATCATTTTTGGACTGATCGTCAATCTTGGTGGCGTACCAGGCACGGAGCGAATCGGTTTCCGTTATTGGGAGAATCCGGGACCCTTTGTGGAGTATGTGGCTGCAGGAGCCTGGGGACGTTTCTTGGGCTACTGGAGCTGCATGGGAGCAGCGGTCTTTTCTTTCGCAGGTACGGAATCCATCGCAATGGCAGCGGCCGAGACGCGCAACCCGTCTCGAGCACTGCCTCGAGCCTGCAAGAGGGTGTTCGCTAGAGTCTTGCTCTTTTACGTCTTGGCTGTGCTCGTCGTTGGTATGCTCACTGCTAGCAACGATGAAAGATTGGGAAACGATTCTGGAACGGCTGCTCAGAGTCCGTTCGTCATTGCAGCCTCAGCAGCGGGCTATCCTGCTGTTGGCTCATTTGTCAACGCCATCGTCATCACTTCGGCATGGTCTTCTTCAAACCAAGCTCTTCTGGCAGGTACGAGGGTGCTGTACGGTCTAGCACTCAAAGGTCAAGCACCGAGAATCTTTCTGCGGACAACATCTTGGGGCACACCTTATGTCTGTGTAGCTCTATTCGCATCATTCATGTTCTTGGCCTTCTTGAGCCTCTCTTCTAGCGCTCTGACAGTCTTTTATTGGTTGCTGGACCTTGTGGCTGCAGGGGTCTTGGTCTCTTGGATCACCATTCTGACCAATCATTTGCGTCTACGTCTTGCGCTCAAAAAGCAAGGTGTGGATCGCACAGAGCTGCCGTGGTCAAACAGATGGACTCGTGAGTATGCTGCTGACTTCTTTGATGCTCTGATCGATCAGCCGATTTCAGCTCCGTCTTTCCCTCGCCTGGCGCGCGCCTACCTCCGCCTTTTCACAGTCCATTCTTCCATTGCTGGATTGGTGTTTGCAGTCATCGTGCTCTTGACAAACGGCTGGAAGGTCTTCACGAAGGGCCATTGGTCACCTAGCGACTTTGTTTCGGCCTATGTGTGAGTATACTCGAACCTTTTCCCTTGCGACCCTCCATTCTGACTGAGCTGCTCTCTTCCACCATCTTGCTACGTAGAGACATTCCTCTCGTACTCACCGTCTTTGCTCTGTGGAAATGTTTGAAGCGCACCCGCCACGTAAAGCTAGACGAGATTCCGATCCTCGAAGCGCTCAACGAGATTCAAGAATTCAACGGGGACGACGAAAACGTGGCTAGAGGTTGGAAACGCGCCATCAGCTGGTTGTGGGAGTGAACGTCGAACTTTACTTTCAGGCAAAAGTCCCGCGCAACACCTTGCTTTGTTGTGTAACCGTACAGGTCCTTGTCACCTACTCGCATTCATGAACTGGGTCCAGCAAGTAACGTCAAATGAGCCCTGCCAATCGATTCGAGCGTGATGTCATTCAGGAGGGGCGGGAAGCGTGATAGAGTACAAAGCACAAGTTAGGCGTCGCGTCCTTTGATTCAGAAGCGGTCTGACGCACAATTCCACCATAATCAAGCGAAGGCATTTTCAGCGTCGACTCCCTCTTCGTCTCCAACTTCCATAGCGGCATCCGTGAAGTTCAGGAAATTCTGAGGGCGATGCCTCTCATCCCAGAACGAGGGAATAGTGTTGAGCTCGTACGTGGTCTTCATGGACGGTGCGAACTGGGCACTTAGGCTGAGTCCGTAATTCCAAGGCGCGTTCGGTCCGGCCGGCATGAGTGTGGTTCCAAGGATGCGGTCAGACAGCAAGAGCTGTTGTCGTTCGCCGAAAGAGCGGTCAAATCCTTGAGGGTTGCCCGACGCATCCATGGCACTCAATTTGCGGCCCCACTCGAAACCGGCGACGCTCAGGCTGTAAGCTGAAATGCTGACACTACCAGGCGTGAAGGCACAAGAGATGCACACGCTGCTAGCGCCCCAGCTTTCGTGAGCTGCCATGGTCCGAGCATGCGTGATGACATCCTCGGGAGCCATAAAGTTCGAGTCGGCCGATTGCGTCTTGATCCATCCAAGCGGCTCCAGATCCTTCAGCATGTAGTCATGCTGAGGCAGCTCGTTCGGAAGCTCGACACCATTGTTGCTGCCACGTTGTGGCAACCAGACAATGACTTTCACCTCTTTGACGGATGGCGCGTCGGACGGGGAGCTGCCGTACATGTATCCGGCGACTTGAGTGCGCAAATCGGAATTGACGATGAAAGTCTTGATGAGGTTCTTGGGCAGAACATACGTCAATGCACCTGCATCCTCCTGCACATCGTCGTTGGAGACATACAAGTGCTGGCATCTGAGTGGCAAGTTGGTGGCACTAAGGGCGCGAACACGCCAGTCTGATTTGGAGCTGAATGCAGTGTTGCCATACGCCGTGGTCGTGGTCACGGTAAGCTCGTCACCGTGCACGTTGGCGGTCTTGGTCTGGGTTGCTGTGACCTGTGCCGAGGCCTGAGCGCCTTGCTCGAGCTCTTGCATTTGTTGACGCTGCACACTGGGCGCTTGAATTTCTTGTCCAAGAAGGATGTCACGAATTTCGCTCGAGGTGAGGGATGCGACATTGACCTACACATTAAAAAATAGAGGGTCAGTCAAAGATTCTGATTCGCCCAATCTCAAAGCTGCACTCACCGAGTTCCTCTTCCCGTAGTCTGCAAGGATCAAATCACGCAGCTGAATCTCGACCTTGATCCATTCCTCGTCCGACAGGCTTGGCCAAATGTGGTGAGGCTCTGTAGTGACGCTGACGTTTGGACGAAGCACGATCTTGGCTTTCTCCTGGTTGACATGGATGGCTCGGAGGAGCAAAAGGACGCGGGAAAAGGCAGTGTAGCTCGAGATGGACGTGAGCCAATTGTCGTACAGATTCATCAAGATCATCTGCGGTTGCGTCGCCTTCAACACCAGATCACCAAACTTCTCCAGCTTGAGCACAGCGTTCCAAGGCACATTGAGCTCCGCACCACGAATGACGATGTTGGGGAAGTCGAGCAGATGCACTTCCAGAGGGTCGAGAAGACCTTTACGGCTAACGATGACTTGCTTCGGCTGCTCTTCAATGGGCAGCGATCGAATGAGCGCAGCAACTTCTTCTGCCGTTTTCCATTTGGCCAGCTGACCCAAACGCTTTTGTCCAGCCCAGACCGAGGTGTGGATGATCTTCAAAAATACCTGACCAGTGCGCGGGTTCAGGATAAAGATGGCGCCGTTGATCGGTTTGGTGACCAAGTTGCCCTCAAAGGTTCGGTGGATGGTCACACGATATACGTTTGTGTCATCCACCATCCAGATGACAGCATTTCCAAACAGCTCCGAATAGTTCCCAGAATTGAGGTAAGGCTCCGTGGGCTCGGAGCTGTACAGCTGAAGACCTTTGCGAATGCGTTCACGCAGCACATGCAGCGCCGGATTTGCCTTCATGATCTTCGCCATGGCCTGTTGTATCAGCGGCTTTGAGCCGGGGAACCAGTTGCCGTACGCACTGTGCATGGTGTATGCAAGGTCGATGGCAATCAGAGCACCGGTAGGCGAGGGGTAGATAGAGGTGCTGTCCGTCGAGTAGTCCAAAAATTTAGCTCGAGCATAGCGTTCGACGTCGTGCGAGTCAAAGTCACCCCAGCGAAGCTGAACGTCGAGCCACCACTTGTTGCTGCTGCTGCCGTCCAACACATCACGGGAATCCGTGAGCAGCGAAGGCCTGCTCATTGGCCACTTGTAGCTAGCGAACAAAAGGACGTCCGCACAGCTCGAGTTCATCTTGTAGGACTTTCTGGGATGGATCGTTTCCTTTTGCACCGTCTCGATCTGCAGAGCTTCCAGCTCATGGTCAAAGACTTGGCACAGATCCATCACCACCGACTCGTGAATCTTCTGCCACAAATGCGCGCGGAAGATTTGAATATAGCTGATCTTCAACGTCGGCAGCTTGCCGTGCATGAAGATGCCAGTGAGATCGAGCTGCACCTGGAAACCGACATAAACGTTTGCGCGGTTCAGGGTCGGCGACCACCAGAGAGTGAAGCGACGGTTGGGAATTTGGTTGAGACCAGAGCGCTGAGCATTTGTGAGCTTCTTGCTCTTCATCGACTCCTCAAAACCGCTAGCCTTCTCCCAGAAGAGACCCTCCCAAGTAGGGAATGCTGTTGCGGCGAAGAGCGTGTGTTCCAGGATACCCTCGACACCTCCTAGCGCGGCGATAACATCTACACGGTAATTGTTGAGCGACCAAAGCTTTCCATCGTGACGCTGATTGGTCCACCAGAAGGGCTGATACTTGAGCAGCTGGTACTGAGTAAAGTGCGTGCGCAATCTCCAGAACTTGTCGTACGACAGAATCGTGCGGTCGCGTTGGAACAGCGTATTGATTCTCGGTAGACCGCGGTCAAACGACGTTTCCAAATCTTCGAGCGTCAGTCGTCTGTTCTGAGCCGCCGCTTCCTTGCGCTTCTGGGCGTACTCAGCCCACACTCTGGCCGAGTCTGTGAATTCGGCCTCCCAAGGTACGACGTATCTGAACAGCGTTGGGATGATCGCAGCTTCATTCTGGAGGCCCCCAGTCTGCGCACCAGCGCGGAAGTGGCTGATGCCCGTCTCTGTCTGTTTAGACCAGCGCAGATCGGATGCAGGGATGAGGATATGACTGCAAGAGAGCATGCCGAGACCCCCCACTTCCGTGGGCGAGTAGAAGACCGCAGGTGGGAATCTCGAAGGCATCTTCGAATTCAGACCCATCTTGACACGCGTCTGCGTCTTATTCTCGGCCTTGACGATGAGATCCAGAAGCTCTGTAGTAGAGATGACCGCTTCTCTGTAGTACGTCACCAGACCAATGATGAGGGTGTTCCACTTGTTGGCGATCTTTTGGAACGTGGTCGCACCAGCAGCCATGAGCACCTGGCGAACTCTGTTTTCGAAATGCTTGATGCCTTCTTCCGACACGCGAATGAATGCTTGACTAGTACGTTCGCCAGTAGCATTGTGAACAAGGCTCCAGACTCCCTCCCGATCCTCGTGCACATCGTTGGTGCGAATCTTGGGCAAAATGCGGACCTCGAAACCTTGCATGCTGAACAGCAAATTGGGATTGTCTTTGGAGTATACGCTCGCAAAAGTGTCATCCCACTCGATGGTGGTAAGAGCGCGAGGCAAGCGGTTCTTGATGTCCCAAAATACGGCGCGTCCAAGGTTGACATCGTGCTTGATGAGACGCATACGGCAGTCGCGAGGCCAGCACTTGCGGTTGTTGTAGCCGATCAAGTTGGTGTTGTTCGGATCTGGGTTCGCACTGAGGAAGCGCTGAATGAGATCTCGACTCTCGTCTGCATCGAAACGTAAGAGCATATGAATGCGGTCGACATATCGGGTATACATCCTGATGGGATGACGTGTCTCGGACTGAGTATCACGGAATTGCAAGAAGCCGTTGGGCATCTGAGGAGGACCGGCCATTTCTGAAGAACGCTGCAGACCCAGAATCAGTAAGTCAAGAACCAGGCCCCAGTACTGGAAGACGAAACCGGAAAATTGGAGTCCGCGGATCAAGCCGTACGCATTGACGTGCGCCATGTCCTTGAAAACGATGGAGACGTTGTTCTTCGCCGTGATGTAGTCGGCCAAGTTGGAGTCCATGATGAGACGCAAAAGACGGTTGAGGAGCGTCAAGTCGATCTTCTCATACACCCTGCTCAGCGTCGTCTCCATGAGCACATTGCACTCCCCATTGCTCGTCTCCCAAATGTTCTCCAGATTGTTGATGCCGTTGCACCACTTGTACACTAATAAAGGCGGAGGCTCTTGATCGCTCGGCTTAATCCATGCCGGGAAGAGCTGCCGCTTGTCCGCCTCGTAGGACAGGTACTGGTCAAGATACGCATCAGTGATCTTCTCGATGGGCTCGATATCATACGTAGGAATGAGTTTTTCGTAGGTGTCAAAGAATTCCAGACCAACTTCCTTGAACGCACGCTGCGTTAGCATCAATCGCTTAATGCGCGCGAGAGTTTCGTGCGGGTTATCGAAGGCCTGTTCCACCAGGGCCAATTCTTCTCGCTGACTTTGGTTAAGGCGACCCTTGACACTGTAGGCCTCCTTTAGCTTTTCTAAAGCCAGCACGAGCAGCTTGGTGTCATGCTTGAAGTTAAGAGAGGGGAAAGGGATGGGCTGGAATCGACGGGATTCGAGCCAGTGCACGGTGGAAGTGTACACAGCGACGGCAGCCTCCGAGGTGATGTACGGTCCATCCTTGAGATACGAGTTCTGACGTTCTTGCTCAGCCTTGAGGTAGAGACGAGTGAGACGACCGAGGTTCTTTCGGGCAACCGTCTTGTCTACCGTAGCGCCTCGACGAATACGCTCGCGGTTGTAATGAGCCACAGAGGTCCACCAATCGCTCTTGTTCTTGATGTAGCGCAAAATCATATTCTCGATAGCGACGGGCATGCCGGGCACTTTCCAGGGAACGTTGGCTTTCCAGCATCTCCAAGCTTCGTTGAGATGGGACATGATTGTCTTGGCTTTGTTTTGCCTTAAGCCCTCGGGCGCGGAGTCCAGAATATCGTGCATGACGGCCGCACGCAATTCCAAGTCGAAGTGAGACTCGACTCTTTGTTTCGTGATGGTCGCGCTCTTGTTGCGATTGTTGCGCCCCTCGAACTGACGTGCGAGCAGATTGCCGAGCCATCGCTCGAGCAAGGGCGTGATGCCTCTCATAAAGTACATCCACACGCGCCAAGAAGGTGCCCAGAAGCCAACGCCAGGCCCCTTTCCGACCGGTCCACTGTTGAAGCGATGATAGATCACGTGCTTGAGGTCCTTGCACGCTCGAATCTGACGCATGATGCGGTACTTGTATCGGTAAGCACCGGTCAGCTGTCCGACGTGGTTGAAAGTGAATTGCAGAGCATCGGCGAGCTGGAAAGCATCGACATTTCCTAGTCGGAACATGACGTGCATGTCGACGACCAATTTGGTCAGGCGACCCAGCTCACGGACAAGGTGGAAAGCGTTTCCGAAACGAGACTTCTTCCGCTCCTTTGTCGTTAATGTCTTGACTGGCTTCAAGTTGAGATTGTAATCTGCGAGGTCAGGCGTAAAGGTGTCAGCGCTAGCAAATAAGTACGAAAGCGCACCTGTAGCGCGGCTCACCAAGATGCAAATACCTGAAAAGCGAAGCAAGTCAGGGTTGGCAATGTCAGTGGAAGCCACCGGCGTCACTCGCAATCCTATATTACTCACGTCAAGCCCTTGCGGTGGATCATGAGCGACAACATATTGAAGCTCTGGCGTTCCACCTGCAGACCAGCCTCGACCCAGTCCAGCGTCGTCTGCTGAAAGAACTTTGTCCCTTTCAACTGTTTCAAGAGGTACTTCTTCGTGTGGGCTTGGGGTGGACGAGTGTGCAGCGTGTTGGCGATCCATCGCTTGAGAAGCTTCTGATAGCTGACTCGCGTCTTGACCGGCAATCCCGCGGGAGAGTGCTCTTGCCACCAGCTCGAAATCAGCGGCACATCCAGCACGCGACGCGTACGACCACTTCTGAGGTTGTACGGAGCTGGCGCCCACCAGAGAGCGATTGCGTCGGTAGTGAGCTCATTGGTGAGCGAATCTTCGTCCAAGAAGGGCTCAATGTCGTCAGGGAGAGAGAAGGCCATCTCGTCTGGAAGATCATCGTCGCCATCCACTCCCACGCCAAACACTTCGTCCTCGTGGGAAAGCACTGGCTCCCCATCGTCGTACTCGGGACGGAAAGCGTCAGCGCTGGCTAAGCCGCGATTAGAGATGGGGTTGAGCACGGGGTCAAAGTAGAATGTGGGCAGATCCGGGTCTTCTGGCCTAATGAACACATTCCTGGGCTCATGATATTCCCCAATGTGCACCGATCTGGGTCGTGGATTGTATAGGTGCGGGAACGCCACACGATACTCTGTCCGGATCTGATGACGAATGATGACCTTTCGAATGTCATTGAACTCGTCCCAATCCGCATTGTCTTCTTCCGGGTCGTTGTACAGCGGTTCAAAGCGGGGACCGCCTGGAATGGCGACGTTGAGAGCCTTAGCCGTCAAGAAGGACTTCTTGTCGAAGAGGTAATGGTAGTTGGAATCGCCATTAGCGAAATCGCTGAGAAGCGTCTTGCCGATACGATGCAGCGCGGCCATCTGGGGCAGGTCAAGATTCCATGACTTGTAGCTGGGTCCGTTGACACGATTCAGATCTTCAATGAGAGGCTTGTTATCGTAAAACCAATCTATGATAGGAGCGTCTTCTTCCTCGTCCAACTCGAGCTGAATGGCTTCCATGGGTTCCACGTCGAGGAGATTGTCGCCATAGTCCAGTGGTGGCTCTTCATCGTCAAATGGCGGCAATCGCATGCGCTTGAAATGCCTTCTGTCACGCTTTTCACGACGCTGTGCCAACCACATCGCTGCCCACTGCGCGTGATAGATGGGTTCGATGACTCTTGGAATGTCGTTGACGAACGAGATGGCACCGGTGATGTGATACAGAACCGGCACCTCGCGAACTTGTTCCCAAGGCATGGGGATGTTCTCTAGCAGCTTGTACATCGCGTGAGGTACGTACTTGAGAGCTCCAAGATGGACACGCTTGTCCGAGCGATATTTCCTGTTACTCATGTCACCATGCTCCTTGATGATTTTGCGAACATGTTCGGGAGGCAATTCCTGCTTGCCAGTGTCGATGATGCCCGTCTTGCCTTTCCTATCACCGTACCGTCTACTCTGGCTCTGAATCCATTTGCGCGACTTGGCTGCCAAGGCTTCGTCGGACAGCCTTGGGACTTCGCCGTTGACGCCATGACTGGGAGTGTGAGATGCTCCTGCAGGGAACCCAGGTGGGGGTCCAGCACTGGGGCCAGCACTACCACGGGGGCCGGTGGGCACTCCCACAAAACCTGGAGGAGGCCCAGACATGTTGAGCTCCTGGTCTCCCTGGTTGCGGGGCCAATGAGAAAAGGGAGAAGAGACAGCAAGGCCGGCAAGCTCAGTAAGAGCTGGTTCGAGCGGAGGTGCAGAGGTAGGCTTGACCGCGTGGCCGACAGGCGCGACACCGACGAAGGCGTGTGGGAAGGGGAAGCTTTGAAGCTACTGCCGCAACGATGCAAGCTTATAGTCAGCGCGGCAGGGATGTTGGATGGTGTAGCAAGGAGCTCATTGCGTGTCGAAGAAGTGCGCCGGTATTGGTCTCGTCGTGAGTACCGTTGCAGCTTGTGAGTGGCGATTTCTGAAGTAGGTAAGACGCGAGCCACGTGCGCGTGGCAAGGGTCCCCAGAGTGGGACGCGTACGATGGGAGCTTTTTGCGTAGAGCCATGCAAGCGAAAGACTTGCCGGTGCAGCCAAGCGCAACCCCTTTGCTTCCCTTTTCCTCACTCATTTCAACTCACAGCTTATTGTGGGTGCCAGCTTCAATACTTCCAAAGCTGCTCAGCACCTCTATCAGCTGATGTAAGATTACTCGTCAGAAGCTTCAACGGCGGTCTGGCATTTTCGTTCCAGCTGTTCTTTGTCTTGGCTCGTTCTGGAGGCCCAGCTGGAAGGAGCCGCGTCGAACATTCATGCACTCGCATTTGTTGCAGTCGCACTCGCCCTCACCACTCTCCCTCTCTCTCTCAGAGCGCTATGCTGCGCCTCGCCTTTCCGCATCGACTTTGCTCCTGCAGAGAGTCTGAGTATGTGACTCGTGATCACTAATTATGAAACGCTATCCTCAATTTCATGATCATCTCATTCGCAGTCTTTTCATTGCTTTGCGTTTGCGTCCATCGTGCTGCTGCTGCATGAATAAGGGTGTGTGTGTGAATCTATCATCGCTCAAGGAGCGCGCGCGTCTTGCCTGCCCCTCCATGCATGGACCCCCCCGCCCTGGGTGACGAAAGAGACGCGCCGCATGCAGAAGTAATCCACGCGATCAGGGTACCGCGGTGCCGCACCGCGCCAGACGGCCTATCCTCTGCCGCGCGCGGATGTTGATTTGGCGGTCGAGGTGGTCAGAATTACAAACAATCCGGACGCATCGTGATGTATTCTGCAAGGTTGCGTTCCTGACGCTTCTGTCTTCATCTCCACTCACGACTCTGTGCATCGCCACCGTCCTGTACTCACGCCTGCCAGCTTGGAGTACAAACGAGTCGTATAGGCGCTCCCTCTGCCTGCGCTGCCAAGCTTCAGTCTCGCACATCGACCACATTGGCCCTGGACGCAGCCGCCAGACTCGAGCCACTCGTCGACCCGCTTCTTGCTTTCACAGTCTCCCAGCTGACGAGCAGAGGCAGAACGTCTGCTCTCATGCATCATGGCAGCCGCGATGCCCATCCCAGCGGATCCGGTAGAGCTCCGAAAGCTCCGCAATGCCGTCATAGGTAGCCGCACGCGAAAGAGCACGCTGGTAGCAAAGGGTCAAACACCAAGGTGAGTGCTATCGAATGTGACGCGCTCCAGACGGGGATGCTAATTTCAGGACGCTGAGATGTTCCGTCTCATTACTCGACAGCTTGGTCGCCCTGCTCACGCCGCCGCAAGAGAACGAGTCTTCGGTCGAGGTCGTCAATCTGGCAGCCACGATCCTTGGTTCCCTTGCTAATTCGGCCACACCCGGGGTTCTGCTTGCTCTTCTCCGCGCTCGCCTACCTACTGCGCTACTCAGGGCACTTGGTGACTTGCCTAGCACACCGCACCTCGCTTCACTCGAGGCCCTCTTGCGAGCTGTGCGATCAATGTGCGTCTGCGTAGCGGCATACGTCTCTCCAGGCGACAAGACGCGCTCTTCACCCAGAGGGCGATCGGTCAAGGAGCTAGAAGGCTGGAGTCTGGCTCAAGCCGGCTTTGCATCGGCGTCGAGCTCGACAGCTCCAGCTGGATCTTCAGCTAGTGCGCTTGACAGTCTGTCAGATGCGAGATCCGGTCTGAGCAGCAGCACCGGAAACACCTACACCTTTGACGGCTTGTCCCCCACACAAGAGCTTCATCTTCGTTGTCGTTTGGCCATCGATGAGCTGTTCGCACCCAGCAACCTGCATCTCTGGTTGTCCGCTTTGTTCATCAGTCCCACCCTTCCAAGTCGTGCTTCCACCGCCACATCGGCCTTCTCTTCGGCTCCTCGATTAATTTCTTCCCACATCCGGCCCGGATCTGCAACGGCTGGCCCGACACGCATAGCCACGCCCGATGGAAGTCGAGCAGCTTCACGAGATCGTAGAGCAGCTGGAGAGAGCAGCACGAGCAGAGCCTTTAGCTTGGCACCTCCTCCTGCTTTACCTGTCGGCCTCGCCCCAACACTGACAGGCATGGACTCTTCCACCAGCTCCATGGAAGGCTCAGCAAATTCACATAGCGGAATGCTACAACCGGCGGACAGAACGCGCACGCTAGCCATAGTGGAGATGGTGTGCTCCATCATCTCTTCGTGCATCTGCATTCCTGGCCCTGCGCCTCCGAGTGGGGCCAGCCAGATTCACAGGGAGGTGGCAGATACGCCAGAGGACGAACTTGCAGCGCGGAGGACACGAGTATTGGACTTTCGACCAGACGACTCATTTGCAGCACAGCCCCCGCTTCGAGATGTCGTAGGCGCCAGGAAGGTTGTAGAAAGCGCCGCCTTTGAACAGATGCCCTATCATCAGGGTGGGGAGCGTTCTGCACGGCCGGAACGCGAGTTGTTTGCAAGTCTTGTGCAGCGCAGCAAAAGCTTGGATAGAACAAAGGACACAGGCAAAGCTCCAGAACGGCCCGACGACGAGCTGCCACAAGAGGATGTGACCATGACAGAGCCAAGCTTGGATGCTAGTGATGCTGGTCTAGTGGCCAAGCCGCGCAATACTCTCAACGTCTTGCTCGAGGCGGCGGAGTGTGGATTTGCGAAAACACAAGAAGTAGCCTTGTGGGCTTTGGCGGAGCTTTCCCGCGAAAATCGCCAGACCAGCTTCAGGCTCTTCAATTGCGTCACGCCTTCTGGCGCCATGCCGACCACACTACTGCTCAACCTTCGCAAGGAGACCTCTGCGCCTGTTCGATTGGCGGCGTTCAGCTGTCTCACGCACATAATCAAGGTGCATCCTTTCTCTCAACGCACGCACGAGTGTGTTCTTTCGACGCTCATCGACCTGACCGAGGAAACTGGCGAAGTGCAGATCACGGCCATGTTCACCTTTGCCAGATTGATATCGGACGATCCCGATCTGCAAATGCTGGCGACGGAGCACTACGATATTATCAGACGCTTTGGTGGGTTCTTGGAGAAGACGAAAAGTGCCAACTCTGCTCCGTCTGCCGGACCGCAGTCTGGCGCGCCTAGAGACGAGCATCTCATACGATTGCGAGAAGCCGTCTTGACTGCCTTGGCAGCGCTAGCTTTCCAGCGCGACGAGATTCGAAGAGCGCTGGTGGATGCTACATCGCCCGCTCTTTTGCCACTCATTGTTCCCTCGCTCACCGCAACGGATTTGGGCATCCGAGTCGCTGCATGTCGCCTCGTCAGAGCTTTGAGTCGCAGCATCAGCATACTTAGAACATCTCTCGTGGACGCTGGAGTAGCAGAAAAGCTCATCGGCATGATCAAGGATGACAATGAGGATGCAGAAGTGAAGCAGCAAGCCACGGCGACGATCTGCAATCTGGTGTTGAAGTTCAGCCCAATGAAGCAGCTGCTTTTGGAGGAAGGAGGCATACAAAAGCTGGTCGAGCTGGCGCGAAGCCGGGAAGGAGGATCGACGAGATTGAATGCTCTTTGGGCCCTCAAGAACGTTCTCTACTCGTCTGAAACTGACACGAAGCGTAATGTGATGAGCGCGCTCGGCTGGGATTATGTTGCTGCTTTGGCAGCGGATCGCAAGGACGAGGATCCGGCCGCTCAAGAACAAGCGTTGGCCATCATTCGAAACCTTGCGAGCAGTCGAGAGGAGGACATCGAGTTGACGTTGAGCGGCTTCGGCAAAGATGTGCTGTTGGACATTATCGAGCAGGTCATTTGGGAAAGGCATGGTGATGTGATCACGGAGCAGGGCGCCTACATCATTGTCAACATTGCTACGGGCGCGGAAGCGCACAGGAGAGCCATCTTGGCTCGACCCAACATCCTCCAAACTCTTGTCAGACTCTTGGGACACGACGCTTCGGATTTGAGATTGGCGAGCGTGTGGGCTGCGCTCAACCTCACGCAGAAGATTCCGCAAGCTGTTGCATCTGCTGGTAGCAGCCCTACACGCGTGTTTGGCGGTGAGTGATTTCGCAAGCGCATGTGAGCGGAACACTGGCGCTGAGCCAGACTTGCTCCCTTCTGTGCGTATGGGGCAGACGACGTCTCGTCCGATGCGCTTCTTGCTCTTCGCAAAGTCGGCTTTGAAGAGCGTCTGAGAATTTTGATCGTGGACAAGGAACACGACGTGTCGGGCAGGGCTAGAGACATGCTACACAGATTTGCCGCTTTCAAGCCTCCTGCAGCGCTCGTCTGAGCAGACATCGACTACTACTGCTCAGCGTCGCCAGGCCAGCTCTATGGTCCTTCTTTTGGCATTTGCAACTATTAAATCCGCAGGCCAGGTCGCCTAGCACCGCACAACTCGTCACACTTAGCAATTTCATCGTGTCTACTTGTAGAACTCTGCATGAACGCTTGTCGAAGACGCGGCTTTGCCTGGCCAGCTTGCAGCTCCTTGGTGCCCAGACTCTTGCGAAGTAGGTGTCCTGACAGTCAAGAAAATGGGTAACTTCTTTTGATGTTCATTGCTATTCAAGGTAAAGATGACACGTCGAACATGTGGGTGGAAATGCGAATCTCGAACAGGTACGAGAGAAGAATGCGAACGTCGACCATGAACCAAACAATGTCGGCTGGGATGGAATGGGATGGAATGGGATGGAATGGGATAGGATTACAAATGTGGATCTCTCTTTCTGTGCTTTTATCTGAATGACGGACTTTGGACCGAAGGATGCGATCTCAAATCGTTTACGCGACCATGGCAGCTCTACCATGTTCTATTCTCTCTTTGCTACTCTTCAGAGCGCTCATCATGCGCCTCAGCTGACCGTGAAGATCTTCTTGACGCTGTACAAGCTCGACAAGCTTCTCGAACGGCATTGGAGCTCTAGTTCGAGTAGGAGCTGGACCCAGAGCGTGCTGACCGTTGGGACCCAAAGGCGGCTCGCTTCTCCAAGTAAGCGCGTCCTCGTTCTGATTCATCTGGCGAACTCGAAGAATAGCCTCTTCCTGTAGCTGTCTCTCTCGGATCAGGTCGATTTCGGCGCTTCTTTCCCTACTCCTCTCCCTCTCTAGAGCGGCAGCAGCAGCGATGGCGGATGCGGTAGCGCTCTCTTCGGCTCTCGCAAGCGTCAACTCGTATTGCAAAGCTCTGCGTTCCATCTTGATCCGATCATGTCCCGTTCTGTACTCCGTATACATCTTGGCAAATCGCTCTTTCAATTGCTGCCAATCGCCTGCATTGCGGACGTCCAACCAGGGCTCTGCGAGGCTCAGCGCACCAGCTCCTACCCCGTGGCGTGCTTGAATGCCAGAACTCTGACGACGCGAACCGGATTGCGAGCGAATTGGAGATGCAGAAGTGTCGCGGCGTCGAGACGGCATTTGGCGGGGGCCCTCCTGCGCAGCTCGGTCGGGGGAGACGGAGGAAGAATAGCTCCGACGTACGCGGGATCGGATACCTGGCTGGTCAGAACGAGCTATGGCCGCGTCTTGCATCCTTACGCGATGCTTGCTTCGGCCACGTTCATCCGCCCTTTCCTGGTCGTCTTCCGTATCCGTGTAATCCCTTGCAGGAGGAAGAATTGGCGCCCTGGAAGTCTTTGAGGGGCCACCTCTGTCTTCTGCTGGCTTCTTGATCTTTTGCGAGGCAACTCCCGCTGGCTTGGACGGCGCAGGTTTTGTGGTTTCAGCTGCAGAGGGAGAGCGTCTCTCTGCAGTAGCCTCGCGCAGCAGACGAGCACGTTTGCTGGATGCGAGCGATGCATCAAAGTCTTCTTCCTTCGTAAGCGGTCTCTTAGTGCCTTTGACTTTTGTGGTTTTGGTTGCTGCACTGCATTTTGCCGCCAGGAATGTTTTGGCTGCATTCTTGATCTGCGCGTCCGCTTGAGACGGTACATTCTTGGCATCGTCCACATCAGACAAGTGTTCTGGGACCGTCACGGGTGCTCTAGAGCTCGTCTGAGAGGTTCGGCTTTGTAGGGATCTCTTCACTTTGCTCACGACAGAGATTCCCTTCTTTTTGGCACCGATGCTAGGCGGTGCCTTCGTTGCAGGAGTGGGATTTGGCTTTGGGGGTGAGCCAGAAGGCGCGTCTCGCAAGGTGTGCTGGGCTTTATCTGACGCCTGAGCGCGCGCCGGACTCTCCGATGGCTGTGTGCCAACGCCGTCCATCTCAGCACCAATCAGTCCTAAGCCTTTTGACCCTGGATGGCTCTGGGAGCGAGACTCCACCTCGCTCTCCGCAGGGGCCGACTTCTCGGCATGAGCGTCCTCCTCCTCCTCGTTCCATTCACCTTCCTCGCTGAGATCCTCTCCATCGTCCATTTTCTCGACTGCTTCTTTCGCCTTGGCGTTGCGTCTCCATTCGTCCCGAGCGGCTTGTGTCGGACGTCCGTCAGGGTACAGTGCCAGCCTCTGCGGAGCGTCGTCGGCCAGCTCAAGCCTGTCGAAGGCAGCTTCTGCCAGATCGCTGACTTCGACTTTTGTTCTAGAGTTCCACTCCGGCCAATCGAGCTGAACGTCTTGATACGTAGTATCTTTGAGCGCATATACGGTCCCTGGCCCTGGAGTGCCTGGCGCACTGGCATTGCCTGGCGGTGCAGGAAGCGACCGACGGTTGACCGGTCCTTTAAAATGCTTCTTCATCTTGTCGGAGGGAATGAGTTGCAAATCTTGTGGGATCACAGCCAAGGATGAGAGCAGCTTGACAATTTGAGGTTCAGGAGACTTCAGCTGAGCAACAAGGATTCTGCGTTGCAGGGGTCCTGTCGCGAGGAGGTGGATGAGTCGAGTCCGAAGGCTGGGTGGAGAGGAGGTCATGAATCTCCGCGCCGCCTGAGCGTCTGCATCGTCTGAGTTCTCATGACGCACGCTAGGAACGGCATTTGACACCATTCGGGAGAGCGATTGAGCGCGAGCGCTACCAGGCTGTTCACCGCCCCGAGTCTCCGGCGGCTTGGATGGCGCGTCCCGCATAGGGGTTGCGGGGCGCGACGACACACCAGTGATGAGCTGCGCTGGCGATCCAAGAATCCCACGCTTGGCTTTACTGACCGGCGAAGCCCTCGACACGTCCGATGTGCTCACAGCCGAAGATAAAGCTTTGGCTCGTTTGGAGGATGTGGGCTGCTCCATGAGTACGGCCTGACGCGCATCCCTTCTCGCAGCTTCTTCTTCCCTGCGTTCCTTCAGCCTGGATGCGGCGCCGCTTGAGGCGATGGATGAAGGTTTGGCAGAGTACTTGTGGCTGATCGCACCTACGTGCCGCAGCGTCCCCGCGTCTGAGCGAGCATCGCCCACAGCATACAGCTCGTGCAATGACTCGTCTGGCGCTTTGCTAAGTGGATGAGAGGTTCCGGCTAATCTAATCGACTGCAGGAGTGATCAAAGGAGGCCAAAGATGAGATACAAGAGCGCATGTTATGTCTCGTCGTGTCCTCGCTTGCAACTTACTGCACCATCCGCGCTCAGGTCGATTTCAGCAGCATGGCTGCCTGCCCGAAGCGCCTCGGCCACGTCCTTGGACAAGCGCAGATGTATCACTTTGGGAGGGTCATCAGTGCCGTGGATCTGATCAGATGAGGATCCCTGTTGAAGCCGGTAGGCTCTGACTTCTTCTGCATCCATCTTGATATTACTGCGACGGCCAAAGAGAAGCGCAGCGTGGCCCGGGTCCAGAGGCGGCCTCTGGCCCTGTGTCAGGGCGAGTTGAGATGCTATTGCTTTGCCTTGCTGATATGGCGATCTTTGCAGAAGAAACGTGCGTAGAGCGCTCCAGAAGCTCGTCAATGGAAAAGTCCCAAGCTTGTTGGATGTTCCAGTGATGGGTGAATTCAGTGGTTGGTCGAATCGCAGAATCCCAGCACGTCAAAGCTGTGCTTCAGAAGTTGAGAAACGCAGCGGATGGATGGATGGCTAGGTACATTGAACAGCTGTGGGGGATATAGGTCATAGAGGTGCACGAGCAAGCCCTGCCGTTGACGATGCTTCAGAAGAGATCTCGGTCGCAGCTTGAAAGGGAGCCATGACCAAGGTAAGCTCTCTCACAATCTGAATTGTGGATCCGTGCGTGAGTTCATGCGCTTTGATTCCGTGAGACCCTATGCATGCGTCGTGCACGCGCGGGCGCAGCAGCATTCTTGATTTGGCGGGCGCATATATGCGCATTTGCAGCATGCAGCCTCTCGCTTCGATCACGTGGGATCACACCAACGCAGTCGGTCGGCGTAGCGCCAAGAAGCTTGCAACCGCGGGCGCCAAAGCGCGGCATACGCCGTTGGATGCACGGCTCATCAACAACAACAGCTGTTGCATCAGCCAAGACGATCCTCACATGCAGTTCACATCCACGTTTGTAGTCCTCTCTATCCACACTTACGAGTTGATGAGACTCAACTTTGATTGACATTAAGATTCTGAATTTCAGAATTTAAGTACCTCGGAGCTTGCCCCTCTCGCTCAGGGCAGTTGCACCCGCTCGCGCAGTACGGCAGTCACAAGTCTGGCGTACGACACACCATCACCCCTAACATTCGCGACTTTTGAGAGACTCGAGTCCAAATCTCACGGTGTGTCAGCATTCCCACCTTCGAGTCCAACTCTTTGAACTTAGCATCGAAACTCGACAAATTGACTCGTGATGGACACGCACGAGAGCCCCGCAGAGGGATCCGGCTCCACCACTTTGCTCGACTCGCTCGCCGAAGGTGCGCCAGGAGCAGCAGCTATTCCAGCCAAGAAGTCTCGCGGACAAGATGGGACGGGACGCAGTACGAGTTTGACACCGGAGAGTACCGAGGAGGACTTGGCGCAAGACGAAAGAGCTGCTAATCAGAGTGATCGTCAGTATCAGAATGCCGACGGGTCGAGTCAGCTGGGACTCATTGATGTGGACGAGGAAGGGCATACAGGCGAGAGAGATCAACTGGACTTCGAAGAGGATGAGCATGAGGATGAGGGTCATTTCGCCCAGAATGAATCTCATGGATTGGACAAATTTGCGAGCAAGAGCAGACAGCAGGATCTCCGTAAAGGTGGCTTCCAGCAAAAGGTGAGCTGCAGCCGTTCTGCATCGCAAGGACCGCCTCGAAGGGGTACTCAACACGTGTAGCATACATGCACTCTTGCTGCACAGTATCTGGATGAGGAGATTCGTCAGCGATACTTGAAAGGTGCGTGGAGCCCTTGCAAGCTGTGATCGGCCCGTGCGCTGGACGCCTCTTACACTTCCAGTCCATCGTTGCCAGAGATCGGAGACGTCTTTGCACCTTCCGCAAGTACCTAGTCTCGATCGACTGTTAGCTCAGTGTGCCTCCCAATCTGGAGGGGGGTCCAGCACGGGATGCCTGAAGCATCCGTCACAAGCAGATATACGTCGTACTCGTAGTGAATAGCGTAACAGGTTCGCGAAGACCCTGCGACTTTCACTCCGCTTCTGTCGGTCAGATCCTTTTGTGAACCTCTCTTGAAGCTTTCGCTACATACAACCACCCTCTGAACAATCCACCCCTTGACCCTTGTAGACTACATAGCTCTGATCCCCATCTCGCTGAAGCAAGCCGTGCTCACCGCCACTCACACTTTCACGACATTCACGACTTGTGCGACAAATTGCCCAGATCAAAAGCAGCGAATCAGAATGAAGGTGGATGAAGCACAACGTGGATGACGACTCTGACTGCGCAGTGACGAGTAAGTATGAGTATCCCGGTTTGGCCCAGATGGTATAGGAGCGGCGTAACGGGCTCAAGCGCCCTGCCCTCCACACGCGCGAGCGCGTGCTGCATGCTGCTGGTATATTCACGTGATTGATCGACGCACTTGGGACTTGCACGCAGGAGGGACAGCCCGCATCAGCATTCATCTCGTGCGTCAGCCTGGCCAGCTATGTGCAGCCACGAGTATAGCTGCTGCTGGGAGTGGAGCGCCACAGCTCAACCAGTCACAGTCGTGAGTCAAGGTCGAAAGCTGAAGCAGAGCGCAGGTGCGAGATCTCTTCTGGCCGATGCAGCCGTGCAGCAGCGGACGAGATGACGCAGCAGCGCGCCGAGGCGTTGTGGCCGGGTGGCCCCCGGGATGATGATCGCGGTGAGATGATGCTTGCATGACCGGCATTCACACACATTCAAGACTCAAATTTCAGATTGGTGGTTCGTGATTCGCACGTCACACATCGACTATCAAGAATCGTGATTGGTGCAGTCACGGTAAAGTCTCCTTGTGTACATCCATCACCGGACCCTTGACGTTGCGATCTCCGTTGAGTCCACACGCTGTCTCCTAATCCGACCTAGCCACAGACAGCACCGAGCATCGTCCTTCTCTGGTTCACCGAGACCTCCTTGGTCAAAACAATCTGTCTCATAGGAAAGTCTCCCAGAGTGTCGACGTCTGCTTTTGGAAGCTCTCTATCCACCTTCTCTCAGGTACTCACCACTTCTCCGCTTCACACTCGTCCGCTCGTCATCATGTCTGACTCCGCGCAAGAGATTTCGGTCAACATCAAAGGACCTTCTGAGCTGCGTCTGTCGGTCAAGATTGCCACTGACGCGACAATTAGGCAGCTCAAGGAGAAGATCCAGGAACAAAAGAGCGAAGTCACTGCTGAGAGGTGAGTGAATGCCATACTTGCGGGCTCGACGTCATGACGTCTGCGTAGCCATCAGTCTTTGGTTCCGATGGCTTCCCGAGCTCGAGAGCTGTCCTGATGCTGATGCGTCTACTCGCGCGTTCACCCAGTCAAAGGCTGATCTACAGCGGCAAAGTGCTCAAAGACGACGAGACCGTTGCGTTCTACAAACTTGTGGTGCGTAAAAGGGCCAACAGGGGAGGACGAGCATTTTGCTGCAGCAAGCAAACAAAGCATTGAGGACTCTCTTGTCCCTTACAGAATGGCCACACGATACACATGGTGCGCTCGGCTTCTCGTTCGGCTCCCACGACAGGCAATCGATCCGCTGGCTCTGCGCCGAGCGCTTCCAGCACCAACGCATCCGGCTCTAGCGCCGCTAATAGCGCAGCTCAAGGTGTACCTGCCAACTTTGGTGCAGGTCAACAATTCGCCAACAATCCTCTCAGTGCGCTCAACAGGGCTGATTATGCTGGTCCCCAGCTCACCGCGGCTCAAAACCAGATGTTTGATGGTCAGTTGGTGGCGCGTGCTACACCGCGAGGAAAGCTTGCCTGACAGTGCTTCGCTTGCCCTTTTGCTCTTGGCAGGCATGAACGTTCAGGATCCGAACTTTATGATGAACATGCTGGAGAACGACAGCTTCAGGCAGCAATTGCGCGAAACGCTTTCGTGAGTCGCACGAGCATCGGCGAAGGCTAGCACTGCGACTTTGCAGATTTTGATGACGAGGGACTTTTCGATCTCTTTGCACAATCATCTCAGACGCCCCGAGATGATCGATCAGCTTATCGACGCCAACCCTCAGCTGCGCAACATGCCCGGAGCAAGGGACATGCTCCGCTCGCCCTTTTTCATAGACATGATGACAGACCCAGCGTGAGTCTGCTCGTCTTCGTCAAGTGAAAGCCTTGCAGCTCATCAGCCCTTCTCGGGACGTGGCACGACAGCACGATGAGAAGAGCAGCGCAGTTTTCGCAAATGATGGGAGGTGGCGCTGGAGGCGGAGCTGGAGGAGCAGGCATGTTCGGGGGAGGCGGACAGGCACCTCAGTGGCCTCCTCCTGGCGCTTTCGGTACCGGAGGTGAACAAGGGCAAGGCCAGGGACAGAATCAAGCGGGGGGAGCACCTGGCTCATCAGCTGCGCAAAACCCTTTTGCGGCGCTTGGAGCTTTGGGCGGCCAAGGTGCGGGAGGTTCAGGTGGAGCTGGAGGTATGATGGATCCCTCTTTCCTTCGCAGTCTGTTTGGTGAAGGAGGTCCCGGTGGAGCTGGTGCAGGTGGCCCTCCTGCTGGCAACCCGCTCGCAGGTGGAGCGAACCCGTTCGCTGCGGCGCTCGGAGGACTTGGAGGCTTCGGCGGCGGAACACCACCTGCTCCGGCTGACGGACGTTCGCACGAGGAAAGATATGCGGAGGAACTGGCACAGATGCAGGTGAGTGGCGAGCAACACGGGTGGATTGGTGCGCGGCTACGCGAAGTTCTCGGCACAATGCTTGGACAGGCGAATGCAGCGCTTCATGATTATCTGACGACTTGCTCCGATGCTCGAACTGCTCTTCTGCCATCTACAGGCTATGGGTTTGACGGACGGACCTAGAAATTTGAGAGCTTTGCTCTTGGCGGGAGGCAATGTGCAAGGAGCAATCAACATCATCTTTGATGGAGGTGCGAACTAAGCGAAACCCTCCTCGTACCTACATCGATTGGGACTCCAGTCGCACAGCGTCATTCACTCTTCAACGGCGCTTCGACGCGCTGATTGTGATCAGCAAAGCTGCGAAACGAAGTTCTCTCGACCTCGAATGCATGTCATTGTGATTAGTGGTGCAATTAGCCACTGGCTGGCAAATGTGGTGCAGTCCGGCGAAGAGCGTGAACGAGGCGGTCGCGTGTTGGAAGACCCTGCCTGGAGACTCTGTGATCGCGACTATAAGCAGCTGCTCGGGCAGAAGCACACACTCAAATGCCGCTGCTCTGAACTTTGAAACGCGAATGTCAGTCGCTCCGACTGCGAGATGTGGGGTTGTCTTGATCTTCGGCGGCCGCTCTGAGCACAGTGATCGAGCTGTGAGTACTCCAAGGACTTAAGAATGTATGGGATCGGAAGACCCTTTGCTTGCTCAGCCAGCCCGGCCACTGACCGCTCGATCGGTGACTGCAGCCTGTGCCCCGCGCGACGCGAACAACACGCAGCCGCCGGTCCCTTACACCCGGGCTGTCAAGATGCGGATCTTCTTCTCTCACCCGGCCACTCGTGACGGTTGACATTCACCATCTGCTACACGTCTCCAGCCTTTCTTCACGCCTCTTCTTCATCTATGCTTGATACCTTGCAGCCCACATACCAGTACGATTCCACTCGCGCTGCTGAGCTTGCTAGAGATGTCTGCGGCCCCACAGCAGCAGCAGCAGCAGCAGCAGCCGCGTCGTTCGGCAGAGCGTCAAGCTAGACCCATCTCCTATCCTCACCCTCCGCAAGATCAAGATGCCCAAGAGACATCCCCCTTACTAGCACATCGCACCGCTTCAGAGCGCGATCGGTTCGCAAGTCGCTTGCTGAAAATCTTGCTGGCTCTCGCCGCTTTCTTGCTTCTACTTCTGATCGCTATCATCATCAGACAGGAACTCAAGGATCGGAGGGATCCTCGATGGAACACTGGAAGAAGAGGAAAACCTTTCTTGGCTCAGGGTACACATGGAGCCGTGGCTAGCGAAAATGTCATTTGCTCGGATATTGGGGTGGACAGTGAGTGGACGCGCTTTGAAGTGCTGTGCACATTGTGAGCATGCTCGGCGGATCGGTCGGTTCGGCTGACTCGAGCAAACCATCGGAACCTCACCAGTACTCAAGGCCAAGGGTAATGCGGTGGATGCGGCTATAGCGAGCGCGTTTTGCATTGGTACGCTCAACATGTTCAGCAGCGGTATAGGAGGAGGAGGCTTTATGATAGTTCGCGATCCTCAGCCTTGTTCACTCGTCTCTGCAGAAACGCAACATGAAGGAGAAGCTTCCACCCTGGCTCACCACAGGCTACCTAGACGGACGCACTGCGCCAGCCATACAGTCATCGACTTCAGAGAAACAGCACCGGCAGCTTCGAATAAGACAATGTATTCGGGTCGACCAGGCACGCAGCTCTTGGGCGGCTTGGCCGTTGGTGTGCCTGGAGAAGTTGCAGGTCTGTGGGAAGCTCATCGGAGGTGGGGTAGCATGAAGTGGGAAGAGCTGATCCAACCGAGCATCAAGCTGGCAAAGAGATCCATCGTCGGTCCTCAGCTTGCTAAGAAGCTCAAACTTGTGGGAGGCTACTTCATGTTGGAGTATCCAGAGTGGAGCGACATCTTTGTCAATCCGGATACCGGCATACTCAAAGCAGAGGGCGAAGAGATCAGGAGGCCTGCATATGCCAAAACGCTGGAGAAGATCGCGAAGCATGGTCCTAAAGCTTTCTACGAGGGAGATGTGGCAAAGACGATGGTGGAAAAAGTTCAGAGCACCGGTGGAATTTTGACAGAGGCGGATCTGGCAGCATACAAGGTGGTTGTCAGGCACCCTCTGACTGGAAGGTGGGGCGATCGCATCGTACACACCACGCCAAACCCCACGTGCGGCCCGACGCTCCTCTCACTCCTGAACATTGCTAGTCTGTATCCCGACTGGATCAGCTCTGGTCCAGAAAACGCAGACACCGTGCACCGGTTCGTGGAAGCGAGCAAATTTGCTTTCGGGCAAAGGACAAGATTAGGAGACCCTGCTTTCCTTAACAGTACCGCGGTGCAAGACGTAGATCGGATTCCGACGACGGCTGAAGCTGCGAGGATCAAGACACTGATCACGAACGTGACCCATGAAGAATTGAGCTACTATGATCCACTGTTCGATATCGGCGAGGATCACGGGACGCAGCACCTATCCACTGTCGATTCTGCTGGTCAAGCGGTCGCGCTGTAAGTGATCAACAGCCATGCGAGTGTGCGCTCGTTGTGGTGCTTATCGCGTCCCGTTGCTATTGACAGGACTTCGACTGTCAACATTCCATTCGGATCTTGGGTGATGGATCCAGCTACCGGTGTCATTCTGAACGATGAGGTAAGGCTTTGCTGGATCTTCTGAGCACGCAATAGCTGACAAGATCATTGCATGGTTGTTTACCAGATGGACGACACTTCTACTCCGAATGTGCCAAACGCATTCGGTCTCCGACCTTCGCCGTTCAACTACCCCGAGCCAGGCAAGAGACCGCTGAGCAGCACCGCGCCTACAATCGTAGAGCATTCCGACGGGTCTTTTTTCCTCGCATTGGGCGGTTCAGGCGGTTCGCGCATTTTCGGAAGTGTGGCCCAAGTGCTGCTCAATTTGGACTGGGGCTACGATCTGTCGCAAGCGATCGAGCGGCCTCGTCTGCATCATCAGCTCTTGCCCGCCGTCGTGAGCGCCGAGAGCACCATCAGCGACGCTATTCTGGAGTCGCTGAAAAGCAAAGGTCATAATGTGACAGTCTTCGATATCAACATGGGAATGGCCGAGGTTCAGGCTGTCATGAGGGAACAGGCACCTGGCAGACACGCTCGCGTCTTTGCGGCCAGCGACTCTCGAAAGGACGGCAGAGCTAGTGCTTACTGATGTAGTTGCTCGTGTACGGACGCCTCCTCCGAATGTTTGGCGACATTCTCATCCTCCTTGCCACTTAGCGCTCGCGATATCTCTTCACAGCCTAGCTACATGCTCCCGATGTCCTGCCCCTTCTCCTCGTCGTCAATGCACCTATCATGTAAGCTTGGATCGCAACGCAACCTGTTTGATTGTCGCAATCGGTATCAATACAAGGCACGTTCTGTGTGCACACTGGTTCGTCGTCTGCACCTTTTCCGTCGACTGAGGGGCAAGGGTCGCGATCTCTCCCGGTCCTACCCGTTCCTGGCCCCAAAAGACATGCTGCGCGGCCACGGCTTTGTAATGTTGAGGCTGTAGCATGCCATTGCGAAGCACCCTCAAATGTCGTCAAAGCATCTCGAAATCAGAAAGAAGCGATCACCTGCATTCAAATTTGGAGAACACAAGGCTGGATGTCCGAGCGGGCAGAATGGGAACGAAATGAGAGGTTTCAAGCTACTTCAAACGCCAGCTGGTAGCATCATTCCTGAATCCCTCTGCTCCAGGTCGTCCTCATCGTCGTCCATCTCATCGTCGTCCATCTCATCCTCGTCCTCAAGTCCAGCCACACTACTCTCGCCAATTAGCGCTCCCTGGACCTTTTTCCTCCTTCCAGCTTTCCCAGTAGAGGCATTGTTCGATCCCTTCTTCCTCCCCTCTCCAACACCTCCAATACCTCCCGCAGCTGCATTCTCTACAATCTCTGTTTGAATAGCAGTCAGCTCGGTGCGTTTGACGGCGCCGCTCGAAGCTTCCCAGTAAGCCAGCGGCACGATCTGAAATGTTGCATCTTGAATCAAGAGCAACTTGAGGATTTGTGCCTGAGAAGATGGAGAGGCGAACGTGGACAGCAGCGACAGCGCGTTGAGTTTCGTTTTCGTGAGAGCTTCAGATTGAGAAGACTTACAGCTTCGGAAGTTAGTGCTTGGCCTTTGGAGCAGACCTTGTAGTCCCGCAACAGCGTCGGTACACCTCTCTGCAATTCTGTAGGCATGCCCAGCTTCCTCAATTTGGGCTCGAGTGGATGTGAGAGGGCCTCTGGTGGGTCTGATCTCATCATAACGGGGCCTGTACAGTAGAAACATCAAAGAGAGGGCTCGATTGTCAGCCCAACGTGCCAGTGTCGAGAATGCAGCACAGAGCTAGCACACCTGAGGGCAGAACAACGTCTTGCGTAGCTTTGTTTCCTGTCCGCGCAAAGTCCCTCCTCTCGTACGTCTCGAACCAGTCGATGACCGCAGAGGGCAACTCGTCGGTGAAAAGCAAGCCCACGGGCCCAGATAGCATCTAAGAAAAAGATGCGCCTGAATCAGCTTAGCACTGCTTTGAATCATCTGGCAGCTTCGAGGCGAATCCTGCTTTTCGAACTCTTCCTGACAAATTCTCTGCACTGCTAGATGCACTCACCTTGGAGACGCCATGGATGCCATCCCTGACCTCTTCCTCTGGACTCTCTCCGAGCGCTTTGGCAATCAACCTATTCCGCCCAAAAAAGATTCTAGACCCCTTCCACAGATCCCTGACCTCTTTCAAAAAAGTGTTTCGCAGACTACCGATGGTGAAGACCCAGCAATAGGCATGATCTTGAGCTGCTTTGCGAACCAGGTCCATATGAGAGGCTTTGGCTGCTCGATCTTTTTTCGATACTCGCGTGAGCGAGATCACCTTGTCTCGACGTGACTTGGGCATGGCGGATCAAGTAGCGCGTGACGGTGCTGGAGGTCCTGAGCGCAAGTGAGATCTGAAAGATGCGAGAGGAGCGTCGGCGCAGTAGGATGCTCAAATGTGGTGATGCGTGCCGCCGTCGTCGTTTGTGCGCAAATGGCGAGTCGTGAATGAGTGTTGCCATGCCGGTTCGCGTTGTTACTTGCATGGATCCGAGGAGGAGGATGCTGCACTCTCCTCGCACTTGGAACCAAAATTTCTAAAAGGTGAAGAAAGGCATGCGCTCTCGCACGAGAGCAGACGCGCGCCAGGCCACCTGCGCTTAATCACGAATACAACCAGCATCGAAGGCTTGTCGCGCCTGTGTGTGTTTGCATTCATCATGCTCTGCCACCCTTGCGTGCGACGTACACCATCCAAATCGCTCTGATCGGCCCTTGTCATCACATCGGACCTCTTCAAGAATATCTGCTTCTACTTCGCGCTCTCTGCCCTCGCCTTTCAATACTCGGCACCGAAGTGCAAGCCTCGTTGTCCAGCCTTGATATCACTAACGAATTTTCGAAGTGCAAGTCCTCTCTGCGGCGACTAAGCGACGAATCACCCTCCGATCATAGCAGACAGCTCGAGCCTACTCTCGATTGGTGCTCGCATCGCAATCGTGCGTTGCGCAATCTGACATCGTCAGATCTCCCTTCACCATGCGCGCGACGTTGCGTAAATGTATCCGAATCGAGCCTTTCACCCTCTCAAATAGCAGCAGCAGCTCAGCCACACCACAAAAGATCCGCTTGCCATCGTCTGCGCCTCTTTTGAGGTCGCCTACCGGGGCAGTGGAAGTGGATAGGAGCGACACTACCTTGGGTGCTCACACTTCCACAGTGGTCAGAGAAGGATCTGTTGCGCAAGAGTTGTTGAGGAGACAAGCGCTGGATCCACAGAATTGGCCCGTCAATCTGAGGATCGAACCTCATGTGCACAGGAAGCAGCTCTATTGGAATGTGAGTGCAAACAAGGGAGATGGAGCTCTTGAGCAAATGGTTTTGAGTGGATTACCCGCGTTGATAGTCATGCAAGATGGCTAAGCACAACGTGACGAAGGCCTACGCAAGTAGACGATGTGGGTGGTATTGCGAGTTGTCCTCATACACTGTGCCATCCCAATCGCAAGATGTTCGTCACTGCTGACTTTCCGTCATCCCTCACCTGCGGTCTACAGACCCCGTCCGACAAGCGCAAACAGCTCATGAAGTTGCTCAAGTCTGCATGAGCGGCAACACGTGGAATCGGATTCAGCAGCGAACATTACGAGGGGCTAGAAACCAGAAGTTGGAAGCGGAAGTGTTCCTAGGAAGTCGATTGGACGGTGCTCAAGCTCTTAGAGAGCAGCAACGTCGCGGTGATTGTCAGCCCCAAGGGATGCGTTCGTAACGAATTTGCGGTGGAGTGCCAGTCTCGAGTCCCAGGCGGACCTTGAGCGATCACGTGTCCGTATGCTCGCAAGACCGCCAAGCCCTTGTTGCACACAAACGTCTCGAATCGCAATGCCAGGTATGTTACTGTAGCACACGCAAGAGGTGCTCAGATGGCTCCTTGAATAGCTCTCGACACATGGAATTCTCCGCTATCAGCAACCTGAGTGCACCCGAAAGACGTGAATCGCCGAGCGATTGAAGGGTTGTATGGATCATCTCTTTGCTTGCTTGACACGAAGCTGCGTACTTTGCGCATCTGAGACCGAATGGGCAGGCAGACGATAACTCTCGTCGGCGCTTTGAGCGGCACACGTGGGGACGAAGTGCAGGCAATGATCACAACAAGAGCGCAGACATGGGCACGTGCGAAGACGCTTGAATTGAGTGGTGCACGCGGACTGATGAGTGGTTGAAGTGGTTGCTTTACAGGATAGTCGTACAAGAGAAGAAGCGCGAGCTCTCGGTGGGGAAAGTGGGATGGCGAAAGGGGCAAGAGAAATCAGGCGGCAAAGGCGGCAGGAGAGCCATTCACGCTCGAGTCGAACATGCTCGGAACGACGATGGGGTGAACTCCTCGCGCTCTTCTCCAGCGGTTCGTGGTCCGAATGATGTGCTTGTCCAGCAAGAACCAAAATTTGGTGGCGAAAGCTTCCGAAAGCTCCCAACACTGTTCATCCATCATGTCTTCGGGATGGTCGCCGTGAATGTAGAATGCGCACATGTGCCAACCTTCGTGCTTGCCCAGCCTCATCATGTCTCCTTTGAGCTCCATGGTGGCTAGCGAATCTCCAGCGCCGACCATCATCAGGATACGATTGCGAACGGCTGGCCAGGGTAGCGTGTCAAAGACAAGGTTGTGAGGCGTTCGCAACTGGACAGCAGTTGGGCGCATGTTCTCTGGGAGATCGCGCTTCCAGTCCTCGTCCAGCTCCACTTGATCGTTCAGCGGTCTGTCGTCCGGACCAAGCTCGCTGAACCTGCTGTCCTTTACGGACCAGATCTGGTTGATGGGACTGCGGGTCTTACATTCCTTCATGTGATTATCCGTGAATCCCAGTCGGACCGCATTGGATAAGAACGCCCGAAAAAAATCCCGCCGTGGGATAAAGATTTGATCCGCATAAGGAGAAGCCGTCTTGGGCGCTGTGAGGGGGATTTGACGTTTGGTCGGGTGCACGTTTCCCGACAATGAAGCGCTGGCATCACGAAGAAGTCTGTTGTATTCGTCGAAGTGGGTCTCTGCGCGAGCGACCGGCCAAGGCTGGATGGCAGACACATTGCTTTGCTGCTCTATGATCGACTTGAGGTCTGCATCCGCTGACTTTGGTGAAGACGCTAGTGTTTGCAGCAGACTCGACCAATCGATCGGGGAATTGGCGCTGCTCATGAAGGCAGGAGGAGAGGAAACCGATGGTGGAGACTCGAGCGAGGACGCCTCAGATGAGGAAGATGCAGCAGCGAGAAGTTGTTGTGGACTTGCCCCTTGGGGAGACCAGCCGGATGATGAGGATGACGACGGCACGGTGCCGTTGAGGAGCCAGTCCATCGCTGGCGACGCAGCCAAATCATGTGGCATGTCGTTCGCCTCGAGTGTCTGACTGACTAGAGCGGAGAGGTCAGCGGAAAGACTGAATGGATTCGTTGCTGCTCCTGGCGATTGTGCGGGCATGTGAACAGCTGCCGAGCTCGAAGCACCGTATGTCTCCTCCATGGACGCGTCCATGGTCGTGGAGGGATCGCTCTCAGCTGAGGCTTGGTTGGCATCTATCTGCGCGTCGTCATCGCTGCTTGCAGAAGCAGAAGACAGTCTTTTTGTCGGCGAAGTCTTGCGCTGGACGTGCGTTGGACCGTGGGCGTCCGACTCTTTTGCCGCAGCCATGCGAGCTTTCTGACGCTACGGATATGAGCGAAAATGTAAGCTTCTGTGAGCAGCACGAGACTCCTTCTGCCCTGTAACAGCATCGATGCACTCACATAGCGGCGTTGTGCTTCGCGGTTTTGTTTCCGTCTGCGCTCTACTAGCGCGAGCGCATCCTCTTCGGGTAGTGCGTGGTGAGAGGATCGCCGAAAAGCCGGCGTCTTATTGGGCTTGCGGCTGTTGGGATGAATGGCAGATGAGCTTGCAACAGGCTCTGTTCTGGGGATCGCTGTTGCTCCCTTGTCGCTGTGTCCAGTGGACGCGATCGTGTAGGCCGTGTCGGGACTGTCCGCGGAAGCTCGACTTCCCACATCACTGCTGCTGCTATCGACCACGAGAGCGTCTTGCAACGAAGAGTTCGACATGGAGGTGTTGGCCAGCGACGAAGCGGAGAAAAGGTTGGCCAATCTGGCGGAGTCGTCGTACATGTCAAGAATCATCGTGTCCCTGGCTGCGCCTTTTGTTGCGGTGATTCGTGACTTGGTCTCCAGGAACGAGGGTCTGTAACAGACGTCTTGATGGTATGAGGCGTCCAAATCAGCCTCTGGTGTGATTATGTAGCTTTTCTCCCTTTCGATGGGGTTGCACCTTCGACTTGCGATTGATGGGCGACACCCTGCTCGCGGAGGGAGCGGATTCGATTCCGTCCGGTTTAAGTATGCCTGGGCGGATCATGGCGGCAACAGCATGCAGCAGGCGTGCACTGATGCGCAGCAGCAAAGATGCGAGAAGCAGCATGCATCTGCAGATGGACAGTGCGCTCGCTGCCAAACCCTAGCCCTGCAACACCAGCACAGCACAAGTCACGACTGCAGCACGAGGGCGCACAGATGGCTCCGATAGGTGGGCAATCTTGAATCGGGCACACGAACGGACAAAAAGGTAGCATTCAGCCCAGCCGTCCGACACGAGTGACTCGTGACTCTACAATGCGAATGCGAGTCACAACCGTCACGCTTTGAGTCAAAGCAAGCAAGCACATTTCATGATTACTGGCACGTACCCTCTGCAAGCGTCGGAGGGATTTGCGGACTTTAGGGAACGACAAGAGGAGAGCCCGGCTCGGGTAAAGTGGCCAAATTAGGTACCGATATGTGTAGAGCTGGCCGGGGAACAGAGCCGCCAAAACCTGGTCGAGCAAGACACTCCTTATCGACGGCGCAACAGTTGTGAGTGCACAATTGCGAGTACTGTAAATAGCCCGGCTCACACTCGTTCGACACTAATGAGTTCCTGCGCTGCCCCACCCGATGCTGACAGCTGGTTTGCATGCCATTCACATTCGCGTGAAGCATGCATGTTTCAGAAAGTGGAAACGAAATTAAATCGCAGAGAGCCTTAGCTGTGAAGCGATATCGCAAGACCGTCATGCATGCCAGCCGGGTGACACGTCATCGCCGCGGCATCCCTCAGGCGGCTAGCCGGTCGTCTGCAGTGGGCTTAATGACTTCTGCATTCAGTCTCAGCTGTGCAAAGATACGATCCGCTCATGCGAGGCTCTCGAGCCGCCATCACTTGTACTTGGGTGGATGCTGCGCGCCAATGGCGCGAGAACAGCCAGGGACGTTGGCAGTACAGTATGTCTTGCATCCGCGCTGCGCGGAACGCCGGCACGCCGTTCTCCTTTCATGCTGTTGCGGTCGAGTCACTACCTTGGATTCGAGCTTGCATGAAAGGTTTATTTAGTTGATCAGCTGGAAGCTGTGAGAATCACGCTTGACCTGTCGTCGCCTCAGCTGCGTTTCGTCCTGCCGCTTGCATAGCAGCTTGTTGCAAGACCACCCATCTCGTCGGGCGTAGCGTAGTTCATAAGCGAGTGAACGCGCGCTCCTGCTAGGGGGTGATTTTACCAAAAATCAGCTTACTCTGCAGCTTGGTGAGCTTACCTCGCCCTGACTCTGCACGGTTATGCGCCTAGGGAAACGCTGCGTCTACGGTGTCACGTCTTACAGTACCACGCACGCGCACTGCCCAGCTCAGGAACGTAGGCGCACGCCACAGTGCAAGCGGTCCACGATTGCATGAGCAGCTTATCTCCGGCGATTTAACCGGCCGAATTACGCCTTCGGCATTATGAACGCTGCATCAGCACAAAAACAACCCTGCGCACATCACTTGACTTCGTCGACCGACCCCAGTGATTTGGCATCCGACTTGAGCTTCGAGAGCACAGCCATGATCGCAGGCCTTCCTTTCGCTTGTGCACGTGTACTTCTCTGCAAGACGATGCGGCTCAAGTCTTAATTGGGGTCCAGCAGCGATAACAACTATCAGATGGGCTCGGAACCGCCGCTGGATCCGGACTTGCTCCCCCACGCTTAGATGAAGAACGGAGCGGGCTGATCGGCGCGCATACAGCTGATCTCGAAGAGCTTCTCATCAGCTACGTATATTTGATTCGTGATGGCAAGTCAATGCATGTGAATCTGGACATACATTCACGATTGTGTGCGCCATCACGATCCTCTCGTCCAGACATCGACGGCTTTCACCGGGTATCGCAGAGAGTCTTGAGTAGATTACGCGGAGATTGCCGTCCATCGACGTGGGTGGGACATGCTGGCCGGCAAGACGCATCCCGAACTCACGTGATTCACAAACTCGTGGATAGAAGCAAGATCCGCTCAACTTGCCCTGTGAGAAGGCAAGTCATCGTGAAGAGGCAGTCAAGAATCATGAATTCAGTCCTGAGTTGCCAAGCACCCACCCTTAATTTCGGTGCGTCATTCACGTCATCATCACACTCAAGCTCGGACTAAAGCGTTTGATCATCTCGGTCTGCCGTGCCGTATTCACAGCGATACCGATGCCTCAGCAAGTGTGCTTGCCGTGCTCTTTTGGGAAGCAAACACGATTGTAAACATCGAGCTTTGGCTTTCAGGCAATCTCTTGTCTGCATGTGAGAGTGCCGCACACACGACCTGCCGCCAGCGAAGTATCTTCTTCGCGCGGAGACGCTCGCATCGGACGAACATGTCTGGCGCATCCTCGTCCAAAAAGTACGAAGACGTTCGATAGCCTTGCACGCCAATCCCGAGACCTTATGGATATCTAGAGCCTCGATGCCTGCATGAGACACTCGAACGAGCTGTTGTGGTCGACCTTCTTGCCTCAAGAAAAATTGGCCAAGAACATCACCATCACAACGATCAAGAATCGTGAATGATATATAACCCTTACCTGCACCTGCACTTTCCAAAGCTCGGCGATTCCTCATGACTAGCCACGTGGTCAGCTTTATTTGCGGTGGCATGAATTGCAGCCAGCGCGACAGCCTCGTCCTGCAGGACAAAGCGTGCGGTATCGTACAACGTACAGGTTGCCCAGAAATTCGAGGTCCGATATGCGGGGAAAGATGTCGCCGCATAGAGTTGTCAGTCGAGACTTGCGTGACTGCTTTGCCTGAGCCCATGACCGAGGGCGGCGATCGAGCAGTCGACAGCGTCGTCATGGTCTGCAGCTCGATCAGCGCTCGATATGCAGGTGAAAGTCACGCCTACAGACGGTCGCATTCTTGATTGCCACAGCAGAGACGACGTGCAGACTTTGGCAGCCATGATCTCGCAGGGAGCCGAGTATCACAGATCCACAGGCTTACCTGTGAGTGCTCTGTCCAGCTCCTGCAAGACGTTCGTCGTGTGAAAGGGGTTCAGAAAGTGCAGGGTCACTTGAGAATCAAACGATGTCTAGGGAAGATGGGTCATCGCGTCTTGCAGCGTTCTCCCACGCTGAAGTCTGCGTTGGCTACACAGATGGCGCGTCCGACCTTATCCGCAAAGGGCGCTGAGGCCCCCACTTGGCGGACTTTGCTGTTACACTCTTGACTGCTGATGTCATTCAATTCTTGAACTACAACGCCTGGCTGCTGACTGAAAACAGGCAAGCAGACATACCGACCCTCGTGAAATGAGAAGCGAGGACGTGAAAGAGGAGCGTGGTCAGCCGGCCCGCACGTAAGTGGGTCGCGAAGATGAGCTCGCGGCCGCTCAAGTGCCCAAGGCGGGGCGACTTGCATGCATGCACGCACCGCATCTGCTGCTGCATGCATGCACACCCGCGGCCACCGGCACACACCATCGAGCTCGAATATCCTGCGCGCAAGAGCTGCTAGCTGCCCCACGCGCAAAGCTTGCAGCATCGCGATCGAGATCCCATGCAGGTGCACGCGTTGCTCCAGCTCTAGCTCTGCCGCACGCACAGTCCAGAGCAGTATACACGCTCTCGCGCAGCGGAGGTGACTTGCTGTGCTCCACTGCCTTACCCCACGGGTCGGCGGGCAAGTGGCAGTCTGACGCCGTCGCAAGCTCGCACACAGCCAGCGGAGAACGACTGTCCTGGTCATCTCGGCCATCGCGCCTTCTGACTCGCGCAACGTAGCCTTGCATGGGTCACGCTGGGCTATTGGGCCAGCCAACCCCAGCGAGGAATGAAGCTGCTGCACGCTGTTTCCCCGCCTTTGCTACGTTTTCAACCGCGAGCGCTCCTTCACCCCACAGCAAGCGAGGGAGCATCCGTCTTCTGAAATCTGTCTGGATCTGGGGGTAGACCGTTGAGCTTGATGCGTCTGTCAAGCCAGAGACCTTCTTCTCATCACTACACCCATCCGCTTTCTTGCCGAGTCAGGACATCGTGGTCGAGGCTCAAGGATCTGTCTCCCACCGCTTCGTCCATCCCCCTCAGTCATTGACAGAGCAGATCGACAAGTCGACGTGCTCATTTTGCTTCCCTCAGAACCCCTCTTGCTTGGCCCATCTCTAAACAGCCCTCGGCAAGATGTCTGCAGAGGTCGCCAATCCAGCGGATACGCTGGGCCCGCGCATCAACACCTCGAGGCGCTCCATTCTTGCGAGCATGGAAGCAGAGTCAGCTGAAGCGGAAGCCTCGCCTGTGCCTGTGTCAAACACAGACGCTTTGTTGCGCCAAAGACGGCCTAGCTCCTCGCAGTCGCGATCAAATGGTGTGACCGGCACCAAAGAAGCCGACAGCAAGTCCCACAGGCGCAAGTCCAGCGTCAGCTCAAAGAAGAGCCCCGTGCCAGCAACATCCTTTGGTAGCGGCAGCGACAAGGATGCCCAACTGGACGTGCCAAAGTCAAGCCTCAAGTGAGTCGCGTACGACTGTTATTTGCTCTCCTAACGCATTCAGAGCTGTTGCGGCGAGTCTCCTGCAGCATCGCTCGCTGCCTTCTAGGAGCGCGCGCAAAAGCTACATGTATGCATACAGCTTGGCGCGCAGATGACGTGCTGGACACGCTCGCCCTGGAAGCTCATCATCGGCTTCGTGAAAGCGGCCTGCGCAGATCGCAGACCAGTTGAAGGGTCTGTCTAGAACAGCACTCTATGCACGAGGGAGAGATAAGAGTACAATGCAGGCAGCATCAACTCGCTTTCAGCTAGCAACGAAACGTCGGCTGAGCGTTGCGTGCAGGCAAGACTCGGGTCACAGCGTGCGATGTTGATGTATCGCAGCCAAACAGCCTGCTGACAGACGATTCGTACTGCATTCTCAGACAAAAGATTTCGAATGCGTCCTTGCGCAACGGGGACAAGGGCAGCAACGATGAAAGTGACAGACGCAGCGTGTCCTCTCGTATGAGCTCGCGTGCCAGGATCTCATCAATCATTCGCCGAGGCTCGCGCCAAGCGTCTGCTGACCCCGAAGACGATGCTGGCCGCAAGAAAAGCAGCAACGGCAGCTCTCGCAGGCTGAGCACACGCATGCCGAGCTTTGGCAAGAAGAGCGGAGCCGGGGTAGCAGCAGCTGTTGGTGGTCGAAGAGAGTCTACCTACTCTTCTGGAGATGACGCTCCACCTGTACCAGAGGTGCACCAAGAAGCACTCGCCTCAAACGGCTACACAAACGGGGCTGCCTCCCCACCGCGCTCTCCGGTGACCACTTCGCCTGCCCCTCCAAAGTCTGGTCGCCGCACAACGTGGAACAAGTCTGCACCCAAGTCTTTCGCCGAAGCAGCTCCCGCTCTGGATGCTCAGGCCACTTCTCGCATCGACAGCATCCTGAGTCACAAGCCTTCAGGTGGCGACTTGCACAAGAAGGACACGAGCGATGGAAGTCAGCAACAAGGCTACCTGAGCTCGGCTGTTGGAGCTGCCACAGGCGCCGCGGTCGGAGCAGGTGCAGCCGTCGCTGCAGGTGCAACTGCTGTTGCGAGCAAGGTTCTGGGCACTGAGAACGGCACGCCAGAGTCTAAACAGAAACAGCAGGCTAATGGCTACGACGATTCCGATGACGAGTCTGACGAATTTCACGACGCTGAGCTAGCGGACATCGAAGAGCACGAAGAGGAGGAGGATCACCACACCCGCAAGCAGTCGCATCGACAGGGCATGCACCGCGGCCTCTCTGAAGCTGCTCTCGGTGGCGCGAGTGCAGCAAGCAGCACGTATGGTGGACCACGCTCCGGCTCGCCCGAGACGACAACTGCTTCGCTCGCTCCTTCGTCTCTACGCGGAACTTCTGGTGCCAAGCGACGCAGTGGCAGCGTGCCGGTCGGCGGCGACGAGACTTCGACGCCCGCAGATGTCAAAGCAAAGAAGGAGACGCCTCTGTATGTGCGCGAGAAGGCCGCTCGCGTGCAGCGCCTCACCTTTGACGACGTTGCTCTGGAGGAAGACGAGATGGAGGACGACATCAAAGTCGCGAGGCACGCTCTCAATCTCTTCTTGAACTCGCGCATGATTGAAGCAGAGGAAATTATGAAGAAGCACAGCGATCGCAAACTCTATTATGCCCTGGGAGATGCTCTCATTGCGGTGATCAAGGGTATCATGGTGAGTAGCCTGTGGCGGAGACGTGCGTGAGCCAGTGCTGATGTGGAATTGGATGACAGACTTTCGAGCCGGAAGACTTGGGCAAGGCAATCTCCTACTGCAAGGACACTCTAGTCATTGCCAACATGCTCCGCAAGCCTTCCAGCACCGTTGCAAACTTTGGTCGTTTCGTGCGCGGCACAGGTCAAAGCGCCAGTACCATGGCAGGAATGTCCAAGGTGCAGAGACACGCCGAGCTAGTCTACGCTGAGAGCTTGCTGCTCAAGGCAGTCATGGGCAGTGAGTGCTTGTACGATATGGCGAAGCGAGGCTGCACGACTGATTTTGCTCACCGACTCATTCGCTTCCACCAAACGTAGTTCTGTACTCGGGAGACTTCTTTGCATTCGTTTCCGAGGCACTCAACTTGCGCAATGCGTACGGCATCTACCGCTCGTTGTCCAAGTACGTTGAGTGGGCAGATGACAAAGCCTCTGGTTCCCGTGACAAGAGTGTCGACGAGGATTTCCGCTCTGGAGTATACCTCGGTAACGGCTTGATCAGCATGATTCTCGGCCTCCTTCCCGGCAAAGTGCTGAAGATCATGGAAGTCTTTGGCTACACTGGCGACACTCAGTGGGCCCTCAAAACCCTGTCCCGAGCCGGTGGCTGGAGTCAAGACAAGCGCAAGACTGAGCCCGCCATGCGCATCGAAGATGAAGGACTGCGTCGGCAAGTGTGCGACATGGGTATCCTCCTGTACCATCTGGTCATTTCGACCTTTATTCCGGTCAACGGCACAGACATCGATTTTGCGGACAAGGTGCTGCACTACAACCTCGATCGATATCCCCAGGGTGTCTTCTTCTTGTACTTCTCTGGACGTCTTTACTCGACTCAATCCCTCGCCGAAAGGGCTGTGGTGCAGTTCGGTGCTGCGCGCGACGTGCAGAAGGAATACGTTCAGCTGCAACACATTTGCTACTGGGACATGAGTCTTTGCCACATGAGTCTGGCTCAATGGGAAAAAGCCTACGATTGCTTCACAGTCTTGCTGAAGGAGTCCAACTGGAGCAAGGCAGTGTACAACTACGGCCGCGCGGTGAATCTGCTGCAATGCGGCAAAGACGACAAGGCTGCAGCGGCCCTTTTCAGAACTGTTCCCGATGCCATGCAGCGCATTGCGGGCAAATCCATCCCAATGGAGAAGTACTGCGCACGCAAAGCCAAGAAGTTCATCAAACAAAAGCGACTTTTGCTTCCTGCGGTGGAATTTTCCTACATCTATCACTGTCTCACCAATGCGCCACGCTACGCCCTCTTCGATGAGCAGCTCATCGAGATCTCGGACGCACTCGCAGACCTGCGAGATGTGGAGGATCCCAGTCAGTACCACAGCGGAGCAGATGAGTACTGGGACGATTTTTGCCTTGCACACTTCCTGCGCGGCGTCGTGCTGCGTTACATTGCCTACCCGGAGAAGCATGCCCGCGTGGATCCAGCAGAATCGCCGATTCCTATCGCGGAGGCTGACAAGCAGTGCGAGATCAGCTTGCGCAAGGTCATCGATGAAGGCCACAAGATCTCTCTTGATCACTACCTGGTGTACTTCGCACACTACGAGCTCGGCAGGCTGCACGCTTGCAGAGGACAGGTGGATCAAGCCAGAGATCAATTCAATCTGATCATGAATGGCAAGAACCTCGAGGACAAGGGCCGCAAGGGCAAGTACTCGATGCAGAACATGTGCGTCCTGCGATCAAATGGAGCTCTGCAGACACTCGGATGAGCCCGGAAGCCGCAAGGGGCCTCATCAGTTGCGTCACCGGCTCGTCGATTATCCGCCCAAAACACTCTTTAAGGTAGACCCCAATGGTACCTCTCCCTCTCTTTTCATTTTCTGTACCTCGTTATTTGATGAAACCTTATTTCGCTCTCTCATTGCGGCCCACCCCGCACGCACCTCTCACCCTCACTGTTCTTGATTGAATCGGACAACAATCGCAGACGGGGAATGCATCAGTGAACATGGCCTTTGCCCATTTGGCTACGTAACAGTGTACATGTGCCCCACTGATCCGCCTAAGTGGGACCCCCAATATGGAAGCATGAAGCGATCGATGGTGTCGACTGGCGTAAAGCATTGACGGGACAATCCGTGCGTGTGGGGCATCCATGCACGCAGACCTCCCAACTGACGCATCAACGTACGAGACGAGCCAGACGTTGTTCAATTTGAAGCTACCCTAATGTACGCAGCGATGCTTTTGCGAAAGTCTCGACATCATGCTAGTTGGTGTTCGGCGATCTGCAAAGCCGCAAGCGACTACTCGTGGGAAGCACTTTCTGAACTGCGAATCGAGATTACACGATTGCAGGACTCACCACTGATGCTGGACGCTGGGTGTTCGACGAGGATGACACGCGCGCACGGACTTGACGGCCGCTTGTCCGTCGGATTGGCCCGCGTGTTGGACCAAGCGACTGGACGCGTTGCATGGTGACACCCTGCATTCACATTGGCAGCGTGCCACGTCGACGTCTCATTCGCGACTACATTCACCATTGGTCATTCTGATCACGAACAGACGCAGCAGCAGTCAGCACGAGTCTGTGTCTGATATGCTCATGGCGTATGATATGCTGACTGGCAAGGGGTTTACGCTGTGTGGTCACAGAGTCTTGGTCGAGCGAAGAGCTAGCAGCTTGGAGTTCGTCTTGTGCAGGCATGCCGGTACGATCGATTGAGACTTGAAGGCGCGGGAGCTGAGCTGAGCTATACTGATGGCTCTTTTACGAGCTAGGTCTCCGCGATACTCTTGACGCACATTCCAGTCGGAACCGCTTCCGTCGGAGATTCGTTTGCGATTTCTTCGTGCCTCGACGAGTTTCTTTGATTGTATGACAGGTGAATCGAGGGTAGGGTTGTGAACGAAGCGTGGGGTCCATTAAGATGCAAAAGGCAGCTCTAAGCCTCACCAGACTTGTTTTCCTACTTGGTCCCAGATCGGCTTTCGGATGGTCACAGGCAGCGGAAATGAAGGCAGCCCGCAGAGGCCTTGACGCTGCTATGTTTGCTGCACAATCTGATGAAGCAACGGTGCCCTGTCGCTTCGTAAGCAATGAGACCTTGCAATTGAGTCAAATTGCGATCGAGGGGGTCCCACCCCTCACGTCGTCGCGACTACGTGCAGCAAGCTTGCCGTCGAGAAGGAACGGCACCGCGGCGCCGGCCAATAGGTGAGCAAATGAGCTGCGAATGATGTCTTTGCAAAGTTGTGCCAATGGCCCGCCTAGGGAGCTGTGGAAGCAGTCAAGAGGTGTGTCAGGTCCGATGACCGGCTAGCTCGACGTGGATGGCTGCATGCGTCGAGCAGCATCGCCACGAGCATGGAATGCACGACCATCACGAGTCGTGAAGGCCCAGGTGACGCGAAAGCAGCACAATTCGGACTACATAGGGGCACGTCTCAATAAGCAACTCGATGAGCAATGTTGGGCATCAGGTACAACTCTTGACTGTGACTCAAAACTGTATGTCGCTGCTCCCAAAGTTCCTCGAGACGTGAGTGAGACTTGCGGGAGTGAACCCCTGATTCGCATCGAAGAGCGAGCCTTGCATGGCTGCGTGTTCACCGCGTGCCGTGCCGTGCCGTGCCGTGCCTGCAGCTAAAGGATGCAGCGGCAGCGTGGAGCTCAATCACCAATTCACATTTGCTTATCATATGCACCTTAACCCTGAGATGCGTTGCTGCCGCAAGACAAATGCACATTGCGTGGACAGCAGCTGCGGGGCTCAATTTCAATCTAATTTCGATTCGTGATTCAAGATTCAAGATTGTGATTGGGATTGACGTCCACCATGTAATTTGAACGACTCCTGCTGCTGACAGCCATGCGTCTTGATTGTCGCATCGACCCCTGCCGAACAGCACCTTGTCACTCACGACTCGTGCTTTGCCCATCTGTAGTGGTCCCATGTCCGGGCTTAGCCCCACCGGCAAATCAGGCTGTGCCGTTTGGCCCCCGCCTGCTTTGACCGCTTCGCTCAAAGCAGTCTGAGCTATGGCAGTCGGACTATAGATGCATCGTGGCGTTTCGGTGTCAGCGCCATCGCGGTCCGCACGGAGGTCGGTCCGGAAGGCCGTCATGCTGCGGCTCCTATAAGAGAGACACCTGTCCTTTACTCTTGACTCTAGCGAGCGAAGGCTCAACATACTCATTCTTGATTCTTTCGATCCGCCACGAACATCAACTTGCAACGTGTTGCGTCTTCATGACCACGCCTGCTTGCACATAACCCGCGTGAAACGTGATTGCGTCACCCCTCCCCTCTTTGACGACGAGCAACGAACGGAAATTGGCAGGGACCCGCGTGACATATTGGTCGTCTGCGCCAAACGGCAACGCGAACGCGAACGCGAACGCGGCGCCTCGGACTTGTTGCGCTGTCTCAGAATTGCGCACTTCGGGATATATAGTCAATCGCCAGCAAGGCGTGTGGCCATCACGATCTCCGAGCTGCATTAGTCGCATCACTGCCCCGACACTCCGTCACATCGCGTCATTTATATAGATCACGCGTCTCAAAGGACGCCCGCCCGGCCTGCTACTTTGTTATCGCAAAATTCTTGTGCGATTCGATATTCGACGCCGACGGCGGACGCATACGTTGGGCAACGCTCGATAACGAGAGGCGCTGCAGCTTTCGTATCGCAGAAATCAAGGCGATAGCACAACATTCCGGGCACTTCTGCTGAGGTAGCGTTGGCGACGGCAAACTTTCACGCTACTTGAGGACTCTCCCTTGGAAAGCCGAAGGGTGTCCTTACAAGGATAAGCCTCTTGGCTACCTTTACAATCCTCAGGGAGGTCAGAAGCTCGCTTCGTCGGACTCCGTGCTACTTCTGCAACGTCCATCAAAGGCACAACGAGTCTCTGCGGAACGCTTGCACGCTGCGTTTGAAACATCAAACACGTTCAACTCCTCGACTTCATAATCACCAGTCAGTCATCATGTCTCACTCTCATTTAGCAACGACTCTAGCGACCTGGCGCGGTCTTGCGCAGCAGCGTGCAGCTTCGCACAGCGAAACCGGAAACAAAACGCTGAGCAACGGGCTCAATGGAGCTCATTGCTCCGAGGGGCACGCTCTCGCTTTTGACGCTGTCGGCGAATCCACCATGTGCAACGGCATTGCTCGCAACGGTGCCTCACAATCTGTTTCACAAGCTCTTCATGGGTCTGACAAGGCACGCCCAACCCAGCTAGATAAGATCGACGGCAGGTCCCTGACGATCGGGAAAGTTGTTGCAATAGCGCGCTACAAAGTCACACCAGAGCTCTCGACGGAGCCGCAACTTCGTGAAAAGGTGGATGCTTGTGTGCAGAGCTTGAACCGCAAGCTCGAGCGCGGCGAGGTGAGTCTGGAGTGCAATCGACCGATTCATCCCTATCGCTTGAATTGCGTGCTGATGTGCTAGACGCTAACCAAGTAGAGCATGTACGGCATCAACACGGGCTTTGGCGGGAGTGCCGATACGAGGACAGCGCACGTCAAGGAGCTGCAGCTATCGCTCGTCACTGGTCAGCAGATTGGCATTCTTCCAGTCGCCAGTCTGGACGAGGGCATGGCCGACTCGCTTCCCATTTCTGACGAGCCTCTGTCTCAGCCGGAAGCCTGGGTGCGGGGTGCGATGATCGTGCGTCTAAACAGTCTTGTTCGTGGACACTCAGCAGTCCGCTGGGTCGTCCTCGAGACTATGCAGCGCTTGATGGCAAACAATGTCGTTCCGGTGGTACCTGTTCGATCTTCCATCTCGGCCTCGGGAGACCTCTCTCCGCTCTCCTACGTGGCTGGCGCGCTGGCCGGCTTGCCTGGTGTCCAGTGCTGGGTCGATGGGGCCGATGGCCGCAGAAAGAAGGTCTATGCACCGGAAGCCTTGGCGCGCTACAATATCGCGCCCATCTCGCTTGAACCAAAGGAAGGACTGGGACTTTTGAACGGCACGGTGAGCACGTCGACACGTTCCGCGCATCAATCCTCGCTCATATGCGGCTGCTTCTCTTTTCAGGCCTTTAGCACGTCTGTTGGGGCATTGGTGATGCACGATGCGAACATGCTGGCTCTAGTTTCCCAAATCACGACCGCCATGGGCTGTGAGGCGATGCTAGCGACTGACGGATCCTTCGATCCTTTCATTCACGACGTGTGTCGACCTCATCGAGGCCAAGTGGAAGCAGCGAGCCATATCCACAAACTTTTGGAAGGCTCCCAGCTCGCTACACACCATGCAGATGAGGAGCATGTGTTGGCCTCGGATGATTCGGGAACACTTCGCCAAGACCGCTATTGCTGGCGCACAGCCGCCCAGTGGGTTGGTCCGCAACTTGAAGATCTCCAGGCTGCCACGCAGGCCGTCGAGACGGAGCTCAACACCACTACAGACAACCCTTTGCTAGATGCGGACACGGACAAGATGTATCACGGCGGCAATTTCCAAGCTCAAGCTATCACGAACGCAATGGAAAAGACTCGTCTCTCGCTGGCGCTGCTCGGAAAGATGCAATTTGCTCAGACGGCCGAAGTGAGGAAAGGAGCCAGAAGGTGCGCATTGCAGCCATAGCTGACTCTTTCTTCTTCATTGACATCAGCTCGTCGACCCGGCCAAGAATCGAGGTCTCCCAGCCAATCTCTCGGCGGGCGACGTATCCCTTGACTTTGGCTTCAAAGCTGTGGACATCGCCACCGCTGCTGTGTGCAGCGAACTGCAAGCCCTGGCAAGTCCGGTCGCTACCCACGTGCAGAGTGCAGAGCTTGGCAATCAGGCCTTGAACTCTCTCGCTCTCATTTCGGGACGTCAGACCGTTCGATCGATCGAGTGCCTTTCGCAGCTGTTTGCCTGGTCGCTCTACATGATCACGCAAGCTTTTGACCTGCGCGCGTTGCAGAGGGCTCATCTCGACGTGCTGCATGACCATCTCAAATCCAGCTTGAAGGCGTCCTTCGGGTTGTGGATCACAGATACCGACTTGAATACGCTGGTACCTCGCATATATGCGAAAGTGACTTTGCGAATGGACGAAGGCGCTCATCGGCCAATGCTTGAGCGCTTGGATGAGGCGTACCGCTCTGCGACTCAAGAGGTAAGAAATTGAGAAAAAAAAATCGCCGAAGACACGACGCAGCAGCTTCCGCTTACACGCAGTGACGGCGCGCACTACGCAGCTGGTGCAATATCTTGCTACTGCCCCCAGTGTGGCTAGCGGAAAAGCTCTACAAGCCTTGGTCGGTGCGTACACTGCTGGTTGAGGCAATGCGGCGCACGGGCTGACTCGAAACACTTCTATAGACTGGCGCGAAACTTCCGTTCATCAAATGGAGAAGGCCTACTACGCGCAGGTCCAGCAGGTATGTCCCCGCCTGCCACGTCCGCTGTCGCTAGAGGGTGGCTGACGCTTAGGATTTGTTGGCAGATGCATGAACAGCCTTATGGCTGTCACGCAAGCCCTCTGCTCTCTCCATTGACGCGCCGTATCTACGAATACGTTCGCAAAGACCTGAATGTACCTGTAATGGGCAAGCAGTGCTTGTGAGTAGATCTGCCTGTCGCATGCCCCTTGCGCCATCGCTGACCTTTGGCCTTCTTTATGCAGCTGGATGTATCAGGGCGAAGAAGGCAAGCTCAGCGAATCAATGGGCAATCAAGCCTCTCGCGTGAGTGTTGCGATCCGCTCCTGCGGCAATGCGGCGTGCTGACGAGCGTAGTGGATCTTTGGCTCTTCGTCTCGTAGATCTACCGCGCCATTCGAAATGGCGACCTCTATCAACTCATTGCCGACGTGGCTCAGGAACTCGAATGAGGGTCGGAATGGATGCTTTGGAAGAAGTCGTAGTCTATAGACTCTCCAGCGATTAGACCCCCCTGTAATGATTCCGCCCAAATCCGGCACGTCTTGCCACCATGCCTGCACATTGCGACGTGCACCAGCGCCCACGACGTCGTCGGAGGCTCGGCCTATTGTTATCATCATATCTTGCGATGGCTTGTCATCGCGCGCGCCAAGTAGTCCCGAGCTTGCACATGAATGCTCTTTTCGAATGTCGATTCAGAAGCTTCTGCCCAAGTCGCTTTCATGTCGGCAGGGCCAATATTTGCCGCGCGTCTGAGCCGCGGTGCCATGACGGACTTTCGCCTCGCCTTCTCGGCGTTGCAGGTGAGCTTGAATCGTGGTAAGGTCACGTAGGGCCGTTCTTCCCGAGAGGCTTGGCGAGCTCGGTGTACTATTCGGAAAGGGGCCCCTGCTGTTCCACAGCTTTGGCACTCGGACATCCACGACACGTGCGCGCAAGTCTGATCGCAGCTCTAGACACCTTGCCCTCGACCTCGCGGTGCGGCCCGGCTTTGGTCTGCTGCCGTCTTAATTCTCGACGTGGTAGGTTGCAAATGTGCATCTGCTGCGATGGAGCAGCACGCCGTTCCATCGAGCAGGGAGCACGGCGGCGGCGGACATGTAGTAAGAAAAGGCGAGGGCGCACCTGTGCAGCGAGGCATGAGTCAGGATTGAGCTCAGGGTAGAACGAGTGCTGGGTCTTGATCGAGTGCGGCCAAGGATATTTTGCGGCCAGCAGGCAGCAAGCGCCAAGCTGAGACGTGCGTGAGTCATTCACATTTCGTCATCACAACAACTCTCGTGTAGCAGTCCTAAGTCGTGGGCGTCCACCTTTGGGGTCATGCGCCAGAATTCGCTGGGCGCTTGCTTGCTTGCTTGCGGGTCATCGCTTTCCGCAGCTGGCGATGACGAAGAGACACACGCGAGAGATGGCCCACTTCCTTTCCATCAGCCGACCAGCATTTGCAGTCAAAAGTCAGCACTAGTCGTGAGTGTCTGCCTGAAAGGCCAGCTAGACGACCCGATTCACGAGATCAACTCACGATTGCTTCTGCATGGCGGGCAATCTTGAATGGTGATGATGATTAATTTCGTTGTTGTGTTGTTGATGTTTGGCGTCGAATCAAGTCAAGAGACCGCGAGTTCAATTTGCATGGCGCCTTCTGAATCTGTGAATCAAAAAAATGTAATCCGGAATGCCGTTTCAGCCCTCGAGCCAACGTTAATTCCCAATGCAAATCTGGCGCTTGCGGATGTCTGTGCGGTGCGCGCATGGCTCCAGTTCATCATGAATTAACTCAAGCAGTCTGAGTGCAAGGTGAGTGTAGAGTGTAGTAGTGAGGACACACGTAGTCTTGAGTTGAGTGTGCGCGCGCGGCTTCGCTGGCCGGCCGGGCAGCGGTGGGACCAGCGGGTGTCAAGGTACACGCGCCCGCATGCTGGTCGGCTTACTTTTGACTGCGCATTTAGCGCGTGTGCCGGCAAGCTTGTCATGCGTGAGCATGCTTCTGTGGATGAATCCTCTCTCTGTCCGCTTGGCCGACGCGCACGTTTGACCTTGCGGTGCTTAAGCCACCGCCCGGACATCGCGACAGAAACTCACGACTGGTTTGAGTCGTGAAGCTTTCCCATAGCGCCGCCAATTCACCTTCGGCTGTGCGGCTTCATCGTTCTGCCCCATTTCACGCTCACAGATCGGACTTGTGGAGCTGAAGTTCCCCACTTGCAGTGACTGCGCGCCGCCGTCGCTCTCGACCCGCCAAATAGCTGCACCAACCTTAAGCACGCCGCGAGGCAAGCTCGACAGCGTCATGCAAACGTCCGCTCGTCGGTGATCGGGTCAACAGCAAGGCAACGGCATCCTGAAAGCGATTCTAAACTTCTCTTGCCTCGGGACGTTCCAATCACGCATTGCTCCTATCAACGCCCTGACGAGCACAGCTAAGGTGCCGCCTGCCACAAGGCCGGCGTCGCGGTCGGACGCTCTCGTCCCTCGACTTATCGATTGCGTGCGATTCGTGGCGACCAGGCCGAGATGGCTTCAGATCAGCCAGAGGGTCGAGCTCCTGCAGAGAACTCTCAGCCGAAAACGACCACCATAGGATCTAGAAGCAATCTGACCGGAGTGTTGGCGGCAACCGCTCCATCTCGATCGTCCCCGTTGCGGCGTCTCTCATCTTCTCGGGATGCCCCCGAAAGAGAGGGCGAGTCGCCCAATGCCCAGGCAGAGTTGCAACAAGATCCTCAAAGGGACGACACCAATGACCATCGGGAAGACGGCACCGAGCCTGGTGGTAGTACCGCTTCCAGCTTGACGCCTCGCGAACATCCTAGAGGTGCTCACCTCAGCTCGTCAATTTCGGCGTCGTCGGGAGGATCACACTGGACTTTGGAGGACCTTGGCGGGAACGAAACCCCGACAAGCGGTGGAGGAAGCTCGGCAAGTCGAGCTCGCCCTCTGTATGCGCCAGCGACTCGACATCCTCGTGCAGCGCTGTCAGGAATTTCGATCCATCACGCTGTACCGTCCTTAAGATCATCATCGCCTCTGGCGGTGTCCGCGATCAGCGCGGACAACGAGGAAGTCGAAGATGATGATGCGAGCGTTTCCGCAGATCTTCGCCTGCGCATGTCCGGCATGGCGCCGAATCAGGGAGTTGTAGATCCTACGTTGACTTCGCAGTCTCCAGCATCTTCGAGGAGCTCATCGTTCGGTGCATCAAACACGTCTAGACCGGAAATTCGATCTGCTCTCACGTCGCCGAGTCCAATGCCTAGCACGAGCAGGTCTGGAAGAAGGAACCTGTCGCGTGACAGCTCGGCTTTGTCGATGGAAGATAGCGACAGTGAGTAGTGGTAGCACCCTCTTTGGCTGCGTATGGCTGAAGTAGTCATGACCCCTGCCACTTGGCAGTTCCTCTGAATACAGGCCCTTTGCGTTTGCAGCGCTCGTCCTCTACAGCTGGCATTTTTGACCTTGACGAGCCATCGGCTAGCGCTTCCAGCAAGTCTAGTCAGACTTCAAGCGCTAGCGGCACAGCAGGCGCGTTCGCCACGTTTATTGACCCTTTGGGTGCACGAACCTCTCTTTCAACTTCCGCGTCTGCTGCTGCTCAGCATGCCGGGGCGACAGCTCCGGGTCAGTCACAGTTGCTATCTCCTTCTCCTGAGAGCTCCCGGAGGTCTAGCGCGCGATTGAGTTTGGGGCCTCCGGTTGTAGGCTCTTCTTCACCACTGTCAGCACCTCTCGCAGCGCCAGTCATGACCAGCCAAGGACCGACGGCGTCGAGCTCGGTGGGTCACAGCAAGACCTCCAGAGCACCGCTAGATACCACCCCTTCGTTCTCCAGTCCATTAGCATATGCCTCCATCTTGCCCAGCGAGCACGCAGATGACTTGGACCTAGATCATGCGGTCGAGTCCACTTCGCCAAGAATACCATCCCAAGAGGCCGACGTCCGAGACTCTCTGGCGACCAGTGAGCAGCAAGATGATTCTCTGGCCGATTTGAGTAGCACTCCTGCCTCCCCGAAGCGTGAGAGGTCAGCTAGTGCGAAAGCAAAGTTGATGGCTCATGCCCGTGATTGGCAGCCGATCCAGGGCCTCTCTTCAAACACGCCAGTTGCGTCGCGGGCCGCGAGCGTCACTGCCTTTGGCACGACTGGATCTGCACCTAGCTCCATTTCGACGTCTCCAGATGCAGTCTCGGGCTCTCTTTCGAGGTCTGCCCGCAGAAAGAGCGCTCTATCCCCTGGCGCGCCAATGGGACCACCCGCCATCGTTCCCCGGAAGGCAAGCGCGCCCACGCGCAGCTCCGAAGTACCGCCCGCTCCCGAGCCGTCTGAACCCGGGGCTGCACACGTTCAGAGAGCCAGAACGATACAATCAAGTGCCGCCACCTCCAGAGTCGCTGCGCCTGCGAAGGGCGAAGACCCTAACAACCTCGGTCTTGGCCTGCCGTCTCCTTCGAACCCCCAGCATCACAAAGACAGCGGATCTTCCGCCCCGCCTTCTGCGTGGGATCCGAGGCATACAATGCATGCGGGAGAAAGCTCGAAGCCATCAGTGTCCGGAGGTATTACGGGCACTCGACGAAGGAGGTCATCGGCTGCGAATCTGTCTGCCAATGCGCATAGAAGGGCTCGATCTCTGGGCGGCGCTCTGCTCGGAAGCGACGTGGCTGCGGCAGTCGGTGGACCCGACGGCGTAGATCCAAATTTGGTCGCAGCGATTCGCGCCGGAGATGCTAGCATTCCGCGAACACCTTCCGCAGCTCCGCACGACCTGGCCGCTGCAATCGCCTCCGCCACCGCAACCCCCAGCGACGGCACACCGCCATCCTCTGCTGGAACCGTGGCTGGCTCAGTAGCGGCGACTCACTCTTCGCCGTCGCACGCTTCCGCCTCTACTTCTCCACGAATGGCGTCGCTTCCTTCAACGCCTAGCGGCTCGCTACGAATGACGAATAAGCGTCTCGATCTACTCAACGTCATGCCCGACACCCGTGCGCTCGCTACCTCCTATCCTTCGATGCAAATGCCAGCGACTTCCCCAAGGCCTCCCAATCCTTTTTCCAGTCACGCCGGCACCTCGTCAGGGTCGCCTGATTCTGAAGACTCAAGAATATCACCCACAGCGCCGCTTCCTCCTTCGTCTCTTCCGATGCCGTCGAGCGCATCCAAAACCAAGTTGTCTTCCTCGATGCAAGCGCAATCACCTCTGAACGCGCCAAGCGACTACGTCAGATCCCGCGTTCGGAGCCAGACTTTGGCTTCGCCCAGAAGTGCGCAAGCTTCGCTGAGTGGTGCAGCGCCGGCTGGAGCAGCCAACTTAGCCGCACCACTGGGCGAGGCGATCCGGCTCCAACGAATGCCAACCGCAGTTAGGATGGCCAATGATCTGAACCTGCCACCGTCTCCGTCCATCTCGAGGGCTGGAGAAGCTTCTGTGGACCATTTGTCCATGTCTCTTGCCTCACTGCCCTCCTTGTCGGAGAGTCAAACGGATTCTCACAGTGTGGATCCGCTTAGTCGTCTCGGTCTAGGAATAGGGTTGCATCCAGCTAGCGAGGCGCGCATGGGAGTCCAGCCGCCCGTTTCCGCTGGCGCGCATCTAGCCCAGACAGTCAATGCTGGTTTAACCTCTCCGTCGTCGAGCTCAGGTCGAAGTTCCCCGGTTGTATCACGGAGGAATACGAACCAAGAGATTCACAATGCTCCAAGGCCAAGCCCGAACATGCCTGCAACGTCATTCTCTCGCGAAGGTGGAACAATCCGATCGCCAGGTTCTGCGCCGACACAATCGGCTCGATTGGGCCTCTCCGGCTCTGCCGATAGACCTTCTGGATCGGCATTCGCGCCCTTGCTTAGCATTCCTCCTATGGGAGAGACACGAAAACACGATGCCGTGGCTATCGAAAAGAGCAGCATGCCTGACCTCGGCTACTCGTTTGGTAAGTCTTCGCTCGTGACGCGGACTCGAGGAGGTGCCATGTAATCGTGTGATCAGTTACTTACATCATTGATCACCCGTTGCAGACACCATCAGTCGTCCAGCTCCGTGGATTGCAAGCTCGCAGGATTCCAAACCACATCGATCTCTCCACGGCAAGGCTGCGCTGACTGCACGGCCGTCATCGTCGCACGGACGGACGCATCTTGAATTACCGGCGGTGCCTTACTTCGGTTCCCAGAATCGCATGTCGTTTGCAGGACCACCAAGTGGGCCGATACGGCCTGCTGCTTCGCCAAGCGCATCTCACCAGCTTGGTATCGACGAATACGCTCGCATCATTGTGCAGTCTCGTAACGCAAAGATGCAAAAATGGCGCTCTACAGCACGCTCAGCTGTTTCGCCACCTGCATCCGCGGGCTTACAAACATCTCCGCTTCAGAGAGCCATGACTGATGGCATGAGCACCTATCCTAGTGGACGTTACACTACTTTGGAGGGACCGCAGCAAATGACCGCATCTAGCGTCCTGCGTCGACAGAGCACGCTCACACTGCGACAACAGAGCGATGGGATAGCAGAGCGGCAGCGATCCGTGAGCGTCAGTAATCGCCAAGCACCAGATCCTCGCGCTGGCCCGGCGAATGCTTTGTCATCTTCATCGGCTCAGTCTTCTGTACAAGACGCGACCTCGCCCCCTGTCGTTTCTGAGTTCCAGGATCCTCCGATTGATGAGGCTGGCAAGGAGATCGAATGGGTCGATTGGTTGGACGAGTACCGTCGACTGAAAGAGGCCAAGCTTCGATCGCAACGGGCGTCCCATCCGCCCGAGGCGACGCCAGCGAAGGCCTTGACACCCGTAGAGCGCACACCGTCGGAGGCGACATCGCTTGATCAGGCGGTGCTGCAACCGGCGCCGAACGTCTCCCCGCAGCTCGAACTCGCATCAATGGACACGCGCGGCTCTTTCGCAGAAACGACCAGTCCTGGAGCCGGTGGCCCCTCTTTACCGGATCCTCGGTCTCGAGGACAGCCAAGGCGGCCGTCAGAATTGTCCCGCTTTTCGCAGCAACGAGTTGCTCGCGAGCCTTCCAGAAGCATGTCATTAGGACAGTCGTTGGGCATCGAGCCACGCAGCTCGCAGCCGCCGATTTCACAGGGCCTTTCCCACGCCCCTTCTCCCCGCAACCTCTCTCTCTCTCCGATAACTTCACGTCTGGTCAGCGCAGGCTCGACTGCAAGTAGCTCCACAGGCACTGATTATGCTCCAGGATTTGGGTCGTCGAGCGGCCGACGCAAGCGCAACCTCGGCTCGAAGATAGAAGCGTGGTGGGGTGCCGTCAAGTCCGGATTTGTCGGCGCACAGCCATCTCCACCTCAAAGCGCAGCTTCAGTCGGTACGCCTTCCTTCTATGAGCGAAACATGACTCCCGGACACAATGAAGCGCCCCGCGCGTCTGGCTTTTCACGTCTAGCACCCCAGACGACCAGTCCAACAACAAGCACTCATCTGCGATCGTTCACTACGAATCCACGTCCTCATTCAGATATGCGCTCTGTTCACACGCTCAGGCCGTCGTCTTCAGCTCAAAACCTCAAGGCGAGCGAAGCTTCGCAGGAACCCACGCCATCGGGCCAAAATTCCAGCGCCACGTCTGCTGGCCAGCCCAAGTTCGACGAAGCACTGCCTGAAACGCAGCTTTCTGATCGGACAAGCTCTCATTCAGGCTCTCGACCTCGCCGTCAAATGAAGCTGTCGCTCAATCTCGAGGCTGGGCTGAGCTCTTTCAACGCCGATGCATTCGATGGCATTCCTGGCACTCGTGCTTCAGACAGCAGCAGCACTGCTCCCGGCTCCGCGGCTTCGAAGCCTTTGACGTCAGGCCGACCCGAGCCGCCTTCGAGCGACCGCTCACATTTCAGCGACAGACCAAGCTCTCCCAAAGGTACAAGGGCACTTTCAGAAAATTGGGGTCACAGTCCAAAAGCCCCGCCCAGACATGCCTCCACACCGCCGAGGCTACCGGAGGTCCAGACTTCCGCCGCACGGGAAGAACTCAGCGCAGTGGGCGCATCATCGCCATCGAGCTCAGCTGCAATGAATGTGGATGATTCCGGCAAGAATTCCGCTGGCTCAAAGGACATGACAATGACATCGATTCGGCAACACATTCGGCATCGCCTAGCTGCCTCGAAGGATAGCTGCGACAAGGAGCTACGCAAGATCATCGGCACTATCAGCGAATGGGTTGAAGACTCACTTGCCGAGAAGGAGGAAGACAATGGGCAAGTTGAAGAAGGCGAAGGTGCAACAAGTCCGTCCGCCACACCAGATGCGCAAGGCATCTTCAACTCGGATGTCGAGGATCTCACGCTCGGCCTTGATCGCGCGACTCTATCGGAGCCACCGCCATCGACGTCAGCCATCGACCCTGGATTGTGCGAATCCGCCGGAGAGATGACTCCGGCATCTTGCACGGCAATCGCCTCGCCTAGCGCACTCTCGACCTCGGCGACGCAAGATGGCACCGTGAAAGGCGCGTCTGATCCCAGTGAGACTTCTCAAGGTAAGTATTTCGCATGTCCGCTGGCCCAAGAAAGCAGCTCACGCGACCCTAAACTGTTTAACAGGACCTATGCAATACTTGATGCAGCCGATGCCCCGTCGACCGGGCGGAGAGTCAGCTTCGATCTCGATGCTGGCCCAGCAAAATTATCGTCTTTCTTCGCCGCCAGCTCATCCGTTGGGCGCAGCGTCCAGTCCTCAACGATCGAACGCCTCTCATGCCCTCTCTAGAAGCCGATCCCGCGACGTCTTGCGTTCTGTGTCTGCATCGCGTTCCACATCCAGGTCTCACTCGCCGATGCCTCAGACGACCGACTCGCCACAGCTTTCTCCGGCTCGAAGGATCCGGCCGCTCTTCACGGAAGATCCACCTCTCGAGCCTTACATTCCCGCCCTTCAGGAGATTGTCTCTCTTGCAATGGAGGTGGTCAATACCTCGATCGAAGCGCTAGCTTCGCGCACCGGCGCATGCTCCGAAATCATCTCCAAAGTGCAGACCGTCGGACGCGTCTGGGATGAGCACCCGGACTGGCCCGGACGAGGTTGGTACGTCCGGCTGTTGCTGGCGGTCGCAGGACTAAGTCGCGTTGTTGAGTGGTGGGAAGCGGAGAAAGGCTTTTGGAACTTTGAAGACGAGAATGAGCTTCAGGGAGGAGAGACCATCCGCTTCATCTTAGGCGAGGGAGGCGATGCTCCTGGGACGACGCACGACAGTGCGACAACTAGCACAAATCCATTGCATAGCCCTCTGCGTGTACGCGGAGTAGCCTTACCTCCATCGTCAGAATACAGCAGCAGTGCCAGCTCACCGGCTTTGGAACCACTTACTTCGCGACGGGTCGTCTCCGAGAGCGATCGGTCGCGACTCATTGCTGCTCATCTTGCTCAAGACCAAGCTGCTGAGCAGCAAACACGGCAAACAACAGAAGAAGAAGAAAAGATTGTCACGCTTCAGGCCGCGGCGGAGACCTCGAACGTCCTGATCGAGCTTAGTCTGGACGACGAAACGCTCCTATACGTCAGCCCCGCGTGGCGAATTGTGGTTGGGTAAGTTCGAAGCGAGTGAACAACGTGTATTCATTCTGACTCTTTGCGTCGCTATAACAGGTCGGATCCTTCAGATGTTTTGGACAGGCCAATCGCAGACCTCTTGGCGCCCGGAGACGTCACTACATTTGCCGAGGCAAGAGAGCAGCTGCAGGTCAATGATTCCCACACTGTCGAGGCTGCATTTCGCCTTAAAGTTGACCGGTCCATGGTGCAGATCAGCGAGGGCGAAGATGAAGCGACAGACTACTATCAAGAAATGGAAGGCAAAGGCATGCTCATGCGCGATCGTCAATCCGGTCAAGCTTCGCACACGATGTGGGTGTTCAAGCCCATGGCAAGTCCTGAGCCCAAAGGTGACCTTTCTCCGCGACAACAAAAAGCGTCCTCCGACGCAGGAGAGCCGCCTGCAGTCGTCGACCCAGCGATCGCCATCAACACCGATCCACTACTATGTCGAATTTGTGAGAGGGACGTTCCGACGTGGTTTTTTGAGAAGCACAGCGAGATCTGCAACGAGGTGCACAGACTAGAGATGGAAATTGGAGAGAGCAATGAGGCGCTCTCGGAACTCATTCAGGTCGTCAAGTCAATTTCGAGTCAAATGGAGGTCATGTCTGGGGATGAGTCGAATGCAAATCCTATCGAGTATCGTGGAGTTCCTATCATCACTCCTCATCCATCGAACGTGCCTCCATCCGCGCTGGAGATCGCGACGCGAGCGATATCTCCGCGTCATCCGCATGCGGCAAGTGTTCGGAAACAGCATTTGCGCGCCCTCGATAGCCTGCTCGAGGCCTTGCGAAGCGCGGTCACCATCTCCACTCCTGCAGTTAAAGAGGATGTGGCCGAACAGCCCATCGAAAAGCAGCGCTTGTTATCTCCCGAATCAGAAGGGAAGGTCGGTCATGCACGCAACTGGCGCCGTCCAACGGTGGAAGATGGTGGCCTCGACACGTTGGCGATGGACGTGGAGAGTGCTATCAAGGTTAAAATCAGCGCGGTGACTCGAATGCTCAACACAATCATTTACGTGGAAACTGTGCGGCAGGAGTGGGAAGCACGAGTTGAAGCAGCGCTGGCGGATGCCGAGGGCTCTGACACTGACGGAGCTTCTGACCAATCGTCAAGGGGTGCCGACGAGCAGGCAGCTGGTGTCAACGAGACCGCTATGGATCGTGTGCACGACCTGTCCGCAGCCCTAGAAGTGTCCGAGCCCGACTCGAACGAGGACGAAGAAGATGGTCACACTTCAGGCATTCTCCTCGAACGTGACGACCGTGGTCTGCCTTCCTTCTCCTCATCAGAACCCTCGCCCTCGCCTGGTGTCGGGGACGATGATGACATCCCAGGAGTGGAGAGCCAGATGGGCGGAGTTGCAGATGCGCATGCTTCGCCGATTCCCATATCCGGCGGATCGGACAACGGTGCGACGCAGTCAGAAGAGGCCCCCAAGCAAGCGCAATCCAGACGCAAGAGCGTGAACACTACTTCCACACTACAGACACGCCGAATGTCCACCCTGAGTCAGCCAGGCGTGGTGCACACGCCACCACTCTCGCCGCGTCAGCTACCTGAATTGGCGGGCAGCGCTGGGAAGGTGCGCCGCATATCCATGTCCCAGCGCAACAGTCCCCAACTCAGCGCATCCGCAGCGGTATCGCCACGCCTGCCGCCCATGGCACCGTCCTCCAGACCGACGGCTTCTTCTATCAAAGACTTCGACATCCTCAAGCCCATCAGCAAAGGAGCATTCGGATCGGTCTTTCTGGCAAAGAAACGCACCACGGGCGACTACTACGCCATCAAAGTCCTAAAAAAGTCGGATATGATTGCCAAGAATCAAATCCGCAACGTCAAGGCGGAAAGGATGATTCTGATGACCCAGACCCAGTCGCCATTTGTCGTCAAGCTTTTCTTCACTTTCCAAAGTGCTGAATATCTGTACTTGGTGATGGAGTATTTGCCAGGCGGGGACTGTGCATCGCTCTGCAAAGCTCTTGGCGGTCTGCCCGAAGAGTGGGCGCGTATTTTCGTCGCAGAGGTAGTCATCGGCCTTGAACAGCTCCACAAACAAGGCGTCGTTCATCGTGACATGAAGCCTGACAACCTTCTCATTGATCAAAAAGGGCATCTGAAACTTACCGACTTTGGTCTTTCCAAATACGGTCTGTTGGGCCGCCAGACTCGAGGGACTATGCGGCCGCATCACGGCCGACCTTCTGAAGGGCGGCATGCCAAGGATGATTCGACAGGATCGGGTTCAGCCTCGGGGTCAGCATCAGGATCTGGCTTCGGGCCAGGATCTTTGCCCACGTCGGCGACATCCGTCGGGACTCCTCTGAGCAGGAACGGATCTCAGAAGCTTAGCAGCCCATGGCGAGCCGTTGCTAGTCCGACCACCCCAGGGCTCAGCAATGTCGTCCAGTCGCAGGCATTCTACACAGCTCCGCTGCGCGGCCGTATCATCAGTGATGCTGGGTCTTCGACAGTCTCCGAGACTACTCACGATGCCCCTGCTAGCCGACGCGATCTCGATTCACCAGCCGCCCCTCGGAACAAGATTGTGCCGGTTCCAAGCAGCGCATTGCTGGAAAGTCCAGGACAGATTTTTGGCTCGAATGCGCTCGCGGAGTCCTTTCAGGCTTTGACCACCAACTCAGGCGGGTCGGGACAGCCGCTGAAGAAATTTGTTGGAACGCCTGACTATCTGGCACCAGAATCGATTCTGGGTATTGGTATGGACGACATGGCCGTCGACTGGTGGGCAGTCGGAGTGATTCTCTACGAATTCTTGTACGGATATCCACCCTTCCATGCAGAAACACCCGAAAAAGTGTTTGACAATATTCTATCGCGCAACATCGACTGGGAAGACGGAGCAATGGACTACTCGCCCAGCGCCCGAAATCTGATGGAGCGACTAATGTCATCGGACCCAAAGGACCGGCTCGGAACCCGAGGTGCCGATGAAATCAAGGCGCACCCCTTCTTTACTGGAATAGATTGGCAGGCGCTCTCTGATGGAGAGGGCCCTTTCGTGCCGCAAGTAACAGATCCAGAGTCGACAGACTACTTTGATCTTCGGGGTGCAGTTCATCAAGAATTTTCGGGCGAGATCGAACGCTCCCGTAGCGAGGGCGTCCGCCGTGACGCATTCTCCCGTGCTATCGAGAGCAAGCACAGATCGCGGCTTGAAGCTAATCGACCGGCGTCTCGCCTTCGCAACCGTCTTGCCGAGCGGATACGCACCGAACAGCAGCAGGGTCCCGACGAATTTGGGTCGTTTTCGTACAAAAATTTGCCCGTGTTGAAACAAGCGAATGACGAAGTGATCCGCAAAATGCGAGGGGACCAGCTACCAGCGTTAACACAGGCACTCGAGCAGCCGCTACTACATGCCCGGCATCGGAGCCTCTCCGGAAAACATGGACGTGGAAGCGTGGGAGGGTCCCAAGGTGCTAGTAGATTTGGTGCGCACCCTGGCGGACCACCATCTCCGTCGAACTCGGCATCGTCTCAAGGCTCTGGGCCATCACGCTCTACTGCTCCGACCTCACCCGCTGCTGTGCAACAGGCCCACGCTGGGAGCAAGTCGCACCGTCGCTTGCCTTCGGAACTGATAGCGTCCAGTCCTGGCAGTGGTAATGCGCCTTCCTCCAGCGGGCTGTTCGCTGCAGGCAATCAGGCTTCATCCTCTACAGGCATGGATCGCCGACGCTCACAATTGGCCGAGTCCGTGACTGACGGCAACGCAAGTCCAAGGCGCATTTCACTGCCCCTACGACTGCACACGGACTTGCTCGGCAGTCCAGACCGGCCCAGTTTGCCCACCAATTGGCGCGAACGCCGTCAGGCCGAGATCACGGGCATTGGGGAAGGACCAGCTGCTAGCGTGGAGGACGCTCTCGTCTCATCTACGGCCGAGACGGTCACTTGTCTCGTGGCCGAAGACAATCCAATCTCGCTTCGCATGCTTGAGAGCATTTTGCGGAAGCTGGGCTGTCAGTGTTCGACCGTACGCAACGGTGCCGAGGCCGTGCGACTTGCCATGGGAGATGTCAAGTATGCCGTGCTGTTTGTAGACGTGTCTCTACCGATTGGTGAGTTGCGGGTGCTTACAATTCGCGCGAAGGCATCTTGTGGCTCACGCTGCGGCTCTTCTCGTAGTCAATGGGCAAGACGTCGCGCGAATGGTGAAGTCCACACGCAACATCAATTCGTCGACTCCAATCGTCGCTCTGGCTTCTTTTGACAGGGATACCGGACTCAATGCTTCAGGAAGCGTCTTTGATGCTGTTTTGGCGAAGCCGCTGGAGCTCTCTGACGTGTGCGAGGTGCTACCTCGGCTGGGATTCACAAAGGAACCTCCGCGTCGATCCGCTGGCAGCATGGGCTCAGCCGTGCCGCCATCCGATGTCGAGAGCCACGCGGATGCGGCGGAGGGATGATCCCGAGCCTCGCTTGAGCGTCATGTTCGATGCTTGCTCTCACCTTTTTTTTTTTTTACGAAACTCTCATGACACTTGGAACGCTCATCACACCTCTCATTGACGACCAACGTCTCGCGTAATCACTTGTCTCTCCCATCATGAATGACTCTTGCATACTTGTTTCCTATACTTTCATCTTGCACGCAATGCCAGTAGTACACGGACGTAGCGTGCAGTGAGCTGTCTCTGGGCTGCCGCCGTCCATGTAGCCAGATAGCTAGCTAGGGAATGCATTGACACGCCATCCATTGCCGCAGGTCGCCTGACGCCGCAGCCATAGGAAATGTCGACATCTTAAATGCACGAGTTGGCAGTAGGGTGTGAATGATGCATAAGCAACAAACAATTTGCTGAAAAGACTGGGCGTTGGCGCTGAATCCGAATCATCGCAGTCTCCATCCTGCACTGTCCTGGTTGCTCATGATGGGTACAAGTCCCATCGCCCGAGCTCTCCTGATAGCTTTACCGACTTCCCTCTGGGATCTCCTCGTCAACCTACTCAATGCCCTCCTCTTGATCTTGCCCATGTCAGAGATGTAAGGCATGAGCAGTACGGGGTTCTTGTACGAGTCGTCGGCTAAGGATGGGTGGCCGGGTCGCAGTTGAAGCTTATGGAGCTGGTCAACGAGTTCTGCTTCAGCACGTCCTGGTCCCAAGAGAGGGATCGCTCTGAAATAGGTCCGAGGTGCGTGCGTCTGCACGTTGAGAGTGGCTGGGACGTAGTGCTGATTGAAAAGCAGATAGCCGATGAGTATGCAATTAGGAAGCAAACCTTCCAAACGCCTTGACCCTTGATCCCATCGCCCTTGTCATGCGAAATGCGAAGACTCACTTGACTCCTTACGAGAGGTGGAACTTTGACAGCGGGACCCAAAGAGGGAGCTCTGCCAGCGCCACCCGCTGCTGACCCTGCCTGCTGCTGTTCCTGTTGCTGTTGCTGCAAATTCTCCATCAAAGAAGAGATTCGTCCTCCCACTCCCGAGCTTGGTCTCTCCGCTTTCACAGCAATGGCGCTCGAAAGTTGTCGCGCTGGAATTCGACTAGGACCGGCTATGTTCGATGCATGGCTGAGGGATTGCCTACCGGCGCGCTGGAAGGATGTCTGCAAGAAGGACATTGGGACTGGCTGGCGAGAATGGGCGATGGAGTACTAGTATAGACCACAGCTGGGAAGGGCTGCGCAATGAAGGGGATGTCACGGTGGCTGGGTTGAGTAGCCCGTGATGCGACCAGTTGTAAGCGTTGCACTCACGACTCAGCTGCTGATGGGGTCGTAGACGCCTCGCGATTTTAAATTCTCCTGGCATTAAAATCAAGAACATATCAAAGTCTATTTTCTAATCGAGCTCGACGGGATGCATGCAGGCGCAGAAGTCCCCCAAAGTGGGTCGCGCCAGGAAACGCACGTGGCACTGCGGCTGAGCGAAGCTGGCGGCTGGCGCCATGTCGACGGGAAGACTTGCATGGAGGCGCAGCTGCCGGTCCTTGCGACACTTGTTTCCCTCACCTCAAGGTCCCATATCACACCTTTTTCGACACCTCTGAGAATTTGGTAAGTACTGGCATGGCGGGGAGCAGGGGAAAGTCGATTTTGAAGGTGGAATGATGGTGGTGAAGCTGCGCTGCGTTGCGGGCTCGATTGGAGGGAAATATTGGGAGGATGGCCAAGATCCCATCGGCCCTGACATAGTTGCCCTCCTCTACCCTCGCTAGTCACGATGGCCAAGTCTAAGAACGCTTCGCAGCACAACCAGGTGAGTGGATTATGACGTGTGCATTGACGCATCGCCACGACCAGATGCTGAGTTGTTCAGCCCCTCGCGCTTTCTGCTCCTTAGTCGCGCAAGGCGCACCGCAACGGTATCAAGAAGCCCAAGACGAACAAGTACCCAAACTTGCGAGGCGTGAGTTGCAGTGACTAGTCGCTACCGCGCGACTTTGGTACTTACAAATTCTGCTGCCACCTCTCAAGGTTAATCCCAAGTTCCTCAGAAACCAGCGTTACGCGTTAGTATCATATGGAGGGGAGCGAGGAGGAATAGCTGTGTCGCGTCGGGGGCAAAGAAGGAGCTGGGCGGATGCTGGCACGAATGCGTCGCAAGCTAGGTCGCGAACGGGGTGCTTGGAAGTAGGGAAATGGAAGGTGGGGGGCGCGGCTTTAAAACTCGGGCCGGGATCTGAACGGGGCAGGCTCTCGGCGCACGGGAAGTTGGGTTCGCAACAAGTCTGCGCTTGGCCTCAGAACGGAGCGATGCGAGCTGGGCGCGTTTTTTCATGTTGCCACGATCAGGATGCCTGTTGTGAGGGGGCATTATTGCTGACGCGCTCTTCTTTCCCGTCTTGCAACAGCAAACACGGCACAGAGAAGGCTGTTCGCGAGGCGCGTCAAGGAAAGCGAGAGGTCGCTTAGACAGAGTTCCCCGATCGTTTCAAAAAGAGATCTGCCACGCTCTTGCTTGTACCATCAACATCGACAAGTCTCCACCCTTATGGCCAGGCTCGGCAATCATGTCAGCCGTCTGTAATGCGAACAAGCTGGCGCCGACGTAGCACGAGGGGTGTCGTTGGCGCCGTCGCCAGCGCGCAGCTCTCCATCGCAATAGCAATCAAGCATCCATGCTGCATCACCTGCCTGCTGTCGACTTGCTTTGCGCGGGTGTCCCTCACTCAAATTGTGATCTCACGAAGCGACCAGGTGCACTAATCGGAGAAACCCGGCTCTGCCTTGGATCGGCGAGATGCCAGTGTACCTTCGCCCGAACTTGAGGTCATGGGGTGGTGTTGTGGAGAGATCTCGTCTCTTCGAGCGGAACTGGGAGACGTCGAGGCAGTAGGCTGACGCTGACGTCTCTTCGCTGCTCTGCGCGTAGTGGAGACCCGGCATTTGAGAGCTAACGTGGTGGCCTACGCTGGGTTGTGAAGCTCCTCGGAGCTTCTGTTCGCACGACACGCGCAGCCGCCTTGGGGCTCCCTCGCATATGGCAGCTGCTTTGGCTCACCAGAATCCAAGTTGAGAGCTGATAGCAGCTCATGTGAACCGACTTGCCGGGCTCCGCAGCGCGGCGGTCAGTGCTTGCGCCCCAGCTTCCTGGCATATCAGCAAAATCGGTGCCCTACCTGGAAACTTGCCACTGTCGATCCCGCGACCGGCCCATCGGTGCAAGCTTTCAAGATTGTCCGGTCCTGTGCGCTTCAAGGGCTGGCCTCGCGCCACCACGGAGCCGTTAGCAGGGGGCCCTTCCAAAAGGCCGAAAAAGGGCTCAAGCTTCTGTCAGCTAAAGGCTCGAGAGAGTGCATCTGGTGGCCGTTTGTGGGCGCATATGACTTTCTGTGACTGGTGTGTGCCGGACTGACAGGGCGACTCACATTCGTCAATAAGGAGCATGCGAGCGTTTGATCGCTGCTGACTCGCGTTGTGAGAGATCTGACGTCACGCGTTTAGCAGTCAAGAGTCAACGACGGGGTGCCCGTGCAAATGGCATCCTAAAACGCATGGCACGAACGCTCTGCTAATCTCCTCATTCAGCAGCGGGAAGCGGCGAGCGAGTGCAGAAGGCAAGCTTTCGAGACACTGCGTGCCCAAAAGGCAAAACAAAAAACCTACGGCATCTGGGATTCACGAGTGGTCCCCCACCTCATTACTGACCAGACCCTACAGGGTTTCCGCTTCTGGGATCAGACGGGACCAGGCACGTTTCCTGTGGTGTGGCCGTAGATACTAGACTGATCATGTCACAAATATATATACGGTTCTCACTCCCATCATCCCGTGCAGCTCGCTTTGCTCGCTGCACCTGCTATCACAGATCGGACGGGATGTGGCTCGTTTCCGGGGGTATGGCCGTAGATGAATACGCAGATTTTGGCAATTGTATATATACGTTTTGAGTTGCTGTAGAATCCTAGATGCATCCGGCCCTTTCGGCCGTTCATAGCTGCGTGATGAGGAGAGCTGACGCGTTGCCGCGAACTGCTACACCGTTGGTAACACGTCCTCACTCACAACTTTGTTGTGATGACTCAAGCCGGGGTGCAAACTGCAAGGACTGCTCGGGGACGCAAGCTCAGTGGCCCGCGAATCCACACGCGCAGGTCTATTACACACCGCGGAAGCCTCACAGGAAAAGAGACTCCCTGCACAAGTCGCCTGGACTGGCTGAAGGACCTCTGTGCAACAGGCTTGAGTGTCGAGACTTCTACCAGTCGACAGATCATCCTAGGGCAAGGACGAGCAAGGGAAGAGTGTACCAAGACAAGGCCATCGAAGAGTTCACAGACATACAGAACTGGCGCTAAGACCCGAGATGGCTGCGTTTTCAAGTGCTCGAGTCACTCGAGCGGGGTCTCATGTGTGTGTTCGAAGTCGACTCTGGCAGCCTCCAGTAGGACGAAGTTCGACGTGGTTGCCGACGTCAAGCGCCGGGTGCTCTCTGAGACAATTCCAATCATCCTCGAGCACTCCAACCCCTGCGGAAGAGGCTCCCCGCCGGTGCTATCTATACCATGCGGACGTACACGCTCAATTGTTTCTGGCATCCGTCTCGCCCAAGAACCTGACGTCATGCTTCAAGGACCCTCAATTCCTGGACTTTTTCTACCGGAATCTCAGGCCCAATCCCTACACCTTGGGTCTGCAAGACGGCGACGCCACAGAAGATCCCGGCGCTCCAGCTGTAGCGATGGCGCAATCGCTGGCCTCCAGCAAAGACTCCAACGTTGAAGAAGAGATGGACTACGAAGCGTGGGATGGGCCTCTCCTAGCGCCCTCCAAAGCTGCCGAGGAAGCGCACAAATTGGGCTTTCACTGGCTAAGTCCTTGCCAAGGAGAACAAAACTTTTTGAGCTCTGCGCCCGGTGGAACGGCAGTGGTGTTCAGGGAACTGACAGATTTGGGCGAGCTGACGTGGGGCGGAAGTTACAAGTTTCCCTTCCAACCTCGCGCGCTAAGGTTTGATGCGTGAGGTCTTGCCCAACTTCGAGCCTATACTCGCCTTTTTGTAGGGCTGATTGCGACCAATTATCAACTTTTGCAGGCAATCTGGCTACGTCTACCATCCTTCTCCACCACGGCCGCAATCACGCACAGCCGCAGACAGAGCAAAGCGCAGCAGCTCAAGCTCGGGGCAGGCCTCGAAAGCAAGCGATGCTGCGAGTCCATATGGCGCATATTCTCTATTGTGCTCCAATCTTGTGCTGTCGAGGCTATCAGATGGACTGGATCTGGATATCACCGGAGAGCCGCAGTCCTCGAAGAGCAACAAAGACGCACCTGGTGGCTCAATCGAGTATCAGGGGAAAAGGTACCCTATAAGGCTCTTGAGACCGCAGGATGCTGGTCCTTGGAGCGCTTTGCGCCCATCCACTCGACCGTGATGCTGACATTGCGCTCTCGGCGCGTCACGCTCCGCTATTGGATAGTATTGCAAATGCATGGCGATATAATGTGATGTCGCGTGTGCAGGGCGAGTGCGAGGAAGCGACTGGGCGGCAATCTGGGGCATGTAGTAGAGAAGGCGAGATCTGACAATTCATCGATGAAAGGCTTCCGCTGGGATGCTTCCAGCATTTCTCAGCTGCTCAAAGTTTGTCATGGCCTGGCTGGGCTCCCAAGCGTTCTGAGAGAGACACTGAACAGCGAAAGGATAAGTGAGGCCCGTCTGGGCGGCTACTTGCAAGGATAAGATGTGTTGCTGCTCGTTCTGAGGTGCAGCGATGCTAACATGTCAGAACTGCTGGCACGCGCACCTTCATGAGAAGCAATACTCACAAGACCTTGTGCGGGCGCAATACCTTTGAGGTGCGGTGGAAGGGCTTCGAGGGAGAATCCAGGGTTTGTCGCAGTGCTAGGCCCAGATACAGCAGCTGGCGCTGGCGCAGCGCTGTTGTTGCCGGGCTGAACCGTGTCAGTCGGCAAGGCATTGTCGGCCCAAGCGTGAGTTCCAGCATATGGCCTGACGATCAGTTGATCCTCCAAAACGACGCAGGGCCATCCCGAACTGGCGGCTTGCGACCCAGGCACGACGGGCGCGACTATGAAAGACCTGCTGAAAGACCTGAAGCCCTGAGAGGGAGCTTCTTGAAATTGGCCGTGAACGTTAATGAAGATCACAGCTTCGGGTTCAGATTCGGGCTGCGATGGATTGGCAGGACCTGCCTCGGGCCTGACAGACGCTGTGCGAGCGCCGATAGAAGTATTCGGCATCACCCAGGCGTCCACCACGAATTTGGACGCGTCCGTTAGTGGGTGTGTCGTCTTCGGCAATTTGGTCAAGACGCCAACGATGGAGTTGGGCCCATGAGGAAATCCGCTGTGAGGCCGGCCTGCAGTGGAGAGGTTCGCGATCAGCTATGCACATGTCCAAATAGACCGTGTGCCGCGGTCACACTCACGATTGCCGAGCGTCATGATGTTATGAGATGGAACATCCTTGTATGCTTTCCAATTCAAATCTTTCTGTCGCGGTAAATCTTTGCTGTTCTGATAGCCAAGCGCCCTTGCACGAGGTGGCACTTGTCGGTGCTCGATCATCGAAAAGCCTGCGCGAGGCGCGTATACTGGTCGCAAAGCCGGTCTGTCTTGGTCGAAAAGGCTAAAGTATCTGAGCGACGGAGAGGCTTGAAGATGAGCAGCGCCTCGTCAAGGCAAAAGCATTACTCTCACTTTTGTAGGAAAGCAGGCACGATCGCTTTGCTGGCTTCGTCGCTGAATCCCGGTCTCATCGCGACGGGAAAAGGCTTGACTTGCACGCCAGCAGCAGCCGCGCTAGCAGCTGCCGGATCTGTGTTCTTGACCTGAGCAGCGGCTGTCAATTCTTCCTGAGTCACCGGTTCCCTATCCAACAGAGTCAGGTGTGGGAACTTCGCTAGGACCTCTGCCCTGTAGCCCGCCGCATTTCCAGCTGCGGTAGCATTCTCTCGCACAGGATTTCCTAGCAGCATCAGCTCCTTGAGGGATGCAAACCGAGGAGTGGGCCGCCCTTTCATCGAGGGCTGCCAGATTAGATCCCTGACCCACTTGAGGTCGTTTGATTCGAGCGAAAGATTCTGTCGATTCACGCAGACGGGCTGTGAGCCAAGTTCGTGCTCCGTCGAATGACCCTAATCCGGCTCACCTGAAGCTTTGGAAGGTATTGTGGCAAGGCATTCACAGGCATCAAGGTCTTGAAGTTGTTGTGCGCCAGAGAGATTGTGACGCACTGGAAGCATGATAGGTCCCCAAAGTCAGCTTTGCTTGCTGACCCCGCCCGGCCAATCTATAGCATACACTCACGCCTGGAAACATGTCTTGTGCCAACCTGAACATCGCCAAGCTAATCTCTCTGGGCGACCCTTCCACCCCAGGCGCCTTGATGTGAGCCTTTTCCAGTATCTCATCCCCTGCCATGCGCTGTGTTGCGCGCCAATCAAGAGACCGAAGAAGCTGAGCGAGGGCGTGCAGCTCCCTGTTCATGCATGGAGACTCACTTCAAGATTGAGGAATTGGGCTTCAGCATTCCACCTGCTGGTCAAGAAGCGCCTAAGCACTTCTATAGATTTGCTGTTGAGGTTGGATGTCCCTTTCGAATCGTTCGTCACATCCCCACCAGGCACTCTGCCGCCCTTCGAAGATCCACCTAATGATTGACCATTATGCGACTGTCCCTTGATGGAGTACGCCACGCCAGCTGCTGCTACATCTCTGTCTTTGCCCTTGGCATGACCCTTCGGTCGGTCTGATCGAGAGAGCGGATTCGCGCGATCTCGAGCCTGAACGAGCAGAGTCACGACGTCCTTAGTAAAGTTCACTTAGCTGGCAGCTCTGATGCACTCACAGTGGCCTTGGAAGAAGAATGACCTCCTCTTGAGGATGTTCCGCCAGAGCCACTTCCTCTACTTGATCCGTTAGCGGATCCTCGATCCGCGCTCCTCATGCCTACATCTTCATCGATCAGGCCTGCCCTCTTGAGCGCCCCGCCCGCTATACCTCCTCTTCTACTGCTGCGCCTTGATGAGCCCGCAGAGGACTGTGCCTGCGACGCTATCGCTTGACCCGTTAATGGATTGATAAATGGTTGTGCCATGCCAGCCGCCGCTGATGCGAGGTACCCAGTTGGGTAGCTTTTCACTTGATGAAGGGAGAAGCCTTCAGGGCGGAAGGGACAGGCGGATGGACCAGGCTCCGATCGTTGTGTATGGCAACGCTGAAAGGCTGCCGTTGAGGAGGTCGTGAAGAGTGTTGAGTCTACCAAACCCCTGGATCGTGTGCATGGTCAGTCCATCGACTTTTGTCCAAATAAGTCACGAGTGCATCCCTCGATCAATCATCCCGGCTTCGCAAAACCAGCCGCGCCCGCATGCAGATCTTAAACGCGCGCGCCCGCGGACGGCACCGCGCGTTGCGATGACTCTCCCACGCTCACGCACACAAGAAAGCAGGACGCGCCTAGTCATCAGGTATGCACACTATATCGCGCGCATCTTCGATCCCTCTGGATCACGTGGCCAGCGAGCGCAGCCTCCACCTCCGGGGAGCCTGCTTTGCCTTTGGACTCGAGATTCTAGATTCATTGGTCATCAGAGAAAGCTAGAAAGTCAGGACTTCGAATTCAATATTGACTCAAAATCATTCAGGACTTACTTTTGACTCAAGCTCGACGTCTTTTCGTACCATTCACGTGAATCAGCGACTCGGACAGCGTTGCCTTTGCATCTTGCTTGAGTCAATCGCGGCACCATGACGAAGCTGAATGCGCCAGACTACTCGCTCTACCTCGTCACCTCCCGCGAGCTGCTGCCTCCTGGTGTTGACTTTTACGACTCACTTCGCGCATCACTCAAAGGCGGAGTGACTCTGGTACAGATCCGAGAGAAGCATGCGGATAACGGCGAGTTGTTGGAGATTGCCGAAAAGAGTTTGAAGATATGTGACGAGGTATGTACCGGTGGAGGCAACTTTGGATCTCACGTGGAATGCCTGCTGACCCCCTCACAACAACGCATCCACCCGTCCAATCGTTTCAGTTTAATGTGCCGATGCTCATCAACGACAATTTGGCAGTGGCGCTCGCATTGCCAGAGCGAGTAGGTCTCCACATTGGTCAGGAAGATTTTCCAGTCGCGAAAGCTCGAGCTCTGCTGGGCCCTAAGCGATTGCTGGGAATCTCGGTGCACACAGTCGAGCAGGCCGCAGCTGCCCGAACCAGCGGGGCAAATTACGCGGGTGTGGGTGCGGTGTACGGAACTCTATCCAAGGCAAATGTAACAGAGGACAAGGTTCTTGGGCCTAGGAGAACTGCGCACGTCATCGAAGCTTTGCAAGGCTTTCCCAGCGTGCTCATTGGCGGCATCAATCAAAGGACCGCTGCCAGAGCCTTGTTTGGTGCTGCTGGACCCGAACATGCTCCGGCCGGCATCGCGGTGATCAGCGCAATCGTCGCTCGCCAAGACGCGCAAGAAGCGGCACGGGAGCTCAAATCTATGGTGAATGCCTTCTTGAGCGCAAGAAGCTCGGCGCAGAAGCCCATCGCGTCGGCTTTCGGTCTCGGTGCATCGCGCTCACAGCTCAAGGTCGAGAGCTTGGTATCGCGGTCGGGAGAGTTTCTGCGCGCACTCAGAGAAGGTTCACCGCCTCTCATCCAGACATTGACATCGCACGTCTCGTCCACTTTGAGCGCCAACGTGACGCTCGCTCTGAGCGCAAGCCCCATCATGTCCCATCAGGATGCCGAGGCTGACGATTTGGGCAACGTGACGGGTGCTGTGGTGCTCAACATTGGCACGATCGGTGAAGAGGCGAGGAGAGGCATGCGAGCTGTTGGATCTGCGGCGAATAGAGGCGGCAAGGTATGTCAGCGTGGTCAGGGGTTCAAGATGATCCGACAGCTAAGAAGGTCCCGCGCCCTGTATGCTGCGCGTTGGTAGCCGGTTGTTCTGGATCCTGTGGGCGTCGGAGCTTCAGCGTTCCGCAGGCAAGCCGTCAACGGTGAGTACAAGCTATCCGCAAACAGGACGCGAAGCGTCCGCAGAGATTCAAAGAGCAGAGCTGAAATGCGCCCCGTTCACGCCTGCAGAAATCATGGACCACACCCAAATCACGCTTCTGAAGGGCAACGCTGCCGAACTAGGTGCCATTGCCGGTTTGACAGAGGTTCAGTCCCGCGGAGTGGACAGCGGCTCAGGTACGTTGCGCGATGCTCGAGGTCTGGTGCTCAGTCTCGCAAGGCGAGAAAGATGTTTGGTCTTGTTGACTGGAAAGACGGATTATTTGAGCGATGGAGAGGTGGTGATTACTTGCTCCAATGGGCACGCCCTGCTGGGCGCAATTACTGGCTCAGGGTGCGCTTTGGGAGTCGCGGTCGCTACGGGACTCGCGGCTGCTTGCTTGGCGAGCCAGGGTAGCGAGGTGAAGGGAGCCGGATCTTCCATCGTCAAGGCGCAACCTGATGACCTTTTGGCTGGCGCTCTTTTTGGGTAAGTGCGGTGATGACGCAACGATGCCCACGAGCGCTGGCTCACCTCGTTGCCCGACTCACTGTCAGCATTCTGAGCATGACGATTGCGTCGGAGTTGGCCGCTGCTCGACCAGAGGTCAGAGGCCCCGGAACATTCATCGCAGCCCTTTTGGACGAGTTGAGCCTGATGACGCCAGAAACATTTGCCCAAAGGGCCAAGGTGGCACTCGAATAGACACACACACATCGCATTCGTGCAATTCCAAAAAGGCGCCGGTGACATTGTCTAATCTCGTGTATGATGGTGAACAACATCTAGAGTACAAGGGTGTGGGTCATGACGAGCGAATCGCGAGTATCCAAACGACTGGAGAGATACTTTCACTAGCAGCGAACTGAGGGACATGCAAGACAGAGCAGCGAGGGCAGAGCAGGTGAAGCCATGCTGAGCGATGTTTTCAAACGCCTTCATCCGCCGTTCCAGATGTATCATCATCCGTCGAGGCATCTTCACGGCAAGCCGGAGACGGAGTCGGGCCCCAGCGGGAAAGTGTCTCAAGCGGTTCGAGATGTTGTGCCTGTCTAGCGAGGTCCTCTAGCCCTTGACACGTCTCTGCTCTAGCTTCTAGCAAGTTCGCAAAATTGCTCAGCACTCCAACCAGGCTAGGCTGCGCCTGGACATTGGCTTGCGGATTCGTCTGCGATGCCGATACATTCGCATGCGCGCTCGAAGTCCAGGCCACAGAGGGGTTGCGCGTCGAGGCGGACCCGTCAGCAACTGACGCCGCAGTCGATTGGCTTTGCGCACCACCACCAGACTCTGTTGTGTGCCTTCGACTCGAGGTGCCTTCACGCCTGGCACGCTTTGATCGCGTTCGATCTTCTGAATCGGCGGAAGAAACCGAAGCTGATCTGCCACGCAGCTCTTCCTGCTCGCAGCATGCCGAAAGATCCACTCTGCTTGCTCTACGAGCATCGCTGCCATCATCCGCACCTCCACTCATGCGTCTCGCTTCGTGTTCCAGCGCAGCTTCGGCCCAAGCGGTTCCGCTAGCGTAGTACGAAGCCCAAGAAGAAGCTAGTCCGGGAGCTCTTGACAAGGACGCTTGGCTTCGAACAGCATCCTCTTGGTGCGTGCCGCCTTGTGATGTGCTGAGAGGTGAAACGTTCTCCGAGTCTCGACGCGTCACGCGAGCTAGAAAGGGCGCGATGGCTCTAGCTGCGGACGAGGTTGCGGACATGGTCGACGCTGCAGAGTTTCGAGTAGCGAGGGAGGAAGTGGTCGATGCAGAGAGCTCGCGAAAGCGTTGTGATTGCGGAATCTCACCAAGACCTTGGTGTGCGTCGCTAGCAGGAGCAAATGGCAGGCCAAAGGAGGCCGCTGAAGCTGAAGTCGGTGCTGAGGCCGGAGCGCTCGACACGGCCAACGCGACGGTGGTGCGTGTGGAAGGCGACGAAGCGGAAGCAGAGGTGCGAGTCATAAGGGCAGCTCGAACGCGTGTGCTTGCAAGGTTGCGCGAAGAACTGGCCGCGCCCTGACCGTTCTCTGCTCGCATTGTATCGGAGGGAAGGTCACGCTTTGGCAGCGATGTCGCACCGCTCTTCAGCTGCGCTACCACCAATCTAGCTATGGAAGCTCGCTGAGCATCGGTGAGCTTAACGCGACCAGCAGCGGCCGCTTGACCTAGTTGCTCCACGCTGAGAGCAGCCGAAGCTTCCTCTTCTCTCTTCGTAGAGACAGAAGAGCGGCGATCAGCAGACATGAGCGTTGAGCTGAGGTTGGAGGTGGAGCTGGAAATGGAACTTCGTTTTCGCTTGAGGTGAGATGGATCATCCACTACTTCAGCAGAGGCGAGTCTTCTGCTTGATGCAGAAGGTCTTCCCTGTTGACTCGCCGAGCCATCCCTGTCCAACTGCATGCAGACGATGCTTCGTCTTTTACCGAATGCCGTCGTGCTCGGACGACGCGAGAGGCTGGCAGCCGGAGAAGCAGGTCCGAAGGATGGGGAGCTGCAAACGCTGGATGGTGAGGGGGCACACATGACTGGCATCGTCGCTTCGCCTTCTGCGTCGATGCGTGGTGGTGTCGCTCGAAGTGGTTCTGGAATGGTGAAGGTAGTTCGAGAGGCGGCTGCGGCCGTAGCAAAGGGATCGGCTTGGGGATTAGGCTCGAGGATAAGACTTGTCCAAGAGGGATAATTCAGGTTGACTGGGCGCAAAGTAGGCGTCGATGGAGAAGAGGCGATGGATGGAGGCGAAGCCCAGTCTACGACAGGCATCGCCGCTCCATATATGTAGAAGGGCTGCGTATCACTTGCCTTCGAAGCTGGCTGAGTTGATGCTTGTGTACAGCCCTCGTTCAGGTACGTTGCAACTCCCGATCCGAGGTCGCCCGTGTCCGATCAAGGTCCAGACAAACCGGCGGCGAGGCCGTGGCCTGTCGACAGGCAGGGTTTCATGCGCTAGCAGCGCAGCGGTACAGACACAATTGAGTAGGGCGCGACAAATAGCCGCGAGGGAACGCTTGAATGCTACGGGTGGTGAAGTGGAGTCGCAGCTACCAGAGAGTAGAAGTGGCCTTCTCCCCCAAAGGGAAAGTATTTGAAACGCCGAGGTGGTGTGGCGGGCTTGAAGCACTCCGACTTGATGGAAGCGAGTCTGAGCTTCAAAGGCTAGGTGGCGCCGACGAAGTTACAAGTCTAGACCGTTCAGAAAGTGTGGGTTCGATTGCAAACGCGCTCAACCACAACGTTCGATAGCGGGCTGGTCAGGTGGAGAGGTACGCGAGTTTGACTACGAGCCATGGAGAGACTAGGCCCAAGTGAATGGCAGTGAGTCGCCTGCTGGTGGACAATTGTAGCGTCTCGTCGAGAGCAGTCGAGTGAGTAAATTAGAGGAGCAAATGTTAACTCGATCATCATCTGCATTACCGCTACGGGGGGTCAAATCCACCGCGGGCCGGAGTTGCCATGCCGTTGATTCATGTTTGGGCTGGACCCTCAGCATGCAGCACGTATCGGTACACGCATTCTATGGCGCGTAGCGGGAATAGGAGCTGCGAGTAAGCAAGCCCATTCAAGATTGCAGCTGATGATACGCCAAATTCTAGAACCCTCTCTGGGCGGCCGCAGTTCGGGCGCGGCAACCGAGCAGTCTGCCGAGTCACGAGTCGTGTGTGGTGAGTGGTGAGTGTGAATGTGACGCTTGAGCTTAATTGTACGCAGCGAGCCGTCACAGGCGAGCGGTCGCGTCGCGAGTACTCTGGGCGCAAGTCAAAGTGCGGCATGATGCATGCGCGTCAGCAGAGGGCGCATCTAGATTCAGATTCGCGATTTCATGCATCGCGATTATTGAACTAGACCCCGAATAAAGCGCGCTCTCTGTAGCCCTTGAACTAAATCAAGAAATGCCTGGGCCCCTGTTGCACATATGGAATCGCAGACCTGCTGCCGCCGTCTGCTGTCTGCGAGATCGAGGAACTGCATGCTTGTATGCGGGCGGTCTTTTGTTGCAGCGCACCTATACACATGCTGATGTACAGTATAGAGTAGCGTGCCGCTACCCGTAAAGCCACGATTCACGATTCATGATTGAGGCATGCGAGTATTTTGCATGCAGGCCCAGGCTTCTGCTGTCCATCTATGCGGTGTGCGGCACACAGAGTGAATGGTTGCGGTTGGAAAGTCGTGAGTGGTGAGTGGTGCGTGTTCCTTACACCGACGCTATATAAGTATGACCACCCACCTGCTTGACCCCTTCCGCCCGATCTTGCCACCTTTCTCAGCTTGGATCCTTGAGAGCGCAGTCCCAATGTCCCCGAGGCTGTCGAGACCATTCAATTGTATATGCAGACATGTGCAACAGTAGTCATAGATGAAAAGGACATTCGTGATTTTCCCTGCGGCCATCGCGGCCGGGCTCACTTGATCGATACATGTCTTCAATCCACTGGTAACGAGCCTTGCGGTGCATGCGGGCCCGCAGTCGTGGATGGTCTAGACTTTCTTTCCGTTTCATTCACGAATGACCAGCTCCTGCCGCCGCTCAGCCCTTGCACCTCACCCTTGGACGACCTCATCAGTCAAGGGTCAGGATTATTATAACGGGAGCGCTGACTGCTTCGGCCTTTTCTACGTCAAGACCATCAGCTCATCGGCTTCTGTAAAAATACGCCACGTCTGACACGTACACGACTCGATCGTGACCACCCTCTTCTGAAGCGGTGGCAGGGGCAGTGTGAGGTGTCACATCCACTCGTAAGTGTAGCCCGCTTTCGCACATGGCAGCTGTGCACCCGACTCAACATCAGCGCATCGAGACTTTAGCCAATCTTTGGCACACTTAAATGGGGGAAAAGGCTGAAAAAAGACAAAAGAGTGGATGGAGGAAGAGCAGCTGTCCGCACAGCACTTGTGGATCAAAAGCCTTGAATGCTGCGCTTGAGACAGAAGAGTCATAAGTCTCATCAGTCTTGAGTCAGAATCACAACAACAATCACGAATCACGAATCTTGAATTAAATGTGATGAATCGTGAATGCAGAATGCAGCGTGAAGCGCGCCGTTTCTTGCTTTGCGCTGTGCAGCAACAACACGGGTCACGTGTTTCGTGCGCGCGTGACGAGACAAGCTACCTGTACCGTGAATCTTGAACGTGAAGCAAGAATCAAAATATGAATATCTTGATGAATCGCGTATTCTATCAAGACTTCGTGATTTGGCGCTTCGCATGCACTCGACTCGCGACTTGGTGCGTGATCTTTTGACAGCTTCGGTCGAATCTGCTTCAAGACTGCGACTTTGGTTTGGCCTCTCGAATCACGGCCCTCTGTCAATCTCGCTTTCAGCCCTCACACCATCGAAAAGCGTTCCGCTATACTCAAAGATCTGGACTATTCCGGTCATCTGCAGTGTCTGCATGCCACAAGCTGACGTCGAGTCCTGGGCACTTCAAGACACCCATCGCAATTGATAACTCGGGCGCAGAATGTGGCTTCCATGGAGCAGGTCGGGAGATGGCAAAGTGGAAGGGCCTTCATCATCTATATCAGCGGTCGCCTCCTCCCCGTCCTCCAGCTCAAGCGCGGCGGAAAGGAGTCAGCACACTCAAGCGGATAGCTCGAGTGTAGATGTCAGGCCATATGTTCCGCGATCAGAGCCTGCTTCTTCAAGGCGGTCTAGCGACCGCGAGCCGTATGATCAGACCGCAGATCCCTCCATCTCGCACTCGGACTCGGACTCGGCCTCGGCATCTGGCTCGGCAGGTCCTGCGCTAGCTACCATTCCTACCACTGCTTTTCTCCTCGGTTTCGCAGCTGGCGCATACAACAACGCTTCCAAAGCCGGACTGGTGTTCATGGCCGAAAACGCTCATCGACGTCCAGATACGGTGCAGGGTTGGTTCTTTTACAACAAAACAAAGGTGAGGGGATACGAGGATGTAAGGATTTGAAGAGTATGAGCAGGCGTTCTTCCGAACCGATGCGGAGATGCTACATAGACGGAGGGGTTGTTTTGGCTCAGATGTAGCATTCCCCAAGCTGCCGGCGCTGATGAGGATCCTTGCTTCACATCTCGCGCTCGCCTGGAGCAGAATTACAAAGTCGTGCTAGCTGCTGGCAAAGGCGGAGCACGGACAGGTCTGAGATTGGGTCTATGGACCTTTGCATTCTTGGCTTTGGAGAAGGGTTGGAGGGAGGTGAGGCTGTGGACTGGAGTAGGAGCAAGTCAACAGACAATCCGGGCGCAAAATCCTGCATCACTGCAGAAGGAGGGCGCCAGAGAAGGATTGGATGTTTATAGATTCGTCGATGGCGCTCTCGCTGGATCAGTGGTCGCTTCCTCGGCTGCTCTTTTCTGTGAGTTGATCGGGGGTCACCCTCTGGATCAGATTTATCAAGTCATTCCTCCTCGGGGCAGAGCACGATGATTCGACCTCGGCTCGCACGCGTCAGCCACATCTGATCAAGCTCGCTCTGCTGTCTCCCTCTGTGCGTGCAGACAAATTGCCCAAGCCTTTGTTGCGAAGATCAGTGCTTCTGGGATTGGGCGCAGGAGCGTGCTTTGGTGGACTACGATCTGCACTGCAATTTGTGGATGAGGCCAGGTCACAGGGACAAGATGAAGGGGCACTAGGGGAAGCTGCTCGGCATCAAGGTGCGGCATCGACAGAGGTTGGTTGACCTTGCAATGGCAGATGATCATCATCGCTGTGTTTGGCTTGACGTGGAGCACGATTCCCCTTGGAGCCGAATGATAGATCGGTGAGCTGATCCGTCAGGTGTGCGCTCAAGAAGCGTGCAAGTAGTGTCACATGGCACTCCGGTTTCCCTTGACCTCGCAACGACTCGAACTAGTAGAGTCGAGACTCCTCGGACGATCTACCGACGATCTTCTTGACGTCGACAAGCCTATTATTCTTCTCTTCCTCCTTTTTGCCCAACTTGAGACCCAAGTTGGTCCTAGCAAATTTGAGCAGGGGCTGTCCCATAAAGTAGCCGATCATGGTACCGAAGCCGGCAGCTGCCATCGCCGACATCCTTCTTTGCAGACTTTGTGGGTGTACATTTAGCAGCGACCTGCCAGTCAAGAAGGCGGGGCTTGTACTGCGAGGCACCAACATGGTGGTCTTGCTACTTCTTGCCACAAGTGCAGCTGCGCCATCTGCTGAACGACCCAGCAATGTGGGCGATGCGTCGTTGACGGAAGATGCGCCTCGAGGTAGGATGCTAGGCAGGAAGTGGTACTGCGCGTTTGCGATCAGTCCTCCCCTGCTCGGCACGTTGATCGGTGTACGACTCGTCAGCACGCTGGACAAATTTTGTGGATGCACCCCGCTCAGCACTTACGCCACCATGGTGACACCGCTGCAAAGAACAGAGAATATCTCGAGACTTGTCAGCTAGACTCGGCTAATGCAGCATCTTTTTCGACCCTCACGCTATTTCGGCCTGGTCAAATGCAGTGCGACAGCGTTCGAGATTTTTCAGTCAGCCAACATCGCGCATGTGCTACATCGTCATGTTCTCATTCTCCTCACGTTTCTCCTGGACGGATGGGAAGTACGTATGCTAGCTCACGTCAGCATGGCTTGGCAGTTCATAAAGTGAAACGTGGGCTACCTCCGACTCACTGGCGCTGCTTTGACATGCCCATTCCGAACAGGGCCTTAATGTTGAATCCTCGACGATGCAGCGTCACCCCTCCGACTTCGCGTCGGAGAACAACGGGCTTGCCAGCGTTCTCTCGACGCAGCAGCAAATGATGAGGGCCAATCACCCTGGGCAAGACGACTCGCAGACCACGACGACTAAGTGGAGAGAGGGATCGTCGCTCCGTGGCACCTTGAGCGATCCCTCCTCCGATACCTCCGCCCCATCCGATGCCCATCTTTTGCCTGTGCGACAACTTGTTATAGGTGCGAGCAACAGGCCGTAGAATGGGCTGCCAGATAAAAGAATGCGCACGGAGATGAGTCAGCTCGGCTCAGCGCACAACCTCACAAAGCGCATTTCCGTAGCACTGCTCAATCGCCACTCACGACCCAAAGCTTTTGGAAGAAAGTAAGCTGCTCTTTTGGCAGGGGGATCAGACCTCTCCGAGACAGTCGCGCAACCTCTCTCGATTGACGAAGGCTGCGAGAGACGATTGTCAGGTCTGACCAGCCGTCTCCTCTACGCAGGGAAGGCGTAGGGCGCGCCTCCATCAGCCCAGCCCAAAGAATCACCGTGGTGATCAAGTAAGCGACGCAGAGCTTCATCTTCAGTAGTTAGAAAGAGGAAAGAGGCGAAAGATAGAAGCGCGAAAGACCGGCTCCGCCAACGCAAAGGGTGTCTCTGCTCAGCCAGGCAGCGACTCGCGCTCTGGCAGACGCCTGGTGGAAGATGTATCGCAAGCAAGATGAGTCGAGGACCAGCCTCTAGTGAAAGAAACGTCGTCTCGTGTGGTTTTGCGAAAACGATGTACAGATTCGAGCAAATACGTGATGGTTGAGAAAGACGAAGCGAAGGCCTGACTTCAGGATGAACCAAATTGGCCGTGCATGTCTGTCTCTTTAATCAATACGCGAGAGGGCAAGGCGACTCTGGCTAATGTGCGCCACACAAGGCCGTGGCGACACCCGCATCCTCTCCGCAGCGGTCAGCGCAGATTGTTACCCAGTTACATGTGCTATGACTGTCTTTGTCAAGAAAAGCTGAGCTTTGTGGCAAACACGGGCGAAGGGCGCTTTCGTGCTTGTGCTTGTTGCGGCATTTGATCACGATGCGATGCGCCAGGCCACTACTAGACTGATGCACGGGGACCTTGACGGTGGTGGTGGTGGTGCTCCCTCGCTCTGCTGCGCCTTTGGGGCGTCAAATCATAAGGATCCTCTCTGCTCGTGGACGCGCCGAGTGGCATCACTGCAGGTCCATCTCGCATAAAGATTCGCTATCCGCAACTTTCCGCAGGCTTGCCATGAGGAACGAGCTGCCAGCTCAGGTCTGGAGCTGTCTAACGGACATTGTACGCTTCACGATTTGTCGAGCCTTGCGTCTTGCCAAGGATTAAGAAATGTAAATGCGATGGATCTGTAGTAAATGAGCTATAGGCTGAAGAACGCGGACCCGTTCGCGAGTGCCGTGCAGCGCCGCCTGGGCGCCGCCCTCGGCGCGAAAGTGCGACGCCATATCATTGCTGGTGATGGTCTGCGTCAGCCGTGTCCACACTTCGCCGCGAGCCATCACAATTTTGCACAACACGCCTACGGCAACTCCGGACTTTGGCAAGCGTTTTGATGACATGACAAAACTCTTCCACGGTCAGGAAACGTGTGTTCCGTTGCGAGAAGCTCTGTGTTCCGCAGTCTTCGCAGACCCGGCATAGGTAGGCTGTGCGAGTCACGGCGCTCGGCAAAGGGCAGAAAATGGACTCGCTGGACTCGCTCCATGGCTAGAGCGCGATGATCGCGACGGGCGACAGCGCTTGCAAAGAATCGCAGCGACAGTTCTACGAAAAGAGCGTCGCTCAATCAACAAGCTGCGAGCCAGCTGCCCTTTCGATATCCCTCAGCAGCAGTGCCTCCTTCTGTGTGTCTCTATTGCTGCGCTGGGTAGTTCTAGACTCGGCAGCGTTCGCTCCAGATCTACGGCCACTGCCTCTGGTGGCCGCTGACGGCTCCGCGTCCTCCGAGTCGTCGGCATCCTCGGATGTGAGATAGACCTCCTTTACGAAAGCTGCGATGTTGGGTTCTCCAACTTCCACCTCAGCTCTAGCTCCCCATCTCCACTCAAAATTGTCCACTTCGCCTGGGCGTCCCTCTCCATCTTTGCGTTTGGAAGCGATGGCCCTGCGCCCCTTGCTGGATGTACCTGTGCCTGCAGCAGTACCAGGGGGAGCAGCGGCAGACTTTACACGCTCCAAATATCCCTGTCTCACGAGCTGATCGAGGAACACAGAGAGTGTTGGCCGATCTGACGTCCTTTGCGAGCACCTCGAGCTTGCACTTTGCTCCGCATGCTCTGGACACAGCGCATTTGGCAAGATAGTGCTTGGTTCAAGCGACAAGCGATGTAGCTGAGCACGAAAGTCGCCTGCATACTCGCAAAGTGCAGGTTGTGTACATCAGCTAGGTCCATGAATGCCTTGCAGGGACAGTAAGCATACTGACCATCGGACAAAGCTCGACCGCCGAGCAGAATCAGACTCAAAATGAGGTACAGCAAGCCCATCGGTGCTTGTTGACCCTCTGCGCGCTTCCAGTCGATGGCTACTCCCGTCGGATCGCCATGTTGCACCGCGTCGGTGCTGGCCGTCGCAGCGGCAAGCCCAGCGTCGGGAGTTTGGAGCGCATTCAATAGCGTTGGCGGCAAGATTGAGCGCAGCACATACGAGCCCGAGGGTATGTCTGCAGGACAAGAAATGGTTGAGATGACCATTGATGCAAGTCGAGCGCCGAGCAGGGAGAAGCACTCACTCTTGGCGGTCTCTTCCTCTTCTTCAATGTGCTTACTTCGCTTCTTGCTCGCCTCTTTGAGGCTCTGAGTCTGCATCCTGAGGAGATCGAGATGTGCCTGACTCTCGGTGCCTCTGGCTCTCAGCTCCACAAGCTCGTACCCAAAGGTAGCTCTGAGCAATCTTTGTGCTTTGTTGTAGACCACTGGGAACGCGCGAGAGTTCTCCTTGCCAAGCACTGCATGGGTGGTCTGCATCAGGATCGTGGGGCCAGTCCACACAGCATCGCTCGGACAGCAACGGCGCACCTTTCTTATTTATATCGTCCCTCCTCAGAGGTGTCCGCTTATATTCGTGAAAGAGAGCCATGCGAATCAAGTCCTGAGCTCTGCGATTGATCTCCTTTCTTCCCAATTTGTCTGCAACGCTTTTGGCGCCGCTGCCCTCGTTCATTCGCCTGCGCTTCTGCATACGCAGCGATGCTTCTCCATCGCTTGCGTCGTCCTCATCTTCAGCTCCCCCTTGCGCATCATCATCTTCTGCCTCCTCATCTTCATCTTCCTCTACGTCCTCCTGCAAACTTGTGCTCGCTCTGTGGGTCAAAGACTGGAGTCCATTCTGACTCGACGTTGCTGAGATGCGCGAGTTGCGGGAGTAGGAATTTGGCGCGAGTCGACGCGTTGACTGGGAAAGGCGACTTGGCATGCTGAACCTCGAAAGTCAGTGAGGTGGGTGCTCGTGCGCGAGGAATGAGCACGGAATGCCTGACAGTAGTAGCGGTGAGTGATGGAGTCTGTGTTGGACTCGTTGGAATTAGCGAGGCCAGGCGGCCGAATCATGCTGCATGCATGCGGGCAGTTGGCTTCCACACTACGCGCATCGCGACGCGCTCATCAAGCATCATCCGCGCAGTTATGTGGTCAAGAAATAGTGAGGCGCGACCCACTGCGATTCAGATTGTTCTCGACGGTGAAGCTTTTACTGTACCATCACTCACACTCACGACTCGAGCTACCCCGCACTTTCTCCCAGCTCAGACGCGGCCACCCTTGGGCGGCCTTCCCTCAACATTTTGTGATTCGCGCGCACTATGCACAAGCGCTCTCCCATCACCGTGCCACCACACACTTGCCCAGCGCCTTCGCGATCGGCTTCATGCTCACAGACAGGCCAGGAGGAGAGCATGCGGCTAGCTGCACGCGTGCATTCATGATCGATTTGTCTCCGCGCTCTCCGCTCCCCCCGCTCGACAGGCAAGCTGCCCTAGCCCTTGCCGCTTCGCACCGTCCCAGGCCAAGCAGAAAAGACTTCGCTCGTGGTGTGCTGCCGGCGCTCGCTTCTTTCCTCTGACGCCGCCCCTAGTCTCACACCATGGAATCTGCCTCTGCATCCAGCAGCGACTTCGACCCCACCTTCGGAGTTTTCAGCTAAAGCTATACTCAAATACGGCAATTCGGTTCTCAAGTTGTATCGAGATGGATTACAATGTCGAGCTGTGCTGGGAGCGCTCTTGTAAGTGGACGGTCGAGCTGAATAGATCCACGAATGTCTATAGTAGGTGACGCGTGAGAGCAAGGCCGCTCGCTCTGACTGCAGCAGACCGCCTCGTGAAATCGTGAATGCGCTCGCTCTCCTTCTCTCTGCTTTGCGCCTCTTTCCCCACACTCCGCCTCGCGCGCATCGAGGGCATCATTTCCTCCCACCAGCATTCTTCCACCATTCACATTCCCTCCCTGTCTCTTGTTCCCAAAGCGCTTTCCATTTGGTAGCCCTTCATTACTTCCGACACACTCTTTCGTACGGCTGCCTTACTTGGACTCACCACCAGCGCAAAGCGTGAGTATCCCGCCTCCATTGGACAAGGCATGAGCCTCTGCGCCTCCAACCACAGGCGGAAATGTCGTCCTACGAGGCTGGATCAGCAAGGATGACACAGATAGCTTCGGGCTCAGCATGGTCGAGCGAACTGTCAATGCTGCTGAACAGGCTCGGAAGGCGGCTCGCGGGGTGGAGAGAGCAAAGCGACAGCTCGGGCGGGAAGGGCGAGTGTCACATACAGCGTGCCGCGTGCCACCATCCCTACCACAGGGGCTAGCGGGAGATGTCAACGCGGACTCGGTGCATGGCTTTAAAGCGCCATTTCCCGATCGCTCCCAAGACGCTCGTGATCGACGCAGACTCAGAGAGGCGGCAAAGCAGCCCAACGCGTCGAGCTGACATGAAGGATTACATCTTCTCCCATCTCACTTGCGCAGCATCTGGTCATCCCCTCGAACCCATCTTCTTTCTTCCGAAATGGCTCGCTTCACCTTTGCAGCTGCAGTTGTGCTCGCATCTGTCGCCGTTGTCGCTGCACAAGACAGCAGCGACCTCGGCCCTCTTACCACCAACAATGCGGTGACCAATTGCGTCCAATTCGGTGATTGTGAGTAAAGATGTGCAGGGAGTGTATCTGCTACGGGGAGTCGGCGGTGCGACTTAGCTGCGCTGTCATTGATCCGCACGCTTTGCTCAAGTCTAAACTGCCTGCGCCCCTTGCTCCTCCACAGGCACGGCTGGAGGACAGGGATCAACTCTGAGTTTCGCACCGGGAATTCAAACGCCCGCCCCATCGACCGCTTTCGCTGCACCCACCGATTCTGCCCAATCCATCGCCTCCGTCTCTGAGCTGGCCGCTTCGGGAGCCGCAGCAGCGTTCTCTTCGCGACTACCTGGTCAGAACAGCGATGCTCGTGGAGCCACCTCAGTCTACACCGGTACCATCGCCGTTGCTGGATCCGCTCCCTCCTCAGTTCGCGCTTCAGGCACAAACAGCCCTGACGGCGCCGTCTCCAACATTCATGTCTCTGGTTTCTGGGCTCCCGCTGCTGCCGCCGTCGCTGCGGTCGCTCTCGGCGCCGCTGTCGTGCTGTGAAGGACTTTCGACTTGCTCGCCTTTGGGTTCGTATTCTCTCTTCGCTTGTCCGCCTAACTGCGCAAGGATCAATGTCTAGCTGAGCGACCTCTTGTCGCCAGCAATCACTTCATTCTCGTCATGATTCGCAGCACTATTCCTCGCTGTCTTTTTGTCGCTCTGCGCCCGTTCGAGGTCTGCCAGTGTCTTTCGTACATCGCGCACGCTACATTCATACCATTTGCATACGTCGCCTGCCTGATGCTGTATGAGCTGAGCTCTGTGGACAAATGAGAGGGCGGCTGCGAGCGCCGGTTGGGATCGACTCGTCGGACGTGGTCAGTTGTCCTTCTTGGCCAACCGTATAGCGCTTCTGCGCTGGATCGCCTCGTCATCGCTAATGTCCGCCGCCCGGCGCCTGGCGGCGATGCGTGCTCTGGAGCGGAAAATCGCCCACACCCCGGCAAGGACGCCCACGGGGGGAATGATCCAACTAGCAAGCCAAGAGACGCTTCCGAGCAATGTGCTCTGCTGCTTCTGCCAACTCTTGACCAAGGCTTGCACTTGCTCTTGAAGAGCTGGAGAGGCGGCATTAGCACCTAGCGTCGAGCCAGTCTGCTCTTCTGCAGAGCTGCCTTGGAGCGCGGAAGAGTTGTCGAGCACGACATCTGCGTAAGGCAGCTTGCTCGAGAGGGCATGTTGAGCTTTGAGACGCGACTCGGCATCGGACTGCGTCAATCCTGAGGGTCCATCGCGAGAGAGCAAGCGACTGAGCTGATCGGAGGGAGAGCTAAAGGCGTGGACGGGCCAGTCAACGGTTCGCGGATGGATGAGGCTGGGATGATGCGCCAGCCTCTCAGACTCACCACCAAACGAGCAGTATCTGACCACAAAACTTCCACAGGCCGGCCTCGATCAATAGGGGCGTATCGACGACGACGCGCTTGCTGCCCGTGAGCCAATGCTTGACCAATAACCAAGCCATTCGTTTCCTAATGGCCGTGTGCGTAATCTTGTTCAAAATTTTGCGCTTCTTCTCATCCGGAAAGGCTATTCTTCCAAGCGCGGCCCGATCCAGCTCTCCCGAAGGCTGCAGGATGGAATGCCCAAAGGCATTGACAAGCTTCGAGAGCGTTCCAGAGGCATCCTCAGGCCTGACGACTTCTCGAGCTAGCACATCCAGATCAATGACTGGAATTTGAGAGCCTTGCAAAAGGCGAGATACGGTGGATTTGCCTTGGGATTCGGGTTAGAAGATGAAAGTTGGCAATGAGCCACTGTGCCGTCTCTGGTCGGCTAGACACAGCTTCAACGTACCGGAAGCAATGCCCCCAGTCAAGCCAACCACTGATTGCCGATCGGAAGAAGAGAGCGTGTGTGTGAGTCTGGCTCTCTCACCCATCCGAAGGCTGTCCAAGCTTGACCTACCGATCATTCTAGCCTTTTATGGCTGCTTGTCAAGCTAACAACACAACAAAAGCTCGAGTCGAGGGTAACGCTTCTGAGTAGTGCTCCTGACCAGTCAAGAGCTGTCATTCAAAGCGCTGATGATGAATCTGTGTCAAGATCGTCATCAAGGACCTTCAACGCGGGTGCGAGGCGCTGCGTTCCGTGCACGAACGGACGTGCGCGTTCTCATCAACTTCCGACTGCATGGCCGCCGCTTGTATGCGCCAGCTATTTATTGAGTCTGCGCTGCCAGTCGCTCACGTGAAGCCTGAGTCGTCAAGACATGAAACAAGACATGAGGAGGTCAAGATGAGGGCGTCGGGAATCTTGGCGAGACCTTTTGCTTCCGACAGCCGCCATTCGTCCATAGCAGCCGCGACAATCAGGAGAGGAGAAGAGACGTATGCCCAAAGGCGAAGGAAAGCTATGCGCGATCGGACAGTCATGACTGCCAATGCAACATCTTCACTTCTTGGATCGGGCTGCGCAGTGCTGAGTCCGTGGACTGGCGCAAGGGATCAGCGACTGAGCGCGCATGAAGCCAAAATTGGGCTAGTATGGATACAATGAGAAATTTCAGCAGAGATGAAGATCGAGACGCTTGGGGCTAGCTGAGGTACAACACTCTCAAAGGCTTCGACTGCAATGTTGTCAGTCTTTTGACGCAGCACACGCGGAGAGAGCCTGATGGATGCTTTGCAACCTCTTGGCTCAGCAGCAAGCTCTATCCTCACGGAACAATGCCCTGCAGAGCTCAGCATTCCTCCGAATGCGCAGCACAGATAGGCTTGCCGGTCAGCCTTGGCGCTAGCATCCACGTCTACTCTACGGTACAGCACTAGTACTCACACTGTCGGCCGCTGTATCTGCTCAAAGCATCGTGAGATGGAAATTCTGGCCAGCGCAAGATCGATTGGGCAAGAGGCGAGAAGTGATCAGCCGCCGGCGGCGACGTGGCGAAATGCGTCGGAGATGTGTAGCTGATGCCAGACACCTTCCATTCGTGTGCCAGTAGCAAGATAAAGGCATCGCAGCTGATGGGCCCACACCTTCTTCGCCTCGCCTCCCATTCAAATTCTTGCCAGAAAGTAGAGTACATCAGCCGAACCTTCTGATCGTATACCTTCGCGTTTCCCGCTCCAGCTTCGGGACCACTACCACCCATCAGAGTGGCTCCCTTAGACTCATCGTCAAATAGGTCATTGCTATGATCTTCGATCCGCCGAGGAACAACATGCAAGCGTCGGTCTCGAGTGCCCAATTTCTGCCGAGCAAGGCCTCAGCTCCCTCCAAGGCTATTCCTGACCTTCCTGCTACTGACTCTGGTGGGTCAGCACAGCCACGTGCCCAAGGCGAACTGCCAACGGGAACGCTCAGAGAAGTCTATCATCATATTCACCATCACCACCATTACCGCAATGACGACGGCCTTCCTAGTTCAGGCCAAATCGCGCCGGACGGGCAAAGCATCGAAATGCAAGAGGTGTGCGGTTCCGCGCCCTCTCGCTCAAAGTGCGCAAAGCACTTTCGGCGGTTCTTATTTCGCACTTTCCTTTGGACTATTGTGATTCTCATCATTCTGGGCATCACTAGCATTCGTCCCATCCAAAACTTCTTCCTCAGACCCATTGGCGCTCTCCTTCGCACCTGCCCCGGATGGCTAGGGGATGTCTTGTCCTGGCCGTTCGTCACGATGCTTCGCATCGCTCACTGGAACCCCCTTTTTGTCATCGTCTGTGGCGCTCTGATCATCTCAATGTTGCTTGAAAAACGCGCCAAATCGCGTCGTCGTCGAGCTGCTCGTCGACGGGCACTCGTTGCAGACCTGCTTGAGGGCGATTACGTTCGACCCACCGCTGGAGATGGGAAGCGCAATCCACCACCTGCTCACGGACGCTCGCTGCTCTCCACCTACCGTCAGAACGTTATTACAGCCCATGATTACGGAAAGACTGCTGCGGCACAGGTCGTGCCAGCTGCACGGTGGGTGTCAGAAGCTGTGTTGGTCGCTGGTGGGACCATCATAGTCTGCTCGCAACGGACAGGAAAAGCGCTAGGCTCAGCATACCGTGCCGGGAGACTCGAAGCATCTCGTCGTCGTGCCCTTGCAAATCCTGACGATGAGCACCAGCCACTACTCAGCGGACCGGCTTCGATTGAAGAGACGAGGGCCGATGATGTGCAGTTCCCCAGCCAGATGAACCCTTACACCCTCAAGGCTCGACGTGTATGGTCCGCTGCTCGTTTCGGAGGCTACAAGACCTACAGTGCTTTACGTCTGACCGGCTATACTCTGCAAGCAGAATTTATTGCTGCTCTGGATTCTTGGCGCGAAGATGGCGAGTTGCAGTTGCAACATGATGAAGTGCAAGATGATCACACGTCCTACCGTATCAATGTAGGCGACGACACGAATGGCCGACGTGAGATGAGCGAAAGAGACTCGATCAGAAGCGTCAGTCCAAGTAGTACGGTTGACGACCAAAGTGACGTGTTCGAGAACCAAGATCAAGTAAGCAAAGACGCCGAACCGCGCTGCTCGACCGATACGTCGAAATCCGACGCTGTACCTCTGCTCTTCCTCTCGCCCTCCTCATCATCGCCTCGGAGCATCGATCAGGCTTCTCTCACAGTTACTGTCGCTCGCGATCCAACCAACGCCTCTCCGACAAGAATCGCCGCAAATCGCAAAGCGTTTGAAAGGACTGCTGCCGCTCGACGAGCGGAACGATTTTTTGACAAAATCGCTGCACGTCGCAATAGCTCTTGATTCTCCTTCCCACCCCTTGTGCGTCCACTCACGAGATCGGCCTTCTCTTGTTCGTCGCAGCTCCTAGATGCGTCAGGCACGCTTCTCACACTCCTTCGTCACACTTGCCCAGCCCTGCTGGTGTTAGCATTTACATTGTATTGGCCAGTACATTGTATCTTGCGCGAAACGCTCTTTGCCCACACACCGAATATTCACTCGAACGAAATGTTCTAGTAGCACGCGTTTTATTAGATCAGATCACAACGCGGCTGGAATGTCGAGTCGAGTGGAAGTGGGGGTGGGCGCACAATGTGAACAATGTCCTCGCAATGTCGCAATGTCAAAATGAAGAAACTGGAGAGAGCTGGTCCAAATGTTTGAGACGCGCGTATATGTGTGTTGTGCATGGCTTGTTCAAGACCGTGAGGCTTGACAAGGGGCATTTGGAGGCCGAGCGAGTTGAGATTGATACATTAGGATGGTGGCGAAACGGGAAAGTCACGGAGTGGAAAGGGGTTGGCAAGTGTGCAGTGGGCTTTCATTCGCTGCCCGCGCGAGGACAGGATCATTGATCGATGTGCATGGGACTGCCAGGCACCAAAGCCGCCTTTCCCGCACCGTCCACTGCGTTGTGCGGGTGGTTGGATTCGAACATTTGAGCGTGAATGCTGGGCTGTTCGCCAAGAGGGCCCTTATTCCTCCTGCCCAGCAAGGTCGCATTGCCGATGTTGAGTTCAAAATTCTTCCTTCGGTTAGAGCCTCGATCTCTTGTACCAGCGCGGCCGTCATACAAGGCCGCTTCCGCCAATTTGCGATCCGCACCTCCCCGGCCTTGGTAGTGCTGCGCTGCTTGCTGCTGCGATTGTTGTTGCTGCTTGTTTTGGCTATTTTGCTCCGCTTGTTGTCGAGCGCGCTGTTCCTGCTCCTTCTGGCGGCGTCTCTGCTCAACTGCTTGCGCCGCGGCATCGCCATGGTGTGATCTCACCTGCTCCGCATCGTCGTCTTCGTCCTCTTCGTTGAGACCGTTGAGCGGAGCCTGACCTGCGCCTCCCCGTTTCCTCGCACCCTCCTCTTCCATGCGGTGCACCGCGTACGTCACGTCGAAGGCCTCCTTGAGCTGGTTGATGCCTGGCGACATCATGGCCGCTCGGCGCTGCTTCATGCTGGTGAGCAGCGGCGAGTCCAAAGGCATTTCGCTTTCCTTCGCTAGTTGAATGTCGGCACTGTTAAGGGCTGGCAACGTCTCTCGCACGTTGCACCAGGGGTGCGCCAAGAATTCGTCGATGGTGTAGCGCTTGCTGGAGTCCACGCAGAGCAGATGGGTGATCAGATCCTTGGACGAATCGCTGATGTCGTCCCACCAGGGAGAGAGAAATGTGTAGTAGCCCTTTGCCACCTTCTCTGTCAGGACGCTGATCGACTCGTCGTAGAAAGGTGGAAAGCCGCAAAGCAAGGTGTACAGCACGCAGCCAAGTGCCCACATGTCGACGCTCTTGCTGTAACGCTCGTCTTTGACAATTTCTGGGGCGGTGTAACCAACGGTGCCGCAAGGCGTCATGGTGCTCTCCTCCCACACCACCTTGCTCAATCCAAAGTCGGCAATCTTCACCCGACCGATGCCACCGCCGCCAATGCCAGGCATGAATTCGCCCTCGTCTTCCTTTTCCTCGTCATAAGGTCTGGCCTTGTTCTGTTTGGAGGGAATGATGTTGATCGATTCGAAGAGCAGGTTCTCCGGCTTGATGTCTCTGTGGGAGGGGACATCGCTTATCAGGAAAGTGCTGGTGCGTCCTTCCCCCACGCGGCGTGACACTCACCTGTGCACCACTCCGCGCTCTTCGTGCAGATACCTAATGCCGTGTGCCACTTGCAGAATGACGTGTCTTGCCAATGACTCGCTGAAGTACGTCAACTTGACAATCTGGTGGAAGAGCTCGCCTCCTTCCAAAAGCTCCAGCACCAAGAAGTAGTGATCCCTGCTTTCACTAAACTCCATTAGCTGCACAATGCCAGGATGCTTTAGATTGCGCATGATCTGTACCTCTTTGAGAATGTTGGCTCTCTAAAGGGGGGCACAGTGAGTATTAGGCGGACCAGCCCACCGGAATGCCGCAAAAGGGGTGGCGCGGAATTTGTACGGAAGCGTGGACCGCACGCAACATCGTAGCACCGTGGCGAATTACGTCGGAAAGTGAGCAAGTGGAGACAGGAGGGGAAAGCGTCAGAATCGCGTCGGCTTGCTGAGGTACGATGACACGGATCACTCTGAAGCAGAGCAGTGCCAAGCCCTTCGTGGTGAAGACTCGTACAGATCATCCAGCGACGACCCGCACGACGTCTCGCGAGCGAGTAGCCTGCGACCTGTGGCCGACAGCATTCCCTTGCAAGCTCGACCACCCGACCGAGGAAATGGAAAACACTGGCTACGAACCTCTGTGACGCGATTCTTTTTGCGGAATTGTGGATCGAGACGATCCTGGAGGACAAAAGCGAAAATCCCAATCGAAACGCGGCACAGGAAGATTGCCAAAGCAGGGGAGACGAGAAAGAGGTTGGCGAGGCGCAGAGAAATGAATGAGGAATTGAGGAATGGGCGGAAATTCGGTCAGCCGCTGGACAGCTGGTATCTGCTGACCTGCGAGCGTGAAGCTGGACGGGCACAAGGGAGCTGGAGCTCATGGGAGCTCTGAGCGGCAAGACGCAAACGACTCGAAGTGTTCGATGCGTCCGCTAGAGAAGAGAACGACTTGGAGTGGAGGAATTACTGAGAGGCATTTCGCAGGGTTTCGGAGCCACCGGGAAGATTTGTGTCCATGCCCGTCCGCTGCACTGCCCTGCTCCTTCAACGGCAAGGCCTGCGACCCAACACTTACCTGGTTAGAGTTGAGCTCATACTTTCGAACGACCTTGATTGCCACTTTCTGTCCCGTCTTTTGATCCCTGGCCATGTATACGTTGGAAAAGGCACCACTGCGACAATGGAAGGATGGGTCACGATCAGCAGATGTGCACCCGCAGTCATCATGCTGCTACTACTCACTCTCCCATCTTCTTGATCAAAGTGAACCGGTCAGACAAGCCCTCGTACGACGGCAGTTTCTCCGAAGCAGCCCTCTCTTCTTGCACGATCTTTTCTGATTGAGGATTGTACTGCGCCACATTATCCTCTTGATACGAGTTTGCGCGCTGACTGTGGCTGTGAACACTGCCGGCGACTCGAGCTCGAGCTTCGTCCAAATGCGCTTGTGCGCCACCATTTTGCGGGTGCTGCGTCGACTTTTGGCCGCCTTGCTGGGCGGTGGCGGTGACAGGAGCAGCCATGGTGCCTTTGGCAGTGGCCGGCGTTGGAGAGACAGTGGACTGTCCAGCCATCGGCTCCAACGTATCCAGCGCTTGGTAGTGAGAGTCTGGGACTTGACGCATCTGCTAAGCGTGACAGGCCGGGAGGGCAGGTCCAAACGTCAGCAGAATGTCCCGGATGTATGCGGGTGCGACCGAAAGATCGTGCATGGGAAGAGAAAATGAAGGATGGCTGTGTGCGGAGTGGATCGCCGTGCTGAGATTCAAAAATCGATTGAATCGATCTTCGCGTCCAGAGATGGCGCCTTCATACGCTATTGGTAGGCATGCGCGTGCGCCAGCGCCATTCGTGTTCGTCGCCTACCGTACCGTACGCCACTTCCAGATCCGAGGCACTCACCTTTGATCCGTTACTGTGATTGGTAGAGCCTTGAGGCGATGAGGCAGTAGCTTCTTCTTTGGCTGCTTTGCCGTGTCGAATAAGGTTCTTGAACTGGCCAAACACCATTTGGACGCTCGGCAACGGGAGCCGATACAGTTCGATTACTCAACTTCACGACGATCTTGGCGGCGATTACACAGCAGCGACTTCAATCAGGCGGTGTATCTGCAATCGTGGATCCTTCTCACGATCTTGCTAAAGGAATGCAGCTGCACAGATGCTGAATACAGTTGTGAGGTTTGTTGAGCCCTGACGTATATTTGCCTGGGTCTTGAAGCAATTAGTCGAGGATGGGCGCAAGGCTGAATAGCTCTGCAAGGTGCAGACGGTGCGTCTCTGATGCGAGTGGGCTGACTCAAGCAAGGGATTGGGCGTATCGAGCTTGATGAATGGAGCGCCTTTCGACTCAAAAGCGCTTGGTGAGGAAACACACTTGCGTGGCTTCTGGTTCTTGATCCTATAGACGTCTATATCAATGCGTCGACTGTTGTGTGAGGCAGTGTGAGTCAAGAGCGTCGACTGTTGTGTGAGGCAGTGTGAGTCAAGAGTGTGAAGTCAAGTGAGAGTTGTATCACGTCGCAAGCTCATCGAGACATTTGATTTGGTGTTTTCATGGGGCCTTGAGTCGCTCTGCTGCTGCGCTGACGACCAAGACGCAAAGGGGTCTCTCGACGTCATGCCGGACTCCCGATCAAAACCATACAAGCAGCGCGCAGAAGCGGTAAGCTGCCGTCGTGGAGATTTTTCCCCTCAATCGGTCGATCAGTGTCGCGCTCTCCACGGCTCCGTCCGGCCGAAAGGCACTCAATGACGAAGAGTTGTCGCTCGATCTTTGCAGACACGAGACACGACGCAGGGCGACAGCATTCTGGCGCTGCGTCATGACGGCTGCTGGATCTGTTCCGTTGCAGCGTGTGCTGCTGCTGGTGCAGCACACCCTGCTGCCCTACTGTGGCTTCCCCATACGCATGATGTACAAGTACGTGCAGGATGCATGCGTGCAGCATGCGCACCACAGCATCAGGCGATCTGGGCTGTGAGCAGAAGCGCAGTTTCGGATGCAGAGATGACGTCGCCCGACTTGCCATGTCGGTGCACGCTGCGTGGCTGCTGATGCGTGCATGCTACCTGTACCGCGCGGTATGCACATCTCGATCACCCATCAGGCTCAAGACTCCAGACAACTCTGGCCGTTGGGCGCTACACACTCACGACTGAGCTACTCCCCACCTGCTATACCTGACTCACCGGCTTGCCTGTCATCAGTCTGAGTCAAGAGTCGTCGAATTGTCACAAGTCACAGTCGCGAGTTGTGAGTCGATTGTGTGGTTCGACACTTGAACACTCAAAAAGTCAAAAGGGAGCGTCAAAGTCTAAGCTGCAGTCTCCGTCAATGTGGAGGCAGCACGCGAAGTGCGAGGCGTCACTCAGATCTGCGTGGCGGACCTGCCACGATCCAGGTGGTCACAACGGGCATGGTACATCAAAATCGTGGATATCACGAGCGATCACGCATTCGTTCCTACACATTCATCTAAACCCTGACCGATTCGTGATTGCATAGCGAGGTCCAATGACAATCACGTGAATTGTGAAGATGATCAAAAGCTCCGAGTCTGATGAGTGATGTCTGAGCGTCAGCACAAGGCCTTGCCTGCAAAATGCAGATCATCCGTCTCATCGGCGTTGTGCAAGACGTCCCCAAACTTGGGACGCCAGATTCAGTCCAACTTGCTTGAATTTCACAAGCCTCCTCGAGCATCGGTCCCCGGCGGCAGAGAGCGTGGTGAGCTCGCGACTGGCCATGAAGCGAGGTCAGAGCGGTGCAAGGTTGCCTAAAGCTTGATCATGAGCAGGTGTGCTGCATGCAGCGCGTAAGGTTTGAATTGCTCAATCACGCTTCTGCCACGACAGCTGCCACGGATTGACTCGCATAGCATGACGCAGCTGTCGATTTGACCCTGAAGTTGATCTGACTGGCCGGAATGCCAAGCTAGGTTGACCCATTCATAAGTACTCACTCTTCTGATGATTCACGATTGGCATGCAGCACGGAGGGCCAAGTCGTGATGAGCGTGGCTGCAAGGTTAGAACATGTAAAGCGGAGGAGTGTGTGGCTTAGACGCTGTCATCAGGCATCCGCGCGTCACCGCATGCGAGTCAAATCTTGATCAGAGATCTTATAATAGATGTGCGCAGAACACAGTGACTGAAGACAGTGAGTGAATCAGTCACGAGCCCTGTATTCAAGAGTAAGTGCGTGATAGTCTGAGTGACATGTGTGTGCACGCAGCTTGGGTGAGCAAGATCTCATGCAGCTGGACCACAATCGAGAGCGTGAAATGGATCACGAATGGAGAAGCAGAATCCTCAAGAAGCTCGTCCTAACAAATGTCGTGCTGCTACTACCCGTAGACCATAGCTTTTGTGGAGGCACGCTCGGGGTACATGGCGACGGCTCTGTCAAAGAAGAGCAACGAAGAAAACCCGCAGGTCGTCTGGGTCATATGTGGATGTATGCGCAGTCAAAGGTCCTGTTGCAATGACTATACGTTCTTCTTTCGTGTTCTGACATCAAGCGCATCGCAAGAGCACCCCACGAGATGCAAGCGACACACTCAAAATCCAAACATTGATACAATGTCAATTATGGCAAGATAAGTTACCCCAGTCGACCCGTGAGGCGCCATCAAAGCAGTACACCTATTCGCGAGCGATCTGAACGCCCGCTTCTCTCTCAGCTTTTCGTTCCCAATCAAGAGCATCGCGCAGCTCCTTTTCCAGCATATCCTGTACAGCTTGCGTCGCAGGCTGCAGCGGTCTTCTAGCTTCCCCAACGTCGTCATAGTACCTGCGCAGCACCCACTTTGTACCCCCTATCCCGCCCTTCATGAAAGCCCAATCTGCCCGTGATACGAGCGCTTGAAGCTCTTGGGCTTTTGACAGGGTCTCTTTGGAAGGAGACTGCACAGCCTCCTGAGCGCTCTTGTACGTCTGCACTAGAAGACGTGGGAAAATGTTGCCCGAACCAGCAATCGTTCCGGTCATGCCCACAAGCATCGAGGCTAGCCGTGTGCGAGATGTTGCAACGTCAGCTCTGTTGCTTCTCGCGCGAACGAGGCTGATCGAGCGTCTTAGCAGTGTCACTCACGCAGCAGCATATCTCCGAGACCTGGAAAGACGTGGAAATTCTTGTGCGACTTTGCTGCTGCGCTTGATGCCAGCCTTGCGCCTTTGCCGATTGATCCACAGGTGAGCTGTAGCGTGGCCAGGAAGGGACCCAGGTTGAACCACATAAGCCGAGCAGCAAGGAGGCGAGGGAGGCTCAGAAACGAGACTTGCCTTAGCTCCAACAATATTTGGATGCTCGGCGATGGCTTCCAGCAAGTCGGAGTCCAGATCAATTCCCGCGGTCTGTGCATATCAAAACGAGACTCGACAGCGCGTAAGACGCCAAGGTCGCATGTCATTGACCACCTTCCATCACGACTCACCACAGCCGGGAAATTGTAGACCATGACAGGGATCGGCGAGGCGCTCGCAATTTCGCTGCAATAACATACAACCCGTCATGGTCATTGAAAACTGCGGCCAGCCGAAGAGCAGTATCATCGAGCGAGTCGCTTGCTTACTGAAAATACTGTTTGAGAGCTGTGCGGTCCTTTGCAATTGCTCCAGCAAAGAAACCGGGTGTCAAGACGATGGCTGACGACACGAGCGAGTTGCAGACGTGATGCCTGCCAAGTCAACAGCTGATTTGAGACGTTTGACCGCATTAGGGCACTTACCAGCATCTGCTCCAGCTGCGGCAGCATCTTTGCACAATTGCTTCGTCTCGTAAAGACTTCCGGTACCAGTGCCTGCAATGATCGGCGTCTGTAACCCAGCATCTTTTGTGAGTTGGCGCGCAGCGCTTACAAGTCTGATCCTCTCTGATGCGGTGACGTGCGAAGCTGCGAGAGGGTGGCTCAGGTGAAGCGCAGTCCGCAATTCAGCCTTGCCTCCTCCTCGAGTGAAGGGAAGAGACTTCTGTACCGTAGTTCAGATGAAACTTGCGGAACTCACCTTCGCCGCCGGTTCCCAGCACGACGAGACCGCATCCAGCCGAGGCAACTCGCAGAGCAACCTTCTTGAAAGCCTCGAGATCAAGGTCTTCTTCGGGGCTCGGGGTGAAAGGGGTCACGAGAGGTACATAAACCCCACCAGGCAGCGGTTGAATTTGGTAAGTCATCGCAGATGTGAGATGCCTTTTGAAGCAACGTTGAAGCAATGCTATGGCTCTGCGATCAATGCGGCGAAAGAGAGACCAGAGACGAGGGTAGCCTACACCTTAAAATGCGCTCCCGAGTGCAGCACAGGAATCACCACCCAGTACATGAGACGTTGTCTTCTAGGCCCAAAGTGTCGGCCTTGATCTGTCTTGCGTCCTCGATGCCGTGCCCTTGACATTCGCTGGTGGATGCGTGAGGAATTCTTGCTCCAGTAGGTAGAAGATGAGACTACGAAGCTCCGAACGGATAGATGGGCCGCAATTCCCCATCAGGGAATCACGCATGAGAACTTCCGCGGGGCCGGGCTTGAGGTGAACTGGCGGCGTTGGAAGGGGCGCGCGTGTACTTGAAGCGCGCATGGGCCATGCGACTGGAGCGCAATTCACAACCTTGTGTACAGCATGGTCGTGGTCCACGCGCTTCACCTGATAGCATCCATCCGGGCTCGGACTTGGCATTTGATGCTTGACCCTTGGCTTCTTGCTTCTAGCATTGTGCTCACATACAGCACCGCTTCTACTTGCTGCCGGCCGCGACCTCCAACAGCACGAAATCGCTTGACGATGCAGGTGTCAAGCTTGTCGTTGCTCGCGACTACGCTTCTAAGTGCAAGCCTGCTTTGCAGCATCGCAGCAGCTTCAGAGACGGCTGGGCGGGCAACCTACTCTCTGCACTCGAGGTATCTGGGAGGCGGGCAGAGCACACGAGAATGGAAATATCAAGGCTCGATCACTTTGGGAGCTCAAGCTGGGCTTTCGAGCGTCTCGGATGTCTCTCCATCACGGGACAATATCAGATTCGTCACTGCAAGTGATCGGAATGAGGAACTTCAACCGGCAACTGATTCTGGTGTGCTGGATCTGGAGAGCACTAGCTCTGCTGCGGGCTGGTTGCAGTTTTTGCTCTTGGACGGGGACACAAAATCAGTCAAGCCGGCGGAATTGGCGCGTGGCATTCTCGCTAGCACCAAAGCGGTGAGTATTTTGCACAGCTCTTCGATCGTTGACGATCCTGAGGTGGCTAAAACGATCGGTGTCGGCAATTCTTCACAGTGTCTCCTACCTTCCCCGCTCGTGGTCACCCTCCACCTACCACCGGCGCCTGGCGCAAGCACAAAGACCGGAGGTGGTCCAGCTCCTTTAAGCGCGTCCTTGCGACCGCAAGGCCTCTCACTTCACTTCGAAGGCATCTCTACAGCGCCCTTGAACGAGTCTGGATGCCCAGCTGAGCGAGACCGCAGCGCTGCTGAAGTCGCCAAGGCTCAGGCTCCAGTGCGAGTAGCAGTCCACCGCGCAGCAGGCGCAGGAGCGTGAGTCTACCGGAAGAGTTGGCCTTAACATCATCGACACTGACGTCTCTGCTGACCTTTCCACACAGACCTCCTCCTCGTCAAGCGCCGCGTCTCAAAGCCGACGGAAGCCCGCTCGCTGAAGGGGAAGACGCTCCACCGGTGAAGGAGAAATCCTTCGTTCAGAAGTATTGGTACTACTTGCTACCCGTCGTCATCCTGCTCGCAATTCCCTCAGAGGTGCGTGGAATCCCGCTTGCAGGTTGAAGCATGAACTCACGACTGACGCTCCAAAACTGCGCACGCTCTCAACAGCTCGCAGATAGCGGCGATGATGGAGAAGCGGAAGTGGATGACGCTCCACGCTTGGGAGGAGGAGGAGGATCGGGAAGCGGAGCTGCTGGCAAGAAGGGCGCACCCGCTGCGGCAGGTGCTGGCATGCGTCGTATCAGGTGAAAGCTGGCGAATATCACGCGAAGAAGAGGAGCAGGAGCCCGGCCTCCGGAGCTATGACGCACATGGTCAGCAAAATCAGACATGCATCACCAAATGCAGCTGCGAAAAGGTGTGTCAACTCTGGCAAGCATCACGGCGTGCGGAGAGAGTGGAGAGGGCTGGCGAAGATGGTCTGGTCTGTCGCACCATTGATGGCATCCCCATTGCACGCCTGGAGTCAATCATGAAACTCGTATGATTACAAATGGTCCGTGACTAGCTGTATTGGAAACTAAGAAGCCGGTGTTTTGGACGCGAAGATGAGAGGCGACCCCAATGATCTAGTCCTCCTCTCCTCGCCTGTATGCTACCACGCTGTCGACTTGGTGAATGGCCGTGCTGAAACTTCGCAACCTGACTTGCTCGGCCTGACCCTCTGCGATCAGCCGGGCGTCGCTTTCCGCCCATTCGATTGGAATAGGCTCCGATGCGTTTGTATAAGCCAAGAGAGTGAAGGAGCCTGAAGAGAAGATTGAGCGACGAGCAGTGAGCAGATACAGTGCCATCGCCTCCTCTCCTCCGTGCTGCCTCGCTTCCTGACGGATTTGGTACTCACACTGATCCTCCAACATGGGCAAAAATGTGCAAGATGCTGTGATTTGCTTGATGATCGCCGCGATCTCTGCCTTGACCTGATCATCGGTCTTTGGGCCTTTTGCACCCTTTGGGCCTGCTTTGCCTGATGGAGCTTGCACGGGACTTCAGAGAGTAGTGATGGGCACGTGAGCCCTGTGCGACGACCTCTCGCGAAAGCTAGAGTTCTCGTCTGATAGCCGCCCCACCACTCACGCTTCGTTCTCCTTGCCATTCGCTTCTTGACTCTTGTTCACCACGTTGACATCGAACTGCCATCTCTCCACCGTCTCGCCGTTCTCTGTATCGATGATAGCGACGACAACTCTGGAGATAGCTCCCTTCAACAACCACTCTTCTAATTGTTTCTTTGCCCTCTCCACATATTCCGTCATGGCGTCGTCCAAGCTGACCAACATCTGAAGCCCATACTTTCTGACCGTTTTGAAATCTTCCGGAGGATAGACTCCCCGCTGATAGAGAATGGACTGAAGAGAATACTCGAAGAATTCAGAGACTATGGCGGTGGATCCACTGAGAGTAAGATGCGTGCGCGTGGGCGCTGCGGTCGCTTGAGCTGTCGCCATGGTCACCGAGCGAGTATGCCCGGAATGGGGCAGGTCACTTGACTACCTTAGCTCTTGAGTGGTGACTGAGATCTGCGACCAGTTGGGGCCACTCGGATAGGCAATAGAGCGCTCACGCTTGGCGTGAAGCCTTCAACGAATCGTTTGTGGTGATTTGAGAGTGGCGATCGAAAGTTCGATGAGGATGCATTCACGATTGTGTTGCTCTCTATTCACGCTGCGACCCTCAGATTTGAACGCGTCGCGCACAGCCGCTAGCTGATGCGCACGCGCATCAGCAACATCTCGCTCTGTACCTGCTGCGCTGCGCGTGAGCAGACGGTTCACGATTTCACGGTGATGCAGCTGATGGATGCTTGTCCACGCACACCCTCCCACCCCGCCACGACACGCACTCGCCGCTGCAAGAAATTGTCCACAGCAGCGGCAGCTGCCTGGTCTACAAAGTCTGTATGAAAGGGCTTTCTTGACCTCTCAGTGCTGAGAAGGCAGTTTGAGTCGTGAGTCGGACTACGTTGCGACCGTGCGGCCTGCCTTCACCCCAATCAACGGCTGGACACGTGACTTGTCTTTCCGTGGTTGCGTGCTTGCGTCCTACATGCGCGCCACACGTGGATCACGATCGACTGGCCAGCGCCCGCGAGCAGGGCGCGAAGTGCAGGCAGGTACATTCACATTATAGCCGCGGCGAGGGTTGATGCATGCATGCTGGGTGCCATCCACTTGCGTGAGGTGAAGTCAGATCCATGATCTCCACCACAAGCACCTTGCTCTCATTGCCCATCACCATCTACGATCCTTCATCTGTATCCGGCTTCTAGGCGTTCGCACCTACAGCTTTCAATATGGCCGACAACGACGGTGCGTTTGAATTTTTCGGTCTCTGCTTCGATTTCCGTGTCAGTCCCGACGAGCCTCTCAGCCTGGGTGAGGCTGTCCAGCGTTGCTATCCGATCGCAGTACCAGGTCGGCGACTGAGAGCAGCAGACTTTGGGCTGGATGCTGAGCTTACAGTACATGTATGCGGGATCTAGGTCCCCATCGCCTACGTACTCCCTCGTCATGTGATCGCCAATCTTTGGGTCGACATCAGCTCGACTCACGAGAAGCTTCATTGCTAGCTGTGGCTTCGCTCAGCAGCACCTGTCTCAATTCGCTTTCTGGGGCTGGATCGCAACACTCCCTTGCAATGATTCGCGCTTTCGTCGCATGTCATGGACAGCATGATCAACGCACGGTACTTCTGCCTTCACTCGGGCTCCGGCTACCTCGTGTAGTTCGACTTCGACTGCTGTCTTTGCGCACTGCTTCTCAAGACGTCAGAATGTCCCCACGTCACTCGCTTGGGCGCTCGCTCCTGCTCTGCAATGTCCGGTGCCTCTCGTGTCTTCGCGACTCCGCCTTCGCGACTCATCATCACCTCTGCGACTTTTCATCCAAAGTAAGTGCACAGACTAACCACTATGCGCTCTGATTTACCATTTTCCGGCAGATTGGAACGATGCCGCTCGTGACGCAGCACGCGACGACTACGCCCCTCGTCGAAGCGCTTCTCCTCGCGGTGCGACGCCTCCGCGTCGCGAGCGCAGCCCAGCGCGCAACGACGATCGCGAATTCCGCCGTGAGCGTAGCCCACCTCGTGGCGACTCCTTCCGTGGCCGGTGAGTCTGAAGCGCACAGCATACATTCAGCTAGGTCGCCTGTGTGCTGATGAACTCATTTACTGCAGCCCTGCACCTGGCAGCGACAACCCGAACCCAGGCAACAACCTGCACATCTCTGGTTTAAGCCTGAAGACGACGGAGCAGGATCTCGAGGACGTCTTTGCCAAATATGGAAAGGTACGAGTCAATACTTCTGTTGAATCGTATCGGCATGTGGACCTATCAGGACTGACAGCCCTGCTTTTTGCTTGTAGCTGAACAAGGTCCAGGTGATGTATGATCCCCACACACGCGAGCCTCGTGGCTTTGCTTTTGTGACGTTTCACAACAACACGGATGCCGAGGCTGCGGTCGATGGCGCGAATGGTGTCGAGATTCTCGGACGTTCGATCACGGTAGCAAAGGTAAGTTGCGCGTCAGCAGCGCAACATGGAATGCGCAGGTGTCTGACACAGGACAGCCTTGTGTTTTAGGCACGTCGAGGACGTGCTCGCACCCCCACACCAGGGCGCTACTGCGGTCCTCCGAAAAAGGGTGAGCTCGCTGCTACAGCACGACACCTCGCATCGAAAGCTGATGTCGATGTCGCATTCCTTCAGATGATCTTCCACCGCGCGGCTACGGTGGCTATGGACCTCCCGGAGGCTACGGTCCTCCTCGCGGTTATGGTGGCCCACCACCTGCACGGGACTACCCTCCTCGTGACTATCTGCCTCGCGACTACCCCCCGCGAGACTACCCTCCTCGCGACTATCCTCCTCGCGGATACGGCGCCCCACCCCCGCGCGCTTATGATGACTATCCTCCCCCTCGTCGCGGCGGGTATGATGACCCTCCCCCTCCTCGTCGTGCCTACGACGATCTTCCTCCCCCTAGAGCGCGCTACGACGATGCTCCTCCTCCTCGCAGCCGCTACGACGACCTCCCGCCTCCTCGCCCTCGCTACTGAGGCGACTCTTGAAGACAAGGCTCGCTGGCACCACAAGCCGACGTCGTCCCTGCCGACTCGACTCTACATGAAAGCATCGTCTTCTCATTCCAGCCGCCAGATGTGTTTTTTTTCGCAAGAGATGTGAATGGCACGGCGGCTACACACCAACTTCACTTTCCAACAAAACAAAGAGTCCTCAAGGAGATTGGCCATCATCGACATGTGCTTGCAAGGCAAAAATCAAGGTGAAGTGAGCAGAGTTCTTGTTCCTCTTTCCCGGAGATTCTTGCCAGCAAGACAATTGTGAATTGTTCTCGTTCCCTCCGTAAAATTTGTTGTCGCGTTGCGTCTCGATCTCGACCTGTACATTCGAATACATGTCGTTTTGGCTGTCTATGTAGGGAGACGATGTGGCTTTACGAGATGACATTAGTCGTGAGGACGCGCAGCATATCAACCTGACTAGTACCGAAGATCGAAGAGAAGCGCTTCTCATTCGTGATTCAAGATCGTAGCATGCGTTTCTGGTTGCAAGCATTTATAGCTGCGCCTCCACATCACGCGCTCTGGCACCAAAGGAGCACGTACACCTGTAGCGGTAATCGTGAATTGAGCTGCTATGCCCCGCGCATTCTTGATGTGCGATTCGTGATTGGTGATGATTGGCGATGCTGCTGTTGTGACTTCGCTTTGCAACCTTCTGCATCTTCCCGTCCTCGAAGCGGTCTGTCAAGTCGAGTGGGAGGAAAAGCACGTCATTCGTGATTCTGGATCTGCCGAGCACATCACCATCAGGATGGTCCTTGCCGCTGTCGCTCAGCTCACGTCTACCGGCGTGATTGCCGATAATTTGGCAGTCGCTAGCGGACTCGTCAGTGCGTACCAGAATCACAAGATGACGCCTTTTCAGCAGGTTGAAGATTGCAAAATGCTGAAGCATGTCTGGTCTCTTTATGCGGCATTGTGATCTGCAGAGCGAGCTGCTGCCTCTGGTGCAAGGGTACGTCCTGTGGAAGGCTCATCCTACTCCAAACATGATCTGACACGTCACGAACCCGCTATCTGTGTTTCCCCCGCCGCAAAGGCGCTTTTCTTGCCAGAAGGTCAGTCACCGTCATCGTGAGAGGGTGGAGCCTTTCTGGATTGCCTAGCTGATACTAGACTTGCTGACCCGTACCTGCCATTCCCTCCAGCGACGGACTTTATCGCCCCTTCGCCATCCGTAGGAGCTTTGACGCGAAGTGCCCAGGCACGTTCCTTCGTTCCTTATCTCTGCAAAGAGGCCAAGCAGAGCAATATTTGGGTGTCTGTAGGCGTGCACGAAGCTCCTGCTGAGGAGTTGGGCGACAAGGAGAGATGCTACAACACGCAGGTGCTCATTGACAATGAAGGCAAAGTCAGGGAAAGCTATCGAAAGGTGAATCGAGGGCGGGTCTCTTGCCAGACGCTCACTCTGACCTGCCTTGTTTGGCATGCCACTTCGCAAAGCTTCATCTCTTCGATGTAGACATCAAGGGTGGTCTGACCATACTAGAGTCCAACACGACCATTCCGGGCAAGGCGATTCCTCGCGTGCATCCATCACCGATCGGCGCGCTAGGAGTGAGTCTCGAGTGCCATGCACTGTCGTTGTCATTCTCTTCCGGTATTCATCTCAGGCGCGACGCTCAAAGCTCATCAGCGCCCCTCTGCATGCCAGCTGCAAACCTGCTACGACATACGTTTCCCAGAGTCGTCGCTTTCTCTGCGAAGACAAGGCGCGCAGATTCTGACTTTCCCATCCGCATTTACTGTGAGGACGGGCGCCGCGCATTGGGAGGTGCTGCTCAGAGCCAGAGCTTTGGATACGCAAAGCTACGTGCTGGCAGCTGCTCAAGTGGGCGCTCATGAAGGTACCAAAAGAGTCAGCTATGGGCATGCCATGATTGTTGATCCTTGGGGAAGCATCGTAGCCCAATGCAGGTGAGCTACCAACCAGCGATGCCAAGGCGACGCCACCCCCATCTTGAGCTCATCTCTGCACTTGCTCTCCCACGCCAAAGCGACATGCAACCTTACAAACCGACGCTTTGCTTCGCGAATATAGTGAGTCTGGTTGATCAGTCTTTGGGCATCTTGGGGTGCTCCGCTCAGCTTCTGCATGCCCTCCCAAACAGGACCTTGATGCCCTGACAAGCATGAGGACGGAGATGCCCTTATGGGATCAACGACGTACCGATGTGTATCCCGAGCTCTGAAGAAACTCGACACTTGGGTGCCGTGCGTTTCATTCTGAAGAGATGACATTGTATGGATGAGCCCATCGTACATCATCAGATGAACGGCAGACCCGTTCCTACGCGCTTGGCATATTCCTCGTAGTCCTTTGGAAAGAATTGCTTCAGCGAGTATTCTTCTCCTACTATTCTGTGTCTAAAGAATCGCCAAAGTGTGACCGCAAAGACACAGAATGCGAGAGGATTGCCGAGGAGGAGTTGAGTGCCTAAAGCCCAGTAAAAGAACCCGACGTAGGACGGATGTCGCGTGAAGCTGCCGCAGAAGAAAGATATAGCGTAAGCGTCACATGCTCGGATGATCGGCGATCTATGCTTCCTCTTAGACTCACGCATATATGCCGGTGGTGACGAGCGTATGGTCCGCTCGCTTTGTTCCACGTGCAACTTCATGGCTGAAAGACCCTGCCGCATGGACCATCGCCAATGAACGAGCGATCTGACCTGCTACGACCAAACCTAGCCCTGCGGTGCACCGCATGCGGTCACGAGTGGACGGCTCAGCCTTGACTTCGAGCTCCATCGCATCGCTTGCGTACACTCACCGACGTAGCTCCACCAGTGAGCCTTCACGCTGCCTTGGCTCCAAAGGAGATGGCGCACGAAGAATTCAATAAGTCCAGCGAGATGAGCAACGTGGTATGCGATACCGTTCTGCAGCAGGAAAGCTGGACAGAATGCACAAGGGTCGTGTCCACTCAGCGATGGATTGCTCTCCATCCAAGCCTTGCCTTGCTCAACATACTCACAATCTTCCATCAGCCTCGTGGCGTTCCAATGTGCGGTGATCCAGAACTCTGCGAGATGAAACAGAGCCCAAGCAGCGAGATACGCATTGAGTTGCGGGCTAGCAAAGATATCGCCTGTGCGGGCCAAAAGGCCGACAGGTGATGATGATTGGTGCATGTTCGTAGTGTTGGGCCATGCATACCACAGCAAGCGTAGCGCTTTTTGAATACACAGACCAACAAGCATGCCCAATGCTGCGCTGATGAGGCTTACTCTTAACGCTGTAGGCGCAAGATGAGCAGGTATGGACTTGGGAACAGAAGGTCGCATTAATCCTCTGATCACGCTTTCGTCTTGCGTATCCTCTTCCCCGTCCGAATCACCACCTATGTCCTTGCGATGGGATGGCCGCCGTTTAAGTGACATTGTGTGGAGAGCTGGAATATGAACAGGCGGGCTTGATGGGTCTCCATTCATGAAAGGCGAGACGGGTGAATGAGGAATGAGTCGGGGCTGATTCCGCTCCGGGGCGGGATGGTGAGGATTGGGCAGGAAGAGGCTTGGAGCGCTGACCGGCGCTGAGGAAGAAGGGGGATGGGTGGTCATCGTTGACTTGATAATGACAATGTGTGCGCATTTGAGATGCTAAGAAGCGTTCTCATTCGTGTCTTTCATTCGACTCCCAAGGCTGATCACGAAAGGGACAAAGGACCAGCGGATGCTGCCATTCAAATTGCATCGCGTCTTAGGACAAAGGAGGCCTGCCTGATCATCTTGAAGCCGCGGTGGACCAAAACGTCCAAAAGGTGGCTGTGCACGGCTGGGAGGAGTACTCTTCACGTGACTTGACTGAAAGCATCAGCTGACGCACGCATTACACATGTTCGGTGTAACGCCCAGCACACGCGTTTATCTTCGGGAGAAGCGAAAAAGGGTGGGAAGATCTTCAGCGATTCACGGACTGACAATTCCAGCCTATCAACTCACGACTTGATCTGTGCAGTCCCGAGCGCGGCTACCACACATCTTACTCACACCTATCCATTCCAATTTTTGCATACTGGCATAGCATTGTCTACTGCTGCCGGACCTGCTCATCGCTGGATGCTGCGCGCACAGACCTCTCAACCTCGAATCAACACGTAGCAAGGCGTTACGAGGGCGCGGGGCCAAGACCACAGAGCCAATAACAGCACAGCACTTTGCAAAATATGGCTTTGCAATCGAGCGCTGCCTCCAGCGCATCGCACCTCTATCGACGAGCGCAAGCTGTGCTCGATGTTGTCAGTCCGCACGCAGCTCCCAACGATGCGGCAGTGTTGGACAGCGGCGCGGTGCCCTACTTCTCGTGGTCAGTTTCAACCGCCGACAATGCCACTTCGAGCAGCTCGACACTGAATGCATTGAAACGCAAGACACCAAGCGCGATCCAGCGCCTTTGCAGGAACAAGGAAGGATGGGGTCCCGTCTCGCAGTTTAGGGACCTGGATCTCACACCCTGCGCTGCCGATGCCTACCTGCTCGCTGCGCCATCCCTCTTCTTTGCCTGCTTCGGTGAGTCAAGCGCGAACGGATCGTCCTAGTATGGAGTCTGTCGCTGATAGCTCTTCCATCTTGCCTCGCAGCTGCTGCCGATCTGGCCAGGACATCGCGCCTGCCTGCTCGAGCCTTGTCGCAGAGATCAAAACATGTGCTGATAGCCAAGCAGGCCCTGCTAGGACTGTTGCTGGCTGCACAAATCGCCACTGCTGTGCTTGACGGGCTGTACGGAGCGTGGCTGTCGATGCAGGTGATAGCTAGTGTCGTGCAAGCAGCGACGTATGCCGTCTTGCTGCCTTTGGTATCCCACAATCATCTGCGCAAGAGGAGAGGATCGACCAGCGCTCTGCTCTACCTCCTCTTTCACATCTTTGCCCAAGCAGCACGCCTTCGAACCATCGTCATTGGAGAGGCAGCATCGCTGCAGCACGTGATTCCCAGAGCTGCCATTGTTGCACTCGTCGTACTGCTGTTTGGCCTGGAATGCGTTGGTCCTTCGATTGGAGCTTCACCAAAGTTGCCACTGGATGACGACAGCCTCGCAGCGAATGAGAGCGCGATCAGCAACCTCTCACAGGAAGAGGTGCAGGCGTTCAACGAAAAGAGGGAATGCCCCGAAGTGACAGCAAACATCTTCTCTAGGCTCGCTTTCTGGTGGATGAACCCCATGATGTCGGTGAGTAGAGGCGTGAAAGCGATGACATAAGAACAGTCTGTTCACCAAGTGACTGACACCTCATGCGTGGTCAGTTGGGAGCAAAAAAGACGCTCAAAGAGGATGACATGTGGTCTTTGCCGCCTGGTGAGGATGCTGAGGGCTTGGGCCTCCGCTTCGAGCACTACTACGCCAAGCTGCGAACCAAGGAAGGCAAACCGCGCTTCTGGACTGCTTTGGGCGCCGCTTTTGGAGGCCCTTATGCCCTCGCAGCGATCCTCAAGGCAGCCCAAGATACATTGGCTTTTGCGCAACCGCAGCTGCTTCGCTACCTGCTCACCTTTGTGCAAAGCTACGGCACAGAGAGCGGCGCGCCTGCATCTCACGGCTTCGCCATCAGCTTGGCCATCTTTGTGGTCGCCGTCGTTCAGACCGCCTTCTTGCACCAGTACTTTCAGAGGTGCTTCCTCACGGGCATGCGCGTGCGAGCAGGGCTCGTCTCCGCCATCTTCAAGAAGTCTTTGCGCATGAGCAATGAGGACCGAGCGGGCAAGAGCACGGGAGAAACAATCAACATCATGAGCGTCGACGCCACGCGCCTTCAGGACTTGATGACCTACGGCCACATCATCTGGAGCGCATTTTTCCAGATGACGCTCGCTTTCGTCTCGCTCTACAAGCTTCTAGGATGGCCCTCGCTCGTTGGTGTATCCGTCATGGTTGTCAGCGTTCCGCTGAACACGCTTCTCGCCAGGTACATGCGCACGCTGAGCACCAAGCAAATGAAGATTCGCGACAGGAGGACCAAATTCATGAGCGAGATCCTGAACAACATCAAGAGCATCAAGTTGTTTGCTTGGGAAGAAGCATTCACCGCCAAGCTCCATCAGATCAGAAACGTGGAGGAATTGGGCTTGCTGCGGTGGGCAGGAGCCGTGTCGAGTCTGTTTCAATTTGTGTGGACAGCCGTGCCTTTCATCGTGTCCCTGGCCACTTTTGCGACCTACTCGGCTACTCAATCAACACCCCTTACGGCGGACCTCATCTTCCCTGCCTTGTCGCTCTACCAACTTCTCAGCTTTCCTCTTGCCATGGCGGCTGGCATCATTTCGGCCGCATTGCAAGCAACTGTCAGCGCCAAGCGCATCTGCGAATTCTTGGATGCTGGAGAACTCGACCCACACGCTCGTCTACTCACGCTTCCTGACCAGGCTGAGCAGCTCATTCCTGCTGCTGAAGCCAAGAAGGGCGAGCCTTTGGTCACCATCCGCGAGGGAGAGTTCAAGTGGAGCCGCAAGCAGCCCACACCGACTCTGCAGGACATTGATTTGACAGTCGGAAAAGGCGAACTGTTGGCTGTCCTCGGCCGCGTTGGAGATGGAAAGTCGTCCTTGCTCTCGTGCGTGCTTGGGGAAATGTACAGGAGCGACGGGCAGGTCACTGTTCGAGGACGAACAGCGTACTTTACTCAAGGTGGATGGTGCATGGGAACGTCGATCAAGGACAACATCTTGTGGGGTCTTCGATACGAGCCAGACTTCTACAAGCGCGTAGTTGCGGCTTGCGCACTGGAGCCCGACTTTGCCGTGCTTCCCGAAGGCGATGAGACGGAAGTGGGCGAAAAGGGCGTGTCTCTGTCCGGCGGGCAAAAAGCCCGGGTTGCTCTGGCACGCGCCGTGTATGCGAGAGCGGACATTTACCTCCTCGACGACCCTCTCGCTGCTGTCGATGCCCATGTTGGGGCGCACATTTTCAAGCATGTGATCGGCCCTGAAGGTCTGCTCAAGACAAAGTGCAGGATCCTCACCACAAATTCGGTCACCTTTTTGCCATTTGTCGATCAGATCATCAGTCTTAGGCGCGGCACTATCATGGAGGAGCGCGGCTCGTACGATGAGGTGATGGAAAAGCGTGGAGAGCTCTTCACGCTCATCAGCAGCCTGGGTAAGCAGTCTCAGCGTCAGCGAGATGCTGCAAAAGCAGATGAGAGGGCTCATCAGGTCAATGAAGAGGGACAGAACGGCAAGGTGGAAGCGAGCGACGCTGGAGAGAGCGTTGATCCTACCAAGATCAACGACAAACTGCTTCGACGCATGAGCAACGCCTCCATCGCTAGGCCTGCTGCGCTGACGCCCGCGCAGATCAAAAGAGAGACCGTTCGCTCGCTGCGCGAGTCGACGAAACCGCAAGAAAATAGGGCGGAAGGTGCAGTGTCCTGGAGTGTGTACAAGAATTACGCTTCCAGCGCCTCGCTCGTCGGTGTGGGTCTTTATAGCTTGGCGCAGGTCCTCACGCAAGTGCTGCAAGTCGGGAGAGATGTGGTACTCAAAGTCTGGGCTGGCCACCCAGGCGAAGACAAGTACTACCTGACTCTGTACGCTGTACTTGGCTTCGGCGGCGCCGCTGCTGTCTCGCTGGCACCGCTCATTCTGACGACTTGGCTGGTCATTGCTAGCTCTCGCCGACTGCATGATGACCTCTTCCACGCTGTCTTGCGCGCGCCTCTGCAATGGTTCGAAAGCACGCCTACCGGTCGGGTACTCAACCTTTTCTCCCGAGACACCAACACCATCGACGAGGTGCTACCTCGCGTGATCAGCGGCGCTTTCAGGACGCTCATGGTCGCGTTTGGCGTCATTTGCGTCGTGGTCTACTCCGTGCCGCTCTTTGTACTCGCGGTCGTGCCCCTCGGCTGGTTCTACGTGCAGGTAATGAAGTACTACTTGGCGACATCGCGCGAGCTGAAGCGTTTGGACGCCGTTTCCAAGTCGCCCATCTTTACTTGGTTCCAAGAGAGTCTGGGTGGTCTGTCTACTATTCGTGCCTTTGGACAAGAGACTAGATTCATTGCTACTTCCGAGGCGCGGGTGGACAGGAATCAGGAATGCTACTTCCCCGCAGTCTCGTGCAACCGATGGCTGGCTGTTCGCATCGAGTTCATAGGTTCCACCATCATTCTCCTCTCTTCCATGCTCGCTGTATGGCTCTGCACCAGCGGCAAAGGCAAGATGGACGCCGGCTTGATGGGCCTGATGCTGTCCCAGGTTCTCAACACTACGCAAACCTTGAATTGGCTCGTACGATCCCTCTCTGAAGTTGAGCAGGTGAGTACCTTGTCCCGTTATGCGCGCGCTGTCAATCCGATTTTGACTCGAGTGCTGCCTCCGCCTCTCAGAATATCGTGTCCGTGGAGCGAATCCTTTCATACTCGGAAGTGGAGTGCGAGGCACCCTACACAGTCTCGGAAGATCAGCAACCGCCCGCTGACTGGCCACAGCGTGGAGAGATTCAGCTGAAGGATTACTCGACGCGTTATAAGCCTTCGTTGCCGCTCGTGCTCAAGAAGCTCGATCTTACCATCAAGCCGGGCGAAAAGATCGGTGTGGTTGGCCGCACGGGAGCGTGAGTTGGAGAGCTATTAGTATCCCCATCGCGCCTTGCACGCTGATCACGACTCTCTTCTGCAGCGGCAAGAGCTCTCTAACCCTCGCGCTCTTCAGGATCATCGAGGCAGCCGAGGGTGGCATTTGGATTGACGACGTCGACTGCCGAAGCATCGGGCTTAGGGATCTTCGAAGGGCGCTGGCCATCATTCCACAAGACCCGCAGTTGTGGGAAGGCACGCTTCGCGACAATTTGGATCCGACCGGCGAAGCTGACGACGTGGCCTTGTGGAAAGCGCTCGATCAAGCTAGATTGAAGGATCACATCAATTCTTTGGAAGGCAGACTAGACACGCACCTCACGGAGGGCGCAAGCAACTTTAGCGCGGGTCAAAGGCAGCTCATCTGCATTGCCAGGGCATTGCTACGCAACGCAAAGATACTTTTGCTGGACGAAGCTACTTCGGCCATCGACATTGCGACGGACGAGCTCATCCAGAAGCTCATGCGCACAGAGACGAAGGGCGTCACGATGATCACCATCGCTCATCGTATCAATACCGTCATCGATGCGGATCGCATCCTCGTTCTCAAGGATGGCCAAATTGCCGAGTTTGATAAGCCTCAGACTTTGCTTGTGAGTGCGGTCGTCAAAGACGCTGCTGTACCGTCCGCTCTAGCTGATGCAAAGATCCTTTGTTGCGCAGGCCAACAAACAAAGTATCTTCTTTGACATGTGTAGAGAGGCTGGGCTTGCACAGGTCGACGCTCAGAACGACAAGTGACGCGCTTGACCGATAGACTTTTGTATGCCAGGCGAGGGCCCGTCGCGAGCCACTTTGCTTGTCGACGAGCAGTACTTCGCATCTCGAGCTGCAGACTGGCGTCTCACATTGGATCTGTAATGCCATCTTGCACCGGATCTCTCCACCAGGCTGTGTTGGCTATACGCTGTGGGATGTCGATACTGCGGGTAGATGGTCTGACGATTGTCTCTGCACCTAGTTCGCCTCGCTACGTGATCATGATTGGGCTCGCGCTTGCTTGGCTTTGTTTCGACCTCCGGCTTCCGATCTGTTCGTCTTCTTCCCACGCCTCTACTTTCCAACCCCACACGTCGGCGGTCCTTTCATCGCGCATCACTTACCGACCACTTCTTACAGAGTCGTTGGTCTGATCGCTTTCGCCATCGCTTGAGCTGGGGCGTCGCTTCACCAGAACCAAGTGAGGTGCTTTGTAGCCAATTGACATCAGCGAGAGTGCGTCCCACCGTCCCGCCTGGCCGAAGCGAAGCACTTCGCTTGGCCGAAGCTCTTCTGACTCAGCATCCCCACCGGCCGCGCGATGAAATCTACACTCAAACTGCCGTGCATCACCGAGCCTCGGTCATGCAAATCAGCCAGCGCGTGCGCTCCAGCTTGCTCACATTGTTGCCACCTGGCTCGCGTGACTGCTGATTCGCCGTGCTCACGGTGTCGTGCAGGTTCATGCGGAGCGACGGATGCTTCTGCTACCGCCGTGTGGCCTTGAGCAGCAGCAGCAGCAGCAGCAGCAGCAGCAGCTTGGTGCCACGTACTGCATGCGAACCCCGCAGAATAAGCGCCTGCGTGTGCTGCGCTTCTCTTCGAGGCGGTCTGGTCTATACTGCCTGAGCTCTATATTCGATTTCATCACCGAGTTCCGACCCCGGCTTTCGTGCCCGATGCTGGGTCCAAACGTGCGTACTTTGATGTCGCTCGACCGCCGCCCTCAAGCTGCTGACACTCTCCAGACTGTGTTTAGCTTGAGCATGCAGGTGCTGATGCAGGAGCAAAAGGCGGCAAGGCTTCCCGCACCTCCCAGCAGTCGCCCCAGTCGCTCAGTGGCGACTGCGGAGGTGCCTGTGCGTACGGGCACACCGTGCAGCGAATCAGGACTAAGCAAGGCTAGAAACACCTCTCGCTGAGCCGTCTCCGCATCTCTGATCGCTCCTCCTAAGAGCTTGCCGAATCATCCTTCGCTGCTTGGTTCGTTATCCTGACACATCATCACGGTCCTGGATTGCGTCGATTTCTTATCCCTCTTCCTTCGCCTCTTCTTTGCGGTATAGCAGTATACACACCATCCTTGCCACCCGCTGAAAACTTCTCGCCGAGCATCGATTCTAGACGTACGATACACTGCCCATCATGCCGTACTCGAAGCAGCTCATCAAAGCTTCAGACATCTTTTCCGACTCACAAAAGGCGGTGAGTTGCAGGTCAACCTTCAAAACAGGCGCTAGTCCGCGTGCTTCTGGCACAAATCACTTGCGCGTAGAGTTGTGTGCTGATTCATCTCCGTGGTCTTTATGCTGTGCCAGACGCTGTCCGCGGTCACAGACGTCTTCGTGCCGCATCTCGAGGGCGAGGATGCGGCTCGTGTGATTGCCTCGCTGCCCACTACCGCCTCTGACCGTCAAAGGGAGCTTGTGGCCGCTTTCGCCAAGGATGGCTTCATCGACCACCCTTACCTGGTAGATGCGTGGGCTCACCAGGCTCGCGCGTCCCTGTCCATTACAACGCTCAACCAGATCAGTCTGCTTCTCACTGTGCTGAGCACCCGCGCGGGTACATTCGCTCTCACTGGAAGACTCACTGCCTTCCCCAACCTGCCGCGCAAGGACCGAGAAGCAATCATGTACGGATGGCTCTCCTCTCCAATCACGCTCATCCAGAAAGCGGCCGCAGGCTTCAAGGGTCTGTCTCTCATCACATACTACCGTTTCCACCAGCCGGCGTGGGAGGCGACGGGGTACGCCGACAGTCAGGCAGACGACTGGCAACCACATTCCGAGCAGAGCAAAGATCTCGACAGGCCTCGTTACGAGTACGAGTTTGAGAACGACAAGGTCGTCACTCAACCAGCTGGCACTGATGTCGTCATCGACACTGACGTTCTCATCATCGGTTCAGGTTCTGGCGGAGGAGTAGCTGCGCAGTACCTCGCTCAGAGAGGCCTTCGTGTGCTCGTCGTCGACAAGGGCGGCTACTTGAGGCAAAAGGATGTGTTGGGTAGAGAGGATCAAGGATACGGAGAGATGTACGAAGGAGAGGGTCTGCTGCCCACGGAAGACGGCTCCCTCAACGTGCTTGCTGGCTCCACATTCGGTGGAGGAACAACGGTGAACTGGTCTGCTTCCCTCAAGCCCCGCCACTACGCGCGAGAGCTGTGGGCAAAGAAGCACGGCGTTCCTTACTACCGCACTCCCTACTTTGGCGAGGATCTCAACGCCGTCTGCAAGCGTATGGGCTGCTCTACCCACGCCATCAAGCACAATCTCGCGAATTCGCTTCTCGCTCTTGGTGCACAGCGGTCCGGTCAACCAGTCGAGGCCGTACCTCAAAATTCTGGTGGCCATGTTCACTACTGCGGCAAATGCCAGCTTGGCTGCGTAAGCGGTCACAAGCAGGGAGGCGTCGTGACTTGGTTGCGTGATGCTGCCGAGACTGGCAATGCCGCCTTTATGATCAACACCGAAGTGGAGCGTATCCTCTTCGACCCCAAGGACAAGAGGACTGCAATTGGCGCCTTGGCCACTTGCGAAGGCCGCAAAGTGACCATCAAGGCCAACAAGCACGTCATCGTCTCGGGAGGCAGCATCTCCACTCCCGCTGTGCTTTTGCGAAGCCCCGAGCTCAAATATAACAAGCAGATTGGTAGAAATTTGCATCTTCACCCCACTACTGTGGTTACCGGCTGGTACGACTTCCCTATAAAGCCTTGGGAGGGATCGCTACTCACCATGGTCTCCAACGCCGCCGAGCTTGTGGATGCCGAAGGCTGGGGCTGCAAGATCGAAGTCATCGCGTCGAGCCCATCTATTCAAGCAGCCTTCTCAACCTTCCAAAGTCCCGAAGCGCACAAGACGGCTATGCTGAATTACGCGCACAGCTTCAACCTCATCATCATCACCCGCGACCGAGACCCTGGCAACGTGTTTGTCGACTCAGAGGGTAAAGCTCGCATGAACTACACCATCTCCAAGCACGACCAAGCCAGCATGATCCAGGGTATCTTGCGCGCGTGTGACATTCACATGATGGCTGGTGCCAAGTCGATCGCCACCGTGCAGCACGGAGTGCCCATCTTTGAACCTGGCGTTTACCAACACGGCAAGCCAGCTGTCGAGAGCATTCTGCCCGAGACGACCACCATTCCCTCCACTGCGACGCCCACATCCGCGCTGCCTCGCAACCTCAGCGACGAGCACTACGTTGCGTGGAGGCAAAAGGTCGAAAAGGCCGGCGCGAGGCCTCACTGGACGACCATCGGTTCTGCTCACCAAATGGGCTCTTGCGCCATGGGCGGCACCCCGGCCACTTCGGCCTGCGACCCAGAAGGACGCGTGTGGGGCACAAAGAACCTTTCCGTCGCCGACTCTGCTGCCTTGCCCTCGGCTACTGGTGTCAACCCAATGATCTCTACCATGGCTACCGCTAGATATGTTGCTAGAAATGTCGCCAAAGACCTCGGTGTGGAAAGGCCCCTGGGAACCGTTGGACCTGCGCTCAAGGAGAGTCGACTTTGAGGTGCAACAACGCAGTGCACTCGCATGGAAGGAAGTCGAAGCTCTAAATCCATCTCATCGTTCTTGTGCGGCCTTTCGCCACCGCGACTGCCCCATCGTATACATTCTCTGTCCGCCTCGCTTCTTGCTCACAATTCATTTGCCATCTTTATGTCTCTGGAAGTTTGTGCGCACATCCGAGTGATGTCAATCGACGCTCGTTTCCCGTGTCCGAGAGGCGTCGAAGGGTCAAGACTAACGGCGAGGCACACATCACACCTGGTGATCGTGCGCCAGGCAGAGATGCGAAACGTGATGAGCGGGGGGAAATCTGCTTTCTCTAACGTGGTCTTCGAAGCAAACATCTTCTTATTCGGGTCTTGGCAAGGAGTTCAGGAAGAAGGGCTAGAGTGATTGTGCGAGGGCAAAGAAGTCATGTGGGCGGCGAGCAGCGTCTCTTCTGTCAGCTTTCCTGCACGGCTTGGCGCCCGCCCTTTGGACCGGCCATAGCACTGCCACCCATGGCACGCACGCTTCAAGTTGGCCCAATCACGAGTGGTGAATGTGTAGACTCTTGACCTCGATCTTCGAATTACCACTCCGAGGAAACGCATTGAGCGCGAGTCTGTTGCTTACTAGCAAAGGTTTTGTCAACGTGGCTTCCGTATCAATCTGCGCAGACTGGCTATCATCCTCAGCTCTATAGGCATGCTCGACGGTGTGTATCGCGAGCGCGAAACCCTTGTCAAATTCTCCGCTGCATCTGTCAGCGTTGCACTGCTTGCTGTCTGCTTCTCGATCATGATGCCTGGAAACAATCGAGGACCATGCAGCTGATGCACCTCTCCGAATCTTCCTAGTGATCTGCTGCTGCGAGGTCAAGTGCGCTCTACGACACAAGAGATCTGTGAGACCGAAACACCGAGCGCCTGTACCTTTTTGTGCCAAAGTGTGCACTCTTGCTGACTGCGATGTCCCGCTGCTGCTACAGTAGCTGTAACAGTCATGCGCAAAAGCCACACGAGGGGAGGGTCACACGACATTCAGTCATGTTCACATTGCGCGAGTGGCGGGGGACAGCTTGCGCGCCTGCATGGCTGATCGAGTTGGATCAGTCAGCCAGCATGCAGTGATTCAAGAAGCGGACCTGAATCCGTTTTGGCCACGGCTTTTGGACCGCTTTCGGCCTCCACGAGGTTGAAGTTCGCGCGCGCGCCGCTGAGCGAAAGCCTCTTTCGTCGAGCTTGCGAGCATAGATAAGCAAGCTCCTAGCACGGTTTTCTAAGAGATACCACCAGCGTCGAGGACGACGTGAAAGTGCTGATGAGAGTCATGAGGGGTGCAAGGCAATCCCCGATTCACATTCATTGCTCACGCCTCGGCACATCCTCGTTGGCTGCTCGTAGGCGCACCATGGGCTCGGGGTGTGGCGGATCGGCACGACCGGCTTCGGCTTGTAGTCACGCTCGAGCTCTGCAGCAAATCCAGGCACCGAGCAAGGCTCGTGACTGTGCCCATGCACTCGTGACTGAGTCGAACTCTGACTGTCTTGATGATAAGAGGTTGAGCCATCGAAAAGAGGCGTCGTGCTCACGACCCTCGCCGACGGTCCAGCGCCCCGTGAGTGTGTGCAAGAGCCTGCTCCGAGCCAATCCCTGGCGAAAAGACCTCACGACTTCTCATGCTCGGAATCGAGTGGACGTCGTCGCAGCTCGGATCCAACGGAACATTGCCGAAGCGGCCGCTGCTGCGTTGCGCGCTGCAACAGATCGTGCTCACCCAGGAACCAATTATTGCGCTCCTGCACTCAAGGACCCCACACGGGCGCAGCGAGCTCCTCTTTCCCTGCTGCGCTGTAAACGGCAAACGGCACTCGACGAGCCGAGGAGCGAGCTCGCCTACAATCACGAGTGAAACGAATGAAAGTCGAAAGCGGGCGTGCAGCTAGACAACCTGCATGCAGCTGCTCGGACCACAGGGGAGATCATGGCTGAGCGCGCTAAAGTGCCTGTCTGTCTGTTCGACGGGCTCGGACACGGTCGCCATGCATGTGAAGAAAGCCATGGTCGAAGCAAGGTGGATGTGAATGCGAAGGAGCGAGCCAGTCACGAGGGTTTCCTCTTCGAGAATGCTTGCGCACTTTGAGCTTTTGTCAGCGAACTTGATGCTTATCATCCCTCCTCGTCGCGAGGGCCGACCACTTTCCGGATGGCTGCGCAAAGTTGCGCTCCGAATGAACACCCGCCACCGATATCTCTCCGCGTGTTCTGCAACAGTATCTCACGCTCGTCAGGCTTCCCGCGCTTCTGTGACAGTCCCGTTGCAGCGAAGGTCATCAACTCTCGTCGGACTGCGAAAGCAACGGAGCGGCGGACGCAGTTGACCGCGGACTACATCTCGCGCGAACCACCGGCACTGGGCCGCACATGCGGTGCGGTGGATCGTCTTGGAGAGAAGACGAGCTGCTAGAGTGGTATGGTGCCATGGTATCTTATCGTGCTTAGAGCGCGTTCCGTAAGGCGCAAGCATTATTAGTCTTGGCTTGCTGCTGGTAGAGCGCTGCAATGTCTGAGACTCACTTCTTCCGCGCACGCTCTGCCCAGTGCGACTCATGGACTGGTGCAGAGCCATAAGGTGCTAATCTCTTGACTGCACGTCTTCGCAAATCCAGACCATGTTCCTCGATGCAGGTCCTCGCCACTCATGCAAGCCCTGCACTCGCCGACGCAGAAAGCCTCGTCGAACGGGCGCGCTAACAGCAATTATCGAGCGCTCTAGGCTCTGCATGTGTGCTGCTGGAGTCGCGCTCCTCGTCGTAGAGCTGAACATGCAGGCCAAGGCTAGGTCCACGGCGATTTGCCCGTGTTTTGCAGGCTCGTATAGAGCTGGAGGTTGATCGTCGATAAGTGCTTGTGGCACCTCATCTGTTGTAGGTACCGACGAGATGGTGGTACAAAATTAGCCCTGCGCCCGCGCTGTGTGGGGAGAGGTTGACGTGCCTCCGCGGGTGGCGGCTTCTTCTCGCGGCGGCGGCGCGTGTATGGGCTGCTGATATCGCTGCGATAGGAGCATATACCTGCCCTTCGGTTTATAAAGACTGCCCATACCACGTCCTTAAGCCTTTCCCTCCGCCCCCTTCAGGACCCTCCTCGCCTTACAAGCGACATTGCCCCCCCCCTCCCCATTTTCGCTCAACATGGGTGCTTTCAAAAATTTCCTCGATAGCTTCAAGCCAGAGACTCCTGGCTTTGGCCTGGAGCCGCAAGGCCCTGCAGTCGCCGACAAGCACACTGGCCAAGTCGTCACGGACGAAAAGGCTAGCGTCGGCTCTGGCAATGGCGTCAACGATTATGGCAGCCCTGAGTATGCCAACGTCCAACGTGTCCACATGACCCCAGAGGGCGGTGCTATCCTCACCTCCGATGAGTCCGGACTCAAGAGGAATCTCACGGGTCGACACATGCAGAGTGAGTATCGTGCACGCCCAAAGGAGGCGCGTCTCATGATGCTCGAGGGCTGCTGTTCCCCGAGCTATGGAATGCCTCTTTCCTGAAATTCGACAGCTGACTCTGACGCCACCTTTTCTGCAGTGATCGCCTTTGGTGGTTCAATCGGCACTGGTCTTTTCATTGGTTCCGGAGGCGCGCTCGCCAACGGTGGTCCCGGTTTCCTCCTCATCGACTTTTTGCTCATTGGTGCCATGCTCTTCACCGTCGTCATGGCTCTCGGTGAAATGGCTACAACTTTCCCAGTCGCAGGATCTTTTTCGGCTTACTCTACCCGCTTCATTGAGCCCGCTTGGGGCTTCGCTATGGGTTGGGTGAGTGTTGCATTTGGCGCTTCATCACAGCGCGACGCGACGCTGACATTACTGTGGAATATCTCCACCCGCTCTCCCTTCCATTCACTAATGCGTACCTGCAGAATTACTGGGCTCAATGGTTCGTTGTGCTCCCTCTCGAACTTGTTGCTGCCTCGATCGTCCTTCAATACTGGGATCCGACATACAGTCATGTGCCAGCCGGAGTGTACATCATGATCTTCATGATCGCGATTATCATTATCAACCTGTTCGGCGTTCGCGGCTACGGAGAGTGGGAGTTCTTCGCTTCATCAATCAAGATTTTGGCCGTTCTTGGCTTCATCATCCTTGGAGCTGTGATCACTGCCGGAGGTGCCCCCGATGGCCGATACCGCGGTGCAGAAACTTGGCACAACCCAGGCGCATTCGCCAATGGCTTCCAAGGATTCTGCTCCATTTTCGTCACTGCCGCGTTCGCTTTTGCCGGCACGGAGCTGGTCGGGCTTGCCGCTGCTGAGACGTCAAACCCCCGCAAAGAGGTTCCCAAAGCGTGCAAGCAAATCTTCTGGAGAATTCTGGTCTTCTACGTCGTCACCCTGTTCCTCATTGGACTGATCGTGCCCTACACTGAGGAAAGACTCACCTCTGGCGCCACCTCGTACGATGCTCGTGCCTCTCCTTTCGTCATTGCCATCGAAGATGCAGGAATCCGTGGACTTCCCTCCGTCATGAACGCCGTCATTCTGATCTCCGTCTTGTCTGTCGGTAACTCCGCCGTATTCGGAGCCTCGCGCACTCTGTGCGGTCTCGCTCAGGTGCGTGGAAGCAGTCCGGCGGTGATCGCGCTGCTCGCTGACGTTCCCCCCTCCCCTCACCCTTCTAGAGCGGTCAAGCTCCCAAGGTCTTCAGATACATTGACCGCGAGGGACGTCCTCTCCCAGCCGTTGCCGTCAGCCTTATCTTCGGAGCACTCGCCTTCCTCGTGTACGCTGGTGATGATGCCAACAACACCACCTTCAACTGGTTGCTTGCCCTCTCGGGTCTGTCTTCCATCTTCTCTTGGGGATCGATCTGTCTCGCACACATTCGTTTCCGCTCAGCATGGGCTCGCGCCGGTCACACGCTCGAAGAGCTTCCATGGACGACGCCTACAGGCGTTTACGGTAGTTGGTTCGGCTTCCGTGAGTTGGATCGGGAATTCAGCCACATTGTCACGGCAGCAACTTACCTTCATGTCCCCCATCAGTGTTCAACATTCTCGTCCTCATCTTCCAAGCCGTCAAGGCGGCGTGGCCGATTTCTCCTTCGGACACCCCAGGAGGCAGAGCATCGGACTTCTTCCAGTCCTACTTGGCGTTCCCTGTCGTCATTGTTTGCTACCTGGTCTGCAAGGTGGTCACCAAGTCTCGTGTCGTCCGCATCGATGAAATCGACTTGTCCACCGGCCGTCGGGACCCCGTTCCCGTTCAGGTACTGAGAGCTGAGCGCGAGGAGGCCGCTGCTCAGCCCTTCTACATCAAAGTTTACAAGTTCCTGTGCTGTGAGTTGACATTGGAATAAGCCGGCGATGGTAACCGTAGCTGATTGTCCACGCCCCTTTCCACAGAGATGATATGATAAGGACAAAACTTTCCCGCTTCGACTTTTCTTGTGGTCAGCGCGCTTTCACGAGCAACCTCGCGAGCCAAATGTCACGATGTGTAACGCGACGGAAATTTACAGTGCTCTGAACAAATGATACGATGTACCAAGCCTGTGTAAACTTTGTGACGATCACTCCGCGTTGCAGCAATGGTGTGGCTTGCTTGTCGTACGAAGGTGAAACATGATTTGAAGCATCGCTCGGCAGACCACCCACTCAATATCGCACCGCGATGAGGATTGAGCACCAGTGCAGCACTGCGCGGCTCTGTTGCAGCACATTCACATTCGAGATACTGAATCCGCGTCCTCATCACTTTTTGGGGTCGCGGCCGCTAAGAAGCGCTCGAGGCTGGTAGGCGGGCACGATCAGAGGTGTACAAAATTCACTTCCGCACAGAAGGACCCACTCACACTGCGTATGGCTATCCTGCAAATTGCAAGGGTTTGAGCTTCCGCGTCAACGCTCCATGACGCGCAAGAGCAGCACCATCTCGCAAGCTCGACGTTTGCTGTGGGCAGCAGTCCGATAGTTTGGCAGTCAGAGATCGCTGCCCGACGCTCCAGCCCTTCCTCGGCGATGCTTGCCTGTATGATGCTCTCGCAAAGCATGCGTGATTCTGTGCTACTTGGCGAGCTCGCCCGCTCGTCGATGCGTCTCTGATTCGTGTGTTGCGCTTCCGTCTGGGCGCGTATAGCGACCATATCGGCCGAGAAACTTTGAGCCGCGCGTGACGCTCGTGGAATTTTTGCTGCACCGCATTTCAGCGGCTTGGTTCCCGTGCCCTCTTCCTGGCTTCCTTCGTGACCAAACCCGCACCAACGCCCGATCGAGTCAAGTCTTCGCTACCGCTTCGATACCACCGCACTCTTTCTGCCTATAAGATAAAACGATACACGATGGCGAAACCTCGTCAGCGCAGAAAGTCGCGTTCGGGCAACTCGAACGGAGCCTCCCAGAACGCAAAGAGGAACATGAAGAAGAGACTGCATCGAGCGCCCGCCATCAAAGGTCCAGACGTGCTCAGGGAGAATTGGGACAAGAAGCTTACGCCCAGACAAAAGTGAGTGCGCTTGTAGGCACCAAGGCCTGACCGAGAAACAGCTTCGCTGATCAAAATCAATTTGACCACCTTGCGCTCTGCTGTTGACAGCTTTGCGAAGCTAGGCTTGTTGTCTGATTTGCGACTGCGCGATAGTGGAGGCGCAGAATCGCTCAAGGGACTGCCTCTGAGCATCAATGATTCGAGCAGCTCCAGTCGGACCTTTGGGGCACAAAGCTCCAGCGCCGCCCCAGTGGTCAGAAAGGGTATGGGACGCATTACACGCGATGCGGATGGCAATGCGCAGATTGTAGAGGGTGAAGAAGAGGACGAAGAGACGCCTTGGGGCAGACCACTTGATACATTTGGACATGAAGAGGTGCAGATGGATGAGCGCATGTATGCGAGGAGAGCGCAGACGGACGACGATGAAGACGGTAATGAGGATGAGGATGAGGACCAGAGAAGCACGAGCGAAGAGGTGGACGATCTGGCCGGCGGAAGTCAGGAAGCCTTGCGGCCCTTGCCCGAGGCCGCTCAAGGCGCGTCTGCCAAGACAAAGGTCGTCGAGTGTGAGCTACCTTCGAGGGCTCTTTGTGTGCACGGGCGACAGCTGACGTCCTCATGCACCCGACGTCCCTACTGCTCCATCAGCTCTGGAAGCGCTCGCAGCTACAGCACGACCGGTACCCCGGCATCAATCCATGCTAGAGAGGAGTTGGCTTCAAAGATTGGTAGAGTCGCACGGAGACGATGTGGAAAGCATGGTCGTGGACAAGCGCGGAAATCCCTGGCAGAAGACGGCAGGAGAGATCAGGAGAGCGTGAGTGATGCAGACTCTGACTGCTTGTGATGGTAGGCTTTTGGTCGAGCTGTGATGCTGATTCTGGTGTCCCTATGCTCTGTAGGATAAAAAAGGCTGGAGGAGTGGCAGCTATCCGAGCCTCTCTGTAGGCTTTTGCACAATTTGCCGCTCATCATGCCTACTCGGCGCTTCGCACCACCGTGGCACTGTGCGCTCACAATTTGCAGCTGGCCGTCTAGCGCACTTTGATGCGCGCGCCTCGATTTAACAATCTCGAACGTCACCCAGAAAAGCATGGCTCGAGATCTTCAATGCCATTGCTGAGGGGGTATTGCGTGCGGATCCTCAATCGCGAGCAGATGGCCCTTGTCCAAGTGGATATTCGCGCGCGTTCCACAGCATCTCTGCTTCGCTCTGCTCAATCTGCTCGATGCCCGCTGCGACGCTCGATGCGGAAACCTCGAGGCAGCTTTGCAATCTTTCAGGCTAGCACCAGCTTGGACTATTGGCAAGCATAGATCGCTGCTGTTGCGTACGCTTCACCAGCTCTGATAGGCACTCGACCTTATTGGATCCTGCGCCGGTTCTGCTTGAAATAATTGCATGCCCATTTTCGATCTCCACCACGAAGAACTCTAGTGATCATGCGCACCCGCTGGCAAGCTGAGTCACAGGTAAGCCGTCTTCAGTGCAACAACCATCGCGAATGTTTGCCAATTCTTGTTGGTGCGAGCTCAATTTCGCTCTCGACTCGCGGTCGAGACTGAAAGACTTGCCTAGACTCTGACTGGTCATGCCCCAGCTTAGCCCCGCGGTGCGGGCCGCTGTGTGCATCGTCGCACATGTGATGCAGGTAGCAGATACCTCCCGCATACCACGTGAGCCATCTCGATGTCGGAGGGGAAGCGAGCAGCTTCGTTGGGGCACGCCAGGCTTTGGCTGCTTGGTAAGCCATGACTGTGACAAGGCCAGACGATTATGAACGCAGTCCAACCTCGAGGCATTCTACACGAGATTTTGACAGCCAAGCAGCGCAGGACATGGAAGAAGGCGGTACATGTTCTGCCACATTCCGTCTCGATTGACAGATGCTGGAGGAAGCGCAACGCACCGCGCCTTTCGGACCCTGAGGCAAGTTGATACTGTCCATCAAGATCGGCGAGCAAGGCCGGCCTCGCGACTGGTCGCCCATCAGGTTGCCATAGTCGTCGCGGCCCATGATCTCAGGATCAGCATCGGCTCGAGGCGCGATCTGCGGGCTGATCCATGCGTCGCCAATGTGAAAGCACCATTCTGACTGAAGAGCCCCTGAAGGATTTGCAATGCTCTTTGCAAAGGCACGATATGTGTGGTGTATTTTACATTGAGGCGCCGGCGACTGCGCACTGGTGAGTCATTGCGTTCAAGAGCGATCGGCGATGGAGTAGCTATTCGCAAAGCAGACGCTCAGGTCAGCTGTGCACCCGGGTTGACAGTTACCGCCAAGTTTTATACGAGCTCACCTTCCATAATCTTTGCCCATCTCGAATTGCTCCCAGCGAGAGGCGGGAAAAATGTGCTTGTTACGATTGTACCATGACCTCTCGACGACTTTGCCAGCGTGCGACTGAACGAGCGTTGGAGTGTGGATGAGATCTGATGCGAATGTAAGCTTGCTTGCGGTGATAATCCAAAAGCTGGTAGAGAATCGTCTTGTGACGCACCTCGTCTTTCTCTACACGAGCATCTGAGATCATTCGAATGTCTTCGTGGACGTCGAAGTTGAACAGTGGTCCACTCTTGCCTCTGCTCTTATTGACGATGAAGTCGTAAAAGGTGTAGTGGTGTGGGATAATCAAATCCTCCTGAGAATGGGAGAGAACGATGTCAGCGTGAAGTGATAGCGATGCAATCTTTCCCGCTGCCTCACCTTAATGTACATTAGATTGTCGACAGACTGTGTGCGCAACTCGGTGAATTGCTGTCTGCACTTTTCGAGGAATTGCGCGACCGAATCTCCTTTGAGGCACTGTAGTGTGCGAATCGCTCAGCTGCGGATCGAGGACAATTTTGAAAACGCAAGTAGCTCACCTTGACTGTACGTCGATGTCCACTACCGTCCCAGTAAGAGTATGTGATCTCAATCTCTTCCTTTTTCATCGTCTCTTGCTTTGCCAGCCATTCCTTTCTGAGGGCTTCCCTCTCGTCAGCCTCTCTCTGCTCTCGATCTCGATCCGGCAAGAAGGAAGTGTCCACGCCGGGGTTTTTGAGGTTCGTTCTGACCTTGACCGCTTCGCTCTTGACCTTCTTCGTCACTGGAGCCGCGTCCTCTTCGTCTTCATCTGCAAAGGATAGCGTAGCCTTTGGTTGCTTTTTGTCCTTCTTCTTCTTCTTCTCGGGTGCGCTGTGCAGGAAGAGGGTAATCTGAGCGTGCGCTGCTGTGCGTACCTGAGCGCTACTGTTTCAAAGAGCTCACCCCGTCGCCGCCGCCTTGCCGTTCAACTTCCTCTTCTCCTCTTCCAGCTCTTCGCGCTTCCTCTTGAAATCCTCCGCAGTGACCAAACCGACAGTCTGCTTCTTCAAGGACTCTTCGATACTTTCCGAGTTTCCTACAAATCTCTCGTTCGCCCCTCTAGCATTCTTCTCCGCTTGGGCCGCCAGATCAGCTTTCTGACGCTCGAACTCGGACAGCATTTGAGAGCGAGCTGCTGCATGCTTGTCCGCTCGACGTCCTTCTTCGCGTGAAGTCGACATGACGTCGTGGTAAGTATGTGTGGAAGAGAGGAGGGGGGCGGCGTTTTTCGATGTGGAATGCTTGACTAGACCAGTGGTAGCGTGATAGGGTGACCAGTGGGCATCGCTGGCGTGACCTCGTGTATTGGTGAGGAAGGCGGGTGAATGATGAATGTGGAAAGAATGGAGGATCGAGATGGACGGCATGCACACGCGCGCGCATGGAAATCTAAAAATCCGGGAAATCTCAAACCGCACCCACGCGCCGCGTTCGATTCGCAGTTGCGTTTGCTTCCGTCCACAAGCGGCCGGCGTGTGCGTGTATGCGTCGCTTGCAGCGCGACCTCATCATTCGTACCTCAAGTCTCTTTTTGCTCTCCTTCCATCCGTGCCGATTCTTGTCATCCACGATTTACGTTTCATAGAATTCTCCAAGAAGGCACACTGAGGTTAACAAGATCAATTCTCCTCGCTCGCTCATTCGCGACCGCTGCCGCATCGCACCAGCAGGGATCACGCATTAGCTCTGCTTACCCGCTTCCCAATCCGCGCTGGTTCAGGGGCCACGAAGCATACAATTGCACGCCACGATGGCCTCGCTTCTGGCATCCATCGTGCAATGGCTTCGATCTTTGCTCTTTTCAAAACACCTAGAGATATGCGTAGTAGGACTGAATGCGGCTGGAAAGACTTCGCTGGTCAATGTGCTTGCGAGCGGGCAATTTAGCGCGGAGATGGTCCCGACTGTCGGTGAGTAGCACACCGATGTGGGGCAAGTGCTGAGCAGGCTGATCTGACATTCCGCGCAACCACTCAGGCTTCAACATGCGCAAGGTGCAGTCTGGCAACACCACCATCAAAGTGTGGGACATTGGGTGAGTAAGGCGCGAGCTAGGCGACGCGCAGAGAGGCTGGAGCTTCGGCTCTCAGGCTCCGGGTTGCTGATTGCGGACCCCCTCCCGTCTCTCGCTTTACAGTGGTCAGCCTAGGTTTAGGAACATGTGGGAAAGATATTGTCGAGGTGTTTCAGCCATCGTCTTTGTGGTGGATTCCGCCGTTCCTCTGCCTCGAGAAGGTGCTGTCCAGAGCAGCGGCGGCGCCGGCGGGGCGACTACGACGGACCCATCTGATCCTTCGACCAGCTGGCAAGTGGCTACAGAGGAGCTGCATGCGCTTGTCGCTAGACCCATGTTGGCTGGATTGCCGCTCCTTGTGCTAGCTACCAAGAACGACGTCAAGGGGGCTGCGAGCGCGGAAGATGTGATCAGGATCATGTGAGTTTTGCTTAGCAGCATCATGAACCTGCGATCGGTCTGTTCATCCTCCATCTCGCACATTCATTCGTTTGCAGGCGCCTAGAAACAATAGCGAATCGAGAAGTATCTTGCTACTCCATTTCATCCAAGGTGCAGACCAACATCGACGTCACCCTGCGATGGCTCTGCGCAAGGAGCCCAGCCGGTGCTCGATGAGTGCATTCTCGCCCAAGTCTTTGTCATGTACGCGCATCTGGAGCCAATCATCGCACAGCATTGGACCCGGTGAACGCTTTCGTAATCAGAACCCGTGATGCGGTACCTCAAGTGGACCCTGCTATGCGCTCTCTTTCACAATTGCACTGTCAGAGACGTCGCCCGGTGCCTCGCAGTGGAGCTGGATGATTAGGCAGCGACACGCCGAAGGTCCCAATATTCGCCGCCAGCGATGCTGGCCCTTGTTCCCAGCTTGAAATGGGAGCATGTCGTGGCGAGAGTTGAGAGCGAAGGGAATTGCGGCTATGGCAGCCACTCTAACGTCACTCACGGCTCGGACAGTGTGCGTCCCCGCGTGCGCAGAGGGCCTCCGAGCTATGATTCTGACTGCGCGTGCGCACGGGCTGTGTAATCTGCGTGTGCAGCGAATTGGTATACGTCCCCCGTGAAACGAGAATGCGATCGCGGGTTCACCTCGCGCACGGCTCGGTGCCTGCATGCGTGTTGGGCATCACATGAGATTGGCCCCGTGCCATGACATGTATGCATGCATGAGCACGCTCACTCGGTGGCGTCTCGTGAACAGCATCGAAGCACCCCAACTCCTCATCTCACCTCTTCATCCTTTAAGATGCGTCCGCGAGTCACCATGAGAGGCAGGCGTATTCTTGCCCTTGGGGTCCTCGGTGCCCTATGCTGCTCGCTCGTGCGAGCAACCATGAGCGAGCAAGCCGTCTGGGGTTTCTACAATCCCTCGGATGTACCTTCAGATCCCTTCTCTTCTCGCCTCGTAGACAAGAGACCTTCAAGCTGCCCACCCTGCCCCGAGCCTAGCTGCTTCAATTGCAAGCTTCCCAAATTCAATTGCGCTCAATTTGGAGATTGCAGAGACTATGATGGTCAGTGCACATGTCCTGTAGGCTTTGGAGGACAAGATTGCTTGAGCCCCCTCTGCGGATCTCCAATCGATGGCGATAGACGCTTCCCAAAGGATGAAGAGGACAAGAATGGAAAGATGTGCGAATGCGCACCTGGATTTTTTGGTCTGAACTGCAATGTATGCGTTCCTCCGCCCGGCGACGCAAATCTGACCCTGCCGGCGAGTAGCGTCAATCCTTGCGCCGAGTTCAAATTAGGGGGCGAAAGGTTGGGCGAGAATGCCACTTGCTACACGGGCGGCAGCACCATCAACCAGAGCTTTCAGGAATGCGCAGTGACGAACAAGAAGATCACCGACATGCTGCCCGGTAGACCGCCCAGGGTGACGTTTAGCTGCCAGCGCAGAGAAGAGGACAGGGATGTGGAGGATTGCAATTTCCAGGTGAGATCATATGAAAGCTTGGCTTCTCCCGCAGATTGTACTTACTCCAATCACACCTCACCTTCACAGTTCTGGATCGGACCTAAGGAATCCTTCTTTTGCGGCTTGGAAGACTGCACAGAGACGCTAGACCGATCGCCCGCCAGCAACAATACTCGCCACGAGTGCAAAAAGGCTCGATGCGAGTGCATACCTGGACGCATGCTGTGCGGAGAAAGCGGTAGCGTGGACATTGGCGACTTTTTGCAGGAAGAGATCAAGGGACCTGCTAGCATGACGTGCAGGAGCGGAAGGGAAGGGAAGCGGATCTGTACGTTCGAGGAGCCGGGAATGAGCCAGTGAGTGGTGTCAGAATCGAGGCGCACGCCAACGCATCGATGGCCAATTGATCAGTCGTGCTCTCCCTCCCACTGGGCAGACTCATATCGGACGTATTCGGAGACTCTGCCATTTTCCTCTCGTGCGACTCTGGAGAGTGCGTGCACTACAGTCAAGTACCAGGCTACGCCACTCCGCTACCTGATGCTCCACCAGTATTCTGGGTGGCTTTCAGCGCAGCGGCTGCCATCGTCCTTGTCATCAGCTTCTCCATTGCGCTTTGGTTCCTTGGCAGGCACTACAAGCATGAAGAATCTCAAGTTAGGTTGCCGGAGGACGAGATGGACAGACTGTTGAAGGAGCACGTGCCTGCCGCACTTCACTTTGAGAACGTGGGATACAGCATCAGCGAGAGAACAGTCTTGGATGGGATCACGGGCTGCGTCAAACCGGGCCAAGTCATGGCTATTGTCGGCGCTTCAGGCGCCGGCAAGTCTACTTGTGAGTGCGTTTGTCATTGCTGCTGAGCTGCATGACAATCTCACACTCTGTATTCTCGTTGCAGTCCTTGACATTCTTGCAGATCGCAACAAACGTGGAGCGACTCATGGCGACGTGCTCGTCAATGGTCGCCGGATCAGCAGTGCGGACTACAAGCGCGTCGTTGGTTTTGTCGATCAAGAAGGTGCGCGCTCAGGTCTCCTGTCGGTCGAGCTTCACTGACTCGATCATATTCCTGCAGACTGTCTTATGCCAACCTTGACCGTCTACGAGACCGTCCTGTACTCTGCTCTGCTGAGGCTGCCACGCGAAATGTCGCTCGAAGCCAAGCGATTCCGAACGCTTGAGACAATATCTGAGCTGGGACTCTTAGGTGTCAAGGACTCGCGCGTGGGCTCGGCTGGTCATCGCAGCATCAGCGGAGGAGAAAAGAGAAGAGTGTCGATAGCGTGCGAATTGGTCACTAGTCCAAGCATCCTCTTTTGCGACGAGCCAACTTCTGGGCTGGACTCTTTCAATGCTTTCAACGTCGTCGAGAGTCTCGTGACGCTAGCCCGCAACTACAACAGGACGGTCGTCTTTACCATTCATCAACCAAGGTCCAACATTGTCGCCCTCTTCGACCAGCTCGTCCTGCTCGCCAAGGGGAAGATGGTGTACTCCGGCCCGCTGTCGGCATGCGCGCCTTACTTTGAGGGTATTGGACACGGATGTCCGACTGGCTTCAACCTCGGCGACCACCTCGTCGACTTGACGGCCGAGGCGAGCCTTTCAGAGAAGCCCAGCCAACAGGCAAGCACAAGCGTTTCTCGACCTCTGTCGAGCGCGGGGCTATCTGACGTGCGTGCGGGTGATTTTGCAGATGAGGAAGCTGCTGCTGGTTCCAGCACCGAGCTGCGCACCAGACCAGGCTCCACCGTCGACCCGTCCAACGGTAAGCAGTCCCTCAGACACAAGACCAGCAAGCTGGCAGCTGGGGTCCGCAACGCTCTTGGTTCGCGTCCATTGGCAACAGCACAGATCACGCCTCGCTTGGCGGCATTAGTGGATACGTATGCGAAGAGCAGCGTGTCTGAAGAGCTTCAAAAGGAGATCAGATCGTTTGAGAACGAGGCTGGCTCGGCTTCATTGCCAGATGTCAGCGATCCAGAGAGATCATTGCAGGGATACGAGAAAGCTAGCCTGTGGACTCAGCTCGTCATTCTGAGCGGAAGGGCTTTCAAGAATTTGTATCGCAACCCCATGCTTATGGCTGCGCACTACACCATGAGCTTGGTTCTAGCCGGTAAGCACGAGCAATGAGCGTGCAACGAGACCGCAGCTCAATCTCTCTCTCTCTCTCTCTCTCTCTCTCTCTCTCTCTCTGTCTCTCTCTCTCTCTCTCTCTCTCTCTC